CTCCTTCTCCTTCTCCTTCTCCTTCCTCTTCCTGCTCCTCCTCAAGTTCTCCCATCTCAACTTCCAGTCTTTTTTCCAGCTCTTCCTCGTCCAAAGCCGTCATATTTTCGTCTCCTGCTTCGATCTCATCCATCTCTTCCTCCTTCTCTTTCTCTCTCAAAATTTCCTCCTGACAAAACGCCTTTTTAACTTCTAACTCATTAATTATTAAATACTTCAACAGGCATCCTGGTTGTCTCATTCTAGAACATGACTGTGAAATCTTCCATTTCTTCTTGAGCATCCTCTTGTCATTTAATTTACCTCCCAAATACTTATTGTATTTTAAGTAATTCTTAGCTATCTTATCAGACACTGGAGTTAACGGTAATCCATTTATACCATCTGATAATAACTTTAATGTTTCTTTCAATATATATACCCCATTCTCCTCTTCCCCCTCCACATCATCACCTACTTGGCACTCTTGCAAATTTTCTTCTAGAAATCCCTTCTCATTGGTATTACCATCTTCTAAAAATTCATCACTATCTTCATTTACAAAAGACAAATACTCCTCTAATGTACTATTAAACTCATAATCTTTAGCCCCTATTACGTCAAAAATAGGTCTGCTCTTGTTCCTAGTCCTACTAATCTCAATCATTCTTTCTATACTCTGACCATAATCTTCTATTATGCCATCACCACCACCAATATAATGTTCATCATTCTCAACATTCATATTTTCATCTATATTATCATTATCTTCCAAATACCTACATGAACATAAAGGAAATGGTTGAGTCTCTAAAGATGGTATATGAAGACATTCCCCATTAAAACTCTTATATATCATGGATTCCTCTGACCATAATACTCCAGGTACCTTTTTAAATTCTTTATGATAATCAAATCCATTTGTTATTGCTAACGGTAATCTAACCTTTGTTGAATTCATTATATCTTCCATACTCCAATTACCATCCTCTGAGTATACATTAAATTTACTCCCTAAACTGAATCCTCTTTTCTTGGTCTTGAAACCGCATACATTACCACCTCCCATAATTCTCTCCTCTTCGTCTTGATTGTCATCTTTCCCCCCAATTACAATGTATTCTGGAGTTTCTGAAACTTGTGAATCAAAAGTAACCGTTGGAGTCTCATTAATTTCACTTAATATTGGGGTATCACCATCCTTGTTTGATTCTGCATTCTCATTCCCTCCTAAAGTACATTCTTCGCCACAATTAAATTCATCCCAATCTTCATCACACTCTAACAACCAATCTATTAGCTCTAATCCATTATATACATTAGAATTATAGTACTGCCTTTTAGTTAATTGCTCATTAATCACCTCCAATTCATTATTCTCACCCTCCTCATAGTCTGTGTTTTCTCCAACATCTATTTCCTTTCTCGCTCCTCTTCCTACCTTCTCTCCTTTTTTTCCCTTTTTTTTTTTAAGATGAATATCTTCGTTTCCTATTTCCTCATGAAACTCTTGTAAGCCAACCTGAGTAATCAATTTTACCTTGCTTTCAACTTTTCCAGTCCTATATTTAACACTTGGTTCCATAATCTGTGGTAATCTGATTATTTTACATAACCCAGCTCCAAGATTGTCTTCTTTCCTTAAAATGAACTGATAAAACTCTTCAACAGATTCTTTCATCCGTTTACTCAAAAAAACCCTATTCAACTCATTCTCAAATGTATTCTCATACAGTAATCTCCTAACTCTCTCCACCCTTTCATCTCCTTCATTTGACTCTTTCCCTTCTCTACTCCCTATGCTTGCTTCTTTAGCGACATATACATTTTTACACAATAATCTTCCGCATGTACTCAAAGACAAAAATATCAAACCTTCATCAAATAAATCCTCCTCTTGTGAATTATCTCTAAAACTCGCAAAATCATTAGATAATATATTAATATTATGTCGAGAAGTTGAAGGTGGAATCACCAAATAACCTTTTCTCACATCTTCCCCTCTTTTTTTTTCGTCAAAATATTCAAAATTAACCCTCTTTAGTATAAATACTGTTAAACCTGATAATCCATGAAATATTTGAGACAAAATATTATCATCTATTGAATAACTTTCCAAAATCATATCCAATAAATCAACATTAGACTCTAATAGCTGTGTTCTTTTTGGACTGTAATAATTTCTATCCTGTTCAAGGTCCCATTTACCCATAGTTAGTTCCTTAACTCCTTTCAAATTCATCTTATAATATTGGTTTGAATCCATTTCATCGTACTCTAATACTAATAAAGAATATATTACTCGATGATAGCTTGAACAATATAACATTAATCCACATTTACATGTATTCCTACCTTTTTCTTTCTTGATTATTTCCGGGTTTACCCACTCTATATACCTAAATCTACTTGTATGGTTACCCAAACTCTCTGTAAATGGTATAGAAAATTCCCCTAATGGTATTCTTGAATTCTGATATAAATCTATCACAACAACCTTACTTGATCTTGAATCTATCATTGCCACAATATTTGAATATACTGGATGTACTGATATTCCTGTAATATTTGAATACGATACATTTTTTTTTCTGAGTATCTGTAACTTCATTAATCTATCCTTATATGAAACCAAATTTCTCAATGTATTTTCTTCCAACTCATTATCCTCACATTCTTTTAAATTGTTATCTTTGCAGGGAAATAACATTCTTACTTGATATTTATCCTTACTATCTTTCCTTAACATATATAACCCTTTTCCACCTAGCAAATAAGTATTTGGATTGCCTCCATATACTATACACTGTAACACCTCATTACCAAACTCATAAATTTCATTCAAATCCAACAACATCTTCTTTTTAAATTCTCCATCTCTTAATGATATTCTCATTATTAATCGGTTTGATAATAATAATGTAAACTCCAAAAAATCATAAAGACTTGAAATCATTGAATAAATAGTAATTCCAGAATCTGCTTTTTCACATACTCTATTACTAAAACTTTCGACTTCTTTAAATCTATTAATTAAACCAATTACTTTGCTTTTTAATAAAATACTATATTCTAATCCCTCTTCTTCACTTGCTTTCAAATTCACTATTACCACTTCGTCTAAAGACCTCGCAAATATATTAATCCCATTAGAACTGCTATAATAGAAATCATAACTTGTTTGAAGTTTAATATCCTTTATTGAGCTTTCTAACATGTTTGGTAATACCATTAATCTTTTAAAATAGAAATCTTCTGAGTCTTTAAATTGATCCAAAATTAACACTTCTAGTCCATTCTCTTCAGAACCATATCTCTGAACCAAAATAGGGCCAGAATTTATTCCTATGTCTACTCCTACACAACTCTTTAGAGATGATTCAATCTCATTATCTATTATTCTTGTTGAATACACATTATAACATAAATGTGACGGTGAATAACTTCTATCTTTTGGCAGTATTGTATTAGTCAACAAAGTTGTTATATTTGGTGCTTTGTGACGCCAAACAACCTTTGAAGATCTTAATGGATATTGAAATATATTTTCCCTCATCCTTATTTAATTATTGCTGCTGATTAACTACATGCCACTTTGACTGCTGCAATACCCTTTTTAACTTCACATAATGTATCAAACCACTCACATTAAATATATATAAATCAATGAATCTTTTACTATAACTGATAATGATACTGACGATAAATTTATTACCATTCTTCTCAGTGACTCATCTTGTTCCATTTTTTCTTTTGATTGTTTCATGGCGCCCAAAATTCCTAATGTTAAACTTGGAATATCGGGACAATACAGCTTCTAAAATAATAAAATTTGAATTAAATTCTCTCATTTCTGGGCTAGTGGAATAAAATTAAGAGCTTTTAAAGGGATCTCCAGCTTAGAATTTGGCCAGTATTAATCATTCATTATATAATTTTTCACTACCAACACCCTTATTCCTTGAAACTTTTTTGACCACATTTTCATAGTCAGAAATGAACAGGGGAAAAAAATGTTAAAAAAATTCGCTGAATTTTTTAAATCAGAAACCTTGAATCAAAGAAAGCGAATTATCGCACTCTCTCCTATTAATCAATTAGCAAAACTGGCTCTTATTTACCTATTCCCTCTCTTTTAATTTCCCTTCCGCCAACACGATTCCAAGCCCCCTTTGCTCTTCTCCACTCATAAACTTACCAGTTTTGTGTATAAACCCTCATCTAAAACGTTCATCTCCCCCTCGCAATTAATGCTACATATTAAATTATTATCCATTCTTATTTTTTTTCTACTTTGACCTTTCTTTAATTCTTATTCACTTTTTTTTCCCCACTAAAAAAGCGCCAACTACACATACCGGCAAATACTTGCAAAGAATTGGCAATGCATGCATGCACCGCATGTGGACAAGCATTAAAAATAATACGTGTACAAAATTTGGATAGGTTAGTGAATAAAAAAGACAAAGAATACAAAAGTTATACTACTGGTTTTTGTTTTTTAGTATATGATGCAGGAATTAGAATCAGAAATGAAAAAGTGGAAAAAACTAATAAGCAAAGGAAAAGAGCACTCCAGCCATAATACTCACTAATATAGGCGGTAAGAGTACCTTGAGTGACAGCACCAAATGCTCCCAACCCATTAACAATGCCAGTTGCCATCGAATCAATAGATTTTGTTGTAATACCAGATTTATCAAAAACATCCTGAGCTGCTGTTGAACCCAGAATACTATCAGGGCCTGAAAGACAAAATCCCATAAAAGTTATACCAAATAAAATCGGAAGGTTTAATCCTGTTTTTGTGATTATTATAAAATATAATAGGCTTAGAGAAACAAATATCGTCATATAACAAGCAACCAAAATTCTTTTCCCTCCAAAATATGTATCCGCTATTGCGCCTGCAGAAATAGCACCAATAACACCACCAACATCAAATAAGATTGATGAATACCCTGCAATAGATGGACTATAATCCAATTCACGTATTAAATAATAAGGTAACCAAAATAACATTGAATATCTAATCAATTTTATGAAATAGTAACTTATTGCTATATTTGTTATATTTGGTATTTTTAACAATATTATTAATTTTTCCAAAAAGCTTACATCATCCATGTTTTGGATATGAAATGAAGAGTAACTATCATTTTGAATACTATTTTCTTTTATATTTGAATCATCCAAATTTGAATTCTGCATGCAATATCCACCATTCCCACTTGATCTAGACTTATCGTTAAAATGTTTTCTATTCTTTTTTGTTGGAGAAAACTCTGAAACATAATTTATATGATCATTAAAATCTGGTTTTTCTATTTTTAATGTCCCCAAACCATCATTAGTGCAATTATCTCTACCTTCTATATGTAATTTAGTCTTCGAGCCACTTTCCTTTTTTATATTCTCTGAAAGAGTTGTTTGTATCAGTAATTGGCTACTACTCCCCCCATTCGAACTTGAATTTGCAGACATGTCTTGTGTTTGGTGGTTCTCGTACCCTAAATCGTCTAATTCATTCAAAGAAATTTCATATTCTCTTTTATTTATTGTCTGAGATGATGAAATTAGCAAAGAATTACATCTAGAATCTAATATGCTTCTGTATACAGTATTACCATCATCCAATTCTTCCTCTCCTATTATTTCCTCCATATTTCTTAATTCTCCCTCGCTTTCTCCTCTTTCAATTTTTTCAACCTGAATAGACTTTTCTGACTCAAATGTTTCTAATACTCTATTGAAATTTGTCTCATTCTCAACCGTATCACAGTTATTCGAATCCTCCATCATTACTAAAACCATACTATTCTCGTTTAATTCCTTGTTTACTACATTATCATAAATATACAAATTTCTTGGCTTCTTTAGATATTTAAATATAATCAAACCAAAAAAAAATACGAAAATAGATGGAATGTAAAATACAGACCTCCATCCTAACTTTAAGCAAATTAAGGCTGAAAATGCTGTAGAAACTATTGCTCCGACCTGTTGGCTTGTAGTCCAAACACCCAAAATCCTTCCTCTCTCACTCACTCCAAAACAAGCTATTAAATACTTAACCAGCATTGGATATACGCCTGCATGAAATAAACCATTGAAAAACCAACAGAGTAAAAAAGAAGACGGGCTTTTAGAAATGCCAAATATTAATGATGCAATTGCTGAACAAATAAATGATACACAAATGTATTCATTCACTTTAAAGGTCTCAAACATGGTTGGTATTATTAGTTGACCAAATGCATAAGAACCCAAAAATGTTGTATCTATCCAACCCAAAACCGATGTAGAAAGCGATAAATCTTCCTGAATCTGCAGCTTTACAACTGAAAATGGCTTCCTTGTTGAATACAAAACTAAATAAGATAAATAAGCCAAAAAGAATTTATTATATTCATCTCTTGACATATTGGGAAGCAACTTCTTCATCATTGTTAAATCCATTAACTTATTAATGAACCACTCGTATCTCAAATGTTCAAATTTCTTTTTTGAGCCTATAATATTCTCCATACTAATATTTTCCAGGCTTTTCATTTTCGGACATTCATCTCCTGGTCCTCCCACTATTCCAGACTTAATTGCATTACCTCCATTACCCATTAACATGCATAAATTATCTATACTATTAAAATTTCTGCTTGACTTTGAGCTCCCATCACACGAAGGAAATGCTGTAGAAGTTGAATTCATAGAATCATCTCCATTCTCATACTTATCCAAATATTCAAATCTTTCAAATAATCCCAGTTCGTCACTAGCAGACAAATCTATCTCTTCCTCACAATAATTATTTGCATTTACATTATTTAACCTTAGCTCCTCCATTAATTCACAAGTAAGGTATTAAACAATCAAAATGCTTAATACCTTATGAACTTATTTCACCTTATTAATAATATCACCTGGGTTTTTGTCATAAACCAATTCTAATTCACTCAGATTTCTTAATCTCTTATTGTAGCTTTATCACCACAAATATATTCTTTTTAGAAACTGGGTATCAATCTTGTTACTTTTAAAAATCTCTCTTGATACTCATTAAACAAAAAATAATTACCTTCTTAAAACCTATAAAACCTCGATCTATTCAATTTCTCTTCTTTTATAGTTATTTGTCCCAAAATGATATGAAATTTAAACCAACAATAAAGCCAAAACAAAACTGAATTCTACTTTCTTCCTTCAATCAACGTCAGTCCTTACAATCTTATTTATTTAAAAACTATATCTGTGATTTTTTAACCTCCAAATCTGAATTTCATTTAAATTTGTTGATTTATGCGTTTTTTTCTTATCTCTGCTTTTTTTTATTATTTTAATATGCTCACTCTGTGTGGAATTTTACCGCCTAAGCGGGAAAATGGGTATCAATTTTAATACATATTGTCCAATACACCTGAAGTATTTGAATTAAAATCACATTCATCATTAAAATTTGCCTCGAAAACTCCACTAATTAAATTGCAACTTTCTTGAATAAACTTTTCAGGATTGTCAATTAGAGTCCATTGTGACTCACTTGATCCTGCATCCTTAATTAATAATAATTTGAATTTGTTTCCAGCACTCCTGGCGGATGAAAGTTCATTCCCAGATATATTAAACTGCCAAATTGGTAGTTTTGTTGTTTTTACTTCTATTAAAGCCAGAACTTGTTGTTTGTGATTTTGAGGAATTGATAAATCTTCTCCAGAATTGTGTTCTCTTAACAAAATAAAATCATAAGGAAGAAAACTCTCACTTAGAGAATTCACCCAAATTAGTTTAATAGTTGTTGTTTCTGACTCTTTGAAACACTTGATCTTACATTTTATAAATGAGTCCCTCCGATGATCTTGCAATGCATTCTTATCCTCAATTTTCATGTCCTCAATTCCTGTCCAATTCTTGTAATCTTCCATATCTATTACATCGTTTTCAAAATAACTACTCACAAAATTTCTGGATAAATAATCTTCGATTAAGCTATGGTCAATAGATTTCAAAGCCAGCTTACGTGAAATTGCATTTGGGATTATTACATCAAAAGAAACTTTCTCACCCCAAAATCCCACCACTTTTGTGATTTTTTCTATATTCATCCTTTCTTCTGTTATACTTGCTAATGAGAGAGGATTTTGCTTTATATATTCTTTTATAATTGAGTCTAAATTGCAATCTGTTTCATTTTTATTTTCGCTCATTTCCTCTTTATTAACAGTATTATTATTACCTTTAATACATGTAAAATGTTCAGCCTTATGTTTACCTCTTGTATTAGATAATTCACTTAATAAATTATTTGCTTCAATATATAATGAATTTTGACTATTATTTGTGTTTTTTCTCGACAAGCATTCATCTCTACAACACTTTTTCAGTAGCTCCAAACCTTCTTTAACCACATTCTCCATTGTGAAACATTCTCCTTTCCTATTGCTCATATCATCTACAGTTTGAATATGTTTTGAAAGTAGTAAAAGTCTTTGTGAGCTAGAAAGAATCAAAAGTTCATACAAGTCTATATTAATTATATTGTTAAGATTTGTCAAATCCTTTAATGGATCTAACAGTAAAGTATATAAATCTTTAAGCTGGTTAGTTTTGTCCATACTTTTATTTACAAACAATATAGAAGCTGAATTTTTATTGGGGATCTGTCTATATAATACTCCAATTTTTTTTCTGCTGTTTTTTGGTAAGTTAAGATCTCTAAGATTAAGATCAAAGTTGAGTTCAATATCGTCCACTTCAACTTCATAAGTATTTACAAATGAAATAAGCCAATTAGCTATAGTATAAGCAACTCCTTCTGTTATATTTGAGAACTTTTCAGAGACTGAAAGTGGTTTACAGTCATAAGAATTAGAAATCTGGTTAAATATTTCATTCTCCGATACACAAAACTCACAATTGGTAACTGAGTGGTTTGAATTATTATCTGGTGAATGCTGTTGATTATCGTAGATCTTTTTCTCTTCTAATATTCTCATAATTGACAAATAAATGTCCAAAGAATTGTGTTTAAACAAGAGCATCAAAACCCCCCAGAATTCTAAGTTTAACCAAATTTTATTTGTTCCTTTGTTTACAAATCTTAAGAAATCTGTTGTATTGTGCTTACAATTAACTTTATATGTCGCTCTGTAACATTCTGAAAGTGTCTTTAGTTTTAAAACGTCCTTATAGAAAAATTGAGAGCTTGGGGAATATGAAATTGCTACTGGAATTTGAAAACTATCACTTCTCAAATTTCCAATGGGAAAATCTTCCACACAGCAATCCTCACGCTTAAGAAATTTGTGCATTCCTTTAATTGGTACCCTTGCATTTTTCAAAAACTCATTCCACCATGAATTTTTTCTAGATTGGTTCATTTTTTGAAACACTGGCAAGAATTTACTGATCGAAATATTAATGAATGATTCAAACTTAATTTTTCCCTCTCTAGATTCATCTTTAAGTAAATTAGGGCACTCTCTTAACCATAAATTAGCATAATGGTGATGTACTGGCTGCTCAGAAACCAAAGATAAAAAAAACGGTCTTAAATTTTTGAGTCTACTTTTATTAATAAACTTGCTTAAAACAATAAAAGTTCCATGAAAGAAATCATATGGATCTGACCAAACCATATTATTGTAATCAACTGGTACCCAATTATATAATGTACTCTTCATCAAGGGTATATAGAGCAAACTTTCATTGTAAAATACCTTTTTAATATCCATTGAAATATCAAAATCTGTCTGGTGGCCTAACATATAGTAAATGTCAGAGATTATCTCAATATCAGAAGGGCTTTGATGATTTTTTTCCTGAGAATTATCATCAAAATTCGACCATTCATCTACCAAAGAAGGCCACCAATCTGAATTAAACAAGTTTTCTTGAGTTATTCCAAATCCAAAAATTGCTAATTCTACTATATGCCTTAAATCAGGTCCATAAGAAGGTCTTAACATAACTTGAATGTTTTTTTGAACTTTTTCTCCGTCCCTAAAACCCATTACTCTCTTATAATCTCGCAAAATCTTGATTAGAGATATAGAGGAAATCTGAGTAGTGACACCAATTTCTTCCAAAGTCTCTGATATTAATTTTGACTCTTTACCAATATCTTCCTCGGTTCTATTTAATGTATAATGAGCGGAGTAATATTCATTGTTTTCACGTGATTTTTGATTCTTATATCCATTTCTTAAAGTTACTGGCAATAAATTTAATACAACCTGAGATATATGCTTTATAATTCCGTCTAAGTTCTTATTAATCTTGGGAATAAACAACTCATTTGGCCTGCTTAATAACAAATCTTCATTAAAATCTGCCATATCACAGTTTTCTATCTGTTCCTTATTTACCTGACTCATATAATAACTAAAATACTTGTCATTATTCAGTGAAACTGGTATCCATGGGTAACTTGACAAGATTTTATTTAAAAAAGATGAACTATAGGAACGTCTTGAATACTCATTAGCTATTTGGATGACTGCTCCGGCTCTCATTAAATAAATCAAATGCTTACAATAGAAACAATGTGATTGGCTTATTGGGTAGGTATTTTTATTAACCATCCAACTTAATGGAGATGCATCTGTTTTCGGAGGTAATCTATCAAAGTTACATCCAACATACCATTGTTCAAGCAGGTTAATGAATTTATTGATAAACAACCTGAATGCCAACCCTTTATCATTCTCACTTGAATTACCCGGATCATGAACAATATAATCAGAAGAAATCTCTACAAAATGAAACCTGTCAGATACTTTTGGAAACACCCATTCAACTAAAGGAGGCCATAAGGGAGGAACTATTGTTAAGCCCTTGTATTCAAATGATTTTTCTGAACCACCAATTAATGCTTTATCTTGTACATTATTTTTACTGTTATTTGCAGCCTTAACTTCAGCCGTATTTAAATTCGGCTTTGAACGAAACTTATTGGATCTCTCCCAGTTAGAATGAAGTAGTATTAATGCAGTCAATGACTTGCTTACCTGAGACATCCTCAATGCTACAGAAGTAGGATGTACCATATCTTCCTCTTTGTTGGGCACCTTCTTGCACCTGCTACATTTCCAATTAGACGTAATAATATTAGAACACCTGGCCAATTTGTTCTTGTTTAACAGCTCTTCTTCACTTGCATAGCTTTTTGGAAGATCCTTATTGTACAGCAAAGCCTTTAAAAATGAAGGAGAATAAGTCTGAACTACAATAGGAAGCCTAATTAGGAACCTATTATCACTTCCCAGGATACTTGCCTCCTCTATTGCAAGAGGCGTTATTTTGAGTAGCAATTTGTGTATGTCAATGTTAATTGCATTTTCCCATCCTTTCTCCAATAATACATCAATTTGTTCGGCAATCAATTTGAAAAAAGCGGATGGAGTTAATTTCTCAATCTTAAAAGCTTCCACAAATAAATTCCTTATTTTTACTGGAGCTAATCTATAGACTGTATCACTAAAAAACTCAAATGGGCATACTTTTCCTATTATTGCTGAGTACTTTTGTAATTCATGCTCTCGAAAATAATTGTCAAACGATTCATCTGAGATATAAATTCTCATCATATTCATCTTTTCCATAGGAATTCGTCCATTTCCTCTTGTAGGTATTATTGGTAAACTTAAAAATTTCTCATTTCCTTCAAAAATATCTGCATCTCCTTTTTGAAAAAATAAATAACTATACAATATTAGTAATGCTTCGTCAGAAATACTCTTCAAAAAATCCAAAGGGTTCAATTTTGAAAAAAACTCGAATATATTAACATTCTTTACACTATATGATGATATTATCTGTACTACTAAAACCTGCAACATTTGCAAAGGCCTCATGCAAACATAATGCATGCAAATGTTCCCGCCCAAGAACGTGGGGTGCAATACCGGTCCCATGTGGACATTCAACATGTAGAGAAAATTCCAATGCAGATTACAAAAAATACACAATTTTTCATTATTTGTATTTTTTTTTGAACAAAGGTCGCTGAGTTGAATATTAATAGACAATTTATCAAGATGGCAAAATGAACCGTCAATTTTTATAAATATGGGCTCCTTAACCAGTTCGTTAGCGCAGATTGAAGATAATGAACAGCTTTGAGTTTGATTTTGTTCATCTAGTCTTGGTGGAATCCAACTTACTTTAATCAGTTCTGAGGTTTTTAAAATGAAATGCTTCAAGTTATCGCTAAAGCTTGACTCCTGCATAGTTAGCAATGGCAAAGACTTAGCAGTGAGTAAATTATCCATAAATAGTGAATATCTTTGGTTAATTAGACAAATTTTTGTTGAGGATGACAATACTGGATTAATCATGTTAGCAACAAATTGTGGGATCTGTCTTCTGAAAATTACATCTAAAATGGTAGAATTCCAGACATTATCAGCAATTATATCCTCTCTATTTGCAGTCAAAATCAAGTCTTGAATATTAACATGAAAAGGAAGGTGGATTCTATTACTCAAAGGGAATGTACAAAACAACTTTCCCGCGAGTCTTTTGTGCTTTCCAAAAGTTGAAGATCCCAAAGAGAATGACGATGAGCTTATTATCCGCTCATCTTTATTTATTTCAAGCTTTGAATTAGAATGAAATAGAGGAAGAGCAATTGACCATATAGTTGAAGATCTTGTAACTCTATCTCTGAGAGTGGCATTCTCAAGCTTTTGTTCATCTGAAATTGGGATTTCCCAGTCTACAATAAGGTATTTAGAAGAAATCAAACTTTCTCTTAAAAGTTTTTCTTTATTAAAATCTAAATCATCGTCATCAAACTGAGATACCTCAATTCTTACAAACTTGAAACTCTTAATTGAAGAAAAAATGTCATCTTTAAATTTATCCAGGCTAAAAGTTTCACCCAGCATTTTAGAAACATCAGGAACTGAAACCAACTCAATTGAAGTTAGTCTTCTTCTTAATAACGGAAACGTTGTATTATTTTTATTGGAGCAAAATTCTGAGCCTTTTCTAGGCTCTACATCTATCACTATTGATTTAATATTCCTCAAAAAGAGAAGAATGTCATGTACAAAAGTATCGTGGATTGCTGATAAAATGGATGAGAATTTTTGTTTCATGTTCTTCCCAAATGGAAGATAGTGCAGTGTTCCCAAATTGTTTGAATTCTTTTCAAACTTATCCCCAAATTCAAATCCTATATTATCCGTCTTCCAAGGAGTGCCGTATAAACTAATGTTTGAATGAATTGTTCTAACTACCTCTGGAAAATCTGATGGCTCTTCCCATTTTGGAACAATATAGCTCAACTCAATTTCTTTATCTGGCTTGCTAGAAAATTTAATTGAATAACCACCACTATATATACCTGGATTGTCAGTTATCTTAAATAATGACCTATATCCAATACCTTTTTCTCCAGTAAAATACCTTGATTGTGTATTTTTTTTTGATGAATTACCAATATCACAAACCGATTCTATATTTTCACGTGTCATTCCCTTCTCATTAACATGAAATACCAAGCAGTCCCATCTTAACAAGATATAAACTTGAGGAGTATTCTCATCCACTTTATCCATATCGAAGTTGGAATCATCAGCATTCTGAAGAAGTTCCAGTAATACACGTCCAAAAGATGAATAAAGTTCATTTGATAATATTCCTATTGATCTGTCTTGTCTGTCCCTTTGGGATTTATTTGATACAAACAGGTTCTGTCTTATTTCTTCAATGTGTTCCTTGGCTTGATCATTGTGCACCATATTAAATACTCATTATATTATTGTTATTTTCCTTAATATACGTAAAACTAGTATCAATACCCAAACTTTCACACTTGTTTTTAAAATAAAATAAAAATTTATATATTATCTCTATTTTGTTTTATTTCCTTTTTTAGGATTATAATGTTATGATGACAAATATAAATTATTTTCACGTAAAAAAAATCAATGAGTAATATTTTTAAAAAATATTAATATTTTCCCTCCTAAATGAAATTCAATTAATATTTGTTAAATTTCTTCAGATTATTATCCCTCGTCCTCTTCGGTTCATTAGTACATAGAAAATATTTTTCTCTGTTATATAAACTCTTTTTTTCCTGAAATATCATTCAATTTTTTTTCAGTTTTTGCATTGTGTTTGTACAATACGGAAATGTTAATTATTCCCATGTAAAAATGATTCTTTCTTTTTTTTTTTTTTTACCAAGAAAGCATACATGTTAGAGGTTCTATTCTCAAAGGGAGCAAATTTTTTGTCAATAAGAATAAATTTTCTTAGAATTAAAGGGTTGGTTTGCATGCATGCAATTTTTCAATAAAATACTTAAAGAAGAAATCAAACAAAAATCTATTAAAAAAAAAATAAAAATTATATATGAATTAGAACAAGTTGTTTGAGTTATGATTAATTTAATTTAAAAGAAATTGTCTTAAATTCAAATGTGTTTATATCCAGAAGTACCAAAGTAGGGTTGTTAGAAAATTCAGGAATAGTGAAGCATACTGGTCCATTATTAGGGAATTTATATGACTCAAATTCTAATTGATTTCCTGCAAAAATGACTTGAGGAAAAGATTCGTCAATATAATCCAGAGAAAAAGGATCTTTATCGAAGAATGGGTGAGAAGGCACTGCATCAGGACATGTTGGAGCAATATTTCTGGATTCAACGCAAAACTTGAGAGCATCAATTGGCTTTGAATATGAAGAAAATAAAGAAATCTTAGAAATGCACTCTCCAGAAACACCAGTAACCCTGATATCGTTTACAGAGAATAAACAAGGATTGGTGAAAGAATTAAATGACTGATAACTCTTAGAGTTCTTGAATATATAAGGCTGAAAAGGAGGTTGAGGTAAGGAAATTGGAACAGGATCATTCTCCCCAGGCATAATTGCAAAAGAGATAGAGGAAGCCAGTTGAGAAATAAAAGAATCAATCATTTCAAGTCTGCTAGAAAGTAACTCATTATTTACAACTAACTTTGTTCCAGTACCAGTACTAGTCTCTTTTGCAGTATCTAAAAGTCTTATAGTGTTTCCTGCAATAATTAAGTAAGCAATTCTGGAAGACAAAAGTCTGTGTTCGTCACTATATGAGGAGATACCCATAATGAAGTCACGAAATAATTGCAAAGACAATGAATCCTGAACGTCGGATCCTATATTTAAACCCGAAACAAAGCCCAAATATGTGGGTTGAGAAATTTTCACTAGGGAATGCTCTTTTCTAATGATTTCTTCAGGAGGAGACGCAAAAGTTAGGTCAGAAACTAAAAAAGCACCCCCTGAATTCTGTACTCCTCTTACTGCTACCACAGTACCAGAAATTAAACTGCTTACCGATAATACTTCTTCTTTTAAAACTAATGGAATTCTTGAAGAACTGTCTTCTATATAAAGCTTATCATCATCACTAGTGTAATTGCTTAATTGATTGTTCTTTGCGAATTCCTCAATATCTTGAAGATATTCATCCAAAATTGTAATTCTATTTTTCATCTCTTTAGTTATCAATCCCATAATGATGCACTCAGATTCCATTTTTATATCTTTAAGCTGATTTAAAATAGGCACTGAGTTATCTTTAGGGTTATGGCTCCCAGTTTCCTCCTCGCTCTTTACCTGCTCTATTGAAAGATTGCATTTCCATTTCTTCTGTATCGTTTTCAACAAAAATGGGCGCAAACTCATAAATCTAGAAAAACATAAATGGCAATACTGGTACGGAAAGCTGTACTCCTTTAATCTGAATCGTTCACACTCATTCTTAATATTCACTTCTGGCCGTTCTAGGCCTTTTATCTCTTTTTCTAATTTCATCTAAAAATCTGTAGGTCCTTTATGTTGTTCAAAAATGATCCACACAGCCCTTTAACTTTCTACTTAACCTATTTCCCTTTCTATTTTCTGAATTTCCTTTTTCACTTGTTACTATTCCCAATTACCTATGAATCAATAAATTGGCGGGAATTATAATTACCACAGTTACTGTTGTTCTGAATATGTTGGCGCCCAAACATGCTTTACAAACAACCATGAATGATTTTTGGCAGTATAAAAGAACTTATCTTGCTCTGGCATAATAAAAACTACTAAAATTTAGGTTTTCATATTTTCTTCCTTAGTCCTTTATGTTTTCCCAAACAATTTGTATTTTCTCAGGTTCACTCATTTTCAAAGTGGAATTTAAAATTAGAAAGAACAACGAAAACTCTAGAAAATATATTAATTAGCTATTTATATGATTACCCTTTATTAGTATTCATAATCACTCCTATTTCTCTTTTTTCTCTGTTTTCACTACTCATTTTTTGCTATGCGCGGGGTTCCCGCCAAAACTATTATTAAATTATTTCTTTTTAGTAATCAGAATTTTTATTAAACTACAAAAAGCAAGAAAGGCAAAAAGAAGGTGAAAGCAATAGGTTTGAGGTTTAATAGTACTTGTTAGAAGTCAAACCTAATGGATTATACCGAGAAGGAGCATTCCCCATTAGAAAAAGGTAAGTTATAAATGTAATTGACAAACTAGTACCTAAGTATATGTGTGGTCATGTGTGTGTTAGCTCTAAGCTAGCCAAAAGCTAATGAATTGGTACTTTAGAAGTAAATTTTGGTCAAAATTTGAATCAAAGATTAACTTTTTTTATTTGCCTTTATGATTTGTATACTCTAATTCAGAAAATTTGGGGATTAATTTAATTAATAATGACCTGGAATACATTGACAATATATATAGCTCAAAGAATTTTGGTTTGACAGATGATTCACACGTTAAGAATCTAAAAGAATCTCAGGAGATTTTACTTATGGTAAGTTTTCCCACAAAATAATACTGCCAAAAAACATTATTATTTGTTGTTCCTATACATTACTATCATCTAACCTTTTATTTCAAATAAACAAGTCTTGGATCAATGAAGTAGTGTCTCCAGAGTTATTAACATACTGTGAGTCTTCAATACAAACCCTATGCTATTCTATATTCAAGGAAAAGGAAAAACTACGATTCATTGAGGGTGAAAGAGGAATTCCGGATATTGAAGATAAAATTGAGCAAGATCTGATTAATCTTCACATAAATAGATCAACCAATATGCTCAAAATGTATCTGAAACAAAGAATTATGAAAATCTCAGAATTCCCAGATTTCTCTATTGCTAATTCAAGAACAAAAAGCGATGTAGACTCAGAATCCAACATCAGTCAGGAGGAAGCTGTGTTTGCTTTAAAACTCTCCAAACTTCAGTGGAAGTATTTGGACGAAGTTATCTCCAAAATGAAGAATACACTAGCGACAGACTCTTCTGTCCCAATCCCAGCACCATCCTTCCATAGATCCGTCCGTTTTAAATGTATTGACTCTATCGGAAGAGTCCAACTCCAATCATTTGCAACTCCTGAAAATACCTCATTTACCCAATTTGATGACCAAGATCATTTTTCACAAAATGAATCAGAGAAAGTCATCAACATTGAAAAAGGAAAGATATATACTTGTAAATATGAAGATGTGAGGGCTCTCCTAGACCGGAACACCATTCAGCTATGGCCATGGCCTCCTGTTACTAGCAATAAAAACAATTCAAATTAGCTAAAATCCCTTAGAGAGCTCAAAAAAGAGCACATAGAGATTCCATAAACCTTTATTTTTACTGCTTCCTATTCTTAAATATTTCCCGCCACTTCCTCTGCATGCCAAGTCGGCCGATGGCCCGCCGGCGGCACCCCGCATGGCGCCGGCCCAAAACAAGCAATGCAATGTGTAGTTAAAGTACGTTGTGAAAACAAAGAAATTGAAATTTTATGTGTTGAACAAAGAGAATTCGTATGTAAGTATTTGTTTGCATACGTAATCACATACATTGGACGTGTTCGTTACATTTTGTAAAATTGTGCACAGGCTCTTATTACAAGAAGAGAGCATCTATCTCATAGTTACTGTGGACACAAAATATACTTGAATCTGAATAGAGTAAGAATATGTACAGAGAACAATCATCGACAGTTCTAGATTCTCCTGTGAATGGTGTTGGTATTGGACTTGGAGGCTCCGGCTCGTCCTCTATGAGCTCAAATTTCAGTAGAATGGAAAGTATAAATCGATCAGGAAGTAAAACAGGAGCCGTTAACCCAAAGTACTCAGAGTATGGCCCGACAGTAATGCAGATTTTGGAGACTTATGAAAATCTTAAACTAAAGGCTCAGAGTATTTCCAAGAGAAAATTGAGATCCTGGGAGGGAGATTTCTTTTGCCTTTCATCATTTCAAAAGGTGTCACAACCAAAGGATATCACAGACAGATTAGAGAAGAATCTTCGATACTTTCTGCTTAACTACATTGTAATAATACTGGGTATGACTATACTTTCCCTCATTCTAAATCCTATTTCGCTGATAATCATTATAATTTCAACCTTCTCCTCAGCTTTTGTTGCATCTAGACCGACTGATACAGTGTTGCTACCAGGAGATAACGTAATTAGCAAAAAAGTAGCTCTGTATATGATTGCAGGAATATCTACTGTGGTTATTTTGGTATTCTCAGGCGCCTTATTATTTACATCTTTGGCTGTTTCACTAATCTTAGTATGTATTCATGCAATCATACATATTGGAAAGACCAGTTACGACCAGGTTGCAAACCTGGAGAGTGAGGTATAATATCTGGAGGTAAAAAACCATGAAAATAGGCTATTAAGACTAGAAACTAGAAAGATTTACAAAGTTTTAGTACTTATTAGATTAAAATATATATGTCACCTAATTCTATCTCCTAAATATAGTCTTTACTCTAAATTGTACCTGTATGATTAAAGCTTCTCTTGAACTCTCTTTGAAACTATTCTAAGATGGTTATAAACCTTTCCAGGAGGAGTTCCCAAAATTAAACTACATAAAGCGTCTCTGGCTAATTTAATATTATGAAAAGCTCCCATTAAATGGAGCTTTTGTCCGGCCAAAACTATCCTAGTCCTGGTTGAATTCTCAATAGCATACTTAGTTTTACCGTCTCTCCCAGAAATTCTCCCAATACAACGTGACAAATGTGCACCGTTTAGTCTCTTAACATCCTTAATTTCAAAACTTTCTATATAAAGATCATCTAATCTCAAAAGAGCAATGGCATCCTGAAGCTCAAACCCAAGAAGAAAAGCTTTGATAAAATCAACTCCTTTTTGAAGAGATCCAATATCAGTACAGTCTGGTCCATACTTAAGTTCTACACATCTTCTCTTAACATTCATTCTCACATGTAGTCCCATATGCTCTACTAAAGGAGTCACAATATTAATCCACTGGTTTTTTAATGGAGTCATCCTATTTTCTGGAACCATTACTCTTCTAATTTCATTGCTTCTGTCAACTTCTGTCCCAGTTAATGGCTTGAAAGGTCCTTCAGTCCGTCTCTCCTCCATATCCATATCCATGTTCTTTACTTCACCCATATGTAAACAAGTCAAAAAAAGTGTCTAACTAATAAAAACCAATTCTTCTTTCCTTTACTAAAGTCCTTTCTGCACAAATCTTAATATTATTCTCCCTGCTTTTTATTTTATTCAATTCCAATATATACCGTCAAAGTTAACTATAATTTTTACCGCCAAAAGTTGGCGCCATAGTGTTTTTTTTTTAGGTTTTTCCGAGGGGAAGTTTAGTGGAAATAATTAAAAAAATAGGTGAAAGAATATAACAGAAGAAAAGGAAAATGTGAAAACATTTGAACAGAGGAAAACTTGCTAAAAATGGAGTGAGAAAGTTTTAAGAGATATAAGTCTAGAGTCTGATTATACTTATGTTATGATTGAATTAGCTATTTGGAATGTAATGTTAATAAGTGTATAGTAATTTAAAGAATTACGTTTTAGTGAATAAAAACAGTGAAAAAAAAAATTGATAAAAAAAAGTGGTATTGCGAGAATCAACAATAAATCAGATACAGCAAAAGAAAAAATAGTGAGGACAAACAGAAAGTACTAAGTTAGTGTGTTGAATTGATAATGCTTACAAAAGGAGGAGATTATTCAGAATACTCAGAATTGTATACACAAAATGTTGAGAAATCTACTGGAGACGATATATGTGAAACTGTAAGGAAACATGTGAGAGAATATCTTGAAAAAGAAAGTAGAATAAACTTTTACTTTTTTGAAAAGAATAGCTGCCTGATTAATAATAAATTTGTAGATCTTCAGGTCCAATTGAACTCACAGCTTTGTCCAAAAATTAAACTTTGGAAAGAAATTAAAGAAATGAACTTTCAGGAATTTATAAAATCTGAAAATGAACCACTTCAAAACTTGTTTGCAATAAAAATCTACTCAAAGCCCCAACTCATACGGAGAAACATTGTTTACTCCACAAATGGGAAAATCAGGACCCAAATGCATCGCGTAATTAACGAGATCAAGATCCTACAATTCCTTGCAGAAACCAACCCTTCTGACTACTATATTATTAAATTACATAAAGTTCTTGAATCTTCTCCTTCCGCCCTATCCTCTGGGAAGCTTTATCTCATCTTTGACTTCTTTTTAAATGGACCCACGATGGCGCCTGACCCAGGTTCGAGGTGCGCGCGCGCGGGTTCGGACTTGAAATTTGAAAAGAGTCTTTTAGTGTATAAGCCAGGACCTGCATTAAAGAGGATGGAGGGGAATGTAAAGAGAATGGCTTACTGTGTCGGAGTAGCTCTCTCTAGACTTCATGAGCTTGGAATTGCTCATAGAGATGTAAAACCTGACAACATCCTGCTTGCAAATACTGGAGATGTGTTTTTAAATGATTTTAATTCGGCAGAATTCTTAATTCAAGGCAAATACGTTCAAGGTACCGAGGGAACATATGCATTTTTCCCTCCTGAATACTGTAATATAAGCAGCAACTTTGATAAGACTGCTAATGAAAAAGATGGAACTTCTGAAGCCAACGAACTGGAAGGTGTCCAGTCTACTCTCCAATTGGGGTGCCCAGCTGACATGTGGGCTCTTGGAGTTACGATTTGGTGTTGGTTCTATGGTACTTTACCTTTTCAAGGAGAAAGTATTTTGGAACTTTTTGATAACATTACAAAATGTAAGATTGAGTTTCCTAAGCATCCTACTTTATCACAGCAATGTATTCATGCTCTTACACATCTTTTAGACCCAGACCCAAATTCTCGTTGGACTGCCCAACAGTTCCTTGGGTCAGATTGGTTCTCTGCAAATTGATTGAATCAATTCAATTTATCTTTTTTCATTACTGTTGCAGATTGTTATTTTTGTGTCAGTCCGATACCTTTCTACTTTGCATGCATGCGTACATGCAGTTTTGTATTGGAGACCCAATCCTCATACCTCTAGGCGCGTAATGTGTATAGCAATTGTAGATAATAAGGGTTAAATAAAATAATTAAAATATTTATTACTAATAATAATAGAGATCACATCATATCTTTTTTTTTATTAAAAATACATAGAGAAATCATGGCTATATCTTTATTTGCTATTAAACTGTTCAAGGAAATTATATCAATTTCTGAATCTATTGTAGTATTATTTAAATCCCCCCCCCTCTTCACTGTATTATCTCTCTACTTACTTTTTCATCAATGTTAACCCTAATCCTTTTAATACTTGCGTTATGTCATTTTAAATTTAATACTCCTCTATTTGGAATGCTGAATATAACTGTCTCTTGGATAATACTTTTGTAATAAATCATGCTTAATTTTCTTAAGCATATCCTCAGGGAATGTTCTGAGAAGTTCCCAAGCAAGATCCAAACTTTCAAAAATATCTCTCTTTTCATATGGACCCTGAGAAAGGAATTTAGATTCAAATTTACTGGTAAACTCAAGATATAATGAATCATCGGATGAAAGAGCCTCCTCTCCTACAACAGCAACCATAGCTCTGGTGTCTTGACCAATAGCATAATTAGCATAAAGCTGATCAGAAACTGATGGATGATCTTCTCTTGTTAGACCAGCACCAATACCAGACTTCATAAGACGAGACAATGATGGTAAAACATTAATTGGTGGATAAATCTGTCTGTTATAGAGAGCTCTATCAACAAATATTTGTCCTTCTGTAATGTAACCAGTAAGATCTGGAATTGGATGTGTAATATCATCGTTTGGCATTGTTAATATTGGGAACTGAGTTATTGAACCATTTCTACCCTCAATTCTTCCAGCTCTTTCATAAATTGTTGAAAGATCTGTATACATATAACCAGGATAACCTCTTCTACCTGGAACCTCTTCTCTTGCTGCTGAAACCTCTCTAAGAGCATCTGCATAAGAACTCATATCTGTCATAACAACAAATACATGTAAATCTCTTTCATAAGCCAAATATTCTGCTGTTGTTAATGCTAACTTTGGAGTTAAAATCCTTTCAATTGTTGGATCATTAGCTAAATTCAAAAAGAGGCAAACTCTTTCCATAGAACCATTCTCTTCAAAATCACGTCTAAAGAATCTTGCAGTTTCCATATTAACTCCCATAGCAGCAAATACTACAGCAAAATTGTCATCAGAATGATCCATAACATCTTTACCAGATACTAAAGAAGCTTGACGACAAATCTGAGCACCAATATCATTATGTGGAAGTCCTGCAGCTGAAAATAATGGAATCTTTTGACCTCTAACAACTGAGTTCATTACATCAATTGCTGAAATTCCTGTTTGGATCATTTCTCTTGGATGAACTCTGCAATATGGATTAATTGGACTACCATTAATATCAATATAATCCTCAGCAAAAATTGGAGGGCCATTATCAATCGGTTTTCCACTTCCGTTAAATGTCCTTCCTAACATATCCTCTGTTATCGGCATACATAATACATCTCCACTAAATTCAACTCTACATGATTGATTATCAATACCTGTAGTACCCTCAAATACTTGTACTACAGCTCTGCTTCCTTTAACTTCCAAAACTTGTCCTTCTCTAACTGAACCATCTCCTAAAGTAATTCTAACAATTTCATTGTATTTTGGAAACTTTACATTATCTAAAATAACCAATGGACCCTGAACTCCTGAAACTGTTCTATACTCCATTCTAGGAGCAATATTATAGTTTCTTGTAACTGCTGCTACATTTGCCTCGCAAGCCTGGCTTGAAGTTACCATCTTTGTGTAATTACTATCACTCTGAAAAGGTTATTGTGACTTCCCCAAGTGTTTTATTATCCTAAATTGATATTATATAAATTTTTTTAGGACTTCAAATTTTCTGCGATATATTTTCTTTTTTTTCTTTTTTTAAGGAAAAAAATTCTTAAATTTCCTTTTAAAATTAAATTATATTCCCACCAATATTAATATTCCCTCTTGCCTTATATTTTAAACGATCAATGGCTTTTATAAGAGAAAAAAATATTTATATTTATATGTATTTATTGGTTTCAGTTCGATTTCCCGGTAAAAAAAAAAAAATGTACGCAATATTTTATCATCTCACATAATTATTTATTTTGTTTAAATTATTGTTTTTATTTAAATTTGTTTAGTTTAGTTAATCTTTATTCTTTCTTTATTATATCTTGTTTTCATTTATATTAATATTTATAATTTAGGCGCCATATGTCTCTATCATCCCGCATGTTTTTACCGCTATAACCTGTAATATAAAACCAAGACAATTTTAGGCGGGTTTTATTAATTATTTAATACAAATTTTTTCCCCATAATAATTGGGGGAAACTGAAATAATTTAAGGAAAAAAAAGGTGCCAATAAAAGAGCATTAAATGACGGAGTTAAGTGTTTTTGAAAGTTAAAAATTAATATTCCATATTAATTTTTATTCTTTTATTTCTGAAGAAGGAATTGAATCACTTTTGCTTTGAGTATATACCATTACCATAAATATACATTTATTAATAAACCACTGTATTGAGGTGAATAAAACATTTTATATATAAAAATGCCACCCAAATCAAAAGGTCAAACTATCCAACTTAGAGACTTGCAAAGAATGGCATATGAGAATGGAGAAGTAATGGAAGGAATCTTGCCAACTCAGAGTCTTGGTATTGAAAGAACTGATAGTTATAATAGTAATCGAAGTGGTGGCGGTGGTAGAATGTCAAGTAGATATGACAACGATGAGAAGGTTGCCCAAATGCTCGAAACTGATTGGAGAAAAGGTAGAGATGGAGGTGATCTGCAAAGAACAACTTCGAAATCTGGAAGAGATAGGTTCAATCGGCCAGATATTGATGATACAATTTGTAATACCAATTGGAGAGATGACTCAGGTAGATCCACGGAAAAGCCAAAACCTGAGCTTGATTTTAGGAGAGGTGCATCTAGAAATCATGATAACTCTGCTGAACCCAGCTCAATTAACTTTAATTGGCGAGATAACTCCAATTCTTCACAGAATGCTTGGGGATCTTCAAACTTTGGATCCAGATTTGGACGCGAAAATTCAAGTAGAGTACATTTTGATGACAGGCCAGACTATTTAAAGAATAGATTTAAGAAGAAGACTGATGTTGAAAGTTCCACCCAAAGTAATGGTGACAATGTCTGTAATAACTCCAATATGGATATATCTTCGTCTTTGTCTCAAAAACTTAATGTTTCGGATTCCAAACCTGTCTCAAATACGGGTAATTCTTCATCTTTAAATGGCATTTTGAACTTAAATAACAAACCACAACAATCCAATAATACTCAAGTAGCTTCAAAAGTTGAGAAGAAACCAAAGCAAATAAAGAAAGTCCAGCCAGTTAAGGAAGCAAAGAAAATCGATGATTCCGAGACCAACATCTCATTATGGCAAGTTTCTGATCCAGTGGTTTTGAATACTTTTGAAAAAGAACTCTTTGCATGTTTAACAGGAGAAATACCTACAGAAAAATCTGTTCCAGCTTCTTCTTTCGAACCAAACACATATTCACCACCAGATTCTGACAAAATACTTGGTTTCATTTCTAACTTCATAGATAAGTCCATCTCTCCGGAAGATAAACAGTCTCTTTCAATGATTGCCAAGCTTTCTCACGTATTTACCTTATTTTCTTCTGCATTGCGTTGTATCGATGATGTTATTCTACTTTCCAAGAGTCTCTCTCCAATATTTAATTATTTTATTACCAAAAATAAAGCAGGAGAAGCTACTGCAAAGCTTTACATCCTTATTGAGATTCAAAGAATGGCCTCTGTAATCGGAAACCCCAAAATTGACAATGTTACAAGTATTCTTGAGTCTCTATGGATCTCACTTTTAAAGTCCAAGATTGTTTCTAGAGACACGTTCAATCTTTGGCTTAACAAGAATGATCTATTGGGTGATGAAAGTAAGTTTGGCAGAAAGAATGCACTCTTTGAGGTAAGTTTACTCTTTTATTTTGTAGTTGGTAATTTATACAGAACTTGATATATGGATCATTTATTATATGGGTCAATACTTATTATAATTAGTGTTGTTCATTTTCGAATACCAAGTTATTTATGGCCAAAACTTACTTTATTATAGATTTTTGGTTAATTCTGTATTTACAACTTTTGTAAACTGGACTTTTTCACAAGGTAATTTTTTGGCCAAGACTCAATTTGAAAGAAATAGGTTATTTACAATCCATGGACTAAATACCAAAAGATTTTGAATGACTAATTTTAAAGGAAAGAAGAAAATTTTGGGAGATTATTCTAATAATTAACTTATTACTAGTCTTTAAATCTCCTTTTCTTCTCTTCATTTAAATTATTTCTTCAAAATCACTGTTCAGGTTAGGTCCAATTTCAAGATATTGTTTATAATAAAGGCCTTTCATACATTTCATCCACATAAACATTTAAACGATAACTGGATTCTTAGATGCAACACACCCATTTTTTCATCCAATATGTATCAACTTCTGTAATCAACTCTTGATAAAAATTTAATGCTTTATTAAATTATTAATCATTTAATTTTTCTAATTCCTTAGTTGACTGCATTCTTTGATTGGCTTAATTATGATGAAGAGACCTTGTCAGAAGAGGAAAACGAGGATGATGAAGATTTTTAATCAACTAATATACCTCATCCATTTTCTTTACACTCTAGTACATTTAATTTATGTTTATTAGTTTGATCTTTATATCTATAATTATAATCTGCCCCTTACAATATTTTTCTGTAAAATACCCTTTCATTATCTAATTAATGCTTATCTGCATTTTTTTTATAATAAAATATAATATTAATGTGGACGCTGACGTAGCCAATAAAAAGGAACTTTTTTTCCATTATATATAAAAATTGTGTGTATATTGATTATATAAATAAATAAATTCCAAAATTAAAAAATTTGAATAAAATGCATACAATTCTCGATTTTTAGATTTATGAAAAGTACCAAAGGATTATTAAAGCTGAGATTGTTTGACAACTTTACCTATAATAATCAGGTCTAAGTGAGCCTTCATTACAAATATTGTGTTATACTTTATTAATATTATTTTTTGAACTGATTTAATAACTGAGAATTACTTCAAATAAAAAAAATGGCGGACCCAAGTGCTATGCTTAACTATAATGCTGAACTGATGAAGTGCCTGGAAGATTTGAAGGAAAAGAGGGATGAAGTTAACAGACAAATAAAAAGGGAAGAGGAGGACAAGGCGAAGATTCAGCGTGAATTAGGAATTTTGAATGAGCGACTGAAAAGAGTTTCCGAAAGTCTTCAAAGAAAAACTATCGCAAGGGCTGAGTACGATAAGACCATTCAAGAAATTGAAGGAGCATATACCAAAATCCTGGAATCTTCTCAAACTCTATTGCATGTGTTAAAAAGAGAATCTGTTAATTTATCCAATCCAAAGAAGAGAGTTTAATTTTAGCATAGCATTTATAATATATCAAAAAATGGCATATTTCCTTTAAGTTTTTCTTTGAGAATTGTTGATTATAAAAGCTTAATTTCTGGTATTGTTGTATGATAAAAAAGGATGTATTATATTTGGTTGCAATATAATTTACTTGGCAAAATTAAGTATTATAACCCAGTTCTCTTGATTCTTAGTAATTTAGCAGTTTTTTTTAAGTCACATATATAAACAAAAAATTTGTTTGTACCAACAGTCTGTTTCTTTATTATATAATAAATGTTGAAGAGTTGAATTGAAGCCAATAAAATTGTGATTCTTAAGTAACTGTAGCTGAGAACTTGAAAAGGTGATATAATGAAGAAACCATTAAAACCTTTTTAAAAATTCAATCTATCAACCCCAAGACTCTTTTAGAATTGCAACTAAATCTTCTTTTGTCACAGCTACAGGATTTGTACGAATGGCTCCATCACTCAAAGCTCTAGAAACCATCCTATCCAAGTTCATTTGAAAAGTATTGGCGTTCAAGTTTTCCATTACGTTCTTCTTACTTAGAATGGGTATTGCTTTCAATGCACAATCTTCTGAAACATAATAATCAGTTTTCTTATTAGATCCTAATGGCCCAGATGTGCGGTTTATTAAAAAATTAGTATTAGTAGATTCTGACTCCGAGAAAGTGGGAAGCTTTAAATTCATTGGATCAAACCACCCTTTAGACTTGAATTCAGATAATGAAGAATGAATACACCTTAGATAATCTGGAAGTAACAGAGCCTTTCTTATTTCTTTAATTCTGTCTAAAAGTGCTTGGGCTCTAATAGAAGCCGAGTTCTTTGGGCTGCTTATTCCAAGATCAACCGAAAGATTTGCAATTAAAGATTCAACCTTCTGGCTTCTGCTTATGTTAAAGTTGAGTACTTGAGTAATTACAATACTGTCAATAAGTCCATGAGGCAGCGTGAATACTTCAGAGATACTTCTGGATATTATTGAACCAAGACCTACATCAGTTGCCGAAATTGCAACTCCAGAGATTGAGGCTGCCTTATGAATATCCTGTAACAAACGGGTATCCTTCTCAATTATAGCCTTAGTCAAACTATCAAACAAAATTTTTAATGATTGCATTGCCATACATGACGAATAATGGTTCGAGGAATTGCTAATATAAGACTCCAAACCATGAAGAAGAGCTCTCAAACCTGTAATGGAAGCCACAAACATTGGAATCGTTAAGATAAAGCTTGAGTCCACTATCGATATATCAGGTAAGAATGCCACGCCTGAAACTATCATTTGCCTCCCATCATCATTCCTTAAAACTGCTGTGGATGTCACTTCAGATCCGGAGCCACATGTTGTTGGAATACAAACCAACTTCTTTATTAAACTTCCCCTTCTGTGTATCATTGCCTTCTTTAAACTCTTCTCTTCGTCGTTATTGTTAGTCCCCATTGCAAGTGAACGTAAAGTTGTCCCCGGGTCCTCATACAAGACTCTCAGTACCTTTGCTATGTCCATACAATGTCCTCCCCCCATACCTATTATACAATCAGGTTTATATGACTTCATTTGCAAAAGAATCGAGCTTAATGCGTCTGCATCTGATTCACATAACTCGCAAATTTCAATTTGAATCCCATTTTCTTTTATTATCGACCTAGCCCTCATTGCCTGGCTCTTAACTGCCAGGGAAAATACCAGTATAATCTTCCCCACATTAGATTCTACTAAATCCGAGATTACATCTCTAAAAGAGTCCATATTATAATATATTAATGGCGTAAGAATCAACATCTTCTATCTTAACAACTATACTTCCCAATATTTATCAAATTATTAAAAAATATGTATTAGCTCTCAAAACAAATTTGAATGAATATTTTGTATACCAAATTGCCTAACTGCTATTACTGTCAATTATGCATGCAAACATGCAATTTATTCTCTATATTACGTCATCTCATTCAGGCGCCAAATTATTCACTTAATTCTATACCGGTGCTTTTACAAACATTTTAATAAAAAAAATTGTATAAAGCTAAGATTTTACCAAATAATTGGGATTTTTCCACATGGTTTTTTAAAATTTACAGAATTATTTGGATTTTTATTAATAATTGGTTATTACTGCTCTTATGAGGAGGAACTTTTTTATAATGACCGAAATTGAGGTGGTTTTATCTTTTATTTCGCTTTTTACCTTTATACTTACCAATAATATCTCCAATTTGTACAGAAATATTGGATTATTACTATTTGAGTCAGTATCATGTATATTTGTTTCCATTGTATTAATTCTTAGATCTAAAGTCAATAATTCTCTTTTACCTACAGTAGCTTTAATTTCATATTCTGTCATCACTGGGTTTATTGGGAGTATTATAACTATGTTTACTGCTTTTTTCTTGGGAGCTAATATAATTGATTTTGGAACCATTGTTTTGTCTTTATATTTTGGATTAGTGACTTTTAGAACATGTATATTCACCGGTTTTAAAAGTCTTTTAGTTACGATTATTAAAAGGTAAGTTTTTGCATTAACAGGAGAAATACTTTAAAAAAGTATATATTAGCTTCAGATGATTAAAACACTTAAGGGGTTTAAATGAGTTTAATATTTTCCATTAAGTGATTTAAAAATAATAATCTGAATTTTTTTCAGTTTTATGATGAGCTAATGTATACTAGAGAAAAGTTCAGATAAGTTATTTTCTCCTTTGTTTAGAAATTCTAAATACTTTATTACCTTAGCCCTACCTTAAAACCAAAGGATAATAACATTGCTCCCATATTTTATTCAGCCTTATTGGCTTACTTCTCTACTTTTTTATCCATTATAGATTCAAATAGTAAAATAATGAAATGGCCAAACTTTACACTTTTAGGAGCCATTCTTGGAAGATTTATAGGAACCTTATATAAGCTCTTTACCAAGAGGTCACAGAGTTTAAACAATAAAAAAGAATCTCTAGAAACTATTAAAACTAACCAAAGACATAAACTTTGAAGGGATTAATTTCTATTTATATTGTAAGAAAATTATTAAATATTTTAATATTTAGTTGCTTTTTAGCAAAAATTATTCCTATGTTTTTATTCTTTTAAATTTTCTTCATATGCTAATATTTCTATACTATCTCCTTACAACAGCTTCTTTTAGTACCTATACTGCATCATTTGCTTCACTTATTAATATTCTGGGTACCTAACAAATCCGGAGTAAGCATCAATGTAGAGCTGCTTAATCTCATTTAAAAGGGGGAATCTTGGATTGGCTCCGACACATTGGTCATCAAGGGCATGAAGACTCATAGAATCAACTCTTGACATATAATGTTCTTCCTCTATTCCATGGTCTTTAACACACATTGGGACATTTAAAGTTTTCTTAAGATTTTGAATTGCTTCTACTAAAATTCTAATATTGATGCTCTCTTGGTCCAAACCACTGTCAAACTTCTCATTGGATTTGAAATTCAAAATATCGGCAAGCTTAGCATATCTGCTCTTTGCTACAGGGTACTTGTACTGGGATAAAATGGATTGCTTAGTCGGCCTATTAGATGCATTGTAAGCAATTATATGTGGAAGAAGAATTGCATTGGCAATTCCATGTGGAATATGCATTTGAGCTCCTAACTGGTGAGCCAAAGCATGACAAATTCCTAGAAAAGCATTGGAAAACGCCATACCTGCAATTGATGAAGCATTATGGATATATTCTCTTGCATTTGCATCCCCATTTAAAACAGAATTTGCTAAATGATCGAAAATGAGTCTTAAGGCTTGTATGCAAAGTCCATCAGTATATTCAGAAGCGTAAATTGCCACATAAGCTTCAAGAGCATGTGTGAGAGCGTCTAATCCTGTTGCAGCTGCAAGGAATCTTGGCATAGAAAGAACAAAGTTAGCATCAACAATAGCAATATCTGGAGTGAGCTTGTAAGATGCTATAGGATATTTGATTCCAGTGCTGTTATCGGTAATTACGGCAAATGGAGTCATTTCTGCTCCAGTTCCAGAAGTAGTAGGAATGCAAATAAATCTCTGAATTTTTCCACCACTTGGGGGTAATTTTACAATTCTTTTTCTAATATCCATAAATCTGGTTACAACTTCATTCCATTTGACACTTGGATGTTCATACATAAGTCTTACAAGCTTGGACGCATCCATAGGTGAACCTCCTCCAAAACCAATCAAACAATCTGGTTTACTTATGTTCAATCTTTTAACAATTTCCTTAACAGTTTCAACATCAGGCTCAGGAGGTACTTCCGCAAAAATCTCAGAAGTTACTCCAACAGACTTAAGACCTTCGGTCAAATTATCAACAAATCCAAGGTTAACCATCACTCTATCAGTAATGATGAAAGCCTTCTTTAAATTAATTTCCTTGAGATCTTGCAAGGCTTCTTCTAGGCATCCTCTGTTGAAATAAATTGAGGATGGAACTTTAAACCAAGAAATATGATCTCTTCTTTGTACAACTTGTTTATAATTCAACAAATGTTTTACACCAAGTCCTTCTGCAGTTGAAGTATGGCCCCAAGAACCACATCCAAGAGTCAAAGAAGGGGTTTGACGGAAGTTAAACATCTCACCCATTGCTCCCTGGGCCGCTGGCATACAAACCAGGACTCTACCTGTGGGAATACTTCTCTGATATTCAGTAATTCTGCGTTTTCCTTCGTCAGAATTTGGGTCAGTATATATACAGGATGTATGTCCCAAACCACCAAATTCAACCAAAGCCTTTGCTTTGCTAACGCCATCATTAAAATCGCTAGCTTTAATGATTGATAATACAGGACACAACTTCTCGTGAGATAATTTTTCTCCTCTTCCAATCTCGTTGATTTCTGCCAAAATCATTACAGTGTCTTTTGGTACTTCAATTGATGCCATCTTTGCGATCTCAACTGCACTAATTCCAACTGACTTAGGATTCATATTTCCATTTTCGTCAATTAACAAGTCTCCAAGTCTTTGAAGTTCGTCTTTAGAAGAAACGATATGCACTCCTCTATTTTTAAATTTTGAAATCAGCTGATCATAAACAGAATCCAAAACCACCAAACATTGTTCGGAGGCACAAATCAGGCTATTGTCAAAAGTCTTGGATAAAATTACTGAGTTCACCACCATATCCAAGTCTGAAAGTTCGTCAACTAAAACTGGAGAATTTCCTGCTCCTCCGCCTAAAGCTGGCTTGCCACATGAATAAGCTGCCTTTACTAAAGCCACAGAACCTGTTGCCAAAATTGCTGCAACAGAGCTATGGTTCATTAAGGAGTTACACAAGGAAATACTTCCAACATCTATCCAACCTATACAGTTTTCTGGTGCTCCTGCTTCTATAGCTGCATCCCTGATAATTTTTGCTGCTCTTATAGAACTTCTAGCTGTTCTTGGGTGGGGTGAAAACACTATACAATTTCTTGTCTTAAGTGAAATTAGAGACTTGAAGATTGTTGTGGATGTTGGATTTGTGCATGGAGAAATCCCTGCTAAAATTCCTAATGGCTCAGCAACTATATCAATACCTCCAAATTCATCATGTTCAATGACGCCTACAGTTTTTGTATTTCTGTATTTATTGTAAATATTTTCAGATGAAAAATGATTCTTTATTATTTTATCCTCTAACAACCCCATCCCTCCATCTTCTATTGCTAAGGCTGCCAGTTCATATCTCGCACAGTTTGCTGCTAAAGAGGCTCTTTGAAAGATATAGTCGACTTTTTCTTGAGAAAAATTCATAAACTCTTTCTGAGCTATTTCAACCTTTAATTAAAAAACAATAATCATAAAACGTAAGTTAACCTAAAGTTTTCGAACTTGGAGCATTCATCTGCTCTGATCTGCATTTACTTACCTTTTTCAATAATTCATCCAAAGACTCTACGGAGTCAACCAGTTTTCCAATGCTCTGTGATACCTCGGGAATGTAACCACTCATATTTGTAAATCTGGAAAAACAATAATTATTATATTTCTTCTTAAAATATTTTTCTTTAAATTATTCTACAGCTTTGCTAACTAATTTATTTCAAAATTTATTTTATATAATATGCAATATTTATATTTACCGGCAAACTATTGCACAAATTGCATGCAAACCAAACAAAATGCATGCAATCCTCGAATTGTTGTCAATTTCTAAATTATGCAACTTATTTTCGATTTATATGTTTACTATTATTTCGGATACTTGTTTAATCACTTTTTTACCTACAAAAAATAGACTCAATTCCTTTTTAACCATATATTCTACTCATTTTATTTTTTCTCAGACTATTCTCTGACTAAGATCCTATGTGGATTATGAATTTCAAAATAAATTGATTGGCATTATTCTAATAATCTAAAATTATTATTAATCAAATAAAACAAAAAATAATCATAAAATACTTAAATATTCACAAAACATTGTTGAAAAAAATATTCCTTTAACCACTCCTCTTAAGTTATCCATTTTCTCAAATATTAACTCATTTCTTTCTTCCCCCTTATTCTTTCAGTTAATCTAATTTTCACTAATTTTCTTTAGCATTCGTCATTTGTCAAAATTCTATACCGGTATTTATTTTAGGCGCCAAACAATCATTACTTTTCTTTATTTTACTCATTTCATCCAAAAAAAATAGGTAGGAAAGTTGAAACTAAGTCTATTTTCAAAAAAAACTCGGGAAAATTTTTCTTCCAAGTTTTTCCTCTAATCAACCAGTTGTCCTCAAAAACTCATTTTCACCATTATTTACTCCCCACAACATGGGAAAACAATAATGAATAATCAATACAAGTCTTTTGAAAAAAATATTGATCCTGCTAATTGTAAAGTTTTGTTGGTAGGTGTTGGAGGAATTGGAACAGAAATCCTAAAATGTCTGGTTTTGTCTGGATTCAGACGAATAGATATCGTTGACTACGACTTTGTTGAGATCTCAAATGTATCCAGACAATTATTCTTTAGGCTTGGAGATGAGGGAAAGTCCAAGGTGCATGTATTGGCGGCAAATGCAACAAAACACTTCAAATCAGCAAAGGGACTAGAAATCAGACCTTTTCATTCCGATATTTCCGACTTTTTTTCCAAATTCAAAGTAAGCCCTGCCGATTATAACATTGTTTTGTCAGCTTTAGATAACATTAATGCAAGAAGATGTCTGAATGCCATAATAATGACTTATTCTAATCCTAAAGACTCTCCAGTATTAATAGACAGTGGAACTGAAGGCTTTAATGGACACTGTAGACTAATTATTCCAAAAAAAACTTCCTGTTATGAATGTACTATGGGACTCAATGTCCAGGATACAAACTTTCCACTCTGTGAGATTAAGGAGTTCCCCAGAACTCCCATACACTGTATTGCCTACGCAAATTTTATATATGAGGAAAATAAAAATGATGGTCAGGAAAGTAAAAATCAGAGAATTTCTAAGATATATAACCTAGCACTCGAACATGCAAAATATTTTGGAATCCAAGGGGTTACTTTAGAATTAACACAACAAATTATTGGACATATTTTTCCAACTCTTCTTTCTACAAACACAATTATTGCCTCCTGTGTGGTTTCTCAAGCCATTAAGTACCTAAAAGGCTTTGAAAAAGAGAAAGACTTTAAAAGCTATTTTATGTATTATGCTCAAACAGGTATTTATTCATCCTCTTTTGAAATTCAAAAAGATGAAAACTGTATTTTTTGTAAAATATAAAATTATAGTCTAGACTATCCGATTAATTAATATTTACTCATTTCTTATTCATTATTAACCTATTAATTGCTTTCAGAAGTTCTTCCTTTCTCCAAGGCTCTCAATCTAAAATCACTTCATATCTTTTAGATAAAAATTAGGTATTGATATTTCGGATTTTTCGTCTATTAATTGTTTTTCTTTGTATTATTTATAGGTTCCCAAGAGAGAAAACTCTCAACATTAGCATCTCCACCTTTAGCTACTGAAGAGTTGAACCAGGCTTCACCAGCATTAAGTCCCCAAGTAGAGCTTACATTTGTAATATATTCAGATCTTCCCATTTCAGTGTATAGTCCAGCAATACCTTGAGATCCCTCAAGCGCCTTTTGAGCTTTTGGAGGTATATAGGATGTCCTCATCTTTTCATCCAAATAAATAAAACCAGAATAAGATGAATTAATTAGTTCTAAAGCCAAATCCTTAGAAATACCAAGATTAGTAAGGTTTCCTGAAATTCCATCCCATCTGTTATTCATTGGAGGTATTGGAGCTCTTCCATTATTTCCATTTGAGTCTCCAAAATTACCATTGTCTATCTCCGTAGAATTTACTGTTGCAATCAATGCATAAGGAGCCAATCCTTGGCATGAACACTCCACTACAAATTGCTTACTTTCCTGTTTGCTTGGAGAAATATTACTAGTGCAAAGATCTTCTCTCCAAACTGAATCACTTAACATTGAACACCCTATTTCTGTCATATTTACTGGTATCTCAAAAGAAAGGGGAAGAGAAAATGTTACTGTTGGAATTCCATATGCATAGTAATCTATTGAACACAGATAAAGAGCTCCTCCTCCTATAGGAATAGGCCTTGAAATCTTTCTGATAGCATTTTCTATTAACATATTAGAAATCTCTTTTCTTGGATAAGTATAACTAGAGATTGTGGCTGATACATTTGGGCAGCTTGTTGAAGCAAACTCAAGCATTTCTGAGTCATATTCTTCAGGATATGCGTGGAAATAGATAGATTCAACAGGAGATAGTCTTTTGATCTCACTAAATTTGAAACCTGAAATTGCCATACCGTTCAAGTTTATTGATTTTCTCGTATATACTTCATCTAGAGTAACTATGGAAAATGAGAGACCACTTTCTGTTCCTTTCCAGTCCAAAGAGTCTTCATTAAAGGTCCAAAATGAAAATCTGTTTGCTACTGCCTCAACCATATGTGAGACGATTGTCCCAAGATTCCTGTCTTGGAGTATTCTTTTCCACCCATTACTAGCAATTAACATGTCCAAAGTCTCTAAAACAAGACTTGAAACACCAGGACTACTGGTACATTCTGCATTTAAGGTGATATTCATAAAGATCTCAAAGGGTCTTAAGATATCCAGATTAAGTGTGGGATTATCATAAGCAACTTTGGAAATCTTTCTAAGGATGTCCAGAGATATAAGTTTGAAAGAAGCAAAATCATAGGCTCTAGGGACATTCTGTAGCTCAAAAGTTGTAGAGTAAATTGATTCAAAGTAATTTTTCCAAACCATCTGATTATCCTTACTTTGCTCGAAAAGGGCACTTACCATTTGGATTGTCTCTATTGGTGATGTATAAGCCAGGGGATGAGTAACCACAGCTATTGCATCTTCAATTTCTAATTTGGAATCCTCATTCTTCATTGAAACCTTGGAGAATGGACAAGGGAAAGCATTCAAAAGACTCAAATCATTTGAACACCAATGAGAATAGAAGGAGTCCTTTAATGGAAACTGGCAAGGTATATAACAGCCAGAGAATGTCACAGTTTGGGCTCTAACATACACGAACCATTCTTTGCTGGTTGCTGGGAGCCTTATAGAAGGAGGAAGCTGGGTTAAGGAATCTCCGAGTAGGATTACAGTGGAGTTCTGTCCAATGATTTGGGATGAAGATGCGATAATTCCAAAGCTAGAGAAACCATCATCTTGTTCATTATTTGAAAAAGCAAGATTACTAAGTGTGAGGAAAATTGAATCTCCAATGGATGCTCCTTCTTCGTCTGGTTGATAAAGTGAGAGCTTCCCAACGGTTGGAGGAAAGTCCACAGCTCCAAATTCTATAGATACGAACTCATTTGCGATTGGATTTGGATTACTTTGGATTAGAGCTTCGTAAGAGACAGAAATTGTGCTGGGAGAGTTTGATTCCGATATAATTAGCTCGTGTATACAGTTCGAAAACTTTGAGTTTTGAAGAGCTGGAAACTTGGTAGTTATGATCATAGATCCACCCAAATTTGAGAAATCAGCAATTGAAACCTTGGAAAGACTGGGAGTACCAGAAATTCTTCTCAGAGACTCGCAGTAGAGATATGCTGAAACATAGAATTCCTTGTTAATACTTACCCCTGAGGTATTCCCCAGGACTACTTTGTGTCTGATCTGGAGGCCTTTGTTAAAAGGTATCAAGAATGAATACTTTGTGTTGTGAAGATGATCCCAAGCTTTTACTGTGGGGTAAATAATAAAAACTTGCTGAACAGTTGTGGGAATCATTGGGATCATTGGGATCTTGGAGCAGTATTCTGGGGAAACAAAGCCTGAAATTGGTGGAGAAAAAAGCTTAACTGAAATACCTTTACTAGGGCTTGTATAAGCAATTGTATCTGTAAATATGGTCACAGTTACAGCAAGATAATCATTTGTTTTGAAAGATGATCCTTTCAAAACTGTTACATGCTCCTTTGGGGAGGTGTTTACCATTCCTATGAATTGATTTTGGCTGTCTGCAGTATTTAAGCATGTTACAAATTCATTGTTGAGCTTACATGATGTAATCTCCTCCCTAGGAACTTCAATCATATTTGACCAAGTATTAGCAGAGGCATTTTTCTTAGTTTTGCATTGCCAAGCTGTTTTAAGTGAGTACATATCTCTTTTCATTGGAACAAATCTGGCAGCTCTACAAGTCATTCCGGAGCCAGGTAATGCATAATTACCATAGTTTCTGTTAACATACCTTTCACCAAACTGATAGAATTCACTTCCTAGATCAACTGAGGTGTCTTGATTTACAAAGGAAGGCAAACTGTAAAGGATAAAAGGTTGGTTTGAGACTGTTGCAAGTAAAAGAGAATGAAGAAGGCCATTTCCAGGGTATATTCTCTTATATGTTCGTGTCTCATCATATATATCTGACCTAAAGGTTCCTTGATGGGTATAGCTAACATATTGGACTAGTGATGTCAGGACAAAAAAGTAATTTATGGGAGAAGGACCTGAAAGATATTTGATTGGAGGAAGGTAAAATGGTGATTTAAACTGAGTATTTGAGTTTCTGAGGTGTGTTCCACATAACCCCACACCTGCATGCACACCGGTATAAGAGGGCTCAGGGGAATATGGGAATGTCCCATTATAGTAGCAGCCTCCAAGAAAATTATTTGCAAATGTAAGATAGGTTGAGAGAGTATTTTGGAGCTGTCCAGGATAATCCTTTGTGTTCAAGAATGGTCTTTTAGAGAAGTACATACTGGAAAGTACGTTATTTCTAGAAATAATGGAGTCATTCTTTGAGTATTTTGAAATAAACTTTCTTGGGGATGAATCCTTTAGATAAGAAATATTGAATGGGGTTGAGCTATTACTTACGGTATTCCAAAAAGGGTCCATTGGATAGTAAAAAAGATAATTACTCATACAACTTGAGCTGCTATTAGACGGAAGATTGGATGGCATAACCACTCTAATTGGTGAGACACCTAGTGGTACGTTTGTCCATCCAAAAGGTACAGCAGAATTATATTCATGAATGGTAACATTATTTTGGATGTTAATAAAGGCTCCCTGAGCAGAGTTTATAACTGGAGGCTGAAAACCTGCATATCTTTCTTTTGGTTGCCAAAGACTAGAGGACAAATCAGGGTCGTATCTTCCATAGGAGAGAGTCATATTAAAGAGGTCAACGTATGAGTGATCTGGGGGATTAGAACCTTGGATTGAGCTTCCAGAAAGGACTTCAGAAGGGAGCTCCACTTTATATTTGAAGGGAAGGACCACCATATCTGAGAAAGAATTGGCCAGGTTAAGGATACTTGCGACATTTACCCAGTTTTCACTATAGTAATGTTGCTGGAGCCATGTGAGAACTGGATCAGGAGAAGGGGCCGTTGAAAACCCTTCTTCTACAATACTTTCAAGGGCCTCTCCAATTAAGGTTCCTGGAATGAGGAAGGTAAAGTTTGTGGCTGAAGTTGACTGGAGCATGGTTGGCTCAAAACCGTTTAAATAGTCTACAATGATGTTACATGCAACATAATAGCTTGAGGTTTGGTTAACAGAGATAGATCCAAAAGCTGTGGAAATCCATATTGGTCCGGTTAATCCTGCATGGTTGCACGAAAATGAGATTGGATTACTTTCAAAAATATGGTTGATGTTCTTTAGACTAATCACTATTGGGTACATATAAGAACAGGGTGTTAAAAGTGCTGGGAACCCAATAGTAGACCATAAAGAGAGGTCATATCTGGGTTGGTTTGCTAAATCATCAATTTTGATGTCCATTCCCCATGCACCTTGAGCTAATGTAGCATTTGAATTCATGGGATTAATAGTATAGCTCTCTGGCATAAGCTGGGAAAGGACCAGGCTATTTTTAAACCAGGAGATCTGTGCTATTAAGATTAGGAGTAAACATGGACTTCTCCTTAAGAGCATTGTGACTCTGTGATAATAAGTAATTTTATTGGCTTAAATTTTCAGAGATTCCAATGCTTTCTAGTGATTCATTAAGTTTGATTCTTTTTTTTTTTGAATTTTGCAGAGTGGGTTTTCTTATTTCTGGTTTACCACACTTTTTTTTTCTTTTTTCAAAAAAAAATTGACTAATTTTTTTCTAAACACTAATTTACACAACTTTTCTAAAGAAAATTCTAAAATATATTATTTGAAATATGGCTTTTATAACAAAAAAAAACAAGCTTAACTTAGTTTACTATGTAGAAATAGGTAAGATTACTTCCCTAACCTCCTAGTATTAATTTTGAACACCAAAACCCAAATAATAACTAAAGGAACGGTCAGCCGTAGCCTCATAATAACTCCAATTGGGATTTTGCATCAATTAAAGTAATTTATCTGCATGCATTTTTTTAGGGGGGACTGTAAATATATATTGCATGTTTTTGGCGCCAATATATTGAATGCTAGTAGATAATTACGTGAAAAATTAACCGGGAAAAAAATTATACCATATTCAAGTGGGGATTGCAAAAATGCAGTATCGACAGAAAGAATAGATTATCCAAAGGATATTGTGTGCCTTAGGATTTAGGATTTTAAAAATAATTAATATTTCAAAATCATTATTTAAAAATATCGTAAAGATGAATTTTCCTGAGTTTTTCTTGGTAATAGTGTTTTCAATATTAATTTCCAAAGTTCATTTGGAGACTTTGATGAGTAATGATGATCCTAAAATGGATTTAAGCATACCGGAGAATATGGACTCAAGCTTAATGAATAATGGAGAGAGTGAAGGGATGGGAAATTTGAGTCCTAATATGGATTTTTCACCTGGCCTTGATCATCAGGATGGTGCTCATGATCATTTAAATTTGAGTATAGATAACCAGCCGAACGAATTAGATAATGAAAAGCTTTCTTTCGGAGATTTAGATACTAATAATGAACTTGAAGAAAGAGGAGACTTAAATTTTGAAGACAAGCTTGATGATTCAGATAGTAACATTAACCATTCAGTTGGAAATGCAGTGGATTCAGAGGAAGGTATTTTGAACGCAAGTTTTGATAGCAGGTCTGCTGATTTAAAAGATATAGATGAAGCTTCAGTAGGAAACAACTTAAGTGATGAATTCGGGAACTCAGACTTTTTGGATAAAAATGATATGGAGCACAAGGAAGAAGCAAACAATCATTTTGGTGAAGAGGTAGAAAATCAAGGAGATACGTCTGATGGTAGCCATGAGTTTTATTTGCTGAATAGCGAATCAGGTGAAAACCATCCTTCTCGGGACTACGGGTCAGCAACAGTAGAAGATAGAATGAACACGAATGAGGAAGCTTCTCAACCAGAGATACATGTGGAAAGCAGAGCAACTCTTCCGGCACCACCCTCACAAACTTCACCAGATTCTTCTGGAAATGGTGGAGATGGTAATGGTGGAGGATTCCCAAACACTTCAACATCAGGAACAACAGAAACATCAGGAACATCAGAACCAACTACAAATACTGGAGGAGACGGTCAGGGAACTGGGAATACTGGAGGAAATGGGAGTGGTGACGGAAGTGGGAATGTTGGAGATGATTCCAATTTAGTAGGTAAGTTAAACTATACAATTTTAGTTTTAAGTCCAGAAATATTTTTTTCTTAGAACAAAAATCAGACAATGGAGCAATTATAGGAGGTTCAGTTGTTGGTGCTTTGTTAGGAGCAGGAGCAATTTCAGGAGGACTTTCCTGGTTTTTTATTAATAAAAAGAAAGAAGAAGAGAGAAAAAAAAGATTGAGGGCGATCAGAGAAAGAAGAGCTAGATTAGCCGCTTTGAGAAACAGTATATCTGAATCAGGAGCTACTTCAGAGGAGAGTGCATCAGGAATTGGAGGTAGAAATGCGGTAGCAAGAGCTCGAGCTAGTAGTGGAGGTGGGCTTGGATCTTCCTCATTGGTTACTATTGATACTTCAAGCAGTTCAAGTCAGAATTTAGATTCGAGTGCCTTCTCCCTTCCAGTAATAGATATTCATACAGGAAACAAGGGTGGAAGAAAAATGACAGCTGGAGCTCAAAACCAAAATTTAAGGGGTTCAGGCAATCAGAGTGGAAACGGAAAATCCAGGTTAAGTCTTGCTACGGAATTGAGTAATTATGAATAAAATGTACAGGGCAATACATTTAAGTTTAAAGATAGATTTAAACTCTTTAGAGCTTAGTTTGGTAGTCTATTATTAGCTAATAGAAAAAAGATCAGTTGATAGTTATGGTTTTTATTTTTAAAGTTTTGGTGTTTTGGGGTAGTTCGAATAGTAACTTCTTACCTTTTCATATTTCATAAACTAATATTAACTATGGCACTCTGCAAGAAAGAAAGAAAAATATTTTTAGGAGTTGAAATAGAATTCAGTCTCGGTATTGATTTTCTTTATCCGTTTCTGTTTCTTATTTCCTCATTATTTGAAAGCCCGCCAACATGCATGCATGCATTTATGTGGACAACAACATTACATGCACAGTACATGGGCTAGAGGCTGTATATAGGGATGAAAAAAAAGAAAATTTAAAGCGAAGATAAAGTAGAAAGTGTGTGGGAAGTTACCACTACAGGGAAAAAATTGAGAAAAAGTCAAACGCCATAATAAATAATTAAAGACATAGCGTAATATGGGTTTGTTATGTGTGTTGAAGTGTGTACACACACGGCTGTGTAGCATAAATAAGGGGAATATAAGCAATACATATATGGAGGAAGGCGATGAGAGTAGCCGTATAGAGAGCTTTAATAAAGGATCCTAATTAAAATATTAAAGGACTTGATGAGTAGCAAATAATTGAAGGAAAAAGTGGAATTAATTGGAAAGAAAAATCAATAAAGGTAAATAGTGAAAAAACAGAAAAGCAATGAGGTGGTTACACCTTATTGTAATATTTGTTCAATTAAGTTGGGTATTTGGTACAGAAAATAAAAATGTAAAGCATAGGATAAGTGTGTTATTTGAGGATACAGGATCAGAAGTGAGGCTATCAGGTTCTCCTAAGACAACTTTGGGACAGGCGTTGGTATCTTTTTTACAGTCAAATATGGGGAATGAAAAAAGTCTTTCATCATATAACTATTTCCTTAAGTCAACAGGTTTAGAAATTCCAACAGAAACTCCCATATCAGTAATATTATCAGATGATTTGGTAATGGCAATTCCAAATAAAGGTGTAATATCTGAATCAGGAGACTTGAATGAAGTTAATTCTGGAGGAGTTAAAGGTGGGAAAAGTGGCCAAAATTCGTCGAATTATATTGAGTTATCACCTGATGATGTTCATTTGAGGGTAACAATGCCAGACGGTATTGTTGAGAATGTAATAGCAAAAAGGCAACAAACTATTGCTCAGTTAAGGGAAAAAGTGATGAAAGAGTTTGATATTACAGGTAATTATGATATCTCAGATGGGGAAAAGATACTACCAAAATCGTCAACAATTGATGAACTGGGATTGGAGGATAGAGAATCTTCATTATTTTTGGTAAACAGTAATTCATCTAAGAAAGGAGATAAACAAAGGAGGGAAAGAGCTCAAATAGTAAGTAACGAAAGCTCTATGTTAGATGATGACGATCCATATAACATGGGAACAACAGGAGGAAGAACAACCGTTTATCAAAGCCCAACAATTGGTGGATTTGGGGGAGGAATTCCGGGAGAATATATTTTGAAGACTGTTAAAATAAAGTTATATTTCTTGGCAAAAAGAGTGAATGTAGCGTATTCAACATTGTATAGTAGAACTGGTTCAGATTTAATATATGATATTAATATGCAAAAAAACATTCCAGTTAATAACATCAGATTAGGGATAATGAGAGAAGGAAACCCACATCCTGTGAGCATTGGAATAGATTCACCGGAGGCTGAGTTATCTTTATATGAGTTGGGAATAAGGAATGGGGATGTAGTTATTGTTGCAGGCCCAGAAACAAACTTTTCAAGGACAGAACTACCTTTTAGAAAAGGAAGTAGATTCAAGATTTATTTAAGTTGTCAAGATGCACCACACTCTCAAAAAAGATTTTCAGTTGAGGTTTGGGAAAACACTTCGATAGATTCGATAAGAGTTGCATTATCTGGCCCATTAAGAGTTCCGTTTTCTGAAATTGACTTGGAGATTGAAGATATTGATATTAATGGACAAGTTGTAATGTGGAGAAGATTAAGAGGATATAATTTAAGTCAACTAAATATTGTAGCAGACACTGAATTGTTTGTGAGAACAGGGCCATATAAGTATGTAACATTGCAGCCATCTTATTTTAATAGGTTAACAGGCAAGCATGAAATCCCAATGGATGTTAGAATAAGATTTGATGATTTTTCAGGATTTGACTTATTATTGGGGGTGTATCCTTCAACAACAATAAAACAATTAAAACGTTTAATAGCCTGGAGAAGAAGCTATATTCCCAGTTCTATACAGTTGGAAATCATTGGAATAGATAGGAGAATGATGCCAACATCAATAATACCATCCAATGATTTGCTTACTTTAAGAAGGTTGAGAATAATTCCAGGAATTATCTTCAGAGTTAAGTTAACAGGGTCGCCAATTGAACCATCTACAATTCCAATTGATGACATACATGATAGGGAGTATGTTGATGGTAGTCAGAAAGTAGCGGAAGGTGGAAAACCGACTATGACTTTGAATATTATGATAATTAATAGGGATTTGGCACCAGTACAGATTGTATGTTTTCCAACAACTAAGATTAGGTCAATTATTGCAAGTATTTCAAAGAGGAGAAATATTCCTCAAGGGATAATAAGGTTATATTCAGAAAAGCAACTAGATAATGGTGCTTTGTATAGAAGATATTATGAAAAGTTGCCGGAAAAAACTCTAGAAGAATCAAGGATCACGAGAGGAATGGAACTTTTTGTGGAAGTAATGGAGGAAATTAAAAAGGATGATACTGGAAATATTATGAGAGATGGAATGGTTAATTTGATTGTTAAATGGGATGATGGAACAACATGTAACATACCAGTTCCACTATCATCCAAGCTAAGTCAGTTTAGGGGTACTTTGGCAGGCTTAAAAGGAACTAATCCAGAGTCTGTTACACTAAGCCGTAAATTGGGAGGAGACAAAGCTCATAAAATGATTAATGTTGATGCTTCTATAGATTCTTATAAGTTGAAGGATGGTGATATGATTGAAGTAGCAATTGATTCTAATGGAGAAGTTGATTCTAATACTTCTGGAGGGGAATCTTCAGATGTTGGATCACTAAGATTAACAGGACTAAGATTTTCATGGCCTGATGGAACAACAGTTGTCACTTCTGGTAGAGGATCAAAGAAACTGGGAGATGTTAAGACTTTCTTAGCAGAAAGACGAGGAAATGATCCAAAAACTGTTGCAATATATTTTTCAAGTGGAAGAAAGCTGACTGGAGACGATAAGACATTATCAGATTTAGGAGTACAGTCAGATATGCAATTCTGGGTAGAAACTGATGCATTACATTGGGAAAATCCCAATGATCCAGTCAGATTTGTTATAAGAAATACAGATACTTTATGGTCAACAGTAGTCTTTATTTCACCTGATGTATATGTGACTGCAACTATTAAAGATTTGATTGATGAGTATAAATCTAAATCAATGATTCCAAGGGAGGCAAATGTTCAGATTTTAGGTTTTGAAGGTATTCAGGAAACTGATTTGTTATCTAAGTATGAGGATGATGAAAGGATAAGACACTTATTAGTTGAGGTCAAGTTACCAAGTGAATCAGGATTAATGGGAGCAATAACAGGAGAGCCAGAAAATCCTACTCAGCCGATTGACAAGTTGAAGCAAATCATTAATTGGGATGGTCCTATTAAATTTACTCCAACCCAAAGGAGAGGACCCTTCTCTGCGAAGGCAGATACAACTGAGATTCAAGTAATGATGCCTGTTGCAGCTTTTATTCGTCCGAGATTGGTTGTTGATGAAGCTCTGCTACAAGCATTCGGTGAAATTGCAGACTCAGAGTTGAATGAAAGAGTATATGGCCCTGCAGGAAAGAAGATTTCATCTAAAAACAAAGAGCAGTTAATTGCAAGAATGGCATCGACAAGAAGAGCTGCATATATATTACACGTCATTTGTTCTTTAAATAACTTATCAACTGATAAATTTATGATGATAACTCAATCCAAACCACCATATGAGGCTAGAAAGTGCACGAAACACTTAGCTTTGGGGTTGGATAAACATTATAGATATGCAAGAGGAGTCTTGGGGAAGAGGCCAATCCGTTATAAAAAGGCTATCAAGGCTTTGAGTAATGCTAAAAAAGAGTTTAGCAAGGGTTATTCATATGTAGTTAAGAATTCGTCCAAGATGGCTAGGATAATAAAGAGAAAGAGTAAGAAAAGTGGAAAAATTCCTGATCAAGACTTTTTAAATGCCTTGGCATTGTCAGGCAAAATGAAGTATGAGAAGAAGCAGCAAGTGGATGTAAATATGCAGAATTTATATGCAGTTTTAAGGCCCGTGGCAACTCAACAGGACATTGATGAATCGCTTAGAAGAGAAAAGGAAACTTCAAGGATTTTGCATACTGGTGAATAAGTGTGGTAACTTGGCTATATTGGGATAGGATAACAGTAATCATGGAGAATGGGGTATGGAGGGAGCTAAAAAGTGTTAAGTCAGATCATACTCAAAGAATGATGATGACACATTTTCTTTTCAATTTTTATTAAATATGCAATTGGAATTCCCTCTTTTTTTATACCATTCATTCTATACTTCTCCATTTCTCTTCTGGAACGATATCAAACTGAAAGAAAAATATTGGTGTTGGGATTTGTCTATATTATTCGCCATTGTCTCTCAGTCAAGGTAAAGCAAAGAGAGAGATATAGTAAGAGAAGAGATAGAATAAAAGTAAGAAGATAAACACAGTGTTAGCTTTAGCTGATAAATAACACAGTTACAATGTGATAACTTATGTACAAATATTAAATATATATGTATTACCGCATATTAAATAAAAAATTCCAAGAAAGCTGGTAGGAAAGGATCATTCAAAACTGTTAATCAGAAAATAACTCCAATACATTGGGAGAACCGCCTGGAGTCCAGGGAAAGAAGAAAATCAGGCAAAGTTAAAAAATAAAAGGAAGTTAGGCAATTCTCAAATCAAATGATAATGAAATCAGCTAAACAGGGCTTGATTAAGAGAGAGAAGAGTAAAGTGGATGTTTAAGGAGAGGAAAAGTAGAAAATGAACCATCGTAATTAAAAGTGAAAGGGAACTTTAGAGACGTCCTCATATATTTTTTTCAAACATAGATTTTAATAGAATTTAGACTATTTAAGATTTAGTTTTAATAGGGGGGTGATATTTTTTTTTCATTTAAGTTTGACGGCATTTCTACCACCTGGAAAGTTTCTTATTTTTCCTCCCCCCCCCGTACCAATTTAGTACAAAAATATTATTTATTAAATCATAATTTGTACCGCCAATCACGCTCGACATTAACAGATGGGCGGCACCATATGCCCGCCTCTCTGGTACTTGGGTTAGGTTTTGGAGGGAAAAATGGAAATAAATATAGGTAATAATTATATAATGGATAAATAAATAACGGTACATATCGTCACATAGGAATAAAAAAATATACAAAAAAATTAGTCAGAAAAGGATAATAAACAAGGTTGAAAAAGATTAGAGCCAAGGCGGAAAGTATAAATAATTTTTTTTTTTCATCTCGATTGAAAGATAATCAGAAAAAAGAAATTGGAATACGTATCAGAATTAAGTGGAAGGACAAGATCTTTTAGGAAAGATATTCGGAAATAGAAATTACAAGAATTTTGGAACTTCGGCTGAATATAAATTGAGTTTACGAACTTTTAATTTCAAGTATAGTATACCAGTAGTAGAGATGAACCGAAGAATAACAAGAATACTTTCTTTGGTATTAGCTTTTTGCTTTCTTGTTGCCACATGCCAGGTTAATGGAGAAGCTGCAAGTTTGAATTCTAGTGACCAGAAACCTCGTTTAAACACTGAATGGAAGTACTTCATAAATGTACTAGAGTTATTATTGTTTCAGCCGGGAAGGGCTATGGGTACCCCTTGGCCAGAAGATGCACCATTTGAGTTTATGAAGTTGTTCAGTGGCAAACCAGACTTTTGTGGAAGATGTGTAAGATTAATGGAGAATTGGGAATCTTCAGAACCACATATGATTCTTTATAGAGCTCCAAAGTACTTTTCCAGGTTTCCAGATGTCTTTTATGTAGTTTGTGGGTCTGCTGAATTGAAATTTTTACATTCTGAAGACTCTGATAATAAAGATGAGTCTGAATGTGTCAAAATTTCCAAGAAGTTCAGTTTACAGAAATATTATGAAGGATTCAGTTCTGCTCCAACTTTAAGAAGACGTGCAGCATTCCCAGCTACCCATACTGATCATAGGCCATTTAAGCCATTGTATGATCCACTATATAAGGCCCCTATTAAGACACAGATTAGGAAGCCTACTACTATTAACTACTCTAAACACAGTTATGTTCCTATTATTCCAAAGAATACCAATAATAGACCAAGAGCCTCTTATCCAAAATCTCATACATCTGTGATGGTAGAGTCTAAGCATAAATATGTTCCAATTATACATAAAGTTCCTGGATCTGATGGCCCGTCTTATGTAGGTAAATACCAGAATATAACACATCATAATTATATTCCGATTACTAAACCCATTAAAAGTGAAGATAATGCAGCTTTCCCAGCATCCAGAACAAACTTCCCAGTGGATCCAAACCATAAATTCATTCCACAAATCAACAAACAAGCTCCAAATTATGATACCTCTTCTTTACCGGTTTCTAGAACGGGGATTCCAATTGATCCAAGCCATGGATATATTCCATTATTTGTATCATCAAACTATAGTGAGATTGCTGCTTTCCCAGCTTCAAGGACTAGCTTCCCAACTGATCCAAACCACAACTTTGTTCCTCTATATATTATTGACAACTCAACAGGAACTGCTGCTTTCCCAGCTTCAAGGACTAGCTTCCCAACTGATCCAAACCACAACTTCGTTCCTCTATATATTATCGACAACTTAACAGGAACTGCTGCTTTCCCAGCTTCAAGGACCAGCTTCCCATCTGATCCAAACCATAACTTTGTTCCTTTATATATAGTGGATAACTCAACAGGAACTGCTTCCTTCCCAGCTTCAAGGACAAACTACCCTTCAGATTCAAGCCATAAGTATATTCCATTGTTTATGCCATCCAATTATGATGAGAATGCAGCATCTCCCGCTTCTAGGACCAGTTTTCCAGCTAATACAAAACATGGATTCATTCCTCTTTATGTTGTTTCAAACTATCATGAGACTGCATCCTTACCTGCTTCAAGAACTCAGTATCCAGTTGAACAGAATCATGGTTTCATTCCTCTCTATCAGAAAGTACAATACTACAATATAACAGCATCTTTACCAGCTTCCAGAACTGGCCAACCTGTTGAATCAAAACATATGTTTATTCCAATATTTGAATCTTATAATAGAACTGAAGGGTCTTCACTCCCAGTTTCTAGAGTAGGAGCTATTATTGACACCAAACATGGGTATATTCCAATCTTCCAGAGGACTACAAATAATGATACTGCCTCTTTCCCAGCTTCAAGAACAAACTATCCATCAGATCCAAACCACAGGTATATTCCTCTGTTTAAGGTTATGGATAATAACGAAACTGCATCCTTACCAGCTTCCAGAACTAGTTTACCTACGGATCCAAATCATGGATATGTACCTATTTTGGAGAAAATTTACTATAATGGCACAGTGGCTCTTCCTATATCTAGGGTAAGTGTGCCTATGGACACTAAACATAACTATATTCCAGCATTTACTAATTTGGAATACAGTGGTGGAAATGCGTCTTTCCCAGCATCAAGAACTCAATATCCAACAGATCCAAATCATAGATTCATTCCTTTCTTTGTAATGGTGAATTCCACAGAGACTGCAGCTTTACCTGCTTCAAGAACTAATTTCCCAACTAATAAAGATCATGGATTTGTTCCTATGTTCGAGCCTTTACCTTATGAAGGAAGAAATGCATCTTTACCAGCTTCTAGGACCCTATTCAAATTGGATTCGAGCCATGGATTTATTCCTCTATTTGAACCTTTACCTCAAGAAGGAAGAAATGCATCTTTCCCAGCTTCAAGAACCCACTATACAGTGGATCCAAATCATGGATATATTCCATTATTTGTATCATCGAACTATAGTGAGATTGCTGCCTTCCCAGCTTCAAGGACTAGCTTCCCAACTGATCCAAACCACAACTTTGTTCCTCTATATATTATTGACAACTCAACAGGAACTGCTGCTTTCCCAGCTTCAAGGACTAGCTTCCCAACTGATCCAAACCACAACTTCGTTCCTCTATATATTATCGACAACTCAACAGGAACTGCTGCCTTCCCAGCTTCAAGGACTAGCTTCCCATCTGATCCAAACCACAACTTTATTCCTTTATATTATGTGAATAACTCAACAGGAACTGCTTCTTTCCCAGCTTCTAGGACCAGCTTCCCAGCTGACGAGGACCATGGATTTATTCCTATATTTGACACTTTACCTCAAGAAGGAAGAAATGCATCTTTCCCAGCTTCAAGAACCCACTATCCAACAGATCCAAACCACAACTTTGTTCCTCTATTCACTAAATTATACCTATATAATGATTCTGCAGCATTGCCCGCTTCTAGAACAGGGCAACCAACAGAAAGAAACCATGGGTTTGTTCCGATCTTTGAATCTAAGGAAATTAATGAAACTTTATCTTTCCCAGCTTCCAGAGTGAAAGTTCCATTAGACCCCAGCCACTCATACATTCCCTTTGTTCCAGAACGTGTTGACCTGGAACATGCAGCAAAACCCGCCACAAGGACTGGTACCCCTGCCCCCGGCGCGCCGGCGGGAAATCTACCATATACAATATTGGTTTCAATTCCAAAGGCAGCATTACCAGTATCACGTACAGACATATTATCGGAAAATCATAGTTTTGTTCCATTAGTGAAGGAAAAAGAAGACATTGGCCCAAGAGCTGCATTCCCTGCAACTCACACTTCTGTTGAGGCTCCAGGACCAGGTAGCCAGCCAAGAGGAATTGAATGGGAGCATTTTACAGAGGTACTTAAGTTAGACTCAGAAGGTAATCCTTATGTTGACACAAAGCACGGAAGAATTTATGGGTTTGGTGATTTAAGCGCCATATTGTCTCAATTAGACCAGGCTGAAGCAATCGAAAATGGCCCTCAGCAGATCATTGAGGATCATTAAAAGAAGTTTTATTTAGCCAAATATAGAAGAAATACCAACAAAGAGAAGAATAAAACATGAAATTCGGTAGAAAAAGGATACACTGAATATCATAATTTATGAAAACTTTCAAAAATCTATTTAATATAACTTTAAAAGTATGTTAAGGATATATTGTACGTTGAGGCGAAAGAAAAAAAGACTAAAAAGGAAAGAAAGAGGTGGGTATAAAAATATATCAACTTATAGATGAGAAAACGAAATCTCTGGAATATATGATAAGAGTTTAAGTTGCAAATTTTGTTTGTCGTAAAAAAGATAATTTGTAAAACTTTTTGGTTTAAAATTTTAACACAAAATAAGTTCCGACTAAGATAAGTTCAAGTTAATGGATTATATCGGGGTTTGCATTAGAAACAGAGAAAGCGTTTAAATATCTAATTATTGTTTGAAATGTTTATATTTGTATATTTTCTTCTTTTTTCTCTTTTTTTATCCCTTGTTTCAATAATACTACAGAATAAATTTAGCATGTTAAGACTTAAAGATAATCTGGCAATACCTAATTTTAAATCACTGGGGCTGAACCCGCCAAGTCATGCACAATTTGGCGCTCAATTCGCCACGTAAGCACAAAAAAAAACTAAATAAGTAGAAAAAAAACTTATAGAAGTTTAAATATCATCATCAGTCACTGGCTGCTATGAATACTAAACTCTCTCTTAACCAAATCCCTGTAGTTTTCAATAGTTTTCTTAATGAAAACAACTCTAGGGTTAAATTGTTTCTTATGGAAAACCTGAAGTTCCAGTGGAACATGGTAATGTGCGACTACATTTAAAATAACCTTCGAAGTAGATTTGCATATTTTATATGTTTCTTTGCTTTTTAATTTTATGTTAATATTACTCTCTACTAAAGCTTTACAAGAATTGATGTATTCTTGCAAATCCATTTTTGGTCTTGAAAAGTAAAGTATTTTTTTTGATAACTTAATAAAGTTTGAAATATGTAGGGACTCACTATTATTATATGTTACTAATTCAGTAACAGATTGGAAAATGGAGCTTATTGTGTATAATATTGGATTCAATACAAGTGGTTGTGGTTGCAAATACTTTATTGTTGATTGACAAACCGCTTTAATATCATCATAAGACATTCCGAGAGTAATCTTTTTCATCAAATTAATACATTCTCCTGAAGCTTGGCTTGCATGAGAATCTAAGTTTACTCTGCATGCAACCTGAGCTAATTCGTTTGAAGCAAATAATGCATTAAATCTGCTCCAAATTGAAGTTTGAAGAGAATTAATCAATAGAATTTGAGCTGGATTACATGATATACCGTGATTTCCAATTCCAATCATTCCAAATATTTGAATGTATTTGTTCATTGTTTTACTACATAATTTCCCAAATGCTTTGGACGCATTTTCTGATGTCTTTAGTAGTGGTATGTACTCCAAAGTTAATTTATTTGCTGGGGAAAACATTGACATTGTCATCAAAGCATTCACACATGTTGGTATAAATGGATTAATTACTTCACTTGGTGTTATTCCTCTTTTTTTTTCTTTTGATTCAATTTTAGGTACGGAAATGGCGGGAACCAAAACACTGCGCATGCATACAATGCATGCATCCTCTGTAGTAATTGGCATTTTTAATAAATTTGCATAATAGAAAAGAATTGATGCTAAAATTTTGGCCTCATAATTGAGAGTTTTACATGGGAAAATAAGATCGCTAAAGATGTCATCATTGAATATAATTTCCTCTCTAGTATTTAGTTTTGGAATTTCATGTTTAGAAAGTTTACTGTGGTCTTGTGAATACGTTAAATGTTTTTCAGAATGAGTAATTGATTGAACTGGACTATTGAAAAATGGTAAGGTGACAAATTTCCCAAATATTTGAATTGACTTTTTGGTTTCACTAACTTTTTCTGAAGATGGCATTATCCCACCAATTCCATGAGGATGAGTAATTTCAACAAAAGGAGGCGCTCTTTTAAATGGTGTAAGTTTAGATGTTGGAAAAATTTTATGTGGATAATTGGAGGATTCTTTATAGTTTGGAACGAGATCACCTCTGTAAAAGTATTGTGTTTTTCCCATTTCCAGTACTGATTTGCATAGTTTGTCAACATTTTCCTTTTCTATACCAAATGGTAAAGATAATACCCTCATAAAGGCTACCACACAGTCTTCATGAGTGGGTTCTAAAGGAATTAAATCTGAAATTAAATATGCCAATTCTGGAGTTACAACAATTCTATTTTTGTGATTACTATCCGTTTCACTTTTGTCATCTATTTTACTCTTTTCAAGGCTTGGAGAACATTCATTCTGCTTAAATTTGTTAAATGGGGATGAAGTATTTAAACTCTCGCATATATTTTCTGACGATACTTTGTATATATTCTCAGCAAAATGTTGACGATTCACCACAAGTTGTAGATGTTTTACGATTACATTATAACACAAATCTTTCTTGAAATGATCTGGAAGAGTTTCCTTGTATGTCTCAAGAACTTCCTCAATTTTCTGGTTGCAATATTCTAATACTGGGGTGTTAATCTTTTCAAGGCTTAATGAAATGGAATCATTCAAAATTTTGGAAATATCTCTAACAACTTTACTTGGAATATAAACATTAAAATCTCTAATTTGTCTTTGAATCATCAAATTAATCCTTGCTCTAGTCTGATCTGGAAGAGAATTATTTCCTCCTACCCCCAGTCCTTTCTGACATATTGCAAACACAAACAAAAATAGAGAGAATATCTTTTTCATTTTAAATTTTCTATAATCTTTATAAAACCTACTTCTTTTTTCTTTCCCCACTTCTTATCTCCTTTTTAAGATCCTTTTATTCAAATTTTTCCTTTTTTTTGGACAAAAATCAATCAATTCTTCTATCGGCAAAAAATATTAAAACCAAAAAATTTAACTAGATTTTCTTTTTTTCTCATCTATTTAATTCACTATTTTTATTTTATTTTTTTGCTAATTACATATTAATTTCACTCTGCTTTCGTTACCTATGTTTACATGCGAAGGCGCCAAATTGATCTATTTACTAATAATAAATAAAAGAAAAAATTTTTGTTAATTTTAAATAAACACTTTTTATATTCTGTTAATTATATATATAATTGTAATAATAATAAAAGGTTCTAAAGAATTTCCTAGTATTCCTGGTTACTTTACACATATTTCTCTTTTTTACTACTTCCCATCCTCCTTTTACCTCCTTTTCCTCAATATCCTACTTATTGTTTATAAAATAGTAACCTAAAAACTTTTGTTTTCAACGTATTTCTTTGAGTTTAACTCTACTGCTTATTGTTAAAAATGACTAAACAATATTTTTCTATTCTTATAATTCCTACAAATTTCAGTAGGTGCCCGCCAAACACACACCTCCGCCCAATGGGCGGGAAAGTCATGCAATATGTCATATATTACTATTAGCTAGTATTATTAATAAAGGTAAAAAGGCAGTTCGGGGAAATGAAATAGGAAAATAATGTGTGAACATTTAATATATATTAATATAAAGTTTATTATAATTTTTGTGAACAATATAGGTAATTCAGTTGTAATAGGGTAGTAAGAAGAAAAATCTGTGAAAAAAAAATAATTAGGAGATAAGAAGAATAAAGCAAATTGAAAGTATTGTAGTGTTTGGTTTCTGTCTTATTAAATTAAACTGAACAATTTTTTTAATAGTTCGGATATTTGAATTAAAATAAAATAATAATCAAAGCATTCATTAATTTAGATAGTCTTAAAAAAAGAAGAAGAGAATTAAGAAGAAAAGATGGTTATTAGTAATGCAATTGAGGAAAAAACTTCAAGAATTAAACTGGGTAAAACTGTTTTAGTAGCTCCACTCAGGTTAGAATTATTAGAAAATGACAATTATTACGATAGAAACCAAAGTTTAAGTACAACAAATTTAAGTTTTAATGAATTGTCACATAGGGGAATAAGTAGTGCAGAGAGTTTGGAATATCAGGATAAGTATGTTACACCACCTGTTCTTACTGATGATGAGTCAGATATAGAGAGAGCTAAAATAGTAGAAGAAGCAGCACTTGTTGCAGAAAAGTTGATGAGTTCTCAGCTTTCTAAAATTACTTATGAGTCAGAACTAAGAACGATGGAAACAAGATTTCCAACAAGAGTAAATTCTCCGAGATATTATAGTGGAAAAAAGGAGGTAATGGATAGGGCAAATAGAATGTTAATGAATAAAGGTAGTAATTGTTCAATTCCTGGATTTCTTCAAGATAAGTTTGGTTGGTTTAATTGCGTAGAAAACTTCTTCTCAGCTTGTAATGATGAACAGATTATTGAGGAGAATGAATCTAATGGTGTTATAGAGGCAAGTCCGTACTTTTCACCAAAGAAGAGATCAAGTATGGATAAGAATATGATAATTTTGGAAGGTTTGAAAGCTTTAAATAAAAAAGAAGAGAAAATAATTCACTCAAAAGTGGATGGAAGAAAATTAGTAAAAAAGATTTCAAACACTGACGATCAAATGAAAGATGAGGGAAATGGAGCAAAAACACAATCATCCAAAAGATTAGTTAATTCTGACAAGGATTCAACAGTAATAAAGGAAAAAACTAACAACAATTCAGTTGATACAAAAAAAACTCAGGTTAAAGAGTTGAATAAATCATCAAAACCAAAGAATGAAATATCCAAATATAAAGAGGTAATCTCCGAATCTAACTCATATGATATAGAGAATGATGTATTTTATTTGGATGATGGAGCTGGTTATATCACCTTTAATGCATCAAAGTTGGATTTGAGTGAAATGGAGAAAAGATTTAAGCCACAAAAAGTGGGAAATAAGTCGGAGAAAAACTCTAATAAGATGAAATCGTCCAATTCAAGTCCAAAGAACTCAGATGCTGAGAATCAAAAAGTATCTACTTCTTCAATAGTTAATATGAATTCTGAGACAGTGAAAAAGAGTCCAACTAGGTGCAAGGCTCATCTCTCAAAAAATAAACAAACTAATTCAATGGTTTCAGAGACAGTTCAAAACCAAATATCTTCTAGCAGCTCAAAGAAGGAGTGCAAGAAGAAAGTTAAAGCTCAAAAAATTGAAAATTACTTAGAATTTGGTGGCGCCAAAGGTGAAAACTCTTATTTTAATAGTGAACAGAACATTTTGAACTATTCCACTAATTGTATTAGAGGGAGAATGGACTATATTTCGACGGATGTTTTTGTTTGAAAAAACGGAAAGAAGCAAGGGTAGAAAGAAAGAGAAGGGGAGGGGAGGGGAGAGAGAGAAAGAGAGAAAAAGAATAAGATAGTAGAGTAGTTTGAAAAAAATAAGATGAAAATTAGAACTATAGAAAAAAGGAAAGAAGAGGAAAAATGGTTGTAGGGTTTTGGGATTAGGGAGGAGAGAAAGCTCCTAACCAATTTCATAATGTTAATAGTATATTTTTTTTTCTGCTGATGACTCTCGGCTTCTAATTGTTCTTTAGCTTTGTAGATTTTCTTTTTAATAATATTAAAATGAATTATAAATTGCATGTTTTTCCCGCTTTTATCCCTCATAAATGACTAAATGCGAAACATGCGCATGCAAGTTAGTGTGGGGATGCCGGTATGTCATAGCACATGGCGCCGTAAACTGATCTATAAATAATATAATTATGAAGAAAAGTTAATTAATAATTATAGAGTGATCTTGAATTAGAGAATTAATAGAAGAGGATTAAGGTAATATATTTTTCTTCTTTTAAAAAGTGGAACAAAAAAAGTTATTATTGCTATTGTTTATAAAAGAACAGAAAAATTCTTTTTAGGTATAAACAAACTCAATAGCAATATTTTCAGCTTAAGGAAATCTCAGACAGGCTGAATAAGATTTTGAGAAATCAAAGAAATTTGATAAAGGAGATATATAGACATACTTCTGATAAATAAATAGTAATTGGTGTTTATACAGCTATTAATACAGAATATTTTTATGCTTACAAAAAATAATATTGCATATCTATTGCAAAGCTAAACCAAAACAGTTAAAAAAAATAGTAGTAACACTTTAAGCAAAAAAAGATGAATTTTAGATTAATTTCAGTTATAGTTGCTTTATTGGCAATAGTTCAATTGGGGGTATCAACATCAGTAAGGGAAGTTTTGGAAGGATTTACAAAGTATTTCTATAATTTAAGTTATGACAGGAAACAAAGTATAGTAAGTGAAGCGGTGCAAGAATTACAGAATGTATTCCCACAGGGAATAGATACAATTAGCCTTCCAGAATCTGTTGATTTAGAAACATGTAAGGCTACTTTACAAAAAGCAATAAAACAAAACCATGAATGGTATCTATTAGCTATGGGGCAATTTACACAGTTGAAATTTTATAACAGTTTTTTAAATGAAAAAGTATCAGAAGACTTACAAGAAGCTATTAGTAAAGCTTCATTGGGTAATAATGGTCAAGGTAGCTCAGATTCAATCGTAGTTAATGGTGTTTTATATAATTCTCAACAACTTTCCCAAGTTTTAACTGATGCTCAGGCCTTAAGAGAAGAAAATGTTCAACTTAGAAATGCATTAAGTAGTGTTAGAGATGATCTTGAAAAATCTGCTACGACTATTGAAGAGTTGAAATTGGAAGCACAATCTTCCTTACAAGAAGCTGTTAGAGCAAAAACTGATATTTCTAAATTTGAAAAGAAACTCTCAATATGTAGACGTAATGAATATAATCTAAAGAAGATCGTATATGAAAGCAAGAGAGGAAAGCTCAGTAAATTCAAGTCAGCAATTTCAAGACCTTTCAGATCTTACAGATTAAAGAAAGCTCTTGGTAAGGAAGGTTACAAGGCACATAAGCAAAAGAAACAGGCCGACTCTAAAAAGAGAAAAGAAATGGTTAAGAAGATCAAGAAAGAAATGAAACAATCTAAAAGCGAAAAGAAAAAGAAACTTTTGAATAAGTCAATTAAACCTGGTGAAGATACACCAATTCCTTCAAGCATTGAGAGTTCATTAAAGTCTGAGAACATTGGAAAGAGTGAAGCAAGTAATTCATATTCAATGGAAAACTCAGAGAATTCAAACTCTCACGGTGGACCTTTCTCAGATTCTGAAGGTTCAAAACATGAAAAAAGTGATTCCTCATTAGGATCAATTTTTGAGGGATCCAGCTAAATTCTGTTGATTGATTACAAGAATGATTTTCCATTTATGATAAGCCAAAAATGTGAACAAATAAGAATGATTGATTAAGAGATGAAATCAGTTTAAGATTTTTTTTTTTCATACTACGTTTTAGAGTGATTTTGTTTTCTTATTTAATTTCATTATATCTTTTTTATGATGTGTCGATTTGATATTTTGCTACAAATATCCTATATACCACCAAAGCTTGAATTAATTTCATTTACAAATTTTTAGTAATTAGAACTTTAACAAATTTCAGAGTTCTATTTGATGAATTGCAAATTTACTGTTTATAATAAATTAATTCTGATATTGAATATTTATTTTCTTTTAAATGCCTTTTCCAAATCTTTTGCATGCAATTTTACATGCATAGAATTAATGTGGACAGCAATAAATTGTATACCGGGGTTTAATATTTTTGCATATATACACGTAATAGGCAAGTAGATAGAGAAAAAATGAGTGAAAAGAAGAGATTAAAAAACGGGGAAAATTTTATAAATATAAGATATTAACTAGATAAAGGTGTTATAAGATCAAAAAAATCATTTCTTCTGATTTTTAGAGATTTCAGCCCATTTTTGTCTAGATTTCCTTTTTTTAGCTAGAATTGTCTTTTTAGTTTTAATTAATTTGGATTTATTATCTTTTACTTTGATTCCTTGAGCTTTCTTCATGGCTTTTTCCATAGCAATTTCCTTAATTTTGATTTTTTTTTCTTCTTCTGGCAAACTATTAATGAGTTCCTCTTCCTTTTTAAGAGAGTTTAAGGCATCATTAATTTTTTTAATCTTTGATTCCTTCTTTTGTAAATAGTCAGCAGTACTTGGAGTGGACAAATTGCTATCAACAATTCTACCAAACTCTAAAGATGATTCTAATTGTTGATTTTCATCTGGTTTATATTTAAGAGTTTTTTCAATTCCTTTCTGAGAAGTTTTAACAGTAGTTTTTTTGGAGTTTTGTTTATTTCTTTTACTATTAACATTGTTTTGCCTCAACTCCTGGATTTTGTTAGCTAGCCTTTGTTCTAAATCATTTCTAGTAAGTTTCGAATTACTCATCTCAGAGCTTGCTTTTTGAGTATTTGAGACTGATTGATCTTTGTTGCCGTTTTTATTTTTATTTACGTTGAAGTAATCTCTAACATGACCAAAAGTAGGTAGTAAATTCCTTATCCCAAACTTCTCCCTTCTATTTTGAGAGCTAAGATCTTTTTCATTTTGAACATTCTCGGATGCTAACAAAATATTATAAGGAATATATCCTAATATGGTTGAAAATGAACCTAATTCTTTCCAAATGTTTGCTGTCATTTGTTAATGTAATAGTCTATTACTTCTCTAGAAATCTCCGATCAAGACAAGAATATATTTTCGTACTTTTGCTGAGAGTAGTATTGATGAAAAGATATATGGACAGTAAGAAAGAAAAAAGTCCAGGCTCCTTGTTTTTATTAAAATTTAAATCTTTAGAGACTCAGCGCCAAAATATTGGCGCCTAGTCAGTTTGACAATAGAATACTCCGTGGGAACGAGAAAAAAGCCACTAAATGGTGAATAGATAAAAAGAAAAAAAAGAAATAGAAGAGAATTAACACAATAAGTGGAAGCTTAAATCTCCTGAAGTGCGAAGTAAATAAAAAAAGAAATGCTTTCAAAAATATATTTAGTTTGAAAAAAAAAAAAAAAAATTAACTTGTAGATATCCAGCCACGCCAAATATACTCTTGAAATTATTATTATTATTATTGCATTTATCATTATAATGGCAAGCAATCCTTACAAAATGAGTATTACACTAATTAATATTTAGACGAAGCAAGAGAATGGTGGCTTCATAAAAAGTTTGCCAAACCTTTCCCCACGGCTCCAAATGATATCCATCAATACGGAACATACACCGGTACGCAGGCGATGCACTGTATTAATGAGTAAATTACATGCAGTATATGGAATATATAATTCGAACTTGACTGAATCATCCAATCAAATTTACACACTCAGATTTTGACTTTACAGCTAATTCTGTTCGCTCTTATAATAATGCCAGTATTCACCCACTAATTCATGCTTTACCAGTTAAACCTGTAATATATTCTAATAGTTATTTCTATGTGGATAGCATGGCGCGCTTACATGCAGATATACATGCAAATATTTGGTGAATAAATGACAAGCAATATTTCTTTAATGAAAAAAATGTTTCTTTTTGAGGATAAAGTAGACCGTGGTTACAGTTATAGTCTTAATAAATGGGTGATTTATCTTCTCTTAGGAATTAAAGCCATTTTTTGAAAGCAAGCTGGCTTTCTTCCCCCCTTTCTCTCCGTAAGTATCAGGCTATACAAATGTTGAATATAATCCAAATATCAGGAAGGCGGGCCTTTAATAGAGAATAGTGTGATATATGTCACAAAATGCGAAATTTTGATTTCACCTTTAATTCTAAATGAGATGATGTAAGGAAAAATTGCAACCAATACACTGGAATTGAAATGCTTTGACGTGAAAAGTCATGGACTTGAATATCTACAAATAAACATCGCATTTTAGCTTGAATAACATAGTTATGACTCTTATTCATCAATCTTGTGATATTAACCAAGAGTAAACTAGTCACCTTCATGTTTCAAATTCGAATTTGAGATATTTACTCTGTAAGTATCAAAAAATATTGGCAGAGTAAAGACACCACTATTACATAATATACCATTAACACCAGATTTTAAAAAAAAGACTAGGCCTGATTTTAAGTATATAAGGCAGAATCGATTTGGGCGGGAATTGGTGAGATCTCAGTAGCCAATTCTTTTTCAATTCTATATAAGTTATAGCGATCTTCGTAGGTTATAAGGTTGATTGCAAGTCCGAGATGCCCAAATCTTCCAGATCTTCCAATTCTGTGTAGATAAGTTTCAGAGTATTTAGGGAAATCAAAGTTAATAACAACATTAACGGATTGAATATCTATACCTCTTGTAATAAGATCTGATGACACAAGACATCTACATGCACCGTTTCTGAAGTCGTGAAATACTCTATTTCTGTGAGACTGGAGCATTCTAGCATGGATATAAAAGCACGAACTTCCAAGCTCAGTAATCTTCTTAGCTAGAAGCTCAACTCTGGTTACAGAGTTACAAAATATAATAGCCTGGTTAATTTGTAGTTTGCTGAATAAGGTGTTAAGGCAATGCAGTTTTTGCTTCTCTTCAACAAAGGCATAATACTGAGTAACTCCCTTAAGTGTGAGCTCGTCCATTAAGTTAATTTCATGAGCATTTGCAAGATACTTATCTTTAAACCCTTTAACAGTAACGGGGAAGGTAGCAGAATATAAGAGTATTTGCCTCTCCTTTGGCAAGAATTCTATGAGCTCTTCAATAATGGGTTGAAATTCTGGACTTAGTAATTTATCAGCCTCATCCATTATGAACATAAAACAGCCTCCCAGGTTACATACCTTCTTATTAGACAGATCCAAAATACGACCAGGAGTACCTACTAGGACATGGACCGGGTTATTTAAACGCAATATATCATCTCTTAAAGATGTACCTCCAGTACTAACCATGCACTGGACATTGATGTGTTTACCTAATTGCTTCACAATACTACTAGTTTGCAAAGCGAGCTCTCTAGTTGGAACAAGAATCAAACCTTGAATGATGTTCTTCTTAGTATTAATTTTCTCCAATAATGGGATAACGAATGCTGCAGTCTTACCTGTTCCGTTCTTTGCTCTAGCTAGGATATCTTTGCCTGCAAGAGCCACTGGTATACTTTCTTCTTGAATTGGTGATGGCCTTTCAAACCCTTTTTCGTAAATTCCCATCAATAGCTCTCTCTTTAAAAAGTAGTCCTCAAAATCACTACCCTTGGTTTTAGTTACATCATCCGTCTTGAACCTAAGATCTTTAGGAGGGATGTTCAAATCCTTCATATCATTACTTAATCTTTCAGTCTTCATATCCTACTTTTCAATATTACTCTTTATATGTATAAAGTTATATATATATATATATATACATATAAATATATATATTTTATATATATATGGTACAAGCCCTTTGTTTTTAGTATATGTAGTATTGTAACTTAGTAAATTTTTTTAAACTATTAAGAAATTTAGCTCTATCTCTTTTTATTCTACCTTAATAATCTTTGTAATCCTGGCACTTTATTTTTATCTTTAGACTTTCTACGAGACACGCTTTTTATTATAAATACCTTTATATACCCCTCACCTATAATAAATAACATATTCTGGCGGGCGAAATGACCCGCCTATTATCCAATGATTTTTATATTAAATATTTTGTAGAAAATGTATTGTACAGAAACATTAATTTTAGGAAAGAAATATATACCTTGTAATTAGCTTCGAATAAAATGAATGATAAATATTTTTCAGAATATTATTGATATTACTCACTATTCTTATAGGGTCAATTTATAATTTACCGAGGCAGTGTCCTAGTAATGCCAGACAGATAAATAGTAGAATTTAGCTGGAATATTATTTATTATTTTATAATAAATAGTTAAAAATTGAATATTCTTAATTAACATATTAGAAACATCTATTTTTAATTTGGCCTATAAAATCTTAAATTCCATTCGATTTCTCTCATTGTTTTGCGCATTTTTCTTAGTAATAACCTCGTAAAAATGTAAAAATTAATTGAAAGGTTTTGAAATAAAAAAGTAACTTTGAAAGAAAGGGATTAAATCATTTAAGAAAGTCAAAATAGTTTGTTTATTAATACATGGTTGTTTTCAAAGGACTAATGATCCGGTTTTCTTAGTAAATTAATCATGAATGTAGCTGGCTTCACTGGAAAGATGATTAATAGTTACCATGTGGATTATCTGTGGAAGTAATCTGAAAGTCAAACATAGACAAATTATCAGTAATGAATATACCTTCTGTTACATTTCTCAAGGTAATGGTGAAATAAGATAAAATTGAATTTAACTGGTTCACCCCCCCTATCCTGCAGTTAAGTAAACGAGTAGTATTTATTGCATGCACATACTTTTAAGGAATTAATTTCATGCCTTAATTGTGGAAGAAAAATATATGTTCAAAAATAAGATTTATTATAGCAAAAAAAAATCTGGAAAAATGTAAATGAGAAAGAACAAAAAAATTACCCAAAAGAAATTTTAATTAAAAATTTATTCACTAAAATTTTCCCAAGTTATCTTCTTTAGGTATTGATTACCATTATAATGTGCATGTAAATATTTTTAATTGATTTTGGCGCCAAAGTTTTTTTAATAAATAATGACAGGCAAGTTAAATAAAATGGTATGAGTAATTAATGAGATTACATAAAAAATATTAAATAAATTAAGAAGAATTAAGAAAGAGAGATATTTTATAATCTTAGTTTCTTTCTGGAATGGTATTGTAGGGAAAGTTATGCCTGTTTAAGAAATAGCAAGAAAGTATAACTATAGGTTTTGAATAAACAGGAAATAAATAAAGATAACAAATAGATTTGAAAAATGAAGTTATTAAAATCTAAAAATTCTGGAAACGGATTTGGATATGTAAAGCTAAAGATTGAATCAGAGGACGACATTTGGGAGTTATATAACCTGATTTTATCTGGAGATAGTGTTCGTTCAATTACATATAGAAAAACACATAAGGAAAATACATCTGGTGCAGTTTCTGTTAAAGTACATAAACTGGTAATGACAATCATAGTGAAGAATACTGATTATGGCGGACAGACTTTAAGAGTTAGTGGATTTAATGCTATAGATAATGAATATGTGAAAATGGGACAGCATCACACTATGGAGCTTAGGGTAGGATCAGAGCTGATTTTATACAAAAGAAGTTGGGACTGGTTAGCAAGAACACGTTTGGAAGAGTCTTGTAAAAAGAAGATTGGTGCAGGAGATGATATTTTAATTTTGTTAATAGGCAATGGAGTAGCAAACATGTTTCTTGTTTCATCTCAAAAAACTGTCAACTTATTTACTGTTAATCACAATATTACAAGGGGCCAAAATAATAATCATCCATATAAAGAAAGCAAAAATAAATTCTTTCAGATGATCACTCAAAACTTAATTTCCCATTTAAACTTTGAAGATTTGGATAATATAATATTAGGAGGGCCAGGTTTTTATAAGAATGACTTTTTTAAGTATTTAATGGATTCGGACAATCAAAAAAATAAAGACTTAACTGGTATTTTGAAAAACAAGAGGCATGTTTTTATTATTGCATCAACCAGTAGTGTATTTCAGTCTTCTATTGATGAAATTCTCCTAAATAAAGATTTTCAAGAAAAACTAAAGGATACCAAAGCTTTTCAACAAGTTAAATTAATTCAACATTTTCAGTATCTGCTTGCTACTAATCCTGACCTTGTTTGCTATGGATTAAAGAACACTGAAAATGCTCTGGAAAGTAATGCAATTGAAACACTAATGGTTTCTGATACCTTAATCAGATCTGATTCTCTTAAAATTAGGTCTAAGTTGGCTAATATCACTGCAATGAATAATAATTTAGGCGGTAAAACATGCGTTTTCTCATCAACACATAATTCAGGTAAGACTTTGGAGAATATGTCAGGAATTGCAGCAATATTGAGATTTCCTGTTGATCATTTACAAGATTATGAAGCTGATGATTCAAATCAAGGATGGGAAACTGGTGATGAAAGGGGAAAAGACGGCCAAGATGAGGATTTTGATTGGTTTAAAAAGGAAAAGGATGAGATTAAGAAACACCAGCAATCTCAACAAGATGATAATTGCATTGAAAAACAACTTCAACAAGTTTCAATGGGAGACGATCATTTTCTTACAAACTTAAAAAATGACAAAGAAATTAACGACATTTCCTCTGACAATTAATTTCCTTTACTATTTCTTCATTTGCATGCAAGGGCGGGAAATATACGTAATTTATTTGCATGTACATTAATTAAAATAGTTTTCAAAGTTTTGTAATGGCTAATTAGTAATAGGCGGTATGGTTTTTTTTAATTTGAAATTAATTCTCTAGTTTTATTTTGTACTCATTATTACTTTTTCTTTTTTCCCCTTCTTCTCTCCCTTTCCTTCCCGTTCTAACTTTAAACACAAAGTTGAACCAAGAAGTATATCACACAAAGAAACAGAGAAGAAATTTCATCAAAATTAATATGTATTAGATAATACTAGTTTTTAATATTCCTGAATATTGAAGATAATAAGTATTTTCTCGTGTTTTAATAAGATAAAGAAGGAAAGAAACAATGTGGTCTTTACTCTATATCTAAAAAAATAAAAGAAAGCTTATCCATAAAAAGTTTACTCTTCGTCCTCTCCACCACCACTCTGGTTCTTCAGAGTTCGTCTTCGGACACGGCCTGGACGTCCTCCTCCGAATGGGGAGGTTAGGGCAAAATCAATGTGTTTCTCAGAGTCAAGTCTAACCATGAATGATGGTACGTCAACTATCTGACGTCCAACACGGATGTGGTTCTGTCTGATTAATACACGAGCATGGTGAATACTCTTTGCTAAACCAAGCTTGAATACACGGGTTTGAAGTCTTCTCTCTAGAAACTTGCTAACTGTTAATCCGAGTACATAATCCAATTTTCTTTCATCCTCAGAAAGGAGTCCAAGTCTTTCCATACGTCTTAAAAGGGCCTCACCTACAATATTTAATTGTAAAGTTAATAAAAGGTCTAGCTTGAATTAGTTGGAGAAAAGCTGAGTCATATTGGTCTCGGAAACCTTATAATATACACTTCTTCTTATTCAAACAATTCTATATTACATATCACACACTTCCCATTTATAAAGGGAAAAGTAAGAGTGACCAAAGAAAACCAAGATGAGGTGTGTAAGCGGATGATGAATAAGTAGAAGTGGAGGCGGGTTCAAAAAATAGGAAACTCCTATATATTATATTATAGAAGCTTGGTTGAGTTGGTAGAAACAGAAATAAAACTATTCTTTATAACGAATGGGTGAATAAGGATAATAGATTGTATATGGGGGGAACGGGTAAACTTCAAACGGGAAGTAGGTACCAATATGCCCATAAGGCAATATCAACATCATACTTTGATCGGAGCCACCAACTTTTTCCCACATGTTGGTATTGCATATGATATTTCAACATAAGTTATCCAACTTACATTACTTACAACCACAAAGGCCGTAAAATACACATATGCATTAGAACGTCCCATTCATAGCCCTATATTTCTGTCCTATCTCCCCTATCCTATCCTTCCTTTCCTCTCATATTAAGGCTAAATAACCAAAACAGCCAAATCTCCTTAAGCCATACTGGGGCCACTAGTTAAAGTAGTGACGCCCAAATTATGACCAGACAAACAAGTAAAACTTACCTTGAAAAACACGAATTGGGTCCTTCTCATCTAATGTTAATAAGTGACGAGCAGCTGCTCTGATCTTAGCAAGAGTGTATTGAACACGCCATACTTCACGCTTGTTCTTTAATCCATATTCTCCAATGAGCTTCATTTCAGCATCCAAACGTTCCTATAAAAATATCATATTTGAAATCAAAATTCATTTCTCAATATATACGAGATTCCCTATAATTACATTCCACATAGTATTATAGGGACCTTCTCTATACTTACCTTTTCAAAGGGACGCTTTGGTTGACGAGATGTCTTTGAGTGATTTGTATATGACTTAACCATTTTCTCCTTATATATATAATTTCTCCGTTAGTGAAAAAATTACTGAGTCTTGAAATTGCAATCTCTAGTAAACCTTAATGGTCTCTTATTTTAATCTTAAGCTTATTATTATTGCTTTCACCCTAGTCTATTATTACCTTTGCAATTATTATTTATTTATATATTTATTTATACATTAATTACTTTATATTTCGCGCCTATTGTATTATTTATTATTCATTTATTATATATATTTATATAATATATTATATATATATTGTAAATTGAAAAAAACACTATTTTAATGTCAAACTTTTAATTTATTTCTACATTAAACCTTTTTCTTTGACAAATTATTTATTCCGCTTTGAGACAGGAATTATTTATTCACTGAGACGACCTAATTAAATATAATAAATAGCGAGTTCCCGCCCAAAGTCATACCGCCAAAAACGGGAATTATATTGTGTGAGGTTTGGCAGCCATTCTGAGAGGGCGGGCTGTAGAGATGAAATTAAGAAAAGAATTAGGTTATCTTCCGTTAAAGTTTTTATTCGCATATTACTTTAGATTTTTTGATAGAAAGATATGTAGTGTCTGATGGTATCCAAATAAATACGAGGGTTGAGAACAGAAAAGTTGTATAAACCCGTGTATTGGCCTTCTAATCTCATAGTGACTGTCATGCATGCATTTCAAATTATAACAAAAACAATATTAGAAAAAAAGTAACCATAAAAAAAAGTTGTAGGTAACAGATAAAATAAAAGAAAATTACAGGTATTAGTTTTATATTAGTTGACTAATAGGGATAAAAGTACATATTATATTCACTTTAAAGATAAAATGTAATTATATAAACGAGTATGTGGTAGTTATGGATGGGCGGGATGCCTAGAAACCATGAGCTGAATCTCTGCATGCAAAAGTTAAATAAGCGAATATAAGCAGACATTATGTAATTTACATTGCGTTGTAATGTATACAAAAATGTAAATGAATGCCTCAATATTTTGATTAATTATATGTGATTTCAACAAAGTGGGTTTTAGGTGTTAATAATAGCTGATATAAGGAATGTGTAGTAGTACATCCCCTTTAATTAGTTCTTTAATTCATCAGAAATTGGATTATTTGCATTATTGTTGGCTGATGGCGCGTTTAAATGGGGATGTTGTACAGGCTGGAGAAGTTGGTTTAGGCCAATATAGTCAGCAACATTAATAACATCCTTGTCATTACAAGTGGAAATTCTCTGTCTGACAGTCTCTTGGAGAGCATTAACCTGAGCCTCAAAAGCCGTCAAATAAGCGATCTTGGCCGTTTCAACTTCAGCTCTTGCTTGTTCTTCAGATCTAAGTTCATCTGGGCCACTTGAAAGTCTTCCAGTGTGATCCATTCTGGATCTCTCTACAAGTTGGTCAATAAGAGGCCTATCTGGATTGAGACCAGCCCAGATAAGGTTCTTACCAACCCCAACACTCCTCCTTACAACTCCAATAGCTAGTAATACATTCAAAACATCATAGACTCTTCTCCTAATGTTTTTGGCCTCAGGATTCTTAGAACGGCCTGGACCATCTCCCAATTCCATATTAATTAAATGCTCAGTCATTTCATGGTAAGAAGCTACCTTAATAGCACTAACCTTTTCACATACTCTGTGGCTAAAGACTCCCAATTTACAGCGGTTTCTCATTTGGCTTGGTGTACCTCCATATTCTGGCACGCCGCCGGCTCCACTACCTGCACCTCCGGCATTAGTACCAGTACCAGACAAGTGATGTTGAGGTAGTAATGATAAATGTGGCAAGGATGAGTGGTCAGCAGATACCAATTGTTCACTTGTCCCTCCTGCTGAATTTCCTTGTGGCATTTTAAATTGGCCAGGGTGGTGCTGCTCTATACCTCCCCCAACAGATACTGGATGTTGAGAATATCCACTTGGAACAAACCCTCCTGCTCCCAAGTTTGCGTTATTCATTGCTCTTAATAACTTGTTATTGGACCTGCAAGATTTGGTTGATAATGTTTTTGGTTATTACAATGGAAATTTGGCTCTTTTTTAAGACCGCTCTAGGCTTTTTCTACTAAACTACTTTTTATGTTAGCCTTATTTTTTTACTATCTATTTCCAATTTACTTAAATAATTGTTTATATATAATTATATTACTGGAGCAGTAAATTATATACGTTATTATATCCAAGATATTTGCCGCCGGCGCCAACCAGAGTGGGTTTTAATAATGTTAATAGAGATAAGTTAAATAGAAATACAGTGATTAAGATTGAAGAGAATGAGCACAATTTTGAAAGTTGACTGAGATCTAAACCCGTTTAAGTACTTTATATTGTTTATTTTTCTCCCTTTATTCCTTCCTCTTACTTCCCTGTTGTTTCTGACACGACAGTTTTCTCTTTCTTTTCCTTTCTCAATTTCTACAATTTTTTTTCTTTATTTATTTTTTGAGTTTTCTTGTATTTTTCATTTAAAAGGTAATTTTATTTAATTGATTATTCAGTTAAAGAGATAAACTTTTCTGGATCATTGGTATGTTGGAGATGATTGGAGAAAAGTGGGAGAGATAAAGGGTAAAATGTTATATTAAGTATAAAAAATGATCTTTAGCAAAAAGAGTTAAAAACTATACGCGTGGAAAAGTACCGGTATTGGATCATTTTGTGCATCATGTAATTAACAAGGTTTTTTATTCAAAATTTGACATTTTGGCGCCAAATGAATTTCCAGACCCAAACGAATAAATACAAGAATATAAAAACAGATTCAATAATTTGGATATGAAAATTAAGAAACCTTCAAGCTAGATTTAAGAATATAGATTTCAATGAAGATTCATTTAACTTCCGATGAGATTAACTTGCTGGTTTATCGTTATTTGATTGAGAATGGGTTTGTACATACGGCATTTAGCTTTAATTCAGAAGCAAATGTACCAAAAAATCCATTCTTCACAACCCAGATGGAGAGAGTACCTCCAAATGCTCTAGTGGGATTTCTTCAAAAGGCTCTGCTCTACATCTATTTAGAATACCACACTTCAGATGAGACAGGAGAAGAGATTAGATGTGAAGAACCTTTTTCAATATTTAAGAGACATGAATGTTGGTGCAGACCTTTGGAACAGATCGGATCAAATACGGAAATTACAGAAGCTCAACCTTCTTGTTCAAACTTGGAATCTACCGGAGGAGTGGAAGAGAATATGGGAGTTGACGCCTCTTCTTCTATTGCAGACAAGAATACTACTGCTGTAGAGGACTTAGTGGACACAACAGTACAGCCTCCAACTAAGAAAAGCAGAAAGTCTAGATCTATTAGTTCAAATTTGGCTTTAGATTCAGTAGTCCAGACTAACACGCTTGAAGTACAGCATACATTAGATGAAACCTTAATGCCAAATAAAGATGTACCAGAATCTTTTCAAGACAATCTAATTAAAACCGGCTCAACAGTAGCATCAAAATACGGTTCAGCAGTGAAGGCCAGAACGGATGGAGAAGCTAAAGACAACCAAAATTTACCAGTAAGTATAAAAGGAGAAGATCCAAATGATATAGAATCAAAACAAATTAAAAGTGAGAAAAGCTCTATAACTATGGTAGATGATTCCTCTGAAGTGGCAATGGAGGAAAAGAATATTGGTTCTGACAAAGTTAATATTACTGATATTAACACAAATATTAATGGAGATTGTCTTAACACAGTAGATAGACAGACGGCTGGATCAGTAACTTTGCCGTTATCTGATAAGTTTTTGTCAGATATTCCACATTTCAAACTTTTCAGGAAAGGAGATTGTTCAAATGGAATAAGAGAAGTACAGTTCAGTAAAAGACAAGAATTTCCAAATAAGCTAGTGATAACTTGGGAAGAAGGGTGCCCAGAACTTTGGGAAATCGATCCAAATAGCCAAAAGAGAGATCTAGAGAGTTCAATAATGCTTCCAGTTTCTGAGGGAGGAAATATGATAGCTGGAACAGTGGTAACAATGAGCAATGATTACATAGTAATTGGGTATGAAAATGGAAGAGTGACATTATTTTCTTATAGTGGAAAGGAGCTTACAACGATTAGAAGTAGCCATGATCAAGAATCTCCAATAGTTTCTCTTAAATTGAGTGGATCCAGTGAGTATTTGGCAATTGGGGATGCTACAGGAAATGTTATGGTTTTAAGAATAAGTTTTGAAGAATCATTAGGATGCTACAAAACTCAAATCATTAATGAACATCAACATAATTCAGCAATTTTTGGACTTTGCTGGTGTAGCAATGACTCATTCTTGCTTTCTGGGTGCCTTGATAGGCAAATAACGGTATTGGACATAAGAAATAACATGGTAAAGTCTTTCAGCCAAGAAGGACCAATTCTCTCTATTAATCAAGTAAGCCAAGAAAGTCCTTTTGTAACTTGTATGTTGGAAGGGGTTTCAACAATTCCAGTTTTAAAAATTTCCAGAGACGATGATGATATAAATCTACAATGTACTGCAAAGATTTCTATAGATAATGATCATTTGGGGCTTAAAGAAGATGGCCAAAATACTCAAACTTCGTCTCAGATTAACTTTATTGAGAGCAACATAATGGATGGAGAAGTATTCCATATTGTAGCAACACCATATAATATTTACTTATTTGATAAGCTTTGTAATTTGTTATCCTGTCAAAAAATCACGAACAAAGAGTCAGAACCAAAGGAGATTGTTTCCATCTGTGTTGATAACAAATCCAAAACAATTCTTGTAGGAATTAATGATGGATCAGTAACTTTACTTGAACTTTCATCACTTGATATTAAATCAAAATTCTTAGAGAAGAACTCTTTAATGAAACCAATCTCATCAACTGGAGTCGGATTAGTTTCAATAAATTCATCTGGGAATTTAATATTTGTTGGAGGACCAAATCTACCTGCAATTTATATTTTTGGTTATTAATTTATTAATGTTACTGTTATTATTGTTAATTTTTCTTTCATTTAAACTCTAATTAGTTTTTTAATTCAATCAGTACGTATAATCTTAAACAAAATGCTTATTATATCTTTGTATTCCTGCTTACCTTGGTCTTTTTTTGCCAATTCTCCTATACTCGTATCTTTCTCAAATAAATTAAGAATTTCTTCTGGATTCTTGTAATTCTCAACACTTTGAAACTGGACTTCCAGTTTTGAGTTAGGCCTTTCTTTTCTTAGTTTTCCAAGTAAAAACAACTTCAGGTAGTTTACCTTTACATGTATTGGAAGTCTCAAATTAAATGTTAATATATTACTTTTAAGCCTAAATTGTTCAGCATTCCCTTCTATTGGTTTAAGCAAAACACCAATAATTTCAAAATCTTTAGAATCTGAATCGGTGATTGGCTCTTGATCTTCGGATTTTGAATCAACAGGTTCTTTCTGATAATCCAATATATTTTTAAATTGCTTAATATTATTTGAAATAAGTATTTCTTGGTGTTTTTTTTCAAATTCATTAGCCTCAGGAAACAACCTGAAAGTTAGTGTGTCCATAATAGAGTCGTTCCTTAGAGATCTTCTGGATGCAATGTGTAACCTGCATTGAGGGCATTCTCTTAATCCAATTCTAACACATTTTTCAATGCACTCTCCACAAAATCTATGCAAACAGTCCTTGACAACCATTGTTCGCTGAAGAATACTAAAACATATCAAACAGTTAAAATCAGAGTATAAGTCATTTTCTCCCAATGTAGTTACTGTTGATAAAATGCTTTCACTTAATTCATAATTATTTTTAGTGGCTTCCCCTTCTCTTGTGAACTTTCTCTTGGGGCAAACTACTTCAAACGCTTTCAGACCTTTTGGAATCTCTATGGAACTCACTAATGAACTGTAAGTTGGATATTTCTCATAGAAATCCTCATTTGCAAGACTAGGATTTAGATCCATTATTAATGCGAATTTAATCACATTTAAATTTTACTGGCATTATTTTTTGATTGAGCGGGATATTAATCTAGCAAGATTATTTGGGTCCTGCTGAGATTAATAAATTCTGTGCATGCAATAAATTACTGAGAAAATTGAGGAAATTATTTTTAATTTAATCCTTAAACTTTTTGAGTGGATATCTGTTTCTTGTAAAATAACTCTTGATAGTAAATATTGTTAAGAAACTTAATGAATCTTTAATTCTCATTTTATAACCATTTATTTTTGGTTTGCAGTATTTTTATATTAATGATTAAAATATTTTCTCATTTATTAAAATCTGTGTACATGCAATTTTTTAAAAAATTTTGTAAATCTGTATACCGTTGTCCACATAGATTTTGCTTGCATGCAACAAATAATAATGACGTAATAAATTGCATGACAGTGTAGAGAGAAGAGAAATTTCTACTATTAAAATGCAAGTAAACGAAATTTGAACTTTTGAAAAAATTATCTGATTTAGAATTACGGGGATTAATTTATTTTACTCAACATATTAGTTTTAGTACAAAACTTAATAAATGGAGAGGTTTGTCATCTTTCAGAGGAGCAGTATTAATTGTACTTAAGTTACTCTATCTTCAGTTTGTGAATTTAAAAAAGAAAAGAACGAGCAAATTTCGTAAATCAAAAAAAGTAAATGAAGATAAGAAAAAAATTTTGTTGATGGAAATAATTATAATGAAAAAAGAAAAGGAATTGGGAAAGAATAAAAAGACAGTTGGGATCTAAACAAAAAATCATTCTTGGCCTCTATTTGCTTCTTAAATTCTTATTCAATTTTCAGTCTTAAGTAACTAAATTTCGTTTTACTATCAAATATTACATACAATTTCCCGCTAAAAAGTGCGAACCCACAAATATAATATAGAATTAGTATATTGATGAATGATGTAAAGAAAAAAGAAATGAAATCAATGGAGTACAGTGATTCCATGGCAGGGTCTCCAAACGATTTCTGCAGAACAGATTTGGATGGAATAGAGTGCAATCATGAAAGCCCAGAGTTGGGGGTTGAAATTGGAACTTCTGGGGATTTAGTTAATTCTAGAACATGCGAAGGCTTGGAAATCAAGGCAGGAAGTGAAAGAGGTAGTTCAGATAGTGTGGAGAGCCAGCAGACAAGGAGTATTGCACCTTACAATAGATTTTTGATATTGTTAAAGGATAAAACGTGCAGTGAAATAGTCTTTTTAATTGCAAAGTTTGTACAACAATATCCACGACTGGATGAAGGACTACTAGATTTAATTTACGGTGAAAGCAGAGAAAAATTTGATCTAGAGAAAATCATCAATGGGAATGAAGATATAGGCACTAAGGCTCTTGCAAATATGCTACATTCATTTGTAGATTTTTGTGGGAATCTACTTAAAGAAACCAAAATTTTTGAGAAAGTAGGTAAGGAAGAAGAGGAGAGAATATTTATTATAGAAGGTCTTGAAAAATTGGTAACGACAAAACTATACAATGTTTTATTTGATGCAGTTTCATTTGAGAATGATGATGTAGACCATTATTTGTTTAGGAAGTTGAAAGTTTTAAAAACTTTTGTGAAGCTTGACCACTTTGATATTTCAAAACAATACGTTGAGACTCTTCAATCAGATAGTTTATGGCTGGATATTTGCAAGAACGAGTTGTATAAGTTTATTAGGGTAAAGTCCCCAAAAGATAAGGTGGTATTAATAGTAAATATATGCAAGATACTTTTATCATATATGAATAATATTAATAAAAAGAGTTTTGAAAAAGATCCAAATTCACGAGAGGGAGGAATTCCGTCTCCTCCAGCTGCAGATGATTTACTTCCATTATTAATATTCTGCATAATTCAAAGTAATCCAACAAAAATTAAAACTCACATAGAATTTATTTCACTATTCAGAAATTCTATTTTACTGGTATCTGAAGATTTATATTTTTTCACTCATTTTTTTTCAGCAGTTACATTTTTGGAAAAGTTAGATGGTAGACAGATACAACTTAATATAGAAACTACTCAATTTGAGGAGCAATTTAAATTATCAGAGAAGAAATTATTTGGAAATAATCTAATGCATTTATTATCACCTTATTCTGATTCTAGAGTGAATTATCAAGAAAAACAAAATAAGTTTGAAGAAATTACAAATCAAATTTCATCTCTGAAGTTTAATTTTCAAAATTATACTTCGTCTGATGAGTTAAGAATTGCTGATATACCCAAATTATTTCAAGAATATAAACAATTGTTGGGTCTATTTAAAGAATTAAAGCAAAATACAGAGTAATAATAAGCCCTAAGTTTCCATATTAAAATGAATATAACTTATAAAGCTTATTTGATCAGAAGTCTTAAAAAACAGTCATTAAAAAATAAACAAACTTTATAATTTATAAAAAATAAGCTAATCTTCATGTTAATAATAATAAATTAGAAAATGAATAATTAAGTAAAAATATTACAAATACATGAATTCCGGATTGGTAGCATCTCATCAATTCATAATTTCTTATTGTCTTCGTGGTTATATTTTGTCAGACAAAGGAAATTGAATTTTTTGCTTAAATATTTGAGCAATAATAGGGAACTCGAGAATGTTCTTTGGTTTTCTCTCCATCCAAAACGAATGGAATTTAAGAAAAATAAATGAAAAGAGTTCACAAAATATAACGAGCATATTTACATCATTTTCGGTTTTATAGAAGAATTGAATAATTCGATGGTCTCTTTGATTCAGCCAATCTCTAAGCCAAGATGTAATGTTAATCCCTGTAACCGCAAAAGAATACCAATACTTTGAATTACTTGATTCTCGATGAATTAATTTGGATTCAAATGGATGTGCTAAGCTAAAATATAATAGACATACAAGTGCAAGTATACCAACTCCCCTAAAATCACTATATGGTTGATCACATCTTTGAAAGCCCAAAAGCTCCCATTTAATATTGGTTTCTTTGGAAAAATAGCATCTCCAGAGTGTATTTAATAAGTCATTATGACTCTGTTTTTCAGGATCAAAATTTAACTTTGCAAGTAAATTTACCAAATACCTGGATTTTGTCGCATTATGGATGTATTTAAGATTTAATCTGAGTTTTTCTCGGAAATTTATTATATCTATTATTCTATTCATTTTTACTTGAATAATGGTTTCAACACATTTATCAATTAAAGAATTGTTAATATCACTCAATAAAAGGTCAGTAACAAGTTTTGGATTGGCAGAGTATATTTTTCTAGATTTTATCAGATATTGTTCAATAAAATATGGATTAATTGGCTCAACATTAACAAGAAGCTCTATTTCACATGGTTTTCTAAGAATTCTTCTAGTAGATTTTGCCATTTGTGATATTGGTTGTCTAAAAAACAATTTAGGAACTGGAATATGATAATATTGTTCAGATAAAGCTATTGATGCTCTTGTTTTTCTAATTGAAGATTTACCAATTGAAAATTGTTTATCATTTTGAAATATTACCCATGGAAGAGATTTTGAAAATGTTACTTTTTTTGGACAACATCTATTATTTCCAAATGTTTGAGATTCATTATTAAGTAGTTTAATATTTTCTTGGGTATTAATTCTTGCATTGTTATTGAGATATTCACTATTATAAAGAAATTCATCAGAACAAATAATTTGAATCATATAATAAGCAGAAAAACGTTCATCATTATTTAAAATAGGAATTTGTACTTGGCTCAAAAAACATCCTTCATTCAAGTTAAAATCTTGTGGAATTGTTGACTCTGCTGAATGGATTTTTGTACTATACAAAGAATTTTGGTTATTATGTGATTCGTTTGTATCTTCTACATAATTCTCTGAATAAATATATGGTTTATTATTAAAAATTAATCTAATATTTGTTGGGACTATCCCTCCAACCTCATAAGAAGTTAGAAGTAAATTATTACCATCATTTATATTCGCACTGTCATCACTACTTTTTTTATAATCTAACCTATATATAGGTTTATTTGAGTCAAATTTGACATTACTGTTATTAACATCATCAAGTTCCATAATTATGTTCAATTTTTATTATAAAATAAAACCTACAGCTTCTGTGATCTTATTATGATCAAGAGTTGACAGTTAAATCAATTTCATTAATGAATGTCTCAGTATTTCATGTTATTATGAGTACTCAAACTGAATCTTGAAGTCTAGGTTGGTGCAAGAGGTATAATCCTATGCGAGATTTGTCAAATCCTAAGGGACTTTACTCTTTTCTTTTGTGCCAATTTTATTCAATTTATTACAATTCAATGAACTTTTCAAACCCTTCAAGAATATACCCGTATTTTTTTTCCAAGCTTTCCTCAAAAGCCCGCCACCTGGTTGACATTTTTTATTTACTATATAATAAAAATACATTATAAAGAGAGCCCAAGAAAAGTTACACATACACTCGGGTGGCGCTTTTGGCGCCAAAATTTTGTCTACAGGTGCATAAAGAAATTAAACAGGTGAAAAATTTTCAGTTTTTGATAATAAAAATGAATTAATGAAAGCCGAGAAATTATTTTGGTATTTTTCTTGTTATTAGTTTTTTTAGCTTTTTGTGAATAAAAAATAATTTATAATTAATAAGGTTGCCAGAAGTGTAAAGTTTATTGCTTTGAAGAATATTGATAAGAGAAAAGAAGATGCTTATTGATTTTGGAAATGAATCAATTTAGTTGAAAATTTGTTTCATTTTTTTTAGTATTTGAAAAAGAAGTGTTTCTCTGGCTTATTGTTCTCCCTTTTCGAATAAATTGTGCCAATACTAATTTTCTTTTTTACTATAATATCTTGTGAGTTTTTTTTTTCTAGTCAATATAGAACAAGACTGGTTCGGTAAAAAAAAAAACGATCTTAGAAATATATAAAGTTTTCCCCCATTTCATCAGCTAAATACACGAATACATATTCGACTCATTTTCTTATTTTCCTAACTAAATAATAAAAAAAAAATTTAATTTGTAAATAATAATTAGAAAAAGTGGAAGGGCTAAAAGAGACATTGAATGCATGTAAATTATTATTTCGTGGGGGAAAACAATGAAAATTAAATGGCGGGCAAAGTGGTCAAAAAAAAAAGTAAAAATAATTAACCAAGAGGAAAGAAAGTCGAGATTTTAAAAAAATAAAAGGAAATAATAATAATCACCAAGACAAATCGAGATAAAAGTAATGTAATAGAACAGCAAGGTTAACATGATAGGTAAAGTAAAAAGGAAATCAGATGTGAAGGACTATGAGACCCCTAGAAGACATAGCATTGGGAAAAGGATGGAAAGTAGTGAAATAAGAACTCCAATTATTTTAAGTTCTAGAACAAAAAGCATTGAGAAACCTGCACCCAAGTCAAATTATGAGAATAATGCTGTGAAAAATGAACATACCGGTGTTGGGAGAGTAATTAAATACTTACATGCGCGGGATGCATGCATGCAAAATGACGTGTCAAAAGTTATGCAAACATGCGAATTAAAGAAGTATGCAGCCATATCAGATGGGTGTGGGAAGTTAATAAAATTATTTTTTCGTGGATTTACATATTTTGTATTTATTTTATTTATTTTATTAAGTATTTTATCTTTAAATACATTAATTGAGAACAAGTATTCTAAGCTTGTGGAGATTTCAGAACTTATAACTTCAGTAACCATACCATCTGTGGAAGATATTTATTACTTTAGTAAGGAGTCTAAGGAGTCTGTAAAAGAAGCTTTTAATTATTTGAGTCGAAACAAGTTAGGTTCTGTCAAAGAAAAGAAAAAAGCTGAAAAAAGGAAAAATCAGCAAATATCTGTGTTATCAAAAAACCAAAGAGATTATTCTAAACTGGGATTCCAAAACAGTTCTTCTTTTAACTTGGATCATGCTACATTGTCTGTAGAACAGCATCATTCTATTAATAATCCCAATGAGAATTATGAAACTCCTTGGAGAAAAGAGTTAATTGAGAATTCCAAGAACAGTTCTAACTATAAAAGTGGGATTCAAGGTAAGAAACAAGTAAAGAATTATTCCAGGAATTATAACCAACAGCAAGAAACGTCTAATCAAATAAATAACCAATTTCATTTAACAAAGTTAGTGGAAATAATATTGGATCAAAATCTCTTAGAGAATTATTTAGATGGGGAAAATTTGAGTATATTGGAACTATTATGTTACAAGAATTTTAGTTTTCAGGAAGGAATCTTAGGAATGTATTATAGAGAGAAAGATGAACCATTATCATTTCAAAAGTATTTTGGAGAATTTGAAAAGAAAAAAAATTCTGAATTAATTAACAAGTTGGAAAATAAAAGAATTTTTGATTTATTGGGATTTGAGAAGCAATATGAACTCTATATTTCATCAAATAATAATTATTTCATGAATTCTATTAAAAATCAAACTCATCTTGGTAATATATTTAGAGTTAGCAGAAAAGTAATTGTATCTTCTGGATATGGTAATGAAGAGATTCGTGATTTTTGTCAGTTAAAAAATAACTGGATATGTACAAAGTATGAAATGTTAGTCTTTAAACTATTGTTAGAATATTATAAGGGAACTGGGGATACTTTTATATCATTCTTTTTGTGGCAATATAAGAGGAAAATTGTTGAAAAGAATTTGTTGGATAACATTCCATTCTTTACAAAAAATCAGATTATGGTTGTGAATCATTTATTTCCAGGTTTATTTGAATCATTTCAAAATTTAACAAATAGTATATATAATAAGATTGATGAATTTGAGAAAAGAAGAAAATATAATAAATCTAATCAAAGTAGGTATTACTTTGAAAATATTACAGAAGAAGAGATTAATTGGATTATTTCTTTAGTTTTATCCCATTCTCTACAGGATAAGGATGGAAATATAGCTTTTGTTCCATACTTTAACATCATTCCTCATAATAGTCAAAAATTTAGTGATTGTGAAAAAGGTCAAACAATATTACATCATCCAAATGAGTTATCTTTTGACTGGAAATTCTCACAAAATCTCACTCATAGATGTAATCATAACCATTCTAATCATCTTAAAAAGGATTATACTATGATACACTCATTCTATGGTCATTTAAATAATATTAAATCGGTTGTTCAGTATGGGAAACTTTTGGATAATAATGAGTACTCAACAGTATGGTTTATAAGAAAAGACAAGAAAGATATTAATGGATTTAAAATACTATTTGGTACAAGTAATATTCTAAATAGTATGGATTCCCAGGCCTATAGGGATTATCTACCAACCTGGTTGTTGGATTTATCTGAAACTAATAATTCAAAAATTAGGGTAAATATGGAAAACCAATTTGTTCATTATATTTCAAAAACTAAGAAAATTCCAATTATTAAGAATAAACATGAGTCCAAACTCAAATATATTGATTGTAATGAATATATATTTTATAATGGAGTGGGTTTAGGATTCGGAACTGTCCAATTTTTAAAATCTTCTTCAGTTGGAGGAATAAATGGATCAGTTTATGTGTGTTTAAGAGAGATTATTTTCAGAAATTATCCAGAAAAAAAAGAAAAACTTAAAACGTTTACAAGCTCTAATATTAATACTTTAGCTAGCATTCCAATGGAAAAAAAGGAGGAGATTCTAGCAAATATTATGCATAGTAACTGTGGGAAAAGATATACCCAGTTGGAAGATGTAAAAAATTTATTAATTCATCAACTTAATCAAAAGCTTCCCAAAGAATTAAAAGAAGAAGACTTTAACAAGTTTCCAAGTCAAACTAAACAGGAGATCAGAATTAACATTAAGCTTTTATACTCTACTATAGAAGAGTTAAAAACCATGAAAGAGTGTGTTTCATACTTTGAAAGACTAATACAGATCATTTCTCGGAACAGATCTGTTTAGCTAGTTAACTATGGCTATAATCATTTTTGCTTTTAATTAGTTTGTCAACACAATTCAATTTGGTTGAAAATCTAAAAATGCAAAAAATACTTGAAAAAATAATAAGTTTTGGCGCCAACCCCATATAAATAATATAAAATATATTAATTACATATATATTATTTATATAATTAATATATATACATATATATATATATATATATATATATATATATACTAATTAAATAATATATAATAATTATTATATGTATAAATTAAATAGTTAATAATTAAGTTAAAAAGCAATATATAATTAACAAAATAAATAAGAAGTAGAGTAATTAATTTCAAGATTGGACATTATTAAAAGATTGATTTAAAGAGTGAAATATAAAGGAGAGTTTTGTTTTTGTGGTAAATGGATGTAAGAACAGTTAACCACTAATTAGTGATAACTCTTTGGAATGGAAGAAGTAAGCAGTAAAAAGTAGAGGAAAATTATATAATATATAAATATATATATGTATACATATTATATATACAGATAGGTATATATGTGTTTATTATATATATTATATATATAATATATATACATATATGTGGTAAAAGGTACTTGAATAGTATAGATCAAAGATACAACAGCAAGATGGAGTTAAATGATGTGGGACGCTTATTAATGTCAATGACCAAGAAGGTGAAAAAAACTGCATCTCAAATAGTTCATCCTTTAACACAATTGGAGAAATGGTTGAAAGAGGCAACATCTAATACAAATTGGGGATGCTCCTCGACAATTATGAATGAAATAGCACGTAGTATGACAGATTATCACGACTATGTGGTAGTACAAAAATGCATAGGAGAATGTTTAAGTGAAAAGCCTACAAAGTGGAGAAAAATCTTTAAGACTTTGGTTTTAGTGGAGTACTTACTGAAGAATGGTATAGATCGTTTTGTTGATGATTTTAAAGAGTACATGTATAAAGTACGTCATTTACAGGACTTTTGTTATACAGAAGAAGGTAAAGATAAAGGGGTAGGTATAAGGGAAAAGTCAAAATATATATTGAATTTAATGAATGATCCAGTACTTTTGAAGACTGAGAGAAAGAAAGCAAAGGATAATCGCGGTAAATATATTGGAATTAATGGAAAGACTGGGATTATTGGAACAGGGGGAAGAGTAGGAGGAGGAGGAGGAGGAGGAGGTTTGATTAGTAATATTAGTTCTAACAGTGCAAGATTCAATAATTCATCAATTTCATCATTATCTTCAGTTACAACAAGTGTATATGGAAGCAAAATGGAAGAATTATATGATCCTTATTGTATGAATTACTCTGGCCGTGATGGTACAAAGGATAAGGATTATTCACCTTCACAATGTGGATTTAATATAAGGGATGGCTTAGATGTGGTTAAAAATGCTGGAATTTCCTGCAGAGAAACTACAAGCTTTTCAGATACTTCTTTGAAGCTTCCCGGTCCACCATCTTACTCAGTAGGTACTTACAGAGGATCTGGAGTAAAAAGGACCCCAATAGGAGGAGGAATAAGGAGGATTGAGGTTACAAGGGAAGTAGCAAGAACAGGAGCATTATCTGGAGTATCAGGAGCGAATTATGGAGCAATAGGGATTCCTGATGAGTCAATATTAAATGCAGCTCAAAAATTGGCTAAGGATGGTGTAGGAGAAGGAAATATGTTTATTGTGGAGAATGAGGGAAAGGGTGGAGATGAGGAGGAGCAAGAACTGGACGATTTGCAATTGTCAGATTGGAGTACTTTTGTAGCAGCAGAAAGTGTAAAGGAAGAGACTGAGGAAATCTCCCAGACACAATTTAAAGATCAGAAGAATATTACCAACAATAAGGGTGATGAAAGACCTTCATTGAATCCATTTGAGTCTAAAAACTTTGTAACTGGACCACATTTGGAGGATATTGAGAGAAGGAAGAAGATTATAAACGAATCAATTGGAGATTTGTTGGACTTTGGCTCATGGAATGGAGGAACTGGAAATGGAGATAGAGCCAGTTTTAATAAAACACCAATAAATGAGGAGTATAATAGCTATAACGACAGAATGCAGTACAATGATTATAGTAACTTTCAACAACAGGAGAATAATGGGATTACTACTGGAAACAACAATCTACACATACCATATGGGTTTTAAGTATTATTGTACTATTAACAACAGGAGGGAGAATTTAGATATTTGTCGTAGAAGCATAAGCATTAATTATTGTTGGTGACTATAATGAGCTTAATGGTGGAGGAAGAGTTACTAGAGCAAATTTGACATCATCCTTTGACTCTGAAGACTTTTCATCATAGGAAAGTGGGTGGAAGTAAATTTCAGTGTTAAAATTGACAAAAATTGCTTTCCCTTGAAAAACTTTTGAAAGTGAATGATTATTTGTTCTTTCTTTACCAAAAGATATTGTACAATTTCCACTTAAACACAATAGGAGGGAGTAAGGAGATGTGGTTGGGGTTGAAAATGCTATAGAATTTGAGCTTTGGAAGTCTAAAGAAAGGATTTGAACATGGTACTCCTTTATAGAATCCACAAAGTAGTCAATTATGAACGGAAGATCTCTTCCTCCAAGTATAGGAAGTGAAGAAAAGGCAATATGGTTAAGAATTAACTTGGAGTTGTTGGACTGAAAGTTAACAGCTTTAATCAAATTGGGAATATCTTTAAGTTTTGGAGTGAGTCCACATCTAATAACGTTGTCTGAGTTAGCCATACATTCAAGGCATTCTCCTGATATGTATGAATGAATGGTACCAGCACCAATAAAAATAGCGTCTCCAGGATTAAGTTTGTAGTAATTAAGTAAAAGAGGGCTTATAATTCCAATATCTAAAGGAAAATGATAGTGGAGTCTTAGAATAAGGCTTTCTATAGAGGCCACTGTGGTAGTGTTAGTATTACTATTAGAGGACAAATGGCTTTTGTTTTTTGTAAGCCTAGCAACGAGACGGCTAAGAGCATCATTTATAGTTTCAGGCTTAGAATTGAGCATATTTATAAATAATTCTTTTTTAATAGTGAATAAAGGATCTTGATTTTGATCGGTACTAGGTAACTTGTCTCCATTATAGCTATTAATAGTTTCAAAGATGAATTCTAATGATATTCCAAAAATAGGGAGAATTTCTGGAAAACCTTCAAGGAGGGAAAGAATCTCAAGAGTATCTTTAAATCCACATAAAGTCTCAAATTCACTAAGAGCTATAGCAATCTCAGGCTTGTGGTTGTCATCAGAATAAATAGAAGGGAAACTTGAGTGAAGTTCTTTGGCGAGAGTCTTATCAGGATGGACCTGCAAAGAAAGTGGTTTAGAAATGGACAAAATCTTCAATAAAAAGGGAATTTTATTGTGATGAGTACTTTTACCAGTATAAGTAGTAACACTGGTAGGATTAATAGTAAGATCAAGAGAATTAGGATTTTGGTTTTTCTGATTATACTCTGAAACAAAAGATGAATTCTTTCTTGAAAATATGGAGGATATTATATCATCCAAAGTCATATTCTCAAGAATATTACCATTAAAAGAAACTTTACTTGGACTTGAGATGTGAGATCCGTACCAAAGCTCTGCGTATGGTTGTTCATGATCTTCTTGTTGATTAGCTTCTAATAATCCTATTTTTTTATCCACTGAAAAAGTCTCCTTTTTCTTTGTTTCAGTGATCTCCTTTGATCCAAATTCACTAGAATTGGATGTATTTCCGTTTTCTCTACTCAAAGTTGAAGAGAAATGATTTAACTCCAATAATTTAATTTCATGCAGATTTCTGTAAAAAACCTTAGTCAAAGCATTTTCCTCCTTTTTCCCCCACTCATATTTCTTCACAATTGGAATAATCTCTACAAAATCAATTTCCTCAACTGAAAAATTATCCATTCTTTTTCTCTCTATTATTCAATAATTCTTTTTTTGAATGAATTATCCAAACGGGTACCGGGAAAAAGACGAGAAACAACTACATGCAATTTTTTTTGCTACTAGTAAGCTTAGTCTCATTTTAGGCGGGTTAAACAATATAATTATCATAGAAAAAAAAAGTTTTAGTACCGGTGTTAAAGTTATTGAGTGTGGGCGTGATTTGCGCGCCAGAAATATATATGAAGAAAAGATTCAAAGAAAATGAGTATTTAAAAAGGATTAAATAGGGTAATATGTGTTTTTTGATGTTTAAGGTTAGAGGAATATAAATACTAAGATTTGAATATGTTATTTTTATAGGAAAAAAAAAATCTGTTATTTTAAGTTAATTGTTAACTTTGGATAAAACTCTTTTAGAGTACTCTTTAATGAAATTAGCTTTTTGTTGGTTTAAATGAGATGGATAAATTTTTTCAATAACATTAATAATTTCAGAAATAATTAATTCGAACTGAGAACTTTCTTCATCGTAGATGTAATTGTCATTATTCTGATCTTGATTTTTGTTATCTCTTAAATGAATAATTAACTTAATTAATGAAATCAAGAATTGCTCAGCTTTGAGTTTAATAGCAGGAAATTTTGAGCTTAGTGATTGTATAGAAGGAAGTGATATAATTGAGAAAAGGATATCTTGAGATGTAATACGGCCAGAAGTTTCATATTTGAAGTCAATATCAGATTGTTGAATATAATTACCAAAGGAATAGCAAGTCAAATTGGAATAAATTTCTTGTTGGAATAATTCTCTGGAAGCTTCAGATACCATAATTGTTTCACAAATCCTTTGAATCTCAAGAATCATGTGAATATCTGAGAAATTTGGGAACATAGTTAATACATTTTTTTCAAACATTGGAGGAAGGATTTGAAGTATTATTGAAGCAGAAAAAATATCGTTATTTGAAACTGCTATTTTGGTCAAATTAAACAATAAATTCAAAGATAACTTTCTTAATTGAGAATAACCAGAAGTACCTTGATCTTTGTAATAATCACTTACTAAAGATTTGTACAATATTACCACAATCTTCTTATAAATCCACCAACTCTGACTATTCAGAATTTCATTTGGAATCCTTCTTCCACCAATAATGTATTCCTTGTTTTTTATACTTAAATATCTATCAACATTTTCTTTTAATTCGTTTCCTTTTATGTTTTCATTTGGATAAATATTATTATTATTATTACTATTACTATAATCATCACCATTGTTATCACAATTAGAATCATCCTCAGATAAATTAAAAGTAATATCTTTGTCCAAATTTTTTAATGAAGAATATATCTTATTCCAACCATTGAATTCACAACAACTATTAAAAATATTGAGAATATTTTTGTCTTGATTAAGTTGTGATCCACTCTGATTTTCTATTAATAAAGGAAGGAGAATATCCTTAATTTCTTCCTCTTGACAATAATTCATCAAAATAGACGAAAGAATTTGTCCAGAAATATCTTTAATTACTAAATCTTTTGATTCTTCCATATAAAATAGAGCCATTCCTATTAACTTATTTCTAAGTACTTCAGAAATTACTGGTTTTGTTCGATTATCCTCTAATTTATCATTTGTAAGTAGTGAAAGATTAATAGATGATAATAAAGCATTCATAGATTCTCCTGATTGGCTTTGTTTGCTTGCTAATGAGCATAAATCACTTAAAAGTACTTCAGCTCTATTTCCAAGTAATTTGGATAAGAATCCAATTCCATGACTACATTGCTTTCTTACATTCTCATTTGGATCCAATAAGAATTTTACCAAAATTGTTTGAATTTGTGGTAATAATGGACGTAACTGTAATCCACAAGACTCTAAAAATATGACTAAATTACTTAACAAAGCTCCTCTTACCAAAGATGAAGTTGTTCTATCTGAAATGGATCTAATTAATGGTCCCACCAGTTTGACTGTTATTGGTCTTAAGCATTCATTATTTGTTAATTGAATTACTTCACGAAGGCCAATAGCACATTCTTCTTTTGAATCAGGAGATCCCTGTGATATTCCTTGAATGTATATAGCTGAGATAGAATCAATAAGTTTATTGCTAGATGTTAATAACTGATCATCTTTAGATCTAGTCAAAATTTCATCCATACTTTCATGAACTACTTTACCATCCGAAATTTTCCAACTATAACCAATCAACTTATTTTCAGTAAAATGTTTTTGATTGTCTATTGGATCATGAACTAATGCACCTATAGATTCTTTCATTACATTACATACTTGAATTATATACTTTCTTGGTACTGACACTGAGAATAAATGAAAAGCTTTAGATGTTGATATTCTTACTTGTTCTGATATATCACACATAGCCAAAGGTAATAAATACTTTATTAATATGGAAAAAGATGTATCATATATTGGACTTGAAGGGAATAATGACAAAGTTAAGAAGTCTATTGCTTTAATTCTTATTGATGTTTCCTTTTCTTTAAATAATTCATTAAAATCTTTAATCTTCAAATTTTCGATTTGGTATCTTCCAGAAATACTTAAATTAGTGCTTGGAGTGTTTTCACGTATAATATCCAATAATATTGTAGCAAAAGTTTCCATACTCTGACCCTCTAATGATTGAACAATACTCATCATTGCTTCTTTTGAAGAATTTCTAACCAAATCATCATATTTACCATCAAAATCTATACTAGTTTCTATTAATTTTGGAATAATTTCAAATAATGAAGATCTTAATCTATTTTGAGATGGTATCTTTGACATGGATTTAATTATTCTAATCTTATTAATTGTCATTGGGTCAGAAATAACTCTTGGAAGAATATTAGAAATTATTCCAGAATGTGATAATTGAATAATCAACTCTATAGTTGAGATCTTTGGATCATCTTCATCTTGATCTTTCTTATTATTATCTCTTAAATTGTCGTTTGTTAGTATTTCATCCATTAACCAATTGATAATTGAAAACAGAATTTCTGTATTTTCTGCTACAAATATATCTAAACACTCAACTGAATATGTTCTTACTGTTAGATCTTGGTCACACAAACCTTTTTTAATAATGGGTAAAAATGATGATATTAAGCCTTTTAAATCACTTTTTTTTATTGTCTTTAAAATCTCCAGAACACCAATACAGGATCCAATCCTTACTGATCTATTTGGCAATACATTTTCTGCAGTATTGTGAACTCCTTCTGCAGAATTTGAATTTAAAGAAATAGTACCATCTTCATTTAATGAACCTCCCAAATTCTGATAGAATATTGGTAATAACTTATTGTATAATGCACTTCCAAACTTATCAAGTAAATCCTTCAAACTTTGAACTGCAATATAGTGTATATTTCCAGTGCTAGATATGGATAAAGCATTAATTATCCTTCTTATTAGAATTGTCAATATATCTTTTAGTGTTTGTGGAGTATTTTGTACCAAAGATTTCCATAAATTCGTTGCACTATTTTTAACGGATGTATTTTCATCACTTCTAGCCATATATATTGCTGCTAATATATAAGATCTTCTTTGCATTGAAAATCCTGCATCGCCTAATGCTGATGAATTGGTACTTAAAGAACGTCCAGTAGAGTCTAACTGGCCTTTAATTAGTCTATTCAATAAAGTACCCAATAGTGAACAGCTGCTTAATCTGACTCTCCAACTGTCGTTACCCAATCCTTCCTCTAGTGGTTGCAAAATATAAGCTGCATGATCACCTCCGAATTGAACTACTAAGGCTTTACAGGCCTTAAGAGCCACTTCTCTCACAGAATCAGATTCATCTCCTAATTTAGAGAGTAGAACTGGAAGAATTTTTGGCATTAATGGGCCCAATTCATCGCCAAAAGATTGAGGTAGATATACAAACAAACCTATATAACCTTCCCTAACGCTTGCTGCTGCTGCCACTGAGGTTGAAACAGATTCCACAGCTGAATCAGATGACAAAGCATCATCTTGGTTTTCCTGGTTTTTAAGGTGTTCCTGAGCTTCATTAGATGGAGATAAATTAGTATCCACATTTTTCTGGATTTGAGAAATAATAAAAGGAAGAATTTTGCTAAACTTTTCAATACCAAAAGCGGATAATACCTCAGCCAAAGAAGCAGATACTCCACTTTTTAAAGTCTGTCCAACCTCCATTGATAAAGTTTTGAATAGCCAACTTAATAAAGAAGACGCTTTTTCTTGACCAGTAACACTTACTAGTGCCTTGCATAACTTTGCTGTTAATAATCTTATTTCAGGTATCGGATCAGTTAATGTATTGTGTATTGAATTCTCTATTAAAGGTAAGAAAGGATCAACATCAGTTTTGTCAGCCAATAATAAAAGTAAGGAAGTTAATATCTGTATTGCATCCTTTTTTAATTCTGTTCCTCCTCTTTCCTGTATAGTTTTAAGTAAAACTGGGAATATCAAAGATAAAGTTGTAATATCAATTGCATGAACAAAAGTTACAGATTTTAAAGATAATAATGCTTTTTTAAAATTCAATTCTGTTGGATCTATTAAAGAAGTTATCAAATCCTGAGATATAAAGTTCACTTCTGGGTTCTTTATCAAGGAAGCCATTTTAAAAAGAGTCTCTCTTGCTGCATCTGATACTTTTGGATGAGAATCTGAAGTTGTCTGGTAAATTGTCTGTATTGCTTTTGGTAAATAGGAAGATAATTGGTGTGGAGAATTTAATGCCATAATCCCCAGTAACTGAAGGCTTGTTAATTTAATTCTCCATTGTTTTTCTTCAATACCTTCAGTTATTATTGGTAAAATTAGCCTTGCTCCATATCTTGAAAGGTTCTTAATGATGATTTCTGCAGACTTTTCAGAATAAAAACGAATCCTTTGATCGTTTCCTGAAAATAAATGCATTATAGATTTTAAGAATTGTATTGTATATGGTTCAATAATGTATTCTAAATATAAGCTTATTGATCCAATACAAAGCAGCAATCCTTCCAAACTATTCATTTCACTACTCTTCTGGCCATCTTGGAATTTCAATGCACTTTCCATTGCTTCTAAAATACCAAAATCTCGTAATCTTCTTACCGATATACCTTTACTTAATGAGCCAAATATATGTGCTGCTCCAATTCGTTCTCCAGGGTTTTCAGAATATAAAGCTTTGCATATAGAAATACTATAAAGCTCATAAACTGATAACCTTTCCCCTTTAAATGAGTCTTCAGAATCTATATTATATTCTAAATACTTATTCTTATCCAAATCTTCAAATCTGGAAATCCTCAATTCTTGTTCATTTTCTTGGCTACTGTAAAGCATCTTAAACAATCTTGGAAGAATTCTAGAATATTCTTGAGGGATATCAGTAAGTACTGGAAGTTGTAATTTAGAATTCGAATCTAATACAACATTTTTAATATTCTTTCTTACTAGTGATCCACTAAGTAACTCATTCATTATTTTACATGTAACCTTGTAAACTACTGGGTCAGAAGGAGAGCAGCATGATGCTATACTGCCAATAGCAAATGCCAAGCAATTATGAAACTCTTTTGGATTAATTCTTGGTTTATATTGAGATGATAAGTCTCTTAATATAATCAATATATTAGATGAAAGATACTGAACATCTTCTCTAGAAGATAGAGATACAAAAAAGTCAATAACAACTTTTTGTAAGTCCTCTTTACTGCTTAAATCATATCCTTGTATCTTAATCTTCTCTGGTGAGTCTTGTTTATTACCAAAGTTACCTACCAAATTTTTCACTGTCTTCTTTTCCTTACTCTTCATATTTTCATTGGCTTCTTCTGATAATGACCTTTCTTCTTCAGAAATGTAATCCTCAAAAACAACAGAATCAACCACTTGAGTAAGAATAAAACGAATGGATATATCTATAAAGGAGGAATCAGGCCCATCCAACTTTACAACAAGATCAGATAATATCAAAACTAATCCCTTCAAAGCATGTCTTGCCTGAATTCTTGATACAATCTTTACTAAATCATTATCAATCAAATTTGGCATTATTGATTCGAAATGTCGTATTGTACTCGGTACCATGCCTGAAATTAATGATCTCGTCAAAGTATTTGGCCAATCTTTGCTTGAAAAGATTTTCCTCTTTTCAAAATTATTAAATACTTTCTTTGAACTCTCTATAACTTTTTCCACAGTCTCGGAGCAACTATTTCCAGTTGAAACTCGTAATATTGATTTTGAAAAATTTGTTTGCTGTAAAGTTGAAATAACTGGCACCATTTGAATCTCAATCAAATCATCTACCAGCCTTCTATTCTGGTCTTTCAAATTTAATCCATCTTTGCCTTTTGTTAAATCATAATACCTTTCAATTAATCCTTCTGATATGTTCGAAATTAATGATAAATCCTCTAACAAAGAGCCATTATTTGGAATACTATTAAATACCTGAATTTCTCTGGCAATGCTTAAATTCATAAAAGTAAAGTAACTTATTTCTATCTTTGAATCTTCCAAAGCTCTCTTTAATGATTCCAAAACTAACAATCTAACTTGTGGATTAGCAAAAACTAATAATGAAGATACCAAATCCACCTCAACAATATTTACTGGTCTCAGTTCTGATAACACAATCCTTAAAGGATGCAAATACTGCTCCAAATCAACCAAATCACCCAGAGCCAATACATATAAATACAACATATTAGACAACTGAATCATTGAAATCTTTAGCCCACTATGCTTCATTGAACCAGATAAATATTCTATCAATTGGCTAACTATTTGTATCTGCTTGTCTGAATTAGTTCCTCTATCTTTACAATTACTATACAATACCCTGGAAATTATATACACCAATATTGAAGCACAGCTTGAATTCTTTAAATAAACCTGTGCAGAACTCGGCCTCTTGAAATTTATAGAGTCCAAAATCTCCTGTAAACATAAATTTCTACTCTCATCACTTTGCTTTGATAAGTAATCAACCATACTCCTCCCCAACCTATTATTTTCCAATATCAGCCTTTTAAATAATCTTTCCAAAACATCCAACCCGTATTGCCTAAGTGGTTTAAACTCCAACATTTTACTACACACAGAATACAAAACCTCTGATAATTCCAAATCCATTATACTAATTGCCTCATTATCTTCTCCTGCTGTCGAAATCCAATTCATCAATACCCCTATTATCACCTCCACTTCATTCTTTATATTTGAAATGATCTTATCAACATCTCTTCTTAAATTATTCTGTTCTAACAATTTCTGCTTCAATATTTCCCCCTTTGTCAAATTATTCCCTCCACTGCTATTATTTACACCCAAATTGCTATTGCATGTGGACAAATTACTACCGGTATTGGAACTTGCATGGATTCTTGCGTTCGTGTTATTTGCATGTAAGGCGGGAGTTTTTGTTGTTTTCCCAGTTTTTGACTTATTGTCATTTTGAGACTTTCTGAGTTTAGCCAAAGCAAAAGCAGAAGTAGTCGTGGTATTTGCTGAAGCAGAAGTATTGGCTTTAATTGTACTGGGAACTGTGTTCAAGCCTAGGTTTTTTGTGTTATTATCAGACACTAAATCCTTATTTCTTGAGAGCGGAAAATCATTTGACTCTTTACTACTAACATTTATAAAGGAGTTATTCTCCAAATTTGAAAGTATTTTATCGATCCAACACGAAGAGTTGGTTAGTAAGCTGTAAATCTCAGAAAACTCACAAAATTTTTGCTCATTACTTGTGAAAGATTTTAATTTTGTTGAGATATTACTTTGTAAATCCTGGATAAATCCTTGATCAGAGCCTTGTGATCCTGTAACATTGATGTCAAACTCAAATAGTTCGTTTCGATCAGAAATTATGAAATCTCCAAACTCAGTTGGTAAGCTATTTAGGAATTCCAGAGAATTCTTGAATTGAACTTTGAGCTTTTCAATTAAACTTAAAGTTAACTTCGAATCATTTGTGAATGTAATTATGTTTAACAGGTTCATTCCGGCACTTCTAAATCCCGATGTATCATTTATTGGAAGATATGTCAAATCTTTATACAGTTCAATCAATTTCTTATTCATTGTTTCTTTGATCTCCTCGGATTTATCCCAATTTCTTACCAAATTCTTAATAATATTTTGATGTAATAAAGCATTTTTCTTATTCAAAACACCTTTAGATTCCATAATTAATACATTAGATCTTGAATACAAGAGAGGATGATAACTACAAAGTAGAAAAACCAAGTAATATGGATATCCTATGATGGAAGGATCTCTTTTTGAAAATATTTCTAAATTCCCTAAAGAAACCCAAACCTTGAATAAATCAATTCTTCGCAACATAAACTCATTGTAAATAACATCTTCTAGTTTCCCTTCTTCTTTGTTCTTATTAATTAAAGAGTTTACTGAGCTTAAAATAGTGCCAAATGCAAGAATCAAATTTTGACAGAAACTCTTTTCGTTGAAAAAAGAGCTTATTCCTGATAGATTTGACAAAGAAAACAAATTCTTTTGTTTGTTTGGACAGTCAAAATTACACAGTTTATTCATTACAGGTCTTTTTAAGCCTGGAAACATTAGGCTGGCTTGAAAAGCTTCCATATTTACTGCTGAATACCGGAAAATGGTTGAGTTTAAATCCTCCTGCTCTGGTAAAAACGATAACACTCTACTCATTTGGATCAAAAAGCTAATTAAGTAATTGGCTGATTGAATCTTATTTGGATTTGACAATGTCAAAATATAAGATTTGAGGTCCATAGATTCTTCTTGGCTTTTCTGAAAATCTATATTAAAGTTTAAATTCGAATTTTCATTGAACAATATTTCCATTAAAACCAGTAGAATGTTAACTTCAAAATTGTTAATGTTATAAGGAAAGAAACCATAGTTACCATTTAAGAAGGTTTCCAACTTGACGAATAATACAGGAGATGTCTTTATATTGGGAACAATTCCCAAGCTCTTAAAAATGTTAGTTTCCCCTAAAATATCCTTTATTGAAATGATTTGACCTAAAACTATCATGGAAAGCCTCTTAGTATTAATAGTTTTATTTAAAGTCGATCCAAAGATCCCAGAGATATTACTATTGGAAATTATAATTTGTTCTACTTTAGACTTATCAAATAAATCAGTATCCTTGGTAATTCCAAGCTCCTTAAGTAATATAATAGAGTTAGTAAATGATGATATGATTAAAAGTTTGCAAGTTTCATTAATGGATGGATCTTTAATCAGAGACTGAACTTTTCCAAAGAACTTTTCTGAAAAAGGATGGTTTTTAGATCCATTTAATAATACATATGATAAAGAACAAATATGCACAGTTAAAGATTTGAAATGATCTGATGACTGGCTAGATATCATTGGAAGCTTAATGTCAATTAATGACAATAATAGATCTTGAGTTTTGTTGTCAAGATTATAATTAACAGGGTTACCTTCTAATCTGTGTCTGGAAAGACTTTCATGAACTGATCCAACTATTAAAAGTAATGAAACTTTGCTTTGATCAGTAGTTTTACTTGATGAAATAGCTATTATTGTCTCCTCAAGCCACTCCTGAAGATTGAAATGGCTCGGTATAAGCTGGAAACATATATTGAGAGAATTTTGTATAATTTGAATATCTTCAGGGTTTTGATCAGCTTTGCTATTATTTGATATTATACTAACAATAGAGGTTGAAATAGTTTCCGATAATATGGAGATAATATCCTTTAGTACATCTTCCATTTGAAAATGCCCTACAATATTTGGATGAATAAAAACCTTTAATAGATTGATTTGGTTCCATGGCATAGATGAATATCTTTTTAACTGTCTCAATAAAGCACTTATAAAAGGTTTAAGTTCTTGATCATGGTTTGGAAGTGTCTTAATCATTGATCCTAAGCTATACTTATAATAGGAGTCAACATCAGAAGCAACTATGCTGGAAAAACTATTTACGATTCCCATAATTAGCTCATTTGTTAATGTCTTATCAGAATGAATGTTCTCTATGTAATATAAAACAATATCAAAGATCAATTTCTGCTGGAAATTTAGCTTTTGTGAACTATTCATTCCAAAGAGCTCCACAAGCACCCATTCTTTCCATGTGTTTGGGCTATGTAACTCAAAGAATTCTGAAAATAACATTACAATTAAGTTATACTCACGTCTTTTTAGTGAATATAAACTATTAGAATGTTTTAAATAAATAGATCTTAAAATTTCCAAAATTTGCTTCTTCGATGCTTCATGGAGTTCTCTATCCTTTAATGATAGAAATCCTTCAAGCAGCCAAAGTCCTGCTGTTAATGTGTTAAATTTACTAGATAATGATAAAAAACACTCCAAAAATACCGAGTCATCATGCTTTCTTAACCAAACACCAAATTTTCCAAGGAATTTACTCCAAATGTTTCTATATAATTTATTTTGAGTAAGGTTGGCCTGATCCCTCAAGATCTGAATTTCAGCTACTGCTTTTTTTAAGGTCTCCTCTTTTTTGTCAAGTTCAAAAATTTTAAAATCTGGGATGTTTTTTATATTCTCTCCATTTTCGAGCAAATTCTCGTTTTGGATAAAATCTGTTTCTGATTCCATCAAGAAAACATCCAAATTGGTTTTTTCCCTCTATGCTGTGCAAACTTGAAAAGCTAGTTTACTTCTACTGAGATGGGACTGATTGTGATTCAAAAATCTACTGTTTAAAGTCTCAGGTTCTCCAATTCCACCAACTGAACAGAGTCTGCTCTGTGTTTTTATTTTATTACTAAATTTATCTTAATTGTTTCTAACTTTTTTTTTATGCCCTGATACCCCTTACCCTCAAATTACTGTATTTTTTTTGACTTTTGGCGCCAAATGTCAAAAGTGAATATTATTAATAATTCTCAATATTAACTGTAGGTAAGAGATCTTTATGTGTGAAAATTGAGTGCATCCAGTAAATCTAAAACTTGATATTTCATAGCTAAAATTAAATAAATCCTTTAGCTTTTTTTACTTTTCACTCATTTTTCTTGAGAGCTTAATAATGTCATTTTTCAAAATTTATCTATCATTATATAACTTTGTGAAATTTAAACAAAGAGAACTTCGTAAGAATTTTGTTATATTTTGATTAGTTTAAAACTATTATTTGTGTTAACTAAACACTTTTTTCAAATTAGTTTGTTTATATTGAATACAGAACTATGTATTTTAGTCTAAAATATTTAGTGCATTGAGTATATTATATTAATACATCATTGGCCTATATAACTTTCATATAAATATAATAAATTGCATTCAATGTTACTTTACAAGAAATACCAATCATATTTTGGTCAAGTTCATTTTCAAGTACAATCCTTAATGAAATTTATAAAAAAAAATAAGAACAACCTCCCTCTAAGAAAATAAGGAAAAATTTAAAAAGAAAACCAAAACAGAAATCTAAGCTCTAGCTATTTTTCTCTCCACTTATCCACAGTAGCTTGCATGTTGTTCTAATCAATTTACTAAAATAATTTGGTTTGGGCGCCATAAGTCAGGCGCCATATTTAAGGGGCACTATTTAAAGGAATGATCAAAAGAGAATTCAACCAAAAAGTGAATTAATGGATTTGACAACAAAGTTATCAAGGTTTGTGATCAACTATGACCCTAGTTCAAATGATGTAGAGCCTCTTCCTTTAGCTTGTGATTCTCAGCAGGTGGTTTTAAAACCTTTTAGGGACTATTCTTCAGACTTAAAGCTGAAGCTGGATCACGACAAAAGACCTATATGGGTATTTCCAGACGGATTAATAATTATTGAAACTTTTCACCAAAGTAGTAAAGCTGCGTGTGAATTTTTGGTGACTATTTCGGAACCTCTTAGTAGGCCAGAGCTGATACATGAATATCAATTGACTATATTTTCCCTTTATGCAGCAGTATCATTGGGAATAACGGTTGACTCAATTATAGAGACACTTGGAAAATTTAGCAAGAATGAGATTCCTGATGCTTTGGTGAATGCAATTAGAGGTCATTGCAAACTTTTTGGGAAGTTAAAAATTGTATTATTGGATGGAAGATACTTCGTTGAAGCTACTAGCAGACAGGAACTGTCTTATTTGCTTTCTGATGAAAGAATCAAATCTGCTAGGATTATTAAAAAAGTTAACAGCTCATCAAGTGCTGCACCAAGTACAACTGGAACTAACGCAGGTAATAGGCCTGAAGAAGATGATATTAATAAATCAGATTTTAATGTTGCTCAGGCTCCAAGTTTGAATCCAAATGATCTTGCCTTTAAGATTAGTGAAAATCCTAATAAAAACAAGGATAATAACGAAAATACTGCAAGTAGTTTATCTTTAACGGACCAAACCTCCAATAATAATTCAAATTCCAACTCTAACAATATGATTTATTCTTTTGAAATTTCTGGTGATAAAGTGGATATTGTTACAATGGCATCATTTGTAACTCTTCATAGGCCATTGTTATCGGAATATGACTTTAGATCCGACTCAAAAAACCCTAATCTAGATGTTTCTCTGAGGCATACTACTCAAATTAGATATTATCAAGAGCAAGCTTTAAGGATGATGTTTAGTAATGGGCGTGCTAGATCTGGAATTATAGTATTACCATGCGGAGCAGGGAAAACTTTAACAGGTATTACTGCAGCATGTACAATGAGGAAGTCAGTATTAATATTAACAACAAGTGCAGTGGCAGTTTCTCAGTGGAAGTTCCAATTTGAACAATATACGACAGTGGATCCAAATAAGGTCCACTGTTTAACAAGTAGCAACAAAGAACCTCTTGGTCCGACTTCTGAAGCTGTTGTACTTGTTACTACATATACTATGATGGCATTCACAGGGAAAAGAAGTACCTCTTCATCTCAGATTATTTCACAAATACAAGAAAGAGAATGGGGTTTACTTATATTTGACGAAGTACAATTTGCGCCAGCTCCAGCTTTTAGAAGAATTAATGGAATTGTTAAGGCTCATTGTAAGTTGGGTTTAACAGCTACTTTAGTAAGGGAGGATGACTTAATTCAAGATCTCCAATGGTTGATTGGTCCAAAGTTATATGAAGCAAATTGGATGGAATTACAGGATAGAGGATACTTAGCAAGAGCACTTTGTAGTGAAGTATGGTGTCCAATGACAGCGAGCTATTATAGAGAGTATTTAGATTGTTCTCATGCTAAGAAAAGAAAACTTTGGGTATGTAATCCAAATAAATTAAGGGTTTGTGAGTTTCTTATTCGTTGGCATGAACAAAGAGGAGACAAAATCTTAGTTTTTAGTGATTCTTTATTTGCTTTAATTAATATTGCAGTGGCACTAAAGAAACCATTTGTATGTGGTAGTGTTGATACTTTAGAACGTATTAAAATTCTTCAACAGTTCAAGGAAAACCCGAACTTTAATACAATATTTCTTTCCAAGGTTGGTGATAATGCAATAGACATTCCATTAGCCAATGTTGTAATTCAAATTTCTTTTAATTTTGCTTCGAGACGTCAAGAAGCTCAGCGTCTTGGAAGAATCCTAAGGCCTAAACCATACTCTGGTATGAAATCGGGGAAAGTGATAAACAAAACATCAGAAAATACAGACATTTCGGAGCAACCATATAATGCTTTCTTTTACTCCCTTCTTTCGAAAGATACAGAGGAAATGGAGTATGCTGATAAAAGACAACAGTTTATTATAGATCAGGGATATAGCTACAGAGTAATGACTATGGACTCTTTTCCATTAGAAAATGAGAATCTGCAATATAGTGATGTTGAGACACAAGAAAAAATGCTTGAATTGATTAAACAAAGTGATGATAGTTTGGATGATGATGAGCTTGGGGTCAATATTGATGAAATTGGAAAGATATCTAATAACAGTGATATTCTCAGTTCCACTATCACAAAAGTGTCTAACATTGATCAGATTTCATCTACTGCATCTACCTCATTTTCTTTGAATTTATCAAAGAATATTGGTAAAGATTCTTTGGAAAATCCAAACCAAACTATAAGAAGGCCAGCATTGTCTCTGAAAAAGAACACAAGCAAAGCAAAGATTAATGAAATGCATTCCTTATTTAGGCAATTTCACAAAAACAGATAACCTATAATATATATTTCTTCATAAATTTTCTATGTTGATCACTATGTAATATATCATTTATAAATCGTTTTTTAGGCTGAGAAACTCTGTTTTGGTTTCTAAAAACAGTATCTTCTGTCCATCTTTTCTTCAAAATATATTCTTCTTTGTCGGAATCACCCTCATCCCTACCATTTTCATGATACTCTTCCAACAAAGGATTGTTTTGCATCATCAGCTTGATATCATTGTTTTTTTTCTCCTTTTCTTTTTCTGCTCTCTCCTTTTTAATTTTCTCTAACTCTCTGAGCAGGTCTTCATCATCATCCAGCTCATTTTCCTCGCCTTCATCCTCAAGCTCAAGCTCAAACTCCCCATCACTTTCCGCACCCTTCTTAATATTTAAATTATTATTATTAACTTCTGAGCTTAAGGAGTCATTTATGATATTATCCACTGGTTCAGAAAGACTAGAGTTTTCAATTTCTCTTTCAACCTTAATAACTGATTCAGCTTTTTTAGTCCCAGTATTATCTCTTCTATATTTTAAAGTTAAATGCCCTCTTTGATCAGATTTATGTACCTTCCTAGATTCAATTGTGTACCTATTGACGGCATACCCACTCATAATTTGTCTAAAAGTCGTTTCTTTGTAAGCATAACGTTCGATTTACACAAAAACCTTTTTTCTTTCTTTTAACTTGCATTTGTAAAAAGAATATATACCGCCAAAAATTCGTGATACCCGCCAAAAGTTATATTTTTATTTAAATATTTAATTAATCAGATTAAAAAAATGAAAATAAAGAAAGAAAATGAGAAATAAAGAATTGAAATCATGTTATTCATATGGGTATTTTAAAATAATCAGTTCTAACTATTAACCTTTTTTATCTATAACACGCTTTATTATATGTTGATTAGTTCAATTTATTAATAATAATTGATAAATGTAAAATGTGGGGAAATGACGTCATTTAGTATTGCAAATTTGCATGCGCATGCAAACATACAGAGAAATGTAATTATTAATCACAATAGTGAACCTCAGATAATTTTAATTAGTATTATCTCTTTTAAAATTTTTCATTCTTTTTTTTTTAATAAAATGCTTTAACATAGTTTTGAACCACAATATAACAAGAATAGTCAATTACAAAATACTTGAGTACTCACAATAATATTATGGTAATCAAATCAATTAAAAAAGTAATTATTTGCTGAATATATTAGGTGAGAAAATCAATAAAAAATAATTAATTAATTAATAAGAAATTCAAGTTAATAATAGAGGGATAGTGCAAAATGAAAGGATCAGAAATTGGATTTATAGAGGACGAGAAGAATGAAATAGTTATCATAATAGATTCCCAAGACCAAGAAGATTTTGCTGTAGTTGAAGAGATTGTAAATGAGGAGAATATATTAATTGAGGGCCTTCTATGGGATGACAAGTCGATTCTGAACCAAATTGATCAAATTAATCAAATAACGAGTAAGAACTTTGAGAGCATAAAAGAAGAGGAAATTTCAGTTGAAAAAATGGATGAAGAGTTTGAATATGAAGAATTGAAGTATGAGATAATTAATAACTTAGAGGGAATCGAATTAGAGAATGAAATAGTGAATGAAGAATATTTAAAAGCTATAAGAGAGAACGAAAACGAAAACAAAAACGAAAACAAAAACGAACACGAAAACGAACACGAACACGAAAAAGAAAAAGAAAAAGAAAACGAAAAAGAACAATGTTTTGATATTGCTAATACAAAAGACTTAACTATTTGCCTTCCTGAATTTCTCAAAATGACAGAACCAAAAGTAGATGTGGGAGCGGAAAATCACCTAATTGATTATGTATTAAACAAAAATTTGTTAAAGGTTTTATTTTTAAAATACCAGGCATCAAATCAGACTCAGGGCCTTAGGGCCATCAATTATTTAAATAAAGTTCAAAATATTGTAAAAGATCATTTTCAAAAGTCCCGAAAATACAATAGTATGGTTATATTAGACTTACAAAAAAAGAGTTTAAAAAGCAATTCGAAAATTAAGTCCATAATGATGAATCAGATGGATTATTTATTGAAATACGAGAAAAATAGTAAGAAATATCTCCAGCTGGAAAGCTTAACAATCCAGAAAGAAGTAGAAGAGAATAATTCTTTAACTAAAGATGTTATTAGTGTGCTTAGGCCATCGACTTTTAATCAAACATTCAAAAAGAACCACTTGAACTGTAACACAGAAAAATCACTATTATATATTGAAATAAAGGATATTGAGCAGCTTGAAGCAGATTATTCTACAGAAAATCAAATTTTTGAAGTAATAGAGGAAACTGATGGTGAATTTTGTAATAGTTTGGAGTCAGTCAATCCCAAGCTTGAAGGTGAGAACTTTGAATTAAATGCAAATTTGGAATCGGGCTCACATGAACATCTTGAAGTAGAGGAAAATCGCATGATTAAAGTCTTAGAATCAGAATCAGGTTTTGAACTTGACCTAAACATAGAATTAGAACTAGAACCAAAATCTGAATCAGAAATAAGAACAAAATCTGGTTTGGAATCAGTATTGAAATTGGAAGAATTAAATGACGAATTCGAGGTAGGGTCATCAAATTCAATTTTAAATGTGGAGTGCAAAGAAAATCCAGAATTTTTGATCTGTAAAGGATTTGAAAAAACAAAAGACGAATTGGAATCTCTGGGTTGTAGAATCACGACAATTGAGATTTCGGAACCAAAGTTGGAAAATCAAAGTATGGAAGAGGAAATCAAATTAAAAGAAATGTATTCTAACCAGTCTTTAGTAGATTCTAATAGCATTTGGGGTCAAAATGGGTCTGTTGAGAAGAAGAAAGATACTCCTAAGTCAATAGAAGAAGGGAATGACGATATATTGGTAGAATTAATAGTATCCCAGGATGAAAACCTTTCAGAAAATAAAAAAGATGATCAAACTGAAAACCTTACTAAATTTGAGTCAATAGAAAACTTTGAAATTTCAAGGAAAAACTCTCAAATGCTACCGAATTTAGTGGGGATTATGGGCTTTGAAGAAAGTAATGATTATAGTGAAATTGAAAAAAAACAAAGTCATATAGAAGCTGAAAATATCAAAACAGAAAGAATTGCAACTACTAACCAAGAAAATATAAATGCAGATAATTTTCAAACTGATCAAAATATGCAATTCAAAATGGATATTAGTGAAACAAAGCAAGATGATCGAGAAAAGTTGAGTAAATCTAACCACGAAAAAGACATATTTAAGCTTATTCAAGGCTTCCAAAGTAGTAAAGAGTCAGATTGCTCTCCTTTCCGCGAGAAATCTGAAACTCACCATAATAAGAAGCCAAATAGATCTTCTCCGTATTATTGTTCACATGGAAAGAATAATAAGAGCTTTGGAGTATTTGATCAATTAATAAGTTTAGCAAAAAATCGAAATATTGCAAGAACTGTCTCAAAAGACCTTTCTAGGGAAAGTATTCGTGCCATTGAAATAATTAAAAAATCCAGAAAACCAAAGTAGGAGCCAATTCTAATCACACATCTGTTATTTATATTATTTGCATTAACAGATTTAATATATATAAAATTGGGGTGTTGGCGCCAAAATGCATTAATTAGAAGATTAAAAAGTAACAAGGCTCGGAAAAGACAAATTTTCAAAAAAATTGAGTTTAAGAAGAAAAGAAAGGTTTTTGAGTTTCTCTAAATTGGAAATTAAAAGCAATATTTGATGTTTATGTTAAGAATTTTAATGATATGGTAAACTCTTACTGAATAAAAAAAGTGTTCTTTAATATAGTACCAAATATGGCAGGTGCTGACGAGTTTATGTATGGTGATAATACCTGTAGGTTTTCAAAAACTCCTCAAAATATCTTAATAATTAAGAGGCCGAGGTCACCAAACTCTACAATACTAGCGGTGGAGCTGGCAATCACATTAACAAAAGTGTATGATGCAGTTGTATATTGCGAAGATGAGGCAATCCATGATATGAAGGCTATAAACCCGGATCTAGAACTAAATTCAATATCCCAAACTCAAGTTGATTTAGGAGAGATCATTGATCTTGCAATTTCACTAGGTGGGGACGGAACATTGCTTTGGCTATCACACTTATTTCAAACGTCCGTTCCCCCAGTTATAAGTATTGCAATGGGATCCCTTGGCTATATGTCATTGTTCCATTACTCAAAAGCTAATGACATTGTTGATAGGATAATGAGGAAACAAACTTTTGCTGTTTCACTAAGATCAAGGCTGACACTATATGTTCCTCAGGAAAATGGAGATGTATTACAAACTTCTTGTTTAAATGAGTGCGTATTTGAAAGAGGAAACAGACACTGTCTTGCTTCCATCGATGTGTACTGCTCCGGAAGTTATTTTACAAGAGTATTTGCTGATGGTTTAATTTTAGCAACACCCTCTGGTTCAACAGCATATTCAATGTCTGCAGGTGGAAGTATTGTGCATCCGAAGGTATCTGGGATACTTTTCACTCCAATTTGTCCTCATACCTTATCTTTTAGGCCAGTAATACTACCAGGTTCAACCGAACTTTTGATTCATGTTCCAGAATCTTCTAGAAATGGGGTCCAAGTTGCTTTAGATGGAAGAAGAGTTGCAGAGCTAAAAATTGGGCAGTTTGCAGCAGTGACAATGTGCTCATATCCTCTTCCCTTAGTAATTTGTCCACAGATTTTTGATTTTAATGAGTGTTTAACTCCAGAGTTTGAACTTAAAAGTAAAAGAAGGACGATTGACTCCACCTACACTTATCAGGACATCCTTCAAAGTATAAGAGAGGTTAAAACTATGAATTCTTTAGGTACTGATGAGCATTGTATTTACTCTAATGAGAATCAAATTTTCGTATGTCCATGTTGCAGAAAGCCAGATAATTGCTATTGTGGGATCGAAAAAGATGCTAATATTCCACAGGAGGATTATGTTAAAAAAAAAGACCCTGTATACAAAGAAGACTATTGGCTAGATTCTTTAAACAATTACTTGGATTGGAATTCACAGAGAACTGCTCAAATTCCTATTGATCTACAGGAAACTGTCTCTGGAAGTAAATATTCGGAGTTTCAGTCAAGCCTGAGGAAGAAAAGTGCAGGGTCTAGTCCTAGAAACCTTAATACTGATAGAAAGATCGCCCCTCCAGAAACACTAAAGTTTCTTGAACAAGTGAGAGTAATTTGGAAGCATGACAATGAATTCAAACATGAATGTCTTCCTGACTTTAATAATTCGGTAACCTGTTTAAATTCAAAACTAAGGTACTCATCCCCTTCCGCGCAAAAGACTACAGAGAATACTATAAGCCCTACCACTTCCGGAGATAAATTAGAAAATACTGTCTCTATACATCTTAATGCAGATTTTGATTCGTCCAATTGGAGTCAGAAAAGCAATAACACAGATTCCACAGTTAAGTCAAATAAAAGCAAAACTCCTTTTTTTACTCCAGTAAAAACTCCAAGTGTGATAATTTTAGATCGTAAATTATGACTAGTAATTTAACACATATATAATTTACTATTGTGTAAAAATTGTCTCTATTATCTTTATTAAATATTAATTAATAGCTCTATATAAAGGTATTTTTCAATTATTTACTTCCTTGCTAATTGATTTCAAAATTTTTTTTAAAAAAACTCACTTTTTACCATAAATCCTTTCCTATTTATAGCTATTCGAGAGAATCCAACTCCCAAATGGAATACTTTCCGTCAAACCCATAACAAATTATGGTTGATGAGTTTGGAATAAAAACCTTCATTATTGGTCTTTTATGCACCGAATTCTGAGTATAGTGTTTTAGTGGATCGAAATTCATTTGCCATACTGGGTCCAGATAATTTGGCAATATGGCGCCATTTAATTGGGTTGCATGAATCCACATGCAACTCTTTTCTTGCATGAATAAAACCGGTATGCAGTCATGACCAACGGCGGCTAAAAGTTTTTCATGCACAAATTTTAAATTAATTAGAGGCAGTCCGTTCCACTTTAGAGAAGAGTTGAGAAATTCTAGTTTTTTGTCAACTTGAGTAAAATAAAGAAAAGAATCTTTGTCGGTGAATACGATTTGATTACCCTCAGGGCTGATATCACAAGCTAAAATGGCATTTTGACTTTCGAATGATAAAAGACTTTGAAGAGAAAGAAGTTCCGAGAAGTTTCCATTGAGGTTTTCATCTGGAAGATTAGAACTTTCAATCGAGACTCCAAGAATAATACCCTTATTTTCAAGTCCACCACAAGCAATGAATTTGCCGTTATTACTCCAAGCTAGACAGGAAAGAGGAAGCTCAGAGAGTTTAATTTTAAGTTGTTCAAATATATACAAATCTTTCAGGCCAGTTTCAGACAAAATATTTTTCTCGCTTCCCAAGCTTGGACTTCTATTGGAAGTAAAGAAAAAGAGTTCTCCAGAAGTTGTGGAAACTGCAAAACTGCAGAATTCTCGAAATGGGGAAAATCTACAAAATATTGGATAGCAGTCTGACTGGATGCAGTTTACCGCAGAAAAAACTACTCTCAATTTCTCAGGAAAACCATCTTTTTCAGCCTCTGCTTTGAGAAGCCAAACAATAACAAGGCGATCTTCTCCAGCTGAAACTAGCTGACTATAAGAAGAATCCTTCGAGTACTTTACAGGTAGTAAGGACCAGTCTATTGAAACTATTTGGTTCCTATGCTTCGACAGTTTGATCAAAAAGTTGCTTGGATGTAAATTATTTAGCTGGTAAATTTGAATACTTCTTTTATCACAGACTAACGAAACATCTAAGAGCAGAAGAAAAAAGTTAGTTCAACTCATCAAAAGTCACCCCAAATCTAAAACTTACATTTCCAACTCGGATGGAAGCTTACTCCAGTTACACTGGTCTCCAATTGCTTATCAATTAACAGCTTCATTTTTAAAGTCCTATTGCTTTATTAAATTTGTCCGAAATCCAACAAAGTTCACTTTTTAATTTCAGAAAATATAAATCGAAGACATTAAAAGCTCAGCATATAATTGTTCCACTCCATTCACTATTCATTCCATTAATCAATCCTTTTCTCAGTTAATCTTGTGGGATTATTTATACTATAATACTAAACCTTAGGCGCCAAGTGTGGAGTCTGTTTTGGCGGTAACTTGAATAGAATATTGCATGAATATTGCAGGAAGTTTTCAAATGAAGAATAAGCAAATTCAAAAGCTTCTGAATTATTGATCATTAAACAAAATATAAGAGATTTTCTAGAGGAGCTAAAGTCTGAAAATTAATACTTAAGAAAAAATGAGTTCCATACTTAAAATTGTGCAAAATATGAATATTTTCACAAAGCAGATATACTTGTAGTTGCCCAAGCTGTTGAATTTGGTGAGTTTTAGAGCCGAAATTTCGAAAATTATCTTATTAAAGCAGCAAATCATGAAAAAACTACAGTAATTGTTTTTATTATGGGCCTTTAACTAGGACAATTCTTCAACGATATCGAAGTATGTTGTCCAATTCTGTTTCATATAGTTTTCTCTGATAAAGATAAAAAAAAGAAGGCTTGCTGTGTTCAATATCTGTCTCCGATAAAAGTGCGTCTTTAAAGATCCTAAATGAGAAAGAAACTACAGTCTCCCACATAATAAATGGTTAAAACTGGTAACCAATAATCGCAGGTGTACTTCAGATGAAAGTATAGAAACCTTCGTTACTCCGTAAAACCCATTATCCTTTTTCTGATACGTGGGATTGGAAAAATTCAGAACAATGAACATGTTTGGATTTGTTATTTAGATCTACAGAGTTTTACTCTTTTTTTAGGATAGACACGTTCAAATTATATGAATGAATAAAGCAACACAATTACAATGGATTTGATTCTGAAATGGATTCTAACTTGAAGAAGGTTTATTGTTTATTTAACAACCATTTCTAGAAACTCAACGAAAATTTCTATTTTGCTCCCCAAGCTATATTTCACTTTCTTGAGTAGCTTAGAAGAGCTTTGAATCTTACAAAAATGGGAACTCAACATTCAAACTTATCCCAAGAAATACCCATTGAATGGTTATATTTTTTGAAAATCATTTGGAGACGCAAAGTAGATTGCCTGATTAATGATAATGAGACTTTAAATAAAAATACCTAACTCTAAAAGATTACTACTCTGATATTCTAAAGATCATAAAAATGCCAAAAAACAACATTCATATTTAAAAACGTGAATCTCTGGATACTTGCAATAATAAGCTCAACCAAAAGAAGAGAATAACATGTCATTTTAAGATCTTATAATTCTCTAGTAATTCAGTCAATTGAATAACCAGATACTATAATGTAATTAAGCAGAAGGGTTGGAGTCATGTTTTCTCTTCTTATTCTTATTACTATTGGACTCCAAACTTTTTTTACAATTCGAAGTCTTGATACTGTCCCTAATCTCATTCTTCTTAGAATGGCCCAGAGAAAAACCAAGATCTAATTCTGATTTAGTCTGTTGACTGCTACTACAAGAAGTACTTTCGCTTTCACCATCTTCTTTACTATTAACTGCCAAATATAAGTTAAGAATGTGAGAATTAATCTTGTAGATGGCTTTATTAAACAGTGCAAGGAGCTGAGTAGAAGGAGTGGATAGTTCCAAAGAAATCTCATCAATACTTTTTCTTTGAGATCCAAGTCCAAACAAAACTGCAGATTGGAGGAAAGAAATGGAGATATTTGGAAGCCTATTTTCAAAATAAAGCTGGCTTATTGTTGGTATTAAGTCAGAAATGGATGAGTAATCAGCCATTTGTCTGGCATATCGTGTAAGACGGGTACAATCATTATCTGTTAAAAAGCAATGGAGATTACTTTCATTTAAAAGAGGTTTAAGTTGGCAAATATCTCGAGAAGAATGCGATTCAGAAGGGACCGAATTATGCTTATTAATGAGATTTTTATAAGACATACTCAGAGAAAGTGCAAGGACCACAGGCATCTGTTTAAACTGAGGAGATGAGACATATTGAATAGTTCTTGATGAGAAATCCTGGACTAATGGAGATAGCCAACAATCCCCAATTGACTTAAGCAAAATAACAGAGTGTTCTCCGGTTACCTCACTAACTTGTTGTCTGATATATACTGGTAAAAATCCCAACTTTGACCAGAACTTAAGAAGCTCGGAGGTGATTCCAAAGGCAGTTCCTATATAGTCAATTCGTTCATTTTCTTTTAAAATATATTGGATATCTTCAACTGGCTCTAACAAAGGAGGAATTTCCTTTTCTCTTTCCAAAATCTCACTCCTAAGATCCGAAGAACCAGATTCGCTTCTAATAGAAGGAATTATTTCCTTTCTAATCTTTACCTGGGATTTTGGCAAATCTCCCATTTGAATATATTGAGTGGGATCCGAATATGAATTTTGGTTGTTTTCACGAAGGTTCTCTAGTTTGGTAATGAGTTGTTTAATGGCATAAGTACCATATCCCATTCTTTGAGCTGAAGGATGGGTAGCTATCCTTACAATTCTAATTCCAGTTAACTTTCCAAAATCATCTCTAGCAAGATGATTGCATAATGTCCAAGGAATAAGATCGCCAGAAGGTTTTAATCCTCTAGAAAGAGAGGCTTTAATATGCTCAGAGGTAATCGATCCTTCAACAGCTACTTGAATTGCGACTAATATTGGTGGTATGCTTTTAGTATTTGGATCAAATGGAGGTAGTAGCACGAATATTCTATGCGTGGGGGCATCAGAAAGAAGCATCAAGTCATTTGGAGTATTCTTATAATGTGAAGAAACAAACAATGACATTAAATTATGAAGAAACTTTTCACTGGCTGAATGGTAAGAAAACAAGGCATCTCTATCAACATGATATAGTGTACATAAAGACGGAGGTGCCAAAGTCTTTGAAAGTGATTTAGAAGGAGATCCAATATCTCCGGAAATTTCCTCTCCAACCAGTTGAGGAGGATTTGTAGAGTCCAAACAAAGTAGGGTGTGTAGCCAAGACTCAATGGGATCGTTTCTTCCATATCTTATAGGTTCTTCCAAACTAAGCTCTGAGAAAAAATTACCAGAGAAACAAGACTGATTGGTTGTGCTACTACTGTTGGATAAATTACAATTATTGTTTGATGATTTCTTTTTAAGATCATTAATCAGTTTAAGAGAAAGAGCTCTTCCAGTACCTTCATATCCATTAATAGTTGATGAAAATATGAATAAATGATTCCCAAGAAACTTTTTAACAATTGGGAGTGGTATAGCAGCAGCTTCATCCATTACTACTATTTCGGCTTGAGAAACTAAGTGAAAATCTTCAGGCTTAATATACTGGATAGTTTGTCTATGCTCTTTAAATATGTTAACTCTAATAAGCCTGGAAACTGAATGAGAAAAATCCCCCCCAACTCTAGAATCTATTGTTTTAGATCTAACTAATTCAAAATGTTTGTGTTCAAGATATCCAAGACTTTGAAGTCCAATCTCAATAAATTCAAAAACTGTTAATACATTTTCAGCTGAAGGAGCTGTAATAAATATGTTACTATATCCCTGTGTTACAGCGCATGCAAGGGAAAGTCCTAATGCTGCAGATTTACCCCTTCCTCTTCCAGCCGTTAAAGAAATTATTGCATTCATGTTCTTCTGAATAATAACTTCAGTCATCCTAAGGACTGTTTGAGCCTGGTCAAAGGTAATACAGTTAGAAATAACCTTTCCAATCTCAGTATCCTTTACATTTTCCTCTAACTGAAGATGCTCAGGAGTTTTTTTGTATAATAATGCATGATTGCGTATGGAGTTTGAATTTTCACTACCTTTTCTTCCAATATAATCCTCTTCTTTCTTTTTAAATGTCTTCATCTCCAAAATATGGCTAGATATTGGAAGTATATTTAATTCATCATCAACTACTACGCAATTACCACAAGAAGATAATGAAAGAATAAATCTGGGAATAAATCGTGAAATAATACTTCCAGAATATAAATCTTCATTACACTTTAGCTTTCCATGAAAGTCCATTACAGTTTCATATAAATTTCTCAAAGATGACATTGTCTGAAGGGTAATACAAATCACACCTCCTCCAGAAACTGTCTCAATTGTTCTACACAAGATATTGGGAGTTATTGCCTCAAAATCCTGAAGAATGCACATACCAAAAGTTCTACCCAGAATGCTGTGACTGTCTTTATAATAACAATATCTAATTTCTGCATTTGTAACAAAAAGCTCAAATGGATCCTCTAACTGCTCATCCAATTTTCCCTGCTTAGCCTTCTTATTTCTCTGCTTCTGTCTTACCTTTCTATGGCTGCTAAATCCCAATTCCTTCTTGTAACACCACAAAATTGAAGGTTTCTTTGAGTGAATATTACTCAATATATAATACAGATTACAAATTTGGTATCTGCTATTATCTCCAACTATCACAAACATACACCTAACTCTCTTTTCTCTACACTCTTCCAGCAGTAACTTTAGTCTGCTATCCACTAATTTTTTCATCTTTTATTTGCAATTATCCTACTTGATTCGCTTTACTTCATATATCTTCCAAACTTTTGTTCCAAATAATCTGTAAAAATCAATCACTTTCTCTTAAAATATGGCCTTGGAAAGCTTCTCTTAAATTTCTAACTTTCCGATTATTTCTGGTAGCTTTTCTCCTTCACCAGGAATTGTCAAGTATGGACATAATATTATTCGGCGGTCCCGCCAATCACAATGGCGCTCTGGTCAGTTTTTAAATATATTTAATTTACATCACTTCTTAAAGTTTAATTCGACTTTCAAAACTGTAGCTATCTTTTCTTGTTTACTAGCAGTCACATGAACTTTATTAGTGTGTTATTTTGCGTTTTTCCTTATTATATTTTAATTTTTCCTTTGCTCATTACGAATTTTATATCCAATCTCCAAATTGAATTACTCAAGTTTTTCTCTTTTGCATGCATTAAACTCTTTTGACTTTAATGTGGATAGCATGTATACGAAAATTCAATACCGGTCTGCAAATCATTTTAAAAAAAATACACGTCATTGCATGCACTGCAAGTATGCAACTAGTCGTTTAATCACAGATTGGAAAAAAAATAGAAAAAAGGGAAAAAACAAAATTATAAATGTATGAATCTTTAATCAAGTTGGAAGAAATTAATTAGAAAAATGCCGTAATAAAGTTCTCCATTTAAATTTAAATGGGTAAAGATACTTCTTTATAATCATAAACTAATATTTATTAACTTTTTCAAAAAAAAAAGTCAAAAGTGATAACGCAACTTAGAACTTAAATTATATATTGGAAGAAGAAAGTTTTTATCAATTCTTAAGGAGTTTAGATGAATTTGAAATGAATCTATTAATATAATTAAAAATCCCATATTTTTTTCCTTGGTTAACTGGGTAATTGGATCCTAAATTGATGTAACTGTCAAACATATTTCTAGAATCTGAACGGTCATAATAATAAGAAAAAAGATAAGATCCATAGAATCCGTCCAAGATTTTGTAAAAGTTATCCCAGTGGAGAATTTCCTCAAACTTAAGGCGTTTATATAAGTTAATTGCACTAGAGTTATAATCAACAACATGGAGAAATATTGCATTTACTGTAGGATGGAATTTTTGATAATATCCTATCACAATATTTAAAAGTTGTTTACCAATCCCAAGAAATCTGAACTCCTCAATTACGCCCATTGTTAAAACATAAACAAGATATTTGTAAACATTCGCTCCAAAAGGAAATGGACTAATTTCGAAGCTTTCATCTTGAATCTTTTCACGCAACTCTTGTAACAAAAATTGATCCGGTATACTCTTTATTACATGCTTATAATCATTATCTTTAATGATCCTACAGTCCTGAGAAGTTGTAACAAAGCCAATAATCAACTCATCGCTTTCAAAATAGCTGGATTCTGAACTTTCTCTTAACCTCCAAACAGCCACCCAGCCATGAGTTATCCCAGAAGCAATGCCTTCGTAAAACTGTTTATCATAAATTATTGGAAAGAGCTCCTTATGAAGTTCTTCAAGTTGAGTAACATCTTCCGGGATCACCCTTCTAAAGTCAATAATAGGATTTTTTAAAGGGCTCTCCTGTTTCCAATTCTGGTATATATCATGGACTCTACTACATCTGGCCGGATTTTTGAGCTCTGGAGGAAAAGCTGAAGAAATTGTTGTCATTTATAAATATATATACATATCACAGGTACCCTCAATCTTAACATAAATACAAGAATCAGTGCATCTCTACCACCGTTTTGGGTATATTGTCAATTTCCAAAAAGCTTCTTAGTTCCAAAATAATAATCCAGTCTTTTTTCTCAAGAATGTCAGTTTAACAAACTTTTTTGATATATTAATCAACAAAAGATAGAATTCCCCCTTCTTATGTATAAATTGGTAATTTATTACAATCAATATAATTTTTTTCACAACCACCAATTTTATTTACATCATTCAGAGGTTAAATAAACAGGGGGTTATACTTTTAGTTCATTGCTTTGTTTAAATGTTGGCGCTCAAATTTCAAAATACATGCAAATAACTTAATATTCAATTGTTAAGAGTTTGAAAATTAACCAAATTACTTTAAAACTGAGGAACTAAATAGAACCAGTTGGGCCCATCCAGGAAGCAAACGAAACCTTTCTCTGAAAAACTGAGCTCCCATCACATATTTGTTTTTGCTTAATGAAGAAGAATTATTAAGGCATTTCATATGTTTGCAGATGTATTTGAGAATGTGAGTATCTACTGGAACAGCAGCAGAAAATCCAAACCCAGACAAAAGCACAAAGTCTGCAACTTTTTGCCCAATCCCATGGAACCTTTGAAGAAATAAAGTGGCCTTCGAGTAATCCAATGATTTAATATAATCAACAAACAACCCATCATTCTTAAACATTTGATTCAGTTCTTTTGAAATTAAAATAATACTCTTTGCACGGTATCCCACTCCGCATTGTTCTTTTAATATCTCTTCTGAAGCGTTATTTAATATTTGTAAGGAGCTTGGAAATGAAAAATATTGATAATCTTTATCTATTTTACTTTCAATTTCATCAGAAGAAACTATTTCAGAGTCACTCATATTGCACAGGAATGTTCCAAAATTTCTTCTAATATTTTTTACTATGGATGTAATCCTTGAGATATTGTTATTTGCAGTAATTACGCCAACAAAAAGAGCTTCAATTGGATCAATATTCAAAAGTCGAATTCCTTTAGGAGAAGATGATATACAGGAATCTGCTTTATTCCAATTTATATAAGCCTCAGAAAGCGAATGTATTGAATTTTCAAGTTCAGCAATTTTTGATTCATTTTCCCAGTTGAAATCCAAATTCAAGTAATGTCTGATATGTTCATTTGGAGTTGATTTGCAACAATAAAATGTGGATATACTACCCAAACCCTCTTTTTTTAATAGACTATTATCTAAATTTGATACTGGTACTTTTTCATCATCTTGAATTACCCTATTTTTCTTCAATGGAATATTCTCAATCTCTTTATTATCTAACTGTTCATCTTTGATTGCTTGACTACACCCATCATGAAGGCATCTAAAAAGTGTATCATTTTCAAGTTCTTTAAGCTCAAATACTCTGTGCCCAAGAATTCCAACAAAAGAGCTATTTGACACTTTTCTCCAAGAAAAGGATTGTCCAGCTGGTAAACAATTTGAGATTCTCAACTCTTCCTTAGAAATGTTCAGGCTCTCAAACTTAATTTGGTTCATTTAATAGGAAAGAATATTCAAATTCCATTAAATTCCAAGTTTCAATAACTCTGTAGTTACAATTTTTATTACATTATTTTTGCGCTCGCTTGTCAATTTGGAAAAACCCAATTTCAAGTCAAACCAAGATGAATAGTTCACTTACTACGAACTTAGTTCCAATTTAAATCTTAAAATTCTTTTTACTACTGAAGATTATCAACAATCACTCAAAAAACTATTTTCGCTACTTTCCTAAACTTTTTCATGGGACAACTTACAAGGCTAAAGTAGAAAAAGAAATCATCCTAATTAGCACCAAGAAATTACTATTCCGCTTTTTAAGCAATATTCTATTCAACACCAGAACTAAAAAAGCATTAGAAATGTTATCTAATTGGTATTTGTTCATTATTATAAATAATGTGGGGTTATATTTCACCTAATCCAAATATATTACTTAAATCAATAAAATACCTTAACAATTTTATATTATACAATTTAACAAATTTCGGCGCCACCAAATGGCGCCAATCTGAATTTTTTTTTTGACTGGATAATAGTAGAGATAAATAAGGGTAAAAAGAAAAGAAAGCAATATTTGAATTTAAAGAGTGAAGGGATATATTTACTCTTATACTAATTCCCGAAAGTTCTTACTCACGAAAGTTTTATTCCAAAATACATTGATTTATTGAAATTATTCGATTTGGCAAGATATTTGATTACAATAGGTCTATGTGAAAGGAGCTAAGTGTAAATAGTTAAAGATATATTTTATTTAGAAGTTTGGTATATAAAGAAGAAAGGGAAAGTTTTTTAAATGCAGAAAGATTTGTAGCAATGAGTGACGATATACTAAGTTCACTATTTGATCCACCTTTGACTCCCTCATCAGCCTCTAGATCTAACTCTACATCTTTTTTATATGATATGGCTCTGATGAGTGATAATAGTGTAGAAAATGACAAGATTATCGAGTTTTCTAATACTATTATAGAGAAATCGAGTGAGATTGTAGAGTCCACAATCAGAAATGAGACTATAACACCCGAGATCCAGAATATAATTGCAAGTGTACATTTACAATGTGAGTTAGATTTGAGGATGATAGCAATTAGCGCTAGGAATGCAGAGTATAATCCTAAGAAGGTTAATGCAGTTGTAATGAGACTAAGGGACCCCAAATGCACGGGTCTACTATTTAGGAGTGGGAGATTAATGATAACAGGAGCAAGACTAGAGAATGATGCTAGGTTAGGTGGAAAGAAGATGGCTAAGATTTGCCAAAAAAGTGGATTTCCAAAAGTAAAATTCACAAACTTTAAAATGGAGAACATTATAGCGACAGCTGATTGTAAGTTTCCGATAAGACTTGAGGGATTGGCTTATGACCACAGAGACTTTTGTAATTATGAACCTGAATTGTTTCCTGGTTTAGTTTATCGTTATCATCCAGATAATTCTCCAACTAAAGCTGTTTTGCTATTATTTGTCTCTGGTAAAGTAATTGTTACAGGATGTAAGAATTACCAAGAAATCTGTAATGTTTTTGATAACATTTATCCGGTTCTTTGTCAGTACAGAAAGTAAGGTCAAAGCTTAGAGAATTTGTTTCATATATATTGTATATTTATTTATAATTAATTAATTTTATTTTTATTCATTATATAATTGAAATTAGTATTTTTTTTTAAAAATCCTCGTCCAAAGAGAATTCAAATCTTAAATAGTTATTTTCCACTTCAGCCACACTTTCTTGTAACATATAATTTCCTGCATTATAGCTACATGAATATAAATTATTGATTATATATGAGTTTGAAGAATGTTCTTTTTTAGAAATATTGTTTATCATTGGTACGGAAGATTCTGAAATATCCGACATCATACTTTGGCTCTGACTCTGGCTAAAAATTTGACTTTGGCTCTGGCTTTGACTTTGACTTTGGCTGACCATAAAATTTATATTTGAATTTAACTTGTTCATGTTTTGTTCTTGAAGTTTGTTTGAAAGAGAAGAGGATAAAGATTCTAAAAGGTAAAAATCTGCCTCAACTAATAGTCCCCTAATTATATGGTCTTTGTCTGGCACAGCTACTATTGTGCCAGTTCTCAAGTAATCCAGAACATACTGGAATAGAAACCCATTTCTGTCTATGAATAGTTCAATGATTTCTTCTTTTAAATTTTTATCTGAGTTCTTTTCTGTTCTAGATAAATATGCAGAAAAGTAGTTTGAGTCTCCATTCACACTTAGCAGAGTAGTATTTGTAGTTTCGTAAAACATTCCTCCCACATTTAATTTAATTCTTTTCTCATTCATATTCTTGATGATCTTACCTCCCACCCAATACACTTATACTTGAGGGTTTTTCAAAGTTTAAATTATGTTTACTTTGCTATCATAAATTTTGATTAACTTTAATAACTCAAATTTTTGAAATATATTGATAGGTTAATTAATATAATTTAACCAGAAAAAATATATTTCATAAATTTAATTATTACAAAGTTTATTTTTTTTAATTAATAATTATTTTTATTAAATATACAAAAATGACTGTCCACTCATTTTATTCACCCCATATTTTAAGAGATCAAATAATTTCTATATTCACACGCAGTTTTTCTATACCGGTGTTTGACAATTTTGCAAATGCATGCATGCAATTACATTACGTGGCAACCACATGACTTTTTTTTTAAAAAAATAACTATCAAGAAAAAAAAACTAAAAAAAAAATCACAAAAAAAATGTTAAAGGTTATTTATATAAACTTGTTTTATAGTGTAAAATATTCATCATAAATTGGCATTCACACACAAAAAAAAATTTAATGATTAAAAATCCACTACGTGGCGCGCATTGTTGGGCGGGCAAGTATGTCGAGACTGTCTAGGTAATAGATTTGAGTCAAAATTGACAAAAGTGAAAAATAAATAAAAAGTTGAATTTTTTCATTTTCTTTAAAAGAGAAATAATTGAAAACTTATCTCTAATTTATTTGATTTCACTGAGAGTGAGATTGAAAAGTAGAGGTAAGATTTACCAAGGAAATCGAATTTAAAGAAATTTGTGATATTATTATTTGTATGGAAAGATAACTAGGAATAAAATTGGTAGATGATAGTTATCATTGACAAAAAAACTTAAAATATATTTGAAGTTGAAAAATTACAAGTTACAAGAACAAATAATTAATTGGTTATTTTTCAGCGATCAGAATTCAAAAAGGAGAAAAAAGTTAACATTTAAGTAAGTTATCAAGGTATTTGTTTCGTGAGGAGAGGCTGTAATGAGTCGTAAGAGGAATTTAAACAATCTACATAGCGACATAGAGGAAGTGGAAGATGTAGAACATGGTGACTTTATTGGAATTAAGAGCAAGAATTTGAAGAATATAATATCTTTCACAAATATTGAACAAAAAGACCTAAAGTTAGGGACTTTATTATTTGGAGTTATTGACGATGTTACCGAAAAAGAACTTAGAATTTCATTTCCAGGCTCTAACACTGCAATATTGTCTGTAGAAAATACTTTGGAGGAATCAGAAGCAATTTCATTTGAGTTATTAGAAAATTTGAGAAAGAAGTCACTTAAAGATAGGTTTTCAGTGGGTCAATTTGTAAATGGAGCTGTAATCTCCAATAATAAGATAAAGAATAATGTCACTTTAAAGCCTTCAATATTGAATGCAGGATTAAACTCTAATTCAAAATGTCTGGATGTTTTTGGATATGTAATTTCAGCACTAATTATTTCAAAAGAAAACCATGGATTCAACCTTTATACAGGTATCCAGGGCCTTAAGACTGTCTTCATGAAGGTGGAAGAGTCTCGTAGTAAAGATTACCAACTTGGTCAAATTCTTCCAGTTAATGTAAATAAGTACTTTAAAGAAAAGTCCTTATTAGTTTGCACTCCTATTTACGAAGAGACCAACGACTCTAAAATTGGTAAAAAAGAAATCTTAAGTGTTCATGAAGTAAAACCAGGTCTGATAGTGGAATGTCTAATTCATGCTTATGGTAATGATAACCAAAAAGAAAAGAGAAGTTATATGCAAAGTCCTAATAAGAAGAAAAAAATCTCTGATAAGATTGGAGTTCAACCAAACACTAAAGTCTTACAATTAAAGAAAATTGACAGACAATATATTAATGACCAAGAATTCGAATCAATTCAGGATTATCTTCAGGATGATCACTCTCTCCAAGTTAGTTTTTGTATGGGAACTATGTTGGGATTAATTCCAAATGAGCATTCTATTCACCCATTATCTTGTTTTTATCCTCAACATTTTGAGTCTTCATTGAATCCTCAAGTTATCAGAAAGTCCCCTAAATCAATGTTTCTTACTGCCAGAATTATAGCAGTTTTATCTGGAACAGAAAACAAAATTATTTTATCAGCTCTTCCTCATAATATTAATTTAACTAAAGGCGATCAAAAGGCTCTTAATGAAATTCCCATTGGATCGGTTATATCACCTTCTGTTCTTCAAAATAAAGACACAGCACCTCTAATAAACTCTCTATCAGGAATTACATTATTCAATTCTCAAAATCAAAAGAAAAGTCCAAGTAAAATCTCCTTTTTGGCTAGAATTGCTGATAATTGGGTCTCTTTTTTCACCAATCAATTTACAAAAGACTACGAGAAACTTGACCAAACTATCAAAACACAACCATTTAGAGTTATTTCTCGCTCTAGATTGGAAAACTCCCTCTTTGTTTCATTTGATCAGGATCTAGTACAAGAAAAATACTTTTTATCATCTGATGTCCTTCCTGGACAAATTGTTAAAGCCACTGTTACAGAAATTCATAATTGGGGAATATCAATCAGACTTTCAAAATACTTCTCTGGTAGGATCTATGCAGAACATCTCTTCAATAGTACTAGCTCAGGATCAGTATTAGGTATTAAATCAAGCTTTAATAGTTCTAAGAGTATGTCCAAGGAACAGATGAATTATGTAAAAAAACACTATCAAATTGGGAGAAGTTACCAATTCAAGGTTTTGAGATATGAGTACAGTGACAATAGTTGGAACCCTCTACTTTTACTTACTGCAAAACATCTATTAATAAACGACCAATTACCTTTGGTGAGATCTATTGATGAGTCTCTTAAAGTTGGACAAAAGATCACCGGATACATAAGCAGAATATGTCTTGATAGTACTCAAAAATATAACTCTGACTCAAATTTAAATTCTTTTGGAAATAATGATTATATTATTATCAGATTCTATGGAGAAGCATATGGATCTATTTCTTACAAGGAGTACCTTGAATATCATGAATTTGATAATATTGAAGGTATTTCAAAGAAGCCAAGTATTGGAGAAATTGTTACTGTTCAAATTAAGAGTATCGATCTAACCAATAAATCCCTAAAATTGACTCTTAGAGCAGAAAATGACAATACAGAGAACCCTATAATGAACTCCAACACCCCTTTAAATAGACAATTCCTTCCACAATTAAAGAATTGTAAATACAACTTTTATGAAAAGCTTTTTGATCAGAAAAATAATAACAGTAAGGGATTTACTTTATTAGCAGTAACAACTCAGGGATTGTTATTCTCACAATCCTTAAATGATTTATTATACGTCTCCAAGTTTTCAATATCAGATAGTAAAGAAAACTCTGAGAAAATTTATAACCTATTAAAAGAGGTATATCATAACTCTGAGTCTGTCTCAGACCTCAATTCTAAGATTTCTAACCTTAACCTCTCTCCACAAACTCTTTCAGACTCTGTCTCAAGACAGACTTTGGAAATGGACTTGGTTGGGAACTCTGGATCCAATACTAAATTTGAGAGTACTTCTGTTACTTTGAATTTGAATGTTAAAATTGCATATTTGAAACACTCCATTCTGAATAGAGAAGTATTCATCAAAAATTTCAAGAATCTATCAAACAACACATTGTGTTTGGGTTATATTAATCATATTGATCATTATGGATTACTGGTCTCCATATTGTGTTCAGAACCTCTGACTGGTATTGTCCCAAGGCATTTAATTAGCTCAAAAGTTTTCTTTGATGGTAAGGAACAATTAATGAGACACTTTTCTATTGGAGAGACTTTACTTCTCAAAGTTGTAAAACTCGATGAAATCAACAAAAAAGTAACTTTAAGTCTGAAAGATCTGGAAGATGGGACAGCTTTTATTAGAAAGCCTTCCGTTACAAAGATCATTATTAAAGAGAGACTCACAGGTTTAGAAGAAGATGATCAGGTAATCCAAAATTTACTGAATAAGTCCCTTGGACTTAAAAAAGAGAAAAACCTATTTTCAGGTAGTTCTAGTTTAATTGGGAAAGTCTTAAAACTAAAGATTCAGAACATATCTGAAAGTGACGAAGTTTATATGGGTATATTTGATTTGGATAAGGTCAAAAAGAACATATACTTTAAGCTTGTATCTAGAGAAAAAGACAAAGGTTTTAGCAAAAAGTTAACTAAAGGGGAATTTGTAAATGGTTTAGTTCTTGGTGGGGGATATTTATCACCAAACAAGTATAAGAACTATACGGAAACTTCTTCTGACACTAACTATGTGTATTACATATGCTGTGAAGATCAAATAGTTTCTAGTTTTAGTGGAGTACTAGAAGAGAGAAAAAAGACGGAAAGTATAAAGTTTAACAAAAAATACACCAAGTTTTTGAAAACTATTGTTGATGAGACAAGATCAGTTAAGGTTAATAATGATCAAGATATTATTTATAAGACAGAATTATTTACTATATCTATATTAATGATTGAGGATGGGGATAATGTAAAGTTACCCGTGGTAGTTTTGTCTCCAAACAGATCTGAGGAAGAAAATGGAATTTCCAAAGACTTAAGTTGTATTATATTGGGTCATACTAGTAATTTACCAATACTTTTGGGAGCCTTATATTTAAATAAAGAGTCAAATTTTAGTCCAAAGGATGGTAGTAAGAAAGAAATTGGTTTATTAGTTAATGAGAAAGTCCAATGTAAGATTGTGGAACATATGAAATCTTACCAAGGTTTAATTGTACAATTACCTAACAAAAGTTTTGGGAGGATTTCAGTATTGGAGTTGGATGATAACAAAATTGACAATCCTTTAGAACTCGAAAAGTTTAAGGTTGGTAATAAAATTCAGGGAATTATCATTGATAAGCTGACAAACAAAAGCAAAAAAAGCAGAAGGGTAAACTTAGTAGGTGGAAAATCTTCTAAGCTTAAGTACGTTATACTAGACTTTGAGATCTCAAGCTGTATTTCAAGAATTAGAGATATTCAAGATGAGAATGACCAACTAAAAGAAATTAAGAAATTCTCCCAGGTTAAGATTGGTTCCATTTTGAGTGGTTATGTATGTAATAGTGGAAAAGAGGGAGTTTTTGTTCGTATTGGAAGGGAATTGGTTGGAAGGATTAAACTTAGAGAGCTAACGTCAGGAACTATTACTCCAGAAGAAGCATCCAAAAAGTTCTTTATTGGAAAATTCATTCATCAAATGATTGTAGTTAATATAAATAAAGAGGAAAAAAAGATAGATTTAAGCATTTCCAAGTTGGATTCGGATGATATAAAACTTAGATTATCTCAAATAAATGATAATGTTGAAACAGAAGAAGGGGAAGAAACTGAAGAAGATGAAGTAAAAGAAGATTTGAATATGGATGTAAATATGGAAATAGACGAAGAGGAGGATCTTGGTACTGGGAAAAAAGTGCTTCCATCTTTGGGAAATATTAATGAGAAGTTATCATTTGAAGATTTATATATTGGGAGAGTTTTAGCAGGAGTAGTAAAGAATGTTTCTAGAAAGTATGGATTATTTATAAGACTGAATGATTTGAAAGATAACTTAACAGCTTTTTGTAAACTCTCAGAGTGTTTAGATGGAAAATCTAATAAGAACAAAATTTCCACAGTGTTTAATATTGGAGATAATGTTTTATGTAAGGTACTTAAGTTAGATTCTGAGAATAGGAGAGTCTGGGTTGGGATTAAGCCAAGCTATTTCTCTGATTTTAAGGGTGAGGATAGTAGTCCAGTCTATTTGGGAAATAACCATTATGAGGATATTGATACTGATGAAACAAGAGAAGGGGAAGAAGAAATTGAAAGAAGAGGGGAGAAAAAGGAGGAGAAGGAAGAGGAAATGGATGGAGATGTAGAAATGACTATAGAAATTAATGATGAAGGACTGGAGTACCGAGAATCGGATCAAATAGATTTTGAGGATGTATCAGGAGAAGAGAACTTTAGAGGGAAGAGTAAGATTTCAGTGTTAGAAGATTATAAAGCTCAGGAATCAGAGCCAAAGTTAGAAATTAAGAACTTAAATAGAAAGCAAAAAGTGCAGAAACAGCTAGAGCAGGAACACAAAATTAGAGATGAGGAGGAAAAAGGGATGAGATCACATCTAAATCCTTCAACTATTGATGATTTTGAAAGGCTTCTAGTGACACACAAAGATGTATCTTCTCTTTGGATCAGATATATGTCTTATTACTTGGATTTAGGGGACTTAGATAAGGCTCGAATGGTTGCAGAAAGGTCATTAAAACAGATTTCAGTTAAGGAAGAGATGGAGAGGTGGAATATTTGGATTGCTTATATTAACATGGAGATAGTTTATGGTAAAAATGAATTATCTGCAAGTAAAGGGGAAAATAATAGTTCTTCTTTAGGAAAAGATGGAATTCCAAAGAATGTAAGAGAAATCTTGGATCGTGCATTGATGAATGTAACAAATCAGAAAAAGCTTTATATACAAATCTTCAGCTCTTTAAAGAAGTATTCAAAAGATGAAGAGGGTTTGGCTTTACTTGAGGAAGGTCTAAAGAAGTTTCAGACTAGTAGAAAGCTGTGGGTAACTTATTTGACTTGTTTATATGAGAGTGACAACCAAAGAAAGGCTAGGGATGAAATAATCCAAAAGTCCTTGAAAAGCGTCTCCAAGCATAAGGTAGTGCGTCTTATTACAGATATTGGTAGGTTGGAATTTGAGTATGGTAATATTAACAGAGGGAGGACCATATTTGAGAATTTATTAGAGGAGAATTCAAAAAGAATGGATTTATGGTCTCAATATTTTGATATTTTAACCAAGATATGTATAAAAAGCAGCTCAAAATCTCAATCTTCAATAGATGATCATATAGAGATGGTCAGGTCTATTTTTAACTCATGCTTAGAAAAGAACTTTAAACCAAGAAGTATGAAAATGATTTTTACTAGATGGTTATCTTTTGAGAAACAGTTCGGATCTTCACAAAGCCAGAAACATGTTCAAGATCTTGCAATTAGCTACGTAAACAAGGTTGAATCCAGCCTTTAACTTTTAAAGAGTTTTTTGTAATGTTAGTTACCATAATAGGGACCGAATAAATATATAGATTATGAGACGAGACAATAATAAGTTGTTTTTTTTCTTTTTTTTCAAAAAAAAGTTGTCTTAGAAAATTAGAGCTTGTAAATAAAATAGGAAATTTTATTAATAGGTGCTTAGAGCCAAATATGGGAGGTGAAAAACACCTTTAGATGATTGAGTGTTTATTCTGAATAAGATCTTTTGTAGATGATAATTTGAATACTTTGAAAGATGAGAATCAGAGTCTGAGATTATTTATAATGTTGAGATCCTGAAGAGAATTGTGGTATCCAGACCTCATGATTTGATTACTAGGAATTTGATTGTTTGTAATAATATTAAGTAGAGTGATTCCAGTTAGAGCTCCAAATAATACAGTAGAAACTACCCCGTAAAGAATAACCTTAACTTTTTTCAAAGACTTTAGCTTTGGAATGCTGAGGATTAAAAATCTGTTATTCAAGTTATTATACTCCCCATGAGGATCTTGGGTATCATATACTTTCTCAATTGCTGGATTAATATCTTCTTGTTTAAAGTGCTTGAGATATGATCTATGAAATGTAACTCTACATTTGAGGATAGCAACACAAATGTAGTAAATTGAAGAGTAATCCATAATTACATCGTGAGGAGAATCTTTTCTTAATGGCCTATATTTTCTTTTATTGATTCTAATAAGCTTTGCAAGCCAGAAATATCTAATAAGTATGAAACAAGCCTCTAGATCAGGCTTGGTTCCAATTTTTTGCATCTTCATTGGAATATGTAAAATGTCTTTAACATTGACTTTTATTGGATTGACTCTAAATCTTGCAAATGTTCTGGTATACTCAGTAGTAGTCCAAAGAAGACACCATACAAATTGATTTCTACTAGGAAAGAGTGTAGTATTCCCGGGTGGGATATAACTAATATATCCAGAAAGTGAATCCCAATCAGGAGTTTGCCAATAGAAGGAGCTGCTTGGGTCTGGTCTATACTCATTAACAGTTTGGTAATAATATGCTTGAAAGAAAGTTTGTAACTTAATAGTTCTCATACATAAATTGAGTGATGTGTAAGAGATTGTGAGAGAATGTTCAAAGTACCTGTACAATTTACCAAATTGGATATATTTTGGAGTTTTGGAAATCCCAAGCTGAATTCTGTAACCATTATTTAAAGATAAGGCAACTAAATTATTGGAGCATGACTTAGGCATAGTTGTATACTCAAAGAAATCTGGAGGAATATCAGGAATGGACATTTTTTCTTTAGTTGGCAAAAGAGGCAAATCTCCATTGCTGAGACCAAATACTGTTAAATCTCCTCGAATTGGAATAATTTGTTTGAACAAGTACCACATACCATTACTTGGGGACCTTAAGTAAAGTTTTTGCCATGTATTGTAGATTTTGGATTTAACTTGGAGTAGCTCAAAATCATATTGTTCATATTCATCTCTTAAATAATCCTCAATCTCTTTCATTGCTTTCATGTAAAATTCACATGTAAGCCTTAGTAAGAACTTTCTCTTGTCTTGGTGTTTACTTAAGATTTTACTAGTTTTAGGTAATTTTGGAATATTTGAAACAGATTCTACAAGTTTAACAGCATCTTTGATTCCCATTTTTTCAAATATTTCTTTGCTGTATTCAAATTTTCTTTTTTCAATTTTGGGAATTTCCTGAAAATTATCTTTCTCTTCATCATTAGAAGTGGAATCTTGAGTTTCAGAATCCATAAAAGAATCAAATTCTTTTTCAAATAATTCATAACTATAGTTTTTGGTAATTGTTGAATAAATATCCCAACAATTTTGAATTGATTTAATTGGTTTAGACAACTCTTTAAAGAATTCATCGGTTTTTTCTGTTCTATCTAATTTGAAGAATACTGGATCTTCATAGGGGTCTTGTCTATTTAAGATGTTTTTTTTGTCTATTTCATCAATTACTTGGTTTTTTTTAATTATTTTTGACCCAGTTGTTTTTTTAACAAAGTACATAATTATCCTAAAGTGAGTTTCTTTTACCACTTTACTTGAACCATATTTAATGTTAAATGCCCAATTTCTAATCAAATCTTCTCTAATTGTTTCCAAATGTTGATACTTGTTTTCTAAGTAGTTTTTTTTCTCTTCTTTTGTAAATAAATCTTGTTGATAAAAATAATTATCATTTTTTGAGTCAACTTTTGAAAGATTTGTTTCCTCCATAATAGGATCAAATGAACGAGTGTTATTTCTCCTAATGTATGTGAATCTCTCTTTTACATTCCAAAATTTAGGTAATACAAACCTTTCCTTTTTTCTATAAATAGCATTTTCAATTATTCCAACTTTCCATATTACCGTAAAGATCAAGACTAATAACTTTGTTTTGTATTTGATGATCATTAATTACTAATCAAATATCATTTTATTTTAATTATTTTACTTAAATTAATTCATCTACTTTTTTATGAAAATACTTTCGTGCATGAGAATTATTATACACCGGTATGGAATTCTAATAAAAAAAAATTTATTAATAAATTAATCCACATAAAACACCGGTATAGGAATTTTAACTAATAATAAATGCATCCACATGAAAATGCCGGTATAGTGCAAAGAAATTGCACAACAAAAAAAAAATTTATTTAAAAAAATTGAAAAAAGAATTAAGGTAAATTAAGAAGATGAATTTAACATATATAGGTATATATTGAGCTTTGATTATTTAAAAAAGAGTTTGTCCAATTCAAGTTAATTAAGATGAAAAAATTGAACCGGTCAATAATTGCACTTAATATGGTAGTTTTAGTTATTGGTGGGTTATTTAATTTAGGCATCTCTGGAGAGTTTAAAAAATGTGAACTCGAAATGGGATCAAACATGGATAAAATAAGTTGCCTAACGGAAAAAATTAATACAAACATTTATACAAGAAGAATAGGTAATGATTATGAGAATTTTCAATTAAAAGAGGAGAAAGAAGAAAGCCAAAATAAAGTCACGGAAAGTACTGAATTGATAAGAGTTAATATCAGTCAGGATATTATACAGGTTTTGAGGGTGAATTGGGAGCTGGGGAATGAAAGTCTTAAAATAAATATTCATTGGGTGCTTTTGTTATTAATATTAAAAGTGGAAAAATACAAAGAAAGACCTAAAGAAATGAGACAACTTAATGATTATAATGATTGTTTGATTTTTATTAAAAACCATCACAAGTTGCTGTTAAAAAGCAATTTATTAAGGGAAGAGAAAATTCAATCAACACAAAGAGCTTGTGTAGCATTATTTGATAATTTGTTCAAGATAAAAAGCAAATGGAACAACATAAGTTCAGAGGAATATCTTAACCTATCTAAAAAAATTACATCTTCTCAACTTTATGTTAAGTGGATGGAATTATTTAAGGTTGACCCTCCGCGTTCTCAGTGGCTTATTTTGAGAAAGTTAGCAATCAATCAATTTGATGAAATTTTAAGATTGTTGAAAATTTTAACAAAAAATATAAAAGAGTATAAATCAATTGAAAATATTCTCATTGAGTTCATGACCCAGTTTAACAGCTACTACGAAGATTACGAATTAAATGAGAAAATAAAAAAAAAAGAAATGAACAAATATCTAAAAGATAGTAATTCCAAAAGTTTTCAGGATACAATTAACATGATTGAAATTGGATTGAAAAAGAGAAATAAAAAAAAGAATAAAAGGAATTTCCTGATTTACCTTCCAGATGAAATGCCAGATCTTTATGTATATCATCATCAAGTGAATACATGTGTATTGAATTTAAGTATAATGTCTTTATTTCCAGAACTAAGGGTTTTTTTCTATGATATATTTAAAAGAAACCCAACATATTATTTATTTCACAGGAAGTCTATTACTATTAGCAGGAAGACTTTGTTGAGGTCAAATCAGTTGTGTAATATAATGCTTGAGCTAACTAAAAGGTTGGAAAGATCTTATTATTTATTAAATATCAAACAAAAAAAGTTTTTACATTCTCAAGACATAGAAGAAAAATCGAATTCTACTTTTCCATTCATTGAGAATTTTAATTTAAATAATTATGTCCTTAAAAAAGGCCTGCTTAAGCCATTGCCATTTCATTCATATTATTATTCATCACCATTAGACACTGAAATCCAAACTCTATTTACAAATTGGTTTTTTAATAGTAAATTTGATAAACAAAGTTTGATTAAGTCACTTAAGGATTATACAAAACAAGTGAAAAAAAAGCACAAGGATTTGTTTTTAAATGCAAAACTTGATCTAATAAAAAAATTGATTTCTGAAGATGAGGAAACTTTAAAGGCTGATATATCAAAGGAGGAGAAAAAGATCAAAGATGGATTGTTTTTACTTTATTTTCACAAAAGAGCTAACAAATTAAAAAATAATACACATAAAATGATAGAACATCTAAATTTATTGGAAAGTATCTCTGGAGATGGAAAACTTATTCAATTTATTGACCAGGAAGATCCTTCTCCAAGCGTATTTTCTTTAATTCCACTATTATATTTAAATTCCAAGATTTGGAGTGTCCAGAAGTTTTTATATAAATACCCTGTTTCAGTTAAAGTAAGTTTAGAGAAGCTTGTGGATTTATCAGAAACTATAAAAATTGGTGAGAAAAGGCTTGGTGATATTAAAGTTGGAGATATCTCAACTTGTATTAAAGTTACTACTATTTTTTGGAAAAATCAAGCAATTAAATTAAATAATCGAAATTTTAGGATAATTGATTCGGACAATTTGTCAGAATTGTATGAAAAAAGTGACAACTTGACTGAAATTTACATGGATTATGCAACATTATATTTAATTTGTGTAAAGTCAGTTTCACAAAGTTTAATTTATTACAGAAGAATTCTTAAATACTATTTTGAAGATAACTTTGATAATTACTGGAAATTAAATATGTTACTCGATATGAACAATGAAGACAGTTCTAATAGTTTCCAATACATTAATAAAAAGAACATTAATCTTCATTCTCTTCCAAATGATTATATTATGCCAATATTAACAAAAGGAGTCTATATTTCAATTCTGAGTGCCTACTTATTATTGACGGTGGGAGCAATATGTATTCAATCATTAATAACAATAATATTTTAAAATAAATTAAAAATTAAAACTTATTAAAAATCTACTAAAAATCAGAAAGAAATTGAATTAAGCTTAAAAGTTTTTATAATTATTGCATCAAAATTAATGAATTTTGGTAATTTATTGCAGATGAATCGGTAAGTTATACCCAGATTTAATATTAAAACTACTATTAGGCATATATTGATGAGGATGACACTGAGAAACTTTATTGGTAACCATCTTCGTGATAGATTCAGAAAATGGGTTGTCTCCAAGTATACTTACTGGGACGGAAGCTTTAAATGAGAAGCATGTCGGAGAGGAAGGGGGAGATATTTGGGACTGTTGATCGGGATTTGCTTCCAATTCCGGGTTGAGTCCATGATTATTTACCATCGGATTCTGATCGGAAAATAGGAATTGACCATCAATCTTTGGAATGCTATTGTTTGATGTTACTTTGGGTTTTCTCTTGCATTTCTTCTTAAATACATCTTGTGAAAAGCATGTGGGGGAATTAAAATCAATTTCTACTTTTGGTGGTTGGATAAGAGGACGGATATTTGGGGCCGGGAATAATGTACTCGAGACACTTGAGGGGCCAGATTCAGAAACATAAGTCTGATTTTTTGAAGCTAAGTTTCCATCTTCAACTTTGGTTGACTTCTTTTTATTTAAACACTCCTCTGCCATTGCTGTTAGCAAGTATTTTGCGAGCATTTGAGAGTCCATTCCAAGAGGGTTTGGGATATTTGGCCCTGAACCTGCTGCTGGAAATGACCCCGTAACTCCAACAGAACCCGTTATCCCAGAAGGAAAACCAGGAGCAATTTCTGAAGAAATTGGAGTTTGAATGTGCGAAGGGGGCCCCATATTGGGTGGAGGAGTGCCTACTGAGTTAGGAGCTGTTGGGTCTAATTGAATTTGCATATTTGAATCGGTTAGAAGGTAAGGAGAGTTCATATTGGGGATTTGCATAGACCCCAGAGCTGGAGCTTGCAACGGGACTTGCATTGGAGCTTTCATTGGGATTTGTATTGGAGCTTGCAACGGGACTTGCATTGGAGCTTGCATTGGGACTTGCATTGGGCCTTGCATTGGGACTTGCATTGGGACTTGCACAGGGACCGACATTTGCATTGGAATGGGGACAGGAATAGGCATTTGCATGGGGACGGGTAAAGGAATTTGCATATTTGTTGAGGGAACTGGAGGCATTGGAGCATTATGGTGTGGATGAAGTGGGAAGGGATGCTGACTCTGTATCATTCCTGGGATTGACTGAATTCTAGGATTTAAATGAACTTGAGATTGACCCGGTTGAAAAGCTGTGGCTTGAGGGGCTAAGTGAAAATGATCATGTGATTGTTTATGAATTGGAATTGGTTTTAACTGAACTCCTCCGTGGGCATGAGGAGGCATTTGCATTGGTTGAATCATAAATGGATTAATGTGAGGCTGAGAATTTGGTTGTGGTTGTAATATAGGAATCTGAGGAGGCTGTTGGAGCTGAATTGGAATTGAACTTTGTAAATCCAATGGGATCTCTTCTTTTTCGTGGATTAATTTCAAGTTTGTTGAAGACTCACATACATTAGAATAAGAAAAACTGGATTCAGTGTTTTGATCTATTATTACCGAATTTTTTGGGGATATGTTAGTTGAAATGGCTTTTTTCACTCCGTCATCATTTTGGATGTATTCCTCAGGAATAAAATTTTCATTTTCAAGGTTCTCATTAATCTGGAATTCATCTTTACTAGAATCTGCGTTTTCATTATCTAATTCACTCTTAGGGACGATTCTAGTTTCTTTTATTGGAGACTTAATCATTTCTTGATTGTTAATCTCAGAGACTTGGGAAATATCTACAGGTTTCAGGTCTGTTTGAGAGAAGAATTGTTTTTTCTTCATAAATATTTCGTTTTCGAGGTGTTTAACAGTTGCATCCAACTCGCCAAGATTTTCGTCCAAAATTTTCATTTCTTGTTTGTCTTTAGGAAACATATTTATCCTATTCTCAATTTCAAAAAAATATATACATATAATGACCACAAATTTCTACAGAATTTTTTTTGAAGAACAATGTATTCAATTGATCTGTTAATTAAAAACAACAAGAAATTATAGTAAATAATGATTCCTCTTGATTCTTGTACTGCCACGAAGATTGTCAAGTTTGACCATTTAGTGCACCTAAATCTTCACTCCTAACTTTGGTAGACGAGTGTAATTCCGCCATACGTGGTGCATGCATCCATCTGTGTATGCATGTGCGCGCATAAACTTTTTTGGTTTAAATTGTAGTAACTGCATTATTGCACACATACAAAATTTTAAAAAATCTTAGGATCAAGTTTTAATGAGAGGGGGGTGATGTTAGGAAAACTTACACAGTAATTAAAGAAAAAGTTTGGAAAAAGTAAATTAAAAAACAAATTTTCCCCATCCCAAGCCATTGCAGAAAATAAAATGTTATTAAACAAAAAATAAATTAGTTCTAAATAACCTTTTAAGTGTGTTTTTATATATTATAATGAATAAAGTAGATGTTTCCTAATTTTCTTTACTCAAATGAAGCATTTCACTTAATTTCATTTGTTTATAACATAATCTTTAATATTATGAATTAGAAACAAAAATCATCTCACGGTTTGGAAAAAATCAAATAATTATTTAAATACATATTATTTCTCCGAATTAATATATTCATATTTTTCTATATACCGGCATTCTTGTTTGCATAAATACATGTATCATTAATTTGCATGTGTCTGCAGAGTTGCATGTGGATAATAATTCTGTAAATACAAACATAAAAATAAAAATTTTGGGAATTAAGTTGAGAAAATCGACTTCAAATTAAATATTCAGTCTATACTAAATTGGATTAGTATTAATTTTCCATTCCAGTTTGCTCTTTGGCACACGAAGAGGATGGAAGTGAGGGAAGTAGGCTGGGCCATTGCTGTGTATTTCCTTTAAATGCACAGCCTTGATAATTAGGTTCATGGTTACAATACTAATTATAAGGTCAAGAGCAAATGTTGTGAGTAAAATATAGCTTGAAGAGCCAGGAAGAGTTACTATGTTAAGAAGGTTGGAAAGGAACGAATTTGGCGCCAAGATGATTGCAATAGTTGATACAATGATAAATATGATTTGGATTACAAAAAGCTTGTTGGTAAATAACGAGAGTCTGAATGGTTTGGTCTTATGAATTGCGATTCCAGTTGCTACATACTGAATGCAAGAAACAAGGAAGGTTACCGTGTTTTCAACACACATTTGTAAGTGAACATTTTGATTATTATCCTCGTAGCTTCTTCCAGAAACATAGGGAATGAACCCTGGTTGCCCCGAAACAATTAATATATTTAGAATAAGAAAAGCTAATTGAATTATGCATTGAGAAATGATTCCAACAATAACATTACTGCTTAGGATATCTTTATAAGCTGGTATTTCAGGTGGAAAACTCTCTGCACTTTTTGTTAAGGTGGCTAATACAGAAATTGGGAGAAAGGTAACAACATCATTCCATATGAATTGGTGATCCGTGAAGTTGGTTCCTTTGCTATATAGATATAAGACTGAAGTGAATTGTATGAATATATATAAAACAAAAAACTGGAATGATTGAATTGTAGAAGTTAGAGCAGCCCTACCCTCCATTATAATATCTGGAACTGCAGCAATGTCTCTTTCATTTGAAACAAATGATGCTGCAACTGATGCTTCATGGTCTGTAATAGCTATTCCAATGTTGGCTGACTGTATTGCAAGAATATCATTATTTCCGTCCCCACACATACCAACCATTGGATTTGGTTTAAGTTTCTGAAGTAAGTTAATGTGCATAGCTTTATCTTCAGGGGTCATTCTTGAATACACATGACAATATCTAATAATAAATTCCAAAGCTGATATACGTAAAGTTAAAGGAATATCATGGACCATTGCACTAAAACTGAGAATCATAGATTTCTCTAGTTCGTTTGTGATTCCAATGGAGTTTTCTAATACGATATTAGACTTCTTTTGGTATCTGGTGCAGTCGAGGTTATATGGGACGTAATCAGATTTTATAAACTCTTCACCATCATCAGTATCGATAATAATACGTTCTAGACGATTTGAGCTGGATTCACGTGTATTTGATCTTAAAGTTATCCAACATGGGAGACTTTGATGGTTAGTTTTGATCTGTCTATAAAATTTCTCAGCTTGTTTGTTATAGTTCAAGAAAGAGAAGGTATGGTTATTATGATTTGGAGGTTTCTCGGGGTCATTAGACAAGTCTAAATATTTAAGTTCAAACATGTTATGAAGTTTATTAAGCAGCCTTAAACATTGCCCAGTAATTACCCAGTTAATGTTTTCCAATGGATACTTTTCCAAGATTTCCTGAATACTGTTAAATACTTTGATATTTTTGTAATTACTGTTCATCATTGTCCACCTTATGCATTCCTCCCCAGAATGGGATCCAATGATATCTCCAATTACAATCTTCTTGTTTAATGGTCCTAAGGAGTTAAAAGAAGAGAATATGCCACATTCTTGAGCAACTGCTATAGATGTAAAAATGTGATCTCCTGTTGACATTATACAGTTAATATTGGACTCTTTAAGAGTTGAAATAACATCAGTAGTATTTGGACGAAGTTTATTTGCAAATACCATTAACCCGATAAAGTTGAGCCTTTCTTCTGCTTCGTTTCTTGATAAAGTTTCCAAGAAAGACGTAGGATTCTCATTTGAACAGTTAATATAGCCAACAGCAAACCCAAGAATACGCATTCCACATCTTGAATAGTTCATAACGCATTCATCAAAATTTGAAGGAATAGATTCTGTTTGGCAAATTGATTTTAATTGTTCAGGGCTACCTTTACAGAAAACCAAAAACTCATAAGGTTTAGCAGGGTTTCTGCAAACTACAGTCATTCTTCTTAACTTTGAACAAAATTCATAAACTTTGAGAATCTCAAGCTCTTCAAAATCTTGTGATCCAAATATATGAGATCCTTCAACACGCTCAAAGTACCTTCTTACAGTTCTCGGGGGCGGAAGTTCAGAAAAATCAAAGTTTTCAGAGCTGACACAACTGTTATCAATCTCAAAATTGTTGCTAAGTTGGAAAGGTAAGGAATCATTTCCAAGATTATTGTTGGTATTTTTCTGAATAGAATCCTGGATAGAAGATTCTGAACGTGACCTCTCAAATTTAAGGTTGTTGAAATTATTGTTGGCTAAGTAGTCAAGGTTACTTTCATAGTTTTCATTTAAATTATGATAGTAACTATTGCTACAATCATCACATAATATCCACCCACTAAATTGGAACATACACATTTCTAAAGGTTCACCAACAATGACTCTTGAGTTTAAGGGTTGCTCTGAAATATTACCTTCATTTTGATAATGTTTTTTACCAAAGTTTTGCGAGTGCTCATTGTCAATATAACTCACAGTATGGCAAGTTGCAAGAGCTTGAGACATAAGATGAGTTGCTTGTGAACCTGACGTACATAGTCCATCAAGATAGGGTATTGATCCTGGTATTGATGAGATGCACCCTACAGCATCTAAGCCATCAGAAGTTAAAGTTCCAGTTTTGTCAAAAACTACAGTATTAACTTGACCTGCAATATTGACAGAGCTTGGGTTTGAGCAAGAAATTTTCTTATTTTTAAGCTTTCTTATAGCTACAGTAGAACCTGCAGCAATAGTTGCAGGAAGAGCCGGTGGAGCAACAATGGTGAATAAGTCAAATGAGCGGAGTATAATTACAATTGGTTCTATACCAATAGTGAATCCAGTAACTGCAGTAATAATGGATCCAATAATTCCAATAAAAAAGCAGAATTTTACAAACTTCATGGAGTCTTGGTAAAGTTTATCATTCTGGTAATGTAACCTATTAGTAATTACATCACAATACATTGACTGAAGAAATCTTCCTTGAAGAGTTGAGAATCCAATCTTTAAAACAAGGGCAATTCCTTGAATATTGTTTGCTCCTTGAACTCCCATAACTACAGTTCTAGAGTATACAATATGTTTATGATCTTTTTCCGCATCAAAAAGCTCACTGGAATATTTTGGTATTGGCGATTTGAGAACAGGAACAGATTCTCCTGTAAGAGCAGCTTCATTAACAATGATGTTAGAAGTTAATATGATTGCATCACATGGAAGTATCATTCCAGGTTTTAATATAATAAGATCACCAGGAAGAAGATCTGAAGAGTTAATTATGCGCTCATATGGTTCTTTAGTATTTGGATTTCTGGAAATTATGGATACTTTGTAATCAAGCTTTGAAATTTCATTTATCTTAATATGACTACATCTAGTATCATATACAGAGTTAATTAGGGAAATTATGGTAATTAGTATAATTAAAACGGCATATTCAACATAACTATTTCTGAACCAAATAAATATTGCACATACTTGAAAAATAAAAAAGGGATGTAAAATCTCATTCTTAATAAGGTCAGCAATTGGTACAATGGGAATGTCACATGAGCATTTACCAAAGATATTCTGAAGATTTAACCTAATTGAGTCTTCTTGAATGTGCTCAATAGAATCTGTATAAGGTGAATCATCTGTATTCTCAATCTTTGATAAAGATCCAAGAATCTTACCAAATCGATTTCTAATTACAGAGTATGGATTATTATCGAGAGAAGGAATAGTAATATTAAATTTGTTTAATACTGAATCAAAAACATATATTGAACCACAAAATGTAAAGAATGTGATTTCGATATCTGGATTAAAGAATAAAGAGTTTTGGTGACATATTAAATTATTATTGCAATTAATAATGCTTGCTCGGTTGCTACTTGAAATATTGTGGTTACTATTCTTTTGTACCTTCAGATCATTGAATTTATATTGAGACGGAAGAATATTGAGAAATTTTAAAAGATTCATTTCATCCTTTGAAAAATTCTTATTTGAACTGTAGAACTTATTCTTTTTAACAACAGCATAATATGATTCTTTTGTAATGACTAAAAAAGAGTCACATTCAATAATTGTTGAAGCTTTAAAGTTTATCCATCTGTAGAAGTTTGGGAACCAATGTGAAAAAATTGAAATAATTCCAAATGTAAATATTTGAATAATCAGGTATACTTTTTCAAGATAAAGTCTACGAGAAATGGGAGTAATGTAAACGGGGAAATCAAAGTTATGCGACTCTTCATGGACTTTGTTGTTTACATTAGCATTCTGGGAAACTACAGAGTATACAATACAGTTATTAATGCCACCAAAAGTAACATATTCTTTTGCTGAAAGATTTGATTTATTTTGCATCTTGAAAGTTTAAATATATTTAATTTTAACAACTTAAATAATGATTTATTTGTAATATTTAAATTATAATAAGGTGTTAAACCCAGTTTTAAATGAAATATATTTATAAATAAAAATAATATTCACTATTTAAAGTAATGCCAAGTTCCGAGAGTTTAATAATTAAGGTACTAAATATACCTTAATTATTCCCCTATAGGCCATGCAAGTTCTGGATTAGTAAGATGAAGCTGTTATTTATAAGGTAAACAAATATTGAAAAGAAAAATGAATAATGCAAATCAATTTTACAAAAATTGATTTTTCTATTTGACTAAAAAATAATTGATATTTTTGACCTGTCAAAAATATGTACTAGTAAAAAAATACTGCAAAAATATTTCTTAATTTATTCCAATTTATCATTACAAATTAAGTAACTTAATGGCCATTTAATAGAGACATTTAAAAATATTAAATATTTGTAGCGCGCCAAATTGTTAAATAATAATAAATAATTGTAACAGGAATTTAGGCGGCATACATATTATCACCTTATATTTAATATAATTCAAGTAAAAAAGTAAATTATAAAAGGATTTAAGAGAATCAAATAAAAAATATAAACAGAATGGAAGAAGTGATAAATTTAATGAGGAACTTATGAATTTATTTAAAGCTGATGACAGATTTTTAAGAAGAAAATTTTTGTATTGTTAAAAGCTATACAACAAAACATAATGGATGATTATAAGCTGGGTACCAGTTAAACTAGATATTCAGTAATAATATATAATATATATATATATCATTATTTTCAGTTATTGAGAAGGAATAAGAGGTAAATATAATTGAAAATGAACAGAAAAATTATTATTTTTTAAATTTTTTTTTTTAATTAAATATTACATGCATTACAAGAATATTTGTTAAGTGATTTGTAAAAAATGAATAATTAAAAGGCAAGTTTTGGCGGGAAATCACAAACACATACAAATTAAATTTTTAATGGAAAATAATTTGAGGAGGAAAAATAGGAAGGAATAAGGAGAGGACAGAGTTAATTATTATTATTATTATTATATTCTTCTAAAGAAAATAAGGAAATAGTGAGAGTAATATTTGAACATTATAAGTAACGGTTTGGAAATTTTCTTAAGATAATCAGAATAATTTAAGTTATTAAATATTAAACTCGGGGTACAGAAATTGAAGAAATTAAAAATATATAAAAAAAGGGAGTGAATCGGTACTATTTATTGACAATGTCAAAGAGAGCAGCAGATTTTCAATTAACTAGTGAGAATTATGATTTAGAGGAGAGGAGGTTGCGCACATCAATTTCATCTAAAGAGAATGATAAAGATGAGCAAGAGGGAGATGTTTTAGAAAATAAGGAGGAGATAGGTGCAAGAAAGATGGTTAGAATACGAAAAAGATACGATGATTTTGGAAGTGTTGGAAATATACTTACACCTGACACTATAACGAATTCTGAGGCTGTTTCCACTTCAACCTATGGGGGAGACTCAAAAGATGAAAAGTTGGGAGTTAGTGAAGATAAAGATTGTTTGACTCAAAAACAGAACAAAGGCCAGAAGATGGGAGAAGAAGAAGTGGAAAGGCTCAAGGTTGAAATAGATAAAAAAGAAGAGATGGAAAACCAAAAGGAAGGAGAAAACCAAAAGGAGGGAGAAAACCAAAAGGAAGGAGAAAACCAAAAGGAAGGAGAAAACCAAAAAGAAGGAGAAAACCAAAAGGAAGGGGTAAATCAAAAGAGAGAAGAACAGAAGGAAAAAGAGGACCAGAAGAAAGGCGAGGATAAAGAGGAAGTTCTTCCATTTGGGAACTCGGGGTTTAGTAGTAGTTTCAAAAATCCGTTTATATCTTTGGCTGAAAGCAATGAAAATAGTAACTTTTTATTTTCAGGTTTCAGTGGAAGTGACAAGAACAATGGAATGGCCATGTTTGGAGCGTGTTGCGAAGAAAAAAATACTATTGTGGGAGCTGGAGGCGAGGAAGGAGAGGAAGAGGGGACAAATGAGGAGCCTGAACTAGAAAGCAAAGCTTTCACAGGCGAAGAGCATGAGGAAACGGTATATCAATGTAAAAACGCAGATTTATTTATGTTAAAAGTTTTAGAAAATGAAGAGAAATCATTTAAGAAGTTGGCAACTGGTATAATTCACTTAAATATTCCAAAAGACCGTGAAATTTCTGAGCAGTCAGGAACTTCTGATGAAAAAGAAGTGTTTGACACTGAGACTAATTCAAAATCCACTGATCAGGTTTCAAATAGTACTCAGCCCAGAATGATCTTCCGCCAAAAGGGTATTTATAAAGTACTTCTGAATTCTCCTTTGAATCTTGAAATTTCAAAAACTTTTCAAAGGAATAGCAATATACGTAAGGGTTATGCTGTCAATTTTATAGCCATTGGCCAAGATTCAGAAATTCAACAATGTATGCTCAGATTCCAAAATGAGTCAGATTTAACTGAATTGATTGATAAGGTTCACCAAATTGTTGATAAATACTGCTCTAGGACTGAATAAGTTAACCTAGTTCTTTCTTTTCTTCATTTGAAACTGGACTCTTTTTCCATTCTATTTTAAGTTTCTTTCACTTTCTTAAATTATATATATATATATATTTATAGAGTTACATGCATGCATGTATAAGCGGTATAGGTACTATTAGAAATATTTGGAACCCATAATTAATTAGTATATAGAGTTGGGTGCATTGTGGAAAAATATAGCATTTGATAGGTTTACAGGGTATTTATTGGTTAAGGGGGATAAATATAAAGTTCTAGTTTGGAGAAAAAGTAGAAGAAGAAAGTTTGAGTTGAAATTTATAGTTAGAAAGAGTTAAAAATTAATTTATAATTTAATTATTGTTAGTTTTTATAGAGTAAAAATTTTTTATTTTAAGTATTTCGATTTCACATTTTAATAATTTAAGGCGGTTAGCGCCGGCGGGAACTTTGTAAATTGTGTCATTTCTAATAGATCCAGGGACCGTGGGAAAATTGTGGGAGAAGATCTAGGGTGCGAGAAAAGAGAAAATTGAAAAAATAAAAAGTAATTAAGTAATTGAATTTTTCTTTGATAATAAGGTTGAATGAGTATTAGGATGTTAGAATAATTATTGAATATTGGAACTATAAGAGTGTTTCTTTATACAATTCAAAAGAACTAAGGAGAAAGAAAAAAGGTTTTAAGGAATTAGTGGAGAAAATGGAGACTGAGAGATTTAAGATTGAGATGTTGGACTATTATAATAGTTCCCAAGGTATGGTTTACAGAATAAATATCTATAATAAGAAGAACAATGAATCTTGGGATATAGAAAGAAGTTATACAGATTTTGAGCAGGTTGATCATTTATTTCAATATAGATATCCAAATATTCCAAAAGTAAGTCACTATTTTTTAATATTTCTCCTTGCTTTCATACTATTTTTGGGTGAGGTGAGAATGTTTTTGTATAAATATGTTAACTTTTATCTTCTCAATGCACATCATAGCTTCCATCAAGAGGATGGTGGTGGCAAAAGAATAAGGAATTCTATGAAAACAGGTTTCAAGGCCTGAAGGAATACCTTTATAGTGTGTTAGAAAGTGATTTTAATATAGAAAATATGGTGTTAGCATACTTTTTGGATTTAAATCTGGTAGTATCTGAAACAGGTACTATAGCTAATACAAGTATTGAAGAACTGGATGTGGACGTATTAGAGTATTTCAGGGCCAAGTTATTGAATATAGCTAATGCTAATGAAAGATCCTTAGCAACGATGGAAAGAAAGGCTAGGGAAAAGCAGTATCATTCTTTTTTGGGGAATTCCAAATTTTTCTCAGAATTTTATGATACAGAATTCATGTAAGTTTAATGTTATAGTATCATTTAATGTAAAAGTAACTTTGAAAAATCCAGGTCGAAAAATCCTTGTTCTTTAAAAGCAAGGTTAGCTTTAGATGATAAAAAGAATCTTCCAACTTCTATATTAGACTTCAAGGATATGGAAAATATGGAATCTAAATTAAGGCAGATATCAAGTCAAGACAAAGGTAAGTTACTGAATTAAGTAAGGACGCAATTTAAATAGGTATTTCTAACTATTATAATAATAATTAAATAATCAGAAATGATTTTGATAATGGGAAAGATTTGTAGGGAGATCAGTGGATCATTGGAGTCTAAGATTAAGCCTTTTGAGGTTAAGGAGCTAAAGCTGAATTTTCAGCCAATTAATAAATCGTAGACTTTAGTTACTGGCTACTTATAATAGTACCTCAATGTAGGATCTAGTAAACTAATAGAATCTAAAGCTCGTCCTTCGATTCACGATGATTATTTGCCTGGTGATCCTCCGAAGAGGAATGTAGGAGCATCATAATTGGGTTAAAGCTCCACAAACCATCATTGTTACTTTTATTCACAATGGTTACCTCATATTGGCCGATAATGGGACATCTTGGGCAATTCCTGTTATCAAAGATATGTCTTTTACTAACTGAAAGGTAACCTTTAGCTTCAATGTTATAAAATCTGACTTTATCTTTAACATCAATAGTCTGTCCTGCATTTTTCTTTTCACATTCTACTTTGAAATAACTACTGGATTCACCAGAACCTCCAAACATTTCAATTTGCCTACTAATCATCGACTTTGAAGATTTATTGGATTGTACAAACTTTCCTGTAGTTGAGTGCAGTAAACGAATTGATTCCCCACATAATACTGGAAAACCTGCTCCTTTATAGGGTGAATCCGCTTCTCTAATGTAAAAATAACTTTCTGATTCAGATTCTTTGCTACAGGTCACTGCCTGATTCCCATTTGCCCAAGTTATCTTTGTGGTAAATAAGTGACATTTTGTATTTTGATGTAATACAGATATAGTACTTCCATAAGTCACCAAATCATTTTCTTGAGAATAAGCTTTAGACAAAACCAACCCCAAGAAAACAACCATCAACCTTGCAATAAGCCCCAACATTATCGCAAAACTACCGAATCTGAATTGATTTTCTATTTTCCGCAATTTTCTCACTCCTTATACTTGTTATGACTTATTCAAATGGCAAAATTGGCGCCTTTTCTAGTGGGGCGCATTTGCCCGCCTAAACAGTATTAAAAAGAGGAAATGTGAGACAAAAAATAAATAACAGTAGGAGATGACATGGCGGCGGAAGTGAGGGTTGGAAATGAAGTGAATAAGGTATTTACGATGTGTTTGTGAAAGATTAGATGATAAAAAGAGTTAGAAAGTATGTTTAAAGAAGGAAGAGTAGTAAAAAAAAGCTTTTTTTAAGTTTTTTGGAGTTTGAAAAGTATCTATTAAAAGATCGAGTTTGTGGCGCCAAATATCGTTACCTTATATTAAGTTAAAGGGGGAAGGGAAAAAAGGAAATTAAGAGAAAGAAAAAGGAGTTTTGTTTAATTTTCGATTTAAATTCTTTTTTACGAAATCTCTCCATACCCCAATCTTTGTTACAAGGAGAGAACCAAAAATAGATTGAATTTTTAGATTTATAGCTAGGGGAGCGTGGAAGTTTATTGTAAGAGGATGAAGATGGAGGATGAGAAAATGGAAAACACTACAATCAATAGTGATTCAGAAGATCTGGGTGAGAGTTGTGAATCAATGTTTAACAATGCAAAAGAACTAAAGGATGTTGGGAATGAAAGTTATAAGAATGGTGATTACTCAGAGGCAAGGGAAAAGTACGAGAAAGGTTTGGATCTTTTGGAGAAAATAGATCAAAAGGACGAAGAATTTGGAGGAGATGAGTTATCTGAGCTACGGCAAAGTTTGCAGCTGAATTTGGCGATGTTATATATAAAGATTCAGGAATGGTCGAAAGCTATTCAGGTAACTGGACAAGTATTAAAGAAAAACACAAAGAATATCAAAGCTTTATATAGGAGGGGTCTGGCAAGACAGGGTTTTGGAATGTATGAGGAGAGTAAGGAGGATTTTCAGATGGTACTAAAGTTGGATCCAAGTAATGTTGATGCTCACAAACAATTGAAGATACTGCGCCAAAAGATTCAAGAGGATAATGAGAAGAACAAGAGTGGGTTTAGCAAGATGTTTCATGGAGGCTTGTATTCAGACAGGCAACAGGATGTAGAGAAGAGGAAGAAAGAGGAAAGAGAGAGAAGAGTTGAAAAATATAGTAGATATCTTGCAGAGGTTAAATCAAAGAATTCTGAGATTGGCTCAGACGAAGAAGAGGAGGAGGTTATGCCTTTTGAGGAGTGGGAAAAAAAGGAGATAGAAAGGGAAAAGGAGCTAGAAAAAGAGAAGACGAGGGAGAATGAAAGAAAGGCTAAAGAGTCGACTGAGAAGAAACCAACAACAATTATTTCTAAAAAAAATACAAGTAATGATGATGTGGATTTGGATGAGGAAGACTTAAAAATTTTACAGGAGACTAAGAAGATGGGATATTGCTACTTCAAGAGGGAGTTGACAGAGCAAGAAAAGGAGTTAAATAGACAGTTCACTCCAACTCTAATAAATAACAGGGACACTTCTTCTCGTGATGCATCTCAGCAAAATGATTTGAGCTCTGCAGATCTCGACAAGTCCAGAGTTGGAATAAGCTCGTGGAATTCTAAGGGTACAACCTTTGAGGATAAGGATGTTTCAGAAGCAGCAAAGACAACTTTGAGGGGAATCCTCTTAAAAGGAGGTAGCCGTTTTAGTGGTAAGGTTACTGAAGGGGGAGATTTGGATATTTCGGTTTCAATTGAGAGCATTGAGAACTTATCTGGAGAGGCCTCAGTTGCAATGATTCGTGGTACCAGAAGATTCCTTTTTGATTTTTCTATTACAATGAAATGCGAATACATCCTTGAAAACAATGAGAATGAAAAATACTCATTTAATATAAACATACCATCTTTGACCTCCATGTGCAATGAAGACGAAGTTTTTGGTATTAAAGACTGCAATATTCAATTTTCAGGCAAACATAAACATAACCACGATCTAGCTTTGATCAAGGACTTCATATTCAAGAGTTTTTGCCTTGTAAATTTAAAGGACCGTATTAATTTGCTTACCATTGAGATCAACTCTCAATACTAACTAGATACAGCTGAGGTTAATTTTACTTTTTTTACATTTTCTTAATTTTTCTTTTCTTGCCAAAACTTACTATTTCTGGCCTCTTTAAACTGATCTCTATTCCAACTTTAAATGAAACTGAGTTTTCCAACTCATTATTTGAAACTTTTTTGTCGCTAATTGCGTTTACTTATTATAAATTCTACCTCTATATACCTTTCTTCAACATTTTCTCCTATTTCTATTTAATTTTGTTTTTTTTAATCAAACGATTTAATTTATGGCAAAATAATGCATGCATACTGCTACCCGCCAAAAGTTCGGCGGGAACTCTCATTAGGCAAAAATGCTATATTAAAATTAAAAAAATCATGGGGGAGCAATTTGGAATAATTCTAATGTAGATAATGACTATATATATATATATATATATGTATATATTTGGGAAGAAAAAGTGTAATAAGTTGTGATATTTAGGAAGTTAGTCATTGATTGTTCAATCTTATATTTTCTCGAGTTTTATTAGTTTTATCACGGATTAATTGAATTGAATTGAAAGAACTAAGAAAAGATAGGAAGAAACTAAGTATTAAATCCGATTTTAGTGGATGAACAAACAAAATTAAGCATTAGAAATACACGCGTTAGTGCAATAATATAAGTTATAATAAAATTAGTCTTTATATGTGAAATAAGCAATAAATAAATAAATATCTATATGTATGTGTATATATATATATATATATATGTATATATATATATATTATATACAATATAAATAAGTACTAAACATATTTAAATAAATATATTTAATACATTAAAATCAAAGAAATGAAAGAAAACAAAACTAGAGAAGAAAGCTATCCAGTGGTTCCAACGGACAGAATATTAAGAAATTTTAAGCAGTTATCTCATCATAATGATTCAATTTCTCAAATGGCATCTTGGCTTTCTTTCTATAGAAGCTCGGGGGAACAACTTTGTTCTCTTTTTGGAGAAGCCTTTGTAGATAAAAGTTTAAGAGAGGAAGAAAGATTGGCTATATTTTATGTATTCCATGAAATGGTAACCAGAACAATTACTATAGATGATGAGTCAAGAAAGTTCTTTCTAATAGGATATGAACAATTTCTTTTGACAGCCGCTCCTATTATTAGTAGATTAACTTTTGAACAGAGATCTCCATACTTACAAGTAGTACGTCTTTGGCAAGCTCACCAAAGATTTCCTCAAAACGTATGTGAGAGGTTAAGGCTACTATTTAACTCTCAGTCTGGTAAGTCTACTAAAATATACCAGTTTCTGGAAAAACTGGGCTCTTTTTTTTTTTTATGTAAATATTTAACCTGCTTTGTTAATTCTCTTTAGGAAACCAAGAAAGTTTAAGGAACCCATCCATTTTAGATAAAAGAGACAAAAAGTTTACCTTGGATATAATAAAGTCCTTAAACAGAATCAAAGAAGGCTACGAACTTGCAGTCAAGGCTGGAAGTAACAGGGAAATTGCTACAAATGACGGTGGCAACACAAATAACGCCGAAACCAAAACGGTCACTGACGATGCTAATTCTGACACCATAATAATTGACACCTCGTTCTCCACCGAGCCACGGAGTTTGGCACCAGAGGAAACGGAAAAGATTATGAGACAAAGCATAGAACAATACAAGGAAAGTCTAGACAAAATCACAGATGCCTCAATTCTTTTGTCTCAATGCCTACAAGACGAGCTCAAATCGTTTAATGATATAAAAAGAATTCTTGAGGAAATCTCAACGGAAGACCGAGAAGATTAATATCTTTACACTTACTATAATAAGGCACTAAACTACTTATATATAATGCCGCCCTTTATCTATATTTCCCCACACGTAATTCATACACACATGCATGCACATATATATACTTTCTTTAAAACGTGCTCGGAAATTTTCCGCTCATTAAATAAGAGGCATATGGGCTCTAGATCCAGTTATAATGTCCTCACTCTTGTTCATCATCTTCAGTGATCTTTCTAGCAAGGTAAAATCGGAGGTGACCTGAACCACTGCCTTCCAAAGGGTATTCAAGCTCAAGAGGTTGGTTCTCACTCATACTGAGTTTTACGCTATTGCTCAAAGGAGTGGCCTTGGCAAAGTTGTTGAGGTATCTAAGTGAGAATACTAACTGACATGGCTCTGAAACATCAAGAGCAACTGCCTCTGAATCTGCTCCTTCTTTTGGTCTCAAAATGATGCTTCCAGACCCTAAGGATCCCTTAGTTGAGAATCTGACATTCTTGCTAGTAACATCTATCGAGAGGGAATCTGAGAACTGCGCCATATCCCTACATAGTCTTTGGAATTCATTAGACGGCATGGTTACTACAGATGAAAAACTGGTCTCCGGAATTTGAAGACTATCCTGATCAATAGAAATCAGAGTTAGCTCAAATTCAGAAACTCTATCTCCACCTGGAGTCTCAAAGATGAAAATTAAGCTTTCAGAATCGTCATCATGTCTTAGTAAAACTTGATCATCATTTGAACATAACTTTAGTAGCTTTACCACATTTTGAGTATTCAATCCCAAAGTTCTATTCTTGTCGCATCTATATCTCTCAAAAGCTGTATCCTTTAAGTATAAGCCAACTAAAGAAACGTGGCTGTTGTCCATTGCCTGGATAGTCACACCACTTTCATTACATTCAAGATTTACATCACTAACCAAATTTGTAATGGCTTCAAAAACCTTTCTCAAAATCCCTCCGTTTGATAATCTGGCCTCGAACATCTTTCAGAATCTGATTATTAGTGATAAGGAATAAAAACGGTTTCTCAAATATTCCCTTATTTTCTTTCCTAACTTTTATCTTGTTAGTTTACTATTTACTTTTCTTTACAATTTTAATCCTTTCCCCCTTTTTGCTATATTCCCCACAACCTATACCAGTGGAGGTTACCTTTTATTATTATTATTTCCAAATTATACAGCATAGACATATTTTTTGCGTTTTGCTTGCCTACAGACGATTTTCCTGTACAATATGTTCCCCACAGTTCAATATTACATGGCGCCATATGGGGAGAATTGCTTTGCATGCAAAAAAGAGTAATTATTTAGGCACACAACAATAATTTTTAGAAAAATGAATTAAATGTCTAAATTTGTTCATTTAGCTGTTTAACCCATATAATATAAGATGTGATATTCTTTCCTTTTATTTACTCTGCGAAATAACAACTTTCTCAAATTTTCGGAGGTATTAGATGCTCAAAATTATTGCATATTTACTGCTTGACACACTATAAAGAACAAAGTTAAGTAATATTGTATTATATTCTTTGAATTATTGAGTTTTTTTTTAAGTAATTGTTTGAACTTTCTATTTTTAAATAGCATCGCGCTTCAGAAGGAATCTAAGAACAAAGTTTAGCGCCATCTATTTTTTTTTATTTAAAAAACAGTCAGGCTAAGAAAACTGGAGTTGTTTAGGAGAATAAATTAGATTTCTAAAATGAATAGAATAAGGTATATATTTAATGAGCAGGGACTTTGGGGTTCAATCACTAGTTTTATCTCTGCAAAACATACTACAGTGCGTTCTTCTGCAACATTAAGGAGTTTTGTCAAAGAATTAGGTACAGCAACTAATGATCGTAATATAATATCTTCTACCAGCTCAGTAGCTTCAGGAATTCAAGCTGCATTTTCAAATGCAGATAGTACTCAGTCTTCAAGATTCTTTTCAAGTACATTTTCTGTTTTATCACAACATTTAGTTAAACTGACTGACAATTTAACTGATAATGTACTTCCTATAGATATAATCCTACCAAAAGCAAACGCAATTCAGATGTTCACAAGAAAATTCATTGTTTTAGTAATCTTTGCAGGGTTTTTGGGATTATTTCCAAATTATATTTTTCACTCACGGACTCCTGGATTATACTTTGGGAATTTTTTTAGTGGAAGTGGAGCTTCTGGGCAGCAACTAAGCTGTATTTTAAGCTACTTTAATATCATGGCAAATAAAATATCTTCTAATGATCAATTAACTCTTGATCTTGTAGTCTTTGAAAGACACTATAGGCATCCAAGCCCAGAAAGTTTTTTTACATCTTCAACATTAAATATACAACAGACAGTTTTAATTAAAGGATTTATGGAAACCCATAACCCCGGAGGACATGTAGTAGAGGCAATTTTTGGTAATAAGGTGGTTGGTAGTGCAGTTCTATCAAATGTTATGCATCAGGAAGAGATAATGATGACGGTTGCTCCGGAAACTTTAATTTCACGTATTTTTCATACCGATTTAAATGATGAGGATGTCATTTCCTTTAGGGGATTAATGAAGTTTTCTAAATACAATGGATACGGCTCAAGTTTTTCTTATGCTCCAGCTAATGAAGAGGATATGTATAAACCACTAACAAGAGTATATGGCTCAATTGATGCCTTAAACAAGGGGTACCCTCAAAAGCAATTTACAGTGCAATATGCCTTAAGAGAACTCAATAAACTATTACCTCTATTATGTAGTGATTTCTACGGAGAATCAGAAGAAAAACATCGCAGTCCTTTTGTTACTGGATACTGGGGCGGTGGAGTCTTTGGAGGAGATATTCCATATAAATTTGTTATACAGTTATTAGGGTCTTGTGTATGTAATAGACCAATGGTGTATTCAGATGCATCAAATAAATTGGATTTAAACCAAATTCGTCGGCTCGAGTCGAAATACATGACATGCGGTGAGCTTGCCAAAGCATTCTTTCAACTCCAGAATGCTGGAAGGATTACGTTTAACAACGCCATAGGTGAACTTTTAAAGTAGAGGGTATGAAAGTGTTTGGGACATATGTTTACATAGAAACCTAGCTTTCTTGTTCTAATAGGGAGGGAGTTTCCCCCGTAAAGATGTTAAGCTATAGTTCTAAAAATTTTTTGTCAAATTAACCTCATATTTTACATGCAAATCCTCCAAACACACAAACTAGATTCGCGCATGCAAATGCCGGTATGGGCCAAAAATAAGCCCCAAATACCTGCAACCCACTTCTCTATGACAGCAAAAGAATACTAGAGAATAATGATGAATAATTAGATTCTACATACTAGATAGTGGCGGCTAGTGCCGCCTGATAGGGCTAAAATTCTAAAACGAGGTGAATGCCCGTAGGTGAATGCTCTTGGAAGACGCAGAAAATGAGGAAATTAACCATAAAAGGGAAAACCCTCAAAGCCTCAATTAAGCACTCCTGAGAACATACAATAGGACTCACATCACCATAAATAGGAATTAAGTACCATCAATAACAAAGGTGAAGATGAAAATCGCTTCGACTATATAATATATACATATATCGAATTGCAACAAAGCAATATTGAATGTTTAAAATTCTTGTGAATTTCCTTGTTTGGACTTGGATTTCTTTGGTAACAAAACAGTTGGAATGTTTGGTAAAACACCACCACTGGCAATAGTAACATTACCCAAGAATTTGCTGAGTTCTTCGTCGTTTCTAACAGCTAATTGGATTTGTCTTGGAGTGATACGTGTCTTCTTTGCATCTCTAGCAGCATTACCAGCGAGCTCGAGAAGCTCAGCACATAAGTACTCCAAAACAGCAGCAAGATAGACTGGAGCAGCAGCACCAATTCTCTTTGCATATCTACCTCTCTTTAAGTATCTTGCAACTCTACCGACTGGGAATTGTAATCCTGCCTTAGCAGAGTTGGACATGGTTTTACGGGTAGTCTTCTTTCCTCCACCTCTTCCGCCTGAGCTCGTTACTTTTCCGGACATTCTTTCTTGATTTATTTTCTATTCAATATACTTTTTTTCGTTATATCAAAGCTGCGATTATCACACCTTCAAAATTGATAGAACTGTTTCCACTTCCTTTACCGTTTTTTTTTACTTTATTCATTATCCACACTTTCTCCCCACACCTGCTCTTTTCACTTATTTTACTTTCTAGTTACTTATTTAGCCGCTATTTGGCTTTTGGCCACATATCTAATATTCCACTCAACGTCATGTCTACAGGGATTGGTTCATATATAATAGAGGCGGGGGCATTTTTGTGTAGGAAGGAAGTGGGACATGAGTTGAATTCGCGAGTCAGAACGCGAGGAATTTCGTTTTTAAAAAAGATATTTAAAATGAAATGAATAGTATTGATGATTAAGGAAAGCTGAGAACTATTAGGGTTAGAGCATGACTTGTTTTAATATAATTTTATTTATATTCGATGCCTAAACATCTATCGTTCTTAATCTATTTAATTTTTTTTTAAATTTATACGTAATTGCATGTAATTTTAGTTATTAAAGATGAATAATTATTTGTATGCAACACCGGTACATAAATTTTTTTTAATTTGCATTTATGTCCACATGTATTGGAAGTTCTCACGTAATAAATAGCATGCAAGCTGCCATGCAAAAAATAGTTTAGAGAAACAGAATATAATTTGAAGGTAATTAATTGATTAGAAACATAAGATTAAATAATGAATAAAGTTAAATACAGTTTAAAAAGATTGATTCTATCTTAAATTTAATATAAAGGAAATTACAAAGTATGATTAATATTACCAATGGTAATTATTTGATTATGTTATAGTGAAAAAATGGGTGAAAAAGTTGGTTGGTTAAGCTTTTTTTCTTACAAGAAATAAGGATTGAAATAATGGTTTGTAAAAGAATTTAAAAAAGGACGTTGAAATATTGAGGTGGCAAAAACCACACATTAAATGTAAATATTGGACATAAATTTAAGAATTTGGTATTTAATATTAGAAGGTTCGAATTTGTGGAAGGAACAATAGTAATAATAATAGTACAGATATATAATTTTCGGTTTTGAATTAATTAGTAAAGTTAAATTAGTAGGAATTCTCAAAAAATTTTAAGTTTGTTGTAATGGACAAATATTACGTAACCAATCATATAGGCGAGGGAGGATTTGGAGAGTGCTATTTGATAGAGACAAAAAAGGGAGAACTTAAGCAAGAAAAGTTGGTGGCTAAAGTGGTTAATATGAGTAGAATGACTGAAATTGAAAAGAAGAAGTCCATTCAAGAAATTAAAATACTTAATATTATTAACCATATAAATCTGATAAAATTAGTTGAGTCTTACACGACTAAAAATTTACTTTGTATAATCATGGAGCTTGGCGAATATGGTAGCTTAGATGGCGAGATTGAAGCAAGAAAAAAAGGGGGAAAAGATAATATTTGCTTTGCTGAAGATGAAATATTGTTCATTTTTCTACAAATTGTTCTTGGAGTCAAATACTTGCATGATAATAATATTATACATTGTGACATTAAATCTAATAATGTTATTTTATTTTCCAACGGAATGGTTAAACTTTCGGATTTTGGTATTTCCAATATTTTGTCGTCAAATAAAGATGAATTTAATAAGTCTGAAAGATTTTCCAATCTCTTAATACAGGGTTCCATTTATTATCTAGCTCCTGAAATATACTCAAATATGCAACATGACAAAAAAAGTGATTATTGGAGTATTGGTTGTTTATTACTCGAACTATGTTCTTTGGAAAGAGTTTTTAGAAAATATTCAATGCAAGAAATGATAATATTTTCTGTAAAAAATGAAGATCAATTTAAAAAGGAAGTTAATAATCATATTGAAATGTATGGGGTAAACAAGAGGTATTCTCAAGATTTGGTCAACATAATTAAAGGCTTACTCAACCCTAATCCTGAAGAAAGACTAAATATTGATAAACTTTTTCAGTCAAATAAATACATCTTGAATTTCATTAACATGTTTTTAAATACATGTAAACATAAACATTGGAATCAATTCAACAGCATTTGCAAAGAACTAAGCACTTATACTACTCAATTTACTAATGAAAGAGATAAAGTTGATATATTAAAACATCCTTTCTGGATCAAACAAGATGTAGATACTGAGAACAAAAACTCCAAATTTTTTTTAAAGCAGAGTTTGGATGAATGGTTTAAAAGTCAGGAAGTGTTAACTTATCATAATTTCTCAAAAAGCAAAAGCTCAATAATTAGTAACCAAAGTTCTAATAATAAAGATAGTGAAACAAATCCAAATAAATACAAAGAAATTATTGATTATTTTAGACAAAAAGAAAAGAATAAACAGAATGGAAGGCGACTTTCTAGAAAGGAAATATTATTGCAACTCGAAACTACTGTTGAATTCTTTGTAACACAACTTAGTGCTTTTAATAGTAAAAAAGTTACCACTGAAGAAATTATTAAAAGAAATCTTGCAAGCAAACTTTTTGATAATAATGGTACTAAAAAATCAACTAATAGTATTAGAAACTCTTGTAAACAAAGAAACTCACAAAAACTACCATCTACAATTAACAAGACAAATAGTAATGCAAGTTTGAGGAAGAACTTAAGAGTTAAATACGATAAAGAAAGAGAACAACTTAGAGAAATTATGAGAAAAGGAAGAGCAGAAGCCAAGCTGAAGGGAGATACGGAAATTAACACAGTAAAATGATTATTTTGCGCCTAAATAGAAATAATGGTAATAAAAAATAATTTCTCTACTTATTAATATTATATTATTCTTAAACCATTTAATTAAAGCTGCTGAAATATCAAATACTTATTTTTGGTCATTCAATTTTCCCAATGTAAATTATGGATGAATTACATCCACTTTTCAGGAGTGATGTACCTTCTACCAATGAGTTGAGATCTAATGATATATACTCAGCTCTCGTTGAAATCTCCACTCAAAAGAGTCAGAATACTTCAAAAAATAATGCAAGGTTTCATTCGTCAAAAGCGGATAAGAACTTATCTGAAGTCTCAGTAATTTCAAAAAGTATTAATAAAAAATACAATTGTGAGAAACACATAAAAAGCAGGTATAAGCGTCATTTAAACAAAATAAAGGCAACAAAATTAAATATGGAACAGGAAAAGAGACAAGAAATTCCTGATAACATTAGTACTGAAGACCATTCAAATACCAATGATATTAATAATGATAAAGAAGAAAGGGAATTTGCTGAAATGGAACTCTGTATGTCTATTTGGTCTAGCAAAAATGTACTTTCAGGGTAATAAAAAAGATTTTTTTCCCATTCTCCGTCATATAAAAGTAATTAGATATTAATATATATATATATATATATATATATGTAACCTATTTAATGCAATTATATTTTAAAACTATTGTCAACTTTCCTTTTCTTATCATCTTCTAAAAAATACAAAAAAGTTTGATATTTATTAGTCAAAATCAAAATTCAACTACTAACAATGTTACTTTCACCCTTGTTTCCTCTTTAATCTTCCCCTCTTTTTTTTAAGATCTTTTTTGACGGTACCTACATTAATTTAGAAAAGGCGGGAATGCAAGCGCCACATGTCGGTATTAATTATTATAGAAAATTGGTGTTAGTGTCGGAGAAAAAACAGAGAAAAGAATAAAGTAGAAATGAGTGGAAAAGAGACATTTATTGGAGGAGATGATGTGGGAGCAATCATTGTTGATGTAGGTAGTTATATGACAAAGATAGGATATGGTGGGGAAGATTGTCCAAGACAAGTTTGGCCATCAGTAGTAGGAGTTAGAGAGAATGCTGAAAAAAGGTTTCCATTAAATTTTTTGAGTTATTTGGAAGAAGTTTCAGTGGAACCTTGTTTAAATTTTGTAGATGGTAGCTTAACTTTGAACGAGAATGTATTTGAAGAAATTATTAGAAAAACAACAGGAAAAGGAGGTCTTTCAACGGATTTAAGAGAACATCCGGTATTATTAACAGAGCCATCAAAACATAATAGACAAATCAGAGAGAAGGAAGTTGAAATTATGTTTGAAAAGTTTGATGTTCCTGCAGTTTATACGGCAAAAAAGGCAATTTTGAGTGCTTTTTCTGTGGGTAGATCATCTGGTTTGGTTGTAGACATTGGAGCAACAACAACTTCAATAGTTCCAATATTAGATGGATATACCCTTCAAAAACCACTATGCGAATACCCAATAGGTGGAGATTTTTTGGATGATCAGATTGCCAGGCATTTACTAAAAGAGAAGAATTTAAGTATTTCTCCCAATTTTTCTGTTAGAAAGATAATTCACAAAGATAAACCATTAAGTTATGAGCAAGTTAGTTTGGAAAAAGTGAGTAGTTCATATATTGAATATGGTAGAAGAGAGGTTTTAAGGAACATAAAAGAATCTATTTGCCGTTGTGCTGAACATGAAGAGATAGCAAAAACATCATCAGCACTAGCTACATCCACTTATGAATTGCCAGATGGTACTTTAATTGATTCTGAACCTATTGGTATCCGTGTTCCTGAATGCCTTTTAAATCCGGATATGATCATCAGTGATTCTGACCTACCTGCAATAAACACTAATGGATTTCCAGGACTATGTTCTGCAATATCTAATACTATTATAGCTTGTGATATTGATATCAGAAAAGATTTAATAGGGGCAGTGATTCTAACAGGAGGGACATCCGTCATTCCAGGATTAGCTGATCGTGTTTCAAAATCTTTGGCTGAAGATGACAAATTGTCGGGAGGAGGGCCTAAATTAAAGATTATATCTCCGAATTCTACAATAGAAAGAAAGTTTTCGAGTTGGATAGGTGGAAGTATTTTAGCATCTCTGGGTTCCTTCCAACAAATGTGGTTCAGTAAAGAGGAATACACTGAACATGGAGTTAAATTGGTTGAGAGAAAGTGTTCTAATTAACTATCGCAACTACTCCTTCTTTACTCTTTTAAGCTAATTTATAATGATTTAATATTATTATTACTGTTATTACTATTATTCATATTTTTATAATCTTATCAGTTTATTCTTTAATTAATTTGAGCGATATTAATTTCGACTAAGTATTATATACCTCTTTTTGAAATATTTTTAAAGTGGAGTTTAATTATACGAATTTTGTAGTTAAAAAGTCTCTCATTCATTTCTCTTTCTTTTTGGTATAATTTTTCTATAGGACAAGAATCTAGTAATTTGCATGTTGCGTGGCGCGCGCGCCACACTGTGAGTATTGGCAAGTATTATTAAAAATAGAAGGGTAGTGAATAGATTCGAAAATACTATTTAATAAGAGTGGGGAAAAATCTATGTATTCTAATGTTCAAAATCAGAATACAAAGAATGAATATTTGATAACAACATCCGACTATTTGCTGGATTTGAGCCGTCCGCAAAACAAGAAAACAACAATTTCTGTGTATAGGGGTATAAATAATATAGAAACAATTCATACATTAGGAAAAAAAAACATAATACAAGTGAGCTCAGGTTTAAATCATGTTTTATTTTTGACATTGGATTCTGAGGTTTATTCATATGGGACTGGACTATTTGGCCAGCTTGGCCATGGAGAATCCATACAAAAATTAAAGGAACCAAAAAAAATACAAAACATCGAAGGAATAAAGAAGATAACAACGGGAACTTACAGTTCTATAGCTCTAACAAATAGAGGTGAAATATATAGATGGGGATTGTATGATCTAAAGAGTCCAATAGTGTTCAAACCAAAATTGGAGACATTTTTTGGAGGGAGGAATAAGGTTGTGGAGGTGGAATCATATAAGGAGAAGACATGTATAGCTTTAGACAATGGCGAGATATATGCTTGGGATTTTCACAATCCTAGGATAGAATTAATTTGCAGGCTTAGTGATACAATAGTTCAACAGATTTCAATAGGAGCTTATTTTACACTAGTTTTAGATTCCGACTCACAATTATTTGTATGGGGAGATAATACATTTGGTGAATTTTGTGAAAGTGATATGTATATATATAATTCAAATTTTCCAAATTTTAGTAGGTTAAGAATAGAGTCTTGGGGTCTTTCAACAAAAAATTCAGGTTTAAGAAATGAAAAAGAAAATGAATCACCAAGTAATGTTCATGAAAATGAGAAGAACGAGAAAATTTTGGGTGGTAACTCAAGGGAAATATATATAGAAAAGATATCATGTGGTGAGAAGCATTGTTTAATATTAACTTCAATTAATTCTATTTTATGTATGGGAGATAACACATATGGGCAATGTGGTATACTTGATGATAAAAAAAATATTTACCCTCCAATCACTTTGAAAAAATTTAGTGAATTAGATTTTTTAAAGCCATTTATATCATGCGGTAATAGATCGTCAGCAATCATTTCTCCAACTGGTAAACTTTTTTTATGTGGACAGTTGTTTGAAAATTCAAAATCCAACAAAAGGGTTGGAGTTTCCAGATATGCTGAAAAAATTGAAAACCCCTATCGGCTTTCTACCGAGTATTCAATTATTCACAGGAACTCTTCTGTAATTAATTTCAATGATAAAAATTTTATCGTAATCTCAAACTAGTCTTTCCTTTTAATTAGTTAAGTTATAATAGCCCTGAAAGTGGAATTAGTACATTCTTTGTTATTCTAATACATTAATTATAATTAGCTTTTCTTCTTCAAAAATTTTATTTACGCGTAATTATTACGTGTAATTAATTAAAGAGGCCCTCCTGCATGTATGCATGCAATATAAATTGTTGCCGGTATATGAAAGTGTTGACCACATAATTTATGTTATTGGTGAAAAAATTGAAATATTCATTTCTTTTTGCACATCAGTTTCGTAATTATTTTTTAATGAATAGTAAAATCAAAAGTTTGGAATTGCTTGATTTAATCAATCAAACTTAGAGTAAACAGAATATGTTGTGTGGTAAGGTAGATATTAATGGAAAGATTTAATTTATATCAAGTTTTTTCTTAAAGAATACTTTTAGAAATTAAGTAATTTAATAAGAAAAATGATACAATTATATGATATAAAAGACTGCATGCATGAAAGAATTTTTTTGGTTGCAGCCACACAAAAGTGAGAGTATAATTATGATGTAAAATGGTGTGGGAGAGGAGATAAAAATCAGAATTGATCATTATGCATACATATGTATATTTAATGGAGCAATATTGACAGAAATTTATAAGGATTTAGAATGAAAGAAGAGTATAATTTAGAATGAAGAAAATAATGTATATTTTATTATTTTCAATTTTTTGTTTGGTAGGAAATGTAATTTCTCAATTGATAGTATCTGAGCAAGAAATGTGTATGAACGGACAATGTAAGAAGATGTTGAATGGTCATTTGGTGATACAAAACAATCAGGTAAGTCTTTTGGATTGATGAGAAAAATTTAATTAGATAAAGATTTCAAATTTTAATAATTAACGACTCTATAGGATGTATCTTTGAATTTTGGATCATCAGAAGTAAACGGAAAAAATGCAAAGGAATCAGACCCTGGATCCAGTGGATTTAAGATTACAATTAAAAAGTCTCCAATATTGATTGCATATGATTTGAGTTATGCTTCAACATTGTATCATGATTTCCAGGAGGATATAAAATTGTTTTCGTTTAGCCAAGTTGAAGGTGACCCATATAGATTTTGTGATCATGAGTTAAGAAGTTGCCAAAAAGTCAGGGACGAATATTTATATGGAACTCCCAACTGTAAGTTTTGATGAATTCATTTGAATTCACTAATAATTCATTGAAAACCTTTTTTAATGATTTGCAGTACCGCCTGGCCAAAAGAACTGGACTCAAGAAACTCCAATACCACCAGGATCTCAAGGATCATGTTGTTGGTGCCCAGAATTATATGTTACGGTAAGTATTATTAAGTGGGAGTGGTAGGGACAGAGTGGAGAAAAAGAGGCTATTTCGTAGGACTTTATAAGTTCCAGAAATAAACTAATAATCAATCAATTTAATTAATCGTTTAGATAAATACGAATGCACCTTTTTCAAGAGCTACATTACATTGTTCATGGATACGTAAGTTTGATTAATAGTGTAAGCATTCATTGTTGAGTTTTTGTTTAATTTAATTAAATTAACTATAGAGCAAAGAATGTGGTGGAATGTATACTTATCTAAGTCATGCCCGGTTTGGATACCACCATGGTGGACGGCTTTTAGAATAGGAGGATGGAACTGGCAATATTCATTAGAAGTTGAATTGTCTTGGTTTAGTCCAACAGAGTCGTCAATTAATAAGTTGTCAAGTACAGAATTGGAAAATATGGAAGATGAATGCAAGAAAGAAAATAAAGATACCACAATAGATTGTTCAAGGATAAGACATAAAGAGTCTGGAATACAGACCTCGGTGCATACATTAAATTCATCATCTCCATCATTTTATGATCCAAATTTCGGAGCTTCAGTGCAGGTAATAAGTTCAGGACCTCCTTTTGGAAGTGCTAATGCAAAAGATTTGAATGGTTATTATATGTTACAACCAACATTTTCTCCAAAAGGAATGCCTACAAGTATGGCAATTCCTCCTTTAAGAAATGGCTGTGGAAAAAGTTCAAAAAACCAGACTGAAGAAGAGAGTAATGACTGTTTGAAGCCAACTTTAATCATTCCTCCAGAAAACGCAGATTTTACAGGTGTTTCTTGTGATAAGATAGGAACAAGTGTTCATACTTGGAGCTCAATAAATGGTAGGTTTTGCTATCATCCACCTGGAACTTGCCAAAGAGCTCAGGTAGCTCACTTTTATAAGAAGGTAATAGAAGATCATTCTCTTGGAAAAATATCTCAATATTCGGTAAACGCACAAAATTCAGGTTCACCACAGCTAATATTGGATTCACTGGGAGAGATTGGCCAAGAGGAGGTAACACAGAATGACATGGAGAATATAACCAATATTCAATTACGTAGATTCTTTCTTGGATACACTTTTGATTCAATTTTTGACACAGAAATTATGTTTTCAGTCGAAGCTTCTTCTGTATCTTGGGTAGCAACATCTTCTCCTGGAATTATTACGTATATAGAGCCACCACCTCTCGAAGCTTGCACAGCAATGAGTAGTTATGGCTGTCCTCTGAAAGTTTATGTAAAGAATAGTGGTAAGTTTTTATTCATATTATTTTTAAAACAAACTAATAATTTGACAAAAAAACGATTTTAGGGGAAATTGATTCTGGTTTCGTTGTTCAGATACCTTACTGTACAAAGTCAGGAGTACAGACAAGTGAGGTAAGTATATGAGAGTTAAATTTAAATGATTAATTAACACATTAACCAAGGTTGATCCAATAATGGCTCAAACAAGAAAAATTAAGGCAAATTCTATAGGAATTTTTACTTTTGTATTGGGAGTCTCAGTATTAACAGGAAGTGAATACAAATGTGTTGTAAGTTTCTTTTTAGTATATTGTAATAAATGCATAATTAAATTGGAAATCATTATTATATAACTAATATGTTGATATTTTCTGCATTAAAATTTTAGGTGGTATTATATAATTCGTTTTCCATTCAATTGGACCAAAACATGTTCACATTTTCAACAACTTCTATGACGGTATGTTCAGTTTAAAGAAAGTTATATTTTTGAATATATTAACTTTCATTGTTTGTAATTTAATATTTAATTTAAAAAACAAAGATCTCTATTGCAAGTTCTGATTCGGTAATTTCTGATGTAGTAGTGAATCAGACATCGTTGACAAACAAAAAATTTGAGTCCATGTTTACAGGAAATAAATGCCTTTCATGTGGATTAAATTTCTGGTGTTTGATAGCAAACGGTAAGTATAAATGAATAAATTTCTCAAAATTCCATTTATTATGATATACTTTAGTTGGGGATTGCATAAAGCTTGGAGTAAAGTGTATAGGAATACTGCTTGGAACAATAATAGGGCTTGTAATATTATTAAAGTTGATAAAGATAATACTTCAGTTACGTAAAAGTAAGAGGATTGAAACAAAGATAATTACTAGTCAGCAAGAAATTCTAGGTGAAAAGAGAAATAACTGATTAAGAAAAAAGAAAAGTTAACAATTATCGGTATATCTAGTAATATTATTACCAACAATTTTTCCAGTACTTTTATCAATATGAATAGTAACTACTCCAAGATTTGGTAATTGCCAAAATACTGATCCTGAAAAATAAAGATGAATTAAAAATAAGGATAAAATTTAACTCAAACCAATTCATATCAAAATAAAAAAAACAAACCTTTTAAAAGTCTTTTTAAAAAGTAATAATGTGAAACCAAAACAATCTCATCATTTTCAAGGCCTTCATAATTTTTGATGAAGTTGATAAATTGTTGAATTCTTTGATCCACTTGATCATAATTTTCTGGAAGTACTATAAAATCTTTAAAGTTAGTATCAGGAAGAAATGATACATCAGCTTTTGGGTAATTTTTTATTATTTCTTGTCTAGATAAAGAAGGAACATCCGAAACATATAAGGCTTTTTCTCTAACAAAATCCAATACACAAATTTTGCAATTATCAGAAGATCTCTTAGAGATTAGATTTGAAGTTTCCATGGCTCTTCTCAAATTGGATGTGAGTATCATAGAAGCTCTTTCCATAATTGGCTTTCCTTTATATATTGGCTAATTCATAAATATTCCAGGAAAAAGAAAATATAGTTAGAAATGGTTAATTTTTTCTTGGTTTTATATTCCAATACTATTATTACTTACACCGCCTTTATTACCGAAATGATTTGCATTCTCAATCCCATTCTTCGATAAAGGAGCATCAAAAATACCTGAAAATTTAAAAGGAATTATACAAATATTGTTACTTCTATTTAATCATTTTATTTCAATCCAATCTAATCAAAGGTTTTAAAAGTTTATTACAAACATTAATAAGCTTAAATAAGTTATACTTGAATAGATTGGGTTTTTTTTCAGGCCAAAATAGGAGAAAATAAATATTAAAACTTACCAGGGTCTTTGCCAGACAATAACTCGTGTATATTTAAAGTTTTTATATTATGGTTCCTCAAAGCATTCATGGTACTCTCAGCATGCCGAATACAATGTACAGTGATAATATTCTTATTGTTAGTTTTTGGACTGTTAATTATATCACTGCATTGCTTTTCATTGGATGTAAAATTAGTTGGGATTTTACTCAAGAAAGGAAAAGCTATTTTTTTAAAATCCAAGTTTTTGTTATTTTTTTGGAAGACAAATTTTTTCAAGACTGCTTTAACTTGAAACATTTTTTTTAATTACACAATGTAATATTACTGTATTTAATTATGATACCAGAAATTTTAAATGGTTGTATTAAAATGGGAAAATTTCAAATGGAAAGCATATTATTTATTAATTATTTTTCAATTATGAACAAAAAGAAAATAATCTTTTTTTTTTTTTGGCTTCCACCAGCAAAATTTCCTTTTTCTGTAAACCCCACTTTAACAAACTTCACAATTAATCATATTAACAATACCAGCATAAATTATCTTAAAATATTTATGCATGCAAAATTATTTTTAATAACATTTAGGCGGGGGTTTCTGGCGGGCCAACATGATTATATTAAGTCAATAATGAAAAAAAGTCAAGATAAAAAAAAAGGACTCTAAAGAAGAAATAGGACGGGGGAAAATAGAGATTGAAATGCAAGAAATTGGATGCAGGTGCTATTTCAAATAAAGTAGTTGAATTTTTTTGGTGATTTCGAAAGTTTGGATTTTATTATTGGTTTTTTTTTCTTTCACTCTCTTATTAATCTTGAAGAGTTAAAAGAAAAATGGGAGTACCAACATTTTATAGGTGGTTATGTAACAGATATCCCTTGATAGTTAAGGAGTTAAAAGATGCTGTTGATGAGGAGACGTGTTTAAATGACTTGGAGTTGACAGAACCAAATATTAATGGAGAATTTGATTGTTTGTATTTGGATATGAATGGTATAATACATCCATGTTGTAATCCAAGCGGAGGAGACAAACCAAAAGATGAGGCAGAGATGTTTACAAGAGTATGTGATTATATAGATAGATTATACGCAATGATAAGACCAAGAAGATTGATTTATATGGCAATAGATGGTGTTGCTCCAAGAGCAAAAATGAATCAACAAAGAAGTAGGAGATACAAGACAGCCTTAGAGATGGATTATAATAGAAGAGCTTATGAAATAGCTCAAGAGGAGTTTTGTAGGATAGGTTATAAATGTCCTGAATATATTGAAAAATGGGACAGCAATGTAATTACACCAGGAACTCCATTTATGGAGAGACTAACAATGTGTTTACATGCTTACATAAGAAGAAAATTTGAGACAGATGAATCTTGGAAATCAATTTCAGTAATATTTTCTGACTCAAATATACCCGGAGAAGGAGAGCATAAGATATTAGAATTTATTAGAACTCAAAGAAGTAATGAAGATTATGACCCAAATACCAAACATGTTCTATATGGATCAGATGCAGATTTAATTATGCTTGGTTTGTCTACTCATGAGACTCATTTTTATATAATTAGAGAAGCAGTCAGAGATTTCAAAGTAGACTCTCCATCATCTATTTCAATAGTGTATAATGCTTGGATTAAGAAAATTAAAGATTTAGAAATGGAAAATGATAATGGAGGTCTATCTATTGGTTCTTTTGAAAAAGGCCCAAATATTGGGAAGAAACTTCGAATTTATTCTTGGTGGTCTGATATTGAGATAGTTGACCTTTCAATGCTTAGAGAATACCTTAATTTTGATTTTAATGAAATAAAAGAGCAGATTGAATATTTGAAAAGTGTTAAAGAAAGCCAAGTAAAAACAAAGGAAGACTTTCATTATGATTTTGAGAGATGCATTGATGACTTTGTATTTCTTTGCTTTTTTATTGGTAATGACTTTCTTCCTAACCTCCCAGTATTTAGTATTTATAAAGGTTCACTGGATCAGATTCTTGGGATTTATATTAGAGTATTACCTAGAATTGGCGACTATTTGACTTTGGAAGGAAACATTATTCCAAATTCTATTATTCAATTTTTCAGTTACCTTCGTGATTTGGAATACGAGATCATTATTCAGGAATCTAAGTTTAACCAACGGGCAGGTGGAAGTGCAAGGGGAAGGTTAGACCAAAATAGCAATATAGAGGGAGATCAGAAAAATAATTTGGAAGAAGACCAGATTGGAGCCATGGAGAAAGGTCAGAATTCTGTGGCTTTATCCTCATCATTACAAACATTATCATCATCATCATCATCATCATCTTCTTCTTCTTCTTCTTCAAAAGCTCCACAATCGACCAACACTGGCAGACCTACGGTTTCAGCTTCTGAAATAGAGTTACTTTTTGGTGAAGATGCAACTTCTGGAGTAGAATCCACGGTTACCCATAATAAACCAGTAAAAACAGAAGAAGAAAAAAAAGAAGAAAATGAATATTTTTCAGAAAAGAATTTTGGGAAAAAGAGGCGATTCGATAGTATTGAGTCTTATTTCCAAGAGCATCTGTCAAAATTAGTCAAGTATTTATCAGAAGTAGAAGACTACAACGAAGAGAATATACTTATGGATAGCAACTCTTTAAACTCAAACGATAAAGGAGCTAATACAGAAGGAGATAATAGAATGGGAAGAATTCCAATCAATATTGATGACCCAGAGAGTATATTCAAATATAGATTGAATTACTATAACGGTAAATTTAGAGCTCAAATTAACTTTCAAGGTGAGGAAAATAATGGAAATGAAGGAAAAAGAGAAGAGGAAGCTAAATCTAAATTAAATGAAATTTCCGATCAAGTTTGCATAAATTATTTAAGAGGATTGTCATGGGTACTTAGTTATTATTATCATGGGGTACCTAGTTGGGATTGGTATTATCCATATCATTATGCACCATATGTAATAGATATTGTAGAGGCAATCAATAATGTAAAAAATGAAAATAAAATCAAAGAGTCTTTAATTGGTGAATTTGAGTTGGGGAAACCATTTACTCAATTTGAACAATTAATGTCAGTACTTCCTCCAAAATCTGGAAAAATATGCCTACCTAAAGAGTTTTATAATATGATGATAGATAAAAACAATCCTCTTAGTGAGTTTTATCCTATTAAATTTAAACAGGATCCTAATGGAAATAAACAGAGGTGGAAATGGGTTGCTTTGCTTCCTTTTATAGATCAGAAGATATTATTAGAGACTGTAATACCATTGGAAAAAGAAATGGATACTTTATCCAACTATAGAAATAAACTTGGATGTGATATTTTGTACAGTTTTAAGTTTTCTCCCATTAAGAATATTCTTGAAGAAAATAACCAAAATTCATCTAATAATGATAAATTTTCTATTAAAATTTACGGTATGCCTATTTTTGGATACATTCAAAATTATTGTCATCCGGATCTAAAAATTCAAGATCATGATCTTGAACAGGTAACGGTACCAATTATTGAAACTTGTGAAAATATCCAACAAGGTAAAGAAATTATTAAAAAAATGTTGAACGATGATAGAAATAATAGAAATTGGACAAGTATATTAGAGAGTTCATTTAATCATAGAATTGATCGACCAAGTTATGTTATTGGATATTTTAAGCTTGAAAAACTGGAAAAGAAAATAATTTGGAAAGATCCGACAAATGATCATTTTCAGATGTTTAAAGTTGGGTTTGGATCCAAAATTTTACCTAATTCAAATACTTTTTTAAACTCTATTTCAGAATTTGATTTAAAAAACCAGGAGAGAAAATTCAAAGGATTTAAAGCTAATCAAAGCCAGAAAATTCTTTTTAAGCTTTTTAATTATTGGAATTTAAATGTTGATTTTAATCAAAATTCTCAAGTTATAAACTTAGAAGCTAAATCTTTCTATAATCAAGGCAACTACCATGAATCAAATTTGTTTGGTAACAAAAGATTCAGGGACCAATTTGACACCAACAACTACTCATCTTCTAATTATTCCTTTTATTCTGGAAGTCACAACCATCACCAACAAAATAGCTATAGACATCAGCATCTAAACTACGAGCACCGTAATAGTAATAATAATCATCGCAATCACCATTACCATAATAATAATAACAATTACTACTCATCATACTCATCATCATCGAGACAAACTCCTCACAACCATTCCATTCGGACAAACCACTTTGAAAACCGTCTGTATGACCATGAATACTTCTTAAAGAACAAAGAAAGAATTTTCAGTAGTCATGACGGTGCTGAATATAAAGATCCGGGTTATAACCAACACAATAACTCCGATAGATATCTAACTCCACACTTTCCATCATCAGGATCAGGGTACCGACCACATGATGAACAATTACACAGCCAGAACTTACAATCAGGTATGAGAGTTACACCACGTGCCAATAGTTACAACCAACACAACAGAGACTCTAATTCTTACTTGAGTCCTCAAAATCCTTCTAGTCACTCTAATCACAAAAAAAGCAGATGGCATTAAAAAAATTGTTTAAACAATAATATTACTAATTCAACTAAATTAACTCCTTATTAAAAGTACCTAAACTCATCTCCTTTTCCTTGCTCTCTTTGTTCCTACATTAATAGAGAATATATGGAAAAAGAAACACAAAAGACAAACTCGTAAATCAGCTTTGGAGACAAAATTTGCCAAACCATTATATTCTCTCTCAATATAATTATTCCCAAAGCAGCAAAAAGAAACTTTGACAATAAAATCCCCATCACCATAATTCTCGGGTACCTAAATCCCAATGATGGAAGTTTTAGCAAAGCTGACAAGGAAAATAAATGAGATGTTAGGAAGTATAGTACCATTAAATATGATATTTCTGGATAAAATTCATTGAGTCCTAACAATCCAACATATTCCGGTATTGAATCCAATTTTAATTTATTCCCTAAATTAAAAAAATTATTTAATGATATTAAATATAATAATAATATGTTCTCGATACCCTTTGCCGGCATAATATCTTTTTTAGTTTCACCGTCTGATCTTAAACTCTCTATTGATATTAATTGTATTATACTAGTTATTGCATATGGTATAATTAAGTCGTTCTTTAATAAAAATATTAAGATTAAATGATTACTAATCCATCTGTTAATTACCAATTTACTATTTACCATTATCATATTACTTGACTCTTTTGATCTTATTCGGTACCTTTTTATTCTTTTTATTAATGAGCTATTTATTATATATATTAAATTTATTAAACCAATTAAACGTATAATATTATTGTTATTAACCCAATTAAACCAGATATATATTGGAGCTATACATATTAGAAACATATTCCATTTATTTAAAATATTCTTATATACCAGCAATAGCAGAAATAAATAGATCATAAATATCAGTAATCTTGTTGTATTTGATGTTAATAATAATCCTATACCAGTAAATCCATCTAAAATTTCATGATTATCTTTTTCAAAAATGAATGTAAAACGTATTAATATTAACTGTATCAGTGGTAATATTATCTTTTTCAAATTATTTTTTGATCCAGAAAATAGTATTATTATTTGATAGGATACCATTAATAATTTAACCACCTTTCCCTCATTCTCCGCAAATGAAGCTGAATAACTTCCAAATTGTAATAAAAACAGCAAAGTCATTATACACCAATAAACGTTCCATCTTAATTCTTTACTACTTAAATTAAATGTAAACATATTTGAATAAAATGATTTAATCTCATACCGGAATCTCAAAAGTATGTGCATCATTATTAGGGTGATCAAAACAGATGTAAATGTGTTTATCCTACTCATGACTATTTCTGGTATCATCAATTTCTGATTTGATAAGTATAATCCAATCAAATTAATTGTTGAAGTTATTAATATTATTATCAAATAAAATGTAAATAATGGGCCAGGTCTTAAATTTATAGGTAAGGTATTTTTAGAATAATTAGATGGTGATTCAGTAGATAAAGATAGAAATCCTTTTTTGTTATTAAACATAAACTTTGACATACTTAAATTAAAAGTTGGAATAATGATCACTGAAACAAATACTAATAATGCTATCATGATCATAAATCCTTGAGTAATTGATACCCAGTCAAATTTTGATCTATCTTTAAACAACTTTCTCTGAATAAGACTAGCAAATTCACGAGATACTTTATAATGATTCTTAAACATTTTCAATTCTGATGTATAATTACTTTGTTTTTCAAATTCACTATCAAATATTATCTCCTCTTTATTTTTCCTCAACCTCTCATCAAGATCTTTAATAAAATTATAACTATTTCCAAACTCATAATACTTTGATTTGATATCATCTTCTAACCTTTGGGTACTCTCAATTACCTTCAGTAATCTATTAAACATTTGAAGAGCATTATTATGCATAATTTTCGCATAAGTCATTTCCTGTAAATATTCTTGAAAACCATTTTGATCAGAATATACATGATTATTATGATTATATTCGGTACCAGTCAAATTAACTTTAAGATCTGAATTAAATATGCCCAAATTATTTTCTGGTATTGGTATTCCTAAGACGGATGATACAAACGGAACCATATCTATCTGATTTAAAACCTTAATTTCTTTAATCCTCTCAGTAAAGGTTAAAGATTCTGGCCTCTTCTCATTATCCATGCCTAAATCCCACTTGGGTATCTTTTCCATTGGTTCTATAAAAGGAATAGTGGAAAATGCAAATAGGCCCGCGCTAGTTTCTGTAATGCATGGGCCACCATGCCCGCCACTTTCATTCTGACCATGATCACCAAAGAACAAAAAAAGAATTTTTTCATGTTTTGTGTAATCAGTGTGATTGGTTTTTAGAAGATTTTCGGAAAATTTTTGAACTTTTTGACTAAATTCTGCAGGAGTTAGATTCTTTTCATCGTCAATTTTGAGAAGCATTTGCAAAGTTTGTTTAGCTAATTGATCCATTTGAGATAGTTTATTACTCATAAACTGGTTATTAATACCAATATAATGCCCAATATGATCGACTCCAATGAAATGCATCACCATGAATCTCCAATCATTGTATTTTTTGTAGTCACTATTATTAGAATCTAAAAACAAATGGCTCTTTTCTTCCACATAATCATCCAAATTATCAAAATTCCGAATATTTAATGATTCATATTTATATTCATAGTGAATTAATTGATCGTACAAAAGACTCCATGTATCATCTCCAAGAACTACAGATTTCATATTATGAGTATATAAATTCCTTAATATAGTGGAAGAATCTACATTACTTTTTGGTCTTAAGACTGAGAGGAGTTCCATGAGTCCGGGATTTTCGCCTGACATCATTGATTTCACTCTAAAAGTTGTCAATGTTGGAAAATCTGCCTTGTAGTTGTAGAATCGAAGATGCTTACTCAACTCTACATTTCTCATTAAAGCATTTAAGTTCTCTAATTTATTGTGAATATAATTTCTTGGGCTTTTTGTCTCTATATTCAAATAATCTACTCTTAGTGCATCTACAATAAAATACAGAACTTTGTCATAGATAGGTTCTATTTTGAAAAATTCTATTTCCAACAATTTTACATCCTTGTAAGAGTTACCTTGTTCAAAACTTTTTCTTTCACCGTTAAATCCAATAAAAAACAATCCTCCTCCTAGAAAGAATACTATCAAATAAGTCACTATTAAAACTTGTCTAAACATTTTTTTCCAGAGTTCCAAAGACAATTCTTCTTTTTATACTATTTTGAATGTATAGAATAGAAAATTTTTCTCTATTCTAAAACATTCAAATTAAGCCAATTTTATTTGAAAGTAAGAAAAAAAACAAGGGACTAAGCCCCAGCTCAAGCTCTATTTCTTTATGAGCACCGAATGACTTTTTGATTCCATGAAATTACGCTACCTTGTTACGAATGAATATTTGTACATTGGCATAGTTAAATTGATATATCTGTGTTTACATGTAAATATCTACTAATATATTGTGCACCCAATCGTTAGACTTTTAAAAGATATATTTTTGCTCAATATATTGTTGAGCTTTAACTTGCCTCTATTTATTTTCCAAAAATTACTTCCTTTCTGCAAAAACCTTTTAACGCCTTTTTGATTCTGCTTTTTTACTCCAACAATTATAACCTGATTTTTTCATTTACAATAAATACTTCTTTATAGCCGCTGTTATATATTATTTAAATAAAAGCGGCAAAGTCATGTGGATGGGCGCGCACACATGAATTGCATGTAAATTGATAATTAAGGTGATAGTAAGCAAAGCATGCAAAAGAGCAGATAAGAAATTAGATAAAAGGTGGCAGAGTAAAAGTTGTGGTATTAGGAGAATATATATATATATATATAATATATATATATATATATATTATATATATCATTTTTATCTTTATTCTATTTTTTAATTAAAAAAAATAGTAAAAAAAACTAATGTGATGCAATTCAATTATGATGATCAATATGACAAGAAAATAGATGGTTTTGCTGAGTTTGAGTCAGAATTAGCAAAACTTAGAGAAGAAACAAGTCTATTATACAAAAATGAGTATGTGAAGGATTTTTTGGAGAATTATCATTTGGAGTATAATCAAGCCAAGGAAAATAGAAAAGATCAAAAGAACCATAAGAAAGGAAATTTTCAAACAAGAAGTTCTAAGTCTACAACAAACAAGAAAGCAAACAATCATCAACCATATAGCTATGATATTGAATGCAATAATGAGTATGAAGATAATCAATACATTGGGAGTGAGCATGAAGAGATGGATAGTAAAAGGAATATAACAAAAAGTTCAAAAGAAAGAAATCGGGGGAAAATTAGACAAAGAAAAAGTGAAAAGGAGGATTTGGTTGATGGAACTAATCATAATAATGCGATTGCTATATTTTCAAGAAAATATGCTAGTGAAGATGCTCACGACGAGAATAAGTATATAACTTTGGATTTAAGCGAGATAAAAGGAGATATAGTAAAATCACCAAAAAAAAATGTCAAGTCTAAAGTTTCGGAAACACCCAAAATAAGCAGGAAGAAAATGAATTCAAGTTTATCAAAGCAGAATTCAAAAAGTAGTTTTTCAAAAGAGGCAAAAAAACAAACAGTTTCATTTAGTGATAAAAAATTGCTAACCCAGTCAAGATCGCCATCTCCATCATCTTTACTTCCATCCTCTTTAGAAAGTTCAGAAGATGAGTATACAAATCAAATAAACAAGTATAAGAAGCATCATTATACCAAGAGCGATGAAAAAATTAAGTATTACTTAGACCGCTCTTCTTTTGAAGATGATAATGAAGAGAATGTGGAATCTAATGATCAAAATAGTGGCTTAACTGTAAGTAACAATTTCTTATCTAGGTTACCAAGCAGTAATCAGGCTCAAATAATAATGGCATCCCAAAAGTATGATCGAAATGAAAGAGATCTTTTGATGAAAAGGATCCAGTCATTGGAGGTAATTGAGTCTTCTCAAAAGATGCTCATTTTGGAAACTCAAAATAAGGAGCAGCAGTATAGAATTAGAAGTGAAGAGCTTCAGAAGCAACTTGAGTACAAAGATACCAAACTTTTGTTACTAAATCAAGATTATGATATCTTAAAGAGGGATTTTGCATTTATAAAAGATGAAAAGGAAATGCTCAAGAAAAAGTACACAGAAATGGAAACTCATTGGAATGAAGAATATGGGCATTTATACAAGTATAAAATAGATTATGAGATTTTGAGCAAGCAAAACGAGACCTTAATGATAGAAAAAAATTCTTTTATTAATTTGATTGAGGAAGATAAAGAAAGGTACAGAAAGATGGAACTAAATAATACAAGCTTAATGTTGAATGTTGACAATTTAGAAAAAAGAAACCATGAAATTGTCGAGAGATGTTCCAAGTTACAAGAAGATAATGATTCTCTGTCGAGAGAGTATAATAAACTTTACCAAAAATATACTGCTTTATTATCAGAATATAGTGCATCCAAAAAGAATGAAGAGAATTTAAATGCAACAGTAGTAGAATTACAAGATACTAATAAAAGGCTCGATATTGAAAATAAAGATATGAGGGAAAAGTATAAAACTTTATCAGCCACTGAGAGGGTTTTAGAACAGCTTCAGGAGTCTAATGCCGGGTTAATTGGTGAAATTTCTGCATTAAAGGAGGAAAGAGATATATTATCAACAGATTATAAAATTTTAGAGAAAAAACATAAGACTTCAGAAGAATCTATACATGAAATGAAGAACCAATTGCTAGATTTTACTCTTGAAAATCAAAAATTGAAAAAATTAATTAAACAAACAATCATTCCATTAATACCGGATGCTGAATACAATTCTACTATTGGACATGTACTGACGGTATTGAATGCTAAAGAAAACTCCAGGATGAGTATTAAAGTATTGGAGGAGGAATATTTGAATAACACTAATAACGGTAAAGTAAAAAATAAGGAAGAGTTGCAGTTAGAGGTTTCAAAAACTTGGAAAGGCATCGAAAGCCCATTTTCTCCAAAAAAGATGACTTATATGATGAATAGATTGCCTATAGACAATCAGAATAATACAGGAAAAATTTCATTGTCTCCCAAATTAGTTAAGACGGCAAGTTTGGAGAAAGAGCCATTATCACCTTCATCATCTCCAAAAAGTTCCAAGAATAAATTTAAGAATGTGAATAAAAACAAACAATCTCCAAAATCTGCTAAATATAATTTAAATTTAAATAGATTTGAGAAACTATCACCTAATAACCAACATAATAAGGATGAGTTAAAAACAAGATCTTTACCAGTGATTGATGGGAGAAATGGTGATGAGAATGTATTAGTCATCCCTAAATTATATAATACATGTCCTGATTTAGGCCACGAAGAAAATGAAAAGAGGAAGAATGGAAAGCAAGAAGAAAATAAAGAAGAAAGTTTTAAGAAAGGAGTGCAAGTATTAACTCCAAGACCTTTAGCGGCGGATGGAAATGATCATTTAATACCAGTTGTTTTACCAAAAAGATTAGAAGGAAAGATTAAGGATGTATTAGAAAATGAGAATAAAGTTATTCCAGTAATTCCTGAAAGTATATCAAGTATGAATGAGAAAGATCAGTATGATGATGACATTATATTAGAGAAGAGTAACGATCAAAGTTCATTAGAATCTACATCAGAGAAAGAAAAGAAAGACCATGGGTTAGTAGATACAAAAGATAAGGATCAATCAAATATTAATGAAATAGTAAGAATGATTGATAATTATGAAAAACAGATACTACTATTAAATGTTGAAAAAGTTCAATTGGAAGCGGAATTGACAACGTTACCAAAAGATAATTGGTTAAAAAATGCAAAGGAAAAAGAAAACAAGGATAATATAGAGAGAAGAATATTAGAAATTCAAAATAGTATAATAAAGGCAAGCTCAAATATTAAAAATCTTAAAGAGAAGCAACTTAAAAACAAGGACAGTACTATTAGTAATCATAAGCAACTGCACCATAATAATAATCATCGTAATAACCATAATCATCATAATCATCATAATCATCATAATCATCATCGTCATAATAACAATAATCATAGTAATGGCAATAATAACAAAAATCAGAATTGACATTAGAATATATTCACAAGTCAGGAACAAATGAAAAAATATATTCAATTAATTAATGAGTATTTTATACGTGTAAATATTTATGTATATATATATATATTTAGATATAAATATATACCTAATGAATATGTATAATATATAGCATATATATATATACATATTAATAGTTAATATATATAATAAAATAAAACCTAAGATGTTCTGATTCAAGGATAAAGAAGTGAAAATAACATTAAAATTTGATCAGTAAATGTTATTATATTGTTGTATAAATTTTTGATGTTCTTTAGATTCCTTTTCAAGCAGTTCATGGTAACTACTTGCCAACGAGGCAAAATAACATCCAAATAATGGTAATAGGATAGATGTTAGAAAAGCAAGAATGGCAAGTGAGTATCCCCAAAAGAATTGAATATCAGATACAGATGGTGATCTAAATGTGAATTGCGGGTATCCAAAGTGTATTACACTAAAAAAAGAGTTAATAGCAATCCAAGATCCACCAGCATTTACATAATATATTGGTAAAGTGATCATTGCAATAAGATTTGAGCAGCCAAATAAAGTGGTATAAGCATAAGTAAGTGGAATTGATAGATTCCTATAGGAGAGGACGAATGTTATAAATCCAAAGATTACACATACAAGGCAACCAATAATTCCTGCAATCATTGTTAATGATCCAATATTAAGCATTCTGAAGTTATAACATGCAGTCTGAGCATTTGGAAATTGATATTTATCAATAGAGCATATAGCTGCTGCAGCTTCTCCAAAAGTACTTACATTAAAATAATTTAATCTACTACAAACAAACTCTTCTAAACTGACGCCAGATACAATATTTTTGGATAAACGATTCTGGGAGGAACTATTAAAGCTTGGTGACCATAAATATCTTGTTCTATTGCATCTCGATTTAATGGAAAATCCTCTAAGTGATAGGGTAAAATTGATATATCCCAGACCTTTAGTTTCATATACATAATTTTGCCAACTGTTATTGAAAAGTGACAATATCCATAAAGATATAACAAGAAAAGTAACAATTGCCAAATAAAACTTGCTAAATCCTCCAAATGGGTGTTTAACTTTTTGGGAGTACATTTATAATATTAATTTAAATATACATATATATTTGCATTTAAATATAATGGTATATATAGTTGATATCTATAAAAAGAAAAAAAAAAAAAAGAAAATTTCCAATTATTTGGAGCTCAGAATAAATTATGTAATTTTTACCAATATTTTCTTGGATAATAGTATCTCCAAATTAAGATTGATTAAGAGAAATTAAGTGAATAGTTTTGATGTACCAGTTGTAAAAGGTCTTTGACCTAAAAAAGTGAATACTGATATATTAGTTGAATATAGGAAATCTTAAGAATAAAATAAAACTATTGTCTTATGTAGTTCTGATATATTTTTCACTTTTGTTTTAACTTAAGAAATAAGTAATTTTTCTTAATGTTGTGAATAAATACAAATTCCGATTTCGCCAGTTTGACTTTAATATTACATTTTCTTTGTATCCATTAGGCATAAATTGAAATGATATGAGCGAGTTGGCGCCTAGGCGCCAAATAAAAAAAATGTGATAATTAATAATTACATGCATTTGAACAAAAATTTGCCACGTAAAAATGAAAACAAAGTTTGCATGTAAACGGTATAAATCAAGAAAAAAAAAATAGGATTTTTTAAAGTGGGAATAATTTAATAGAGGGTAAAATTGCAAACTATTGATTTTTTTTAAGAAAATAGATAGATAAATAGTAATAATAATATTTCTTTTGAGTTTTGAAGGTAAAGTTGAAAAGGAGTAAAGAAGATTGTAATGGTAGAAGTTGAGGAAATCGGAGTGAAGTGTAACAATTTGGAATGTAATCAGATTCAGTTTTTATCTTTTGAATGTTTAATTTGCGGAAAGAAATTTTGTATAGAACATGTAGGTTTTGGAAAGCATATATGTAAGAACGAAGGAGAGGATGCAAGGCAATTTACTAGCTTTGAGAGAAGACTTGTGGAGGAAAAAGGAGAAAAGGTTTCAGTAAATTGTTCAATAGAAGGCTGCTCGAAAGTTGGAGTAACATGCCGAAAATGTGATAAAATGTTATGCTCGGAGCATATTTATGAATCTGAACATGAATGTGTGGTAAAGAGCAGAATTATAATAGCCAAGGGAAGGGCACAAGACCTAAGAAGAAGGTATTCGGGCGGAGAAATATTGAGTGGATCAAAGCTTCCTGAGGACAACAAATCAAGCAAGATTTTGAGAAAAATAATGATAAAATCAAAAAGTATTGGAGACTCAAGTATTCCAGTGAGAAATAGAGTTGCTGTAGCCTTGTATGTAGGCAGGGATGTGGAATGCTTAAAATATGTAAATAAAGAGCTACCAATATGTATTTGGTTGAATGGGGAAAAAACAGTTGGGTGGAATTTGGACTATATTTCAGAGAGATTAAAGGTATTGCGTGAAGGAAGTAATTCCGATACGGTTAAAGATAAAATTAAGATTAATTTTTCTGGGCTGATATTGTATAAAAACAAAGATATTTATGGGAAGGAGTTTTCGGAAAAGAAAGCTTTGGAAATGAGTGCAGAATTTGGAAAACATGTTCTAGATGGGGAATCCTTGCTTCTTGACTATGGGTTTATTTGAGGTTGACTTTTGTGTTTGAGTTTCAAACTAGGTTTAATTATAACCCAATATCAATTCTTTACTCCACCAAAATTTGGTTCAAGAACCAAAAAAGGATTTCTAGCTCATTATAATTCTAGAATCCCATATGATATAATACCATTTTTATGTGTTTATTCCCACATATATTTGCCCTTTGTAAGGGAAAATGAGCATGTAAAATGAAAGTAAAGACATGGCGCCATGGCGCCAACTTGAGTAAAGAGAAAGCCCGCTAAGGGCAATAAAGGGAGGAAAACAAAGAGTACAAGAGAAAAAGAGTTCTGCATAGGGAGCGGAAAAGTTGATGAGTGAAGGAAGCAATAAGATTATGAATAATGAAATTTATGGAATAGGCTCCCAGAATCCTCCATTGGGTGGTGGTCACATGATGCAATCGGGGGTAAGTGGAGGAATGATTGCGAATCAAAAGGAAGGTACCGTTAGTGGTGGGGCGGTCGTGGGAAGAAGTGGTGGTGGTAATGGTGGTGGAGGAAGTGGAGGAATAGGAACTGGAGTAAGTGGAACTGGATATATGATGAAACCATCAATGGATATCATAAACGATGCAACAAGTGGAAAACAGAGCTGCTTGAGTGGAAATACGACCTTCACTCATGCATGGTATCCAGAGATTTCCAAAATACTACATGATGTAAGTAAATCAAATTTGTCTATTCAGGACAAAAGGGTTCGGATTTTGCTATTGATTTTCCAGTGGATAAAGAAGCAGCAATGTGAGTTAGTGGATCCAAGTGTATTGTTTTCTGATCATAATATTGAGATTCTTGAGAATCAGCTAAAAGCTTATAAACATTTTTTAACCAGTGATTTACCTTTGAGTGAGGATATACTGGAAAAGAGTCTTGGTGGTAGAGCTATTGGGAATAAGAGGCAGAGGCTTGAAGGAAGTCAAGGTGGAATGCTGGTACATAGTGGTATGCAAGTTTGTTCTAAAGAAGAAAATAATGGTGTAAGTAATGCTAATATTGAGACTGAGTGGTTTCAACCAGATTGGAATTTTATTAATTCAGTTATTCGGGATTCTAATTCATTTAACTATAAAGTTCCTTTATCCAGACAAGGATCTTCTATAGTAGTTAGGAATCCAAATCAGTGGATTGAATATAATAGAAAAGTTGAGCAGAATAGAATGGCTCTATTGATGAATAAGAATATTGCTAACAACAATAATAATAATTGCAATGTTAACAGTGAACGTTCAAATCATATACTATCATCCAGCTCAAGCAAAATATCTGAAACAACTTCAACAGAAGAAAATACCAAGCACGTAGCAGAATTTGAAGCGAATCATTCTAGAACAATTGAAGATAAAGAGGGAGATAGTATGATTATTGAAAATAATCTAACCAAATTGGAGGTGAGGAATGAAAAGATTGAATCTGAAATGGGAGATAAAAGTACTGAAAGACAGAACTATAGTAATAACTCTTACCCTAATCAGGGGATGATGAAAAGATCTACAGAAGATAGTAGTGGTAACCTTGACAATAAAGACAACAGCAATAATGGCGGTAATACTACTAAAGGAGGAGTTGGTATATTATCTGATAAAGAGTCAAAACCCGAGGCACGAGACGAAGATTTACTTTTTATACATAGAATCACGAAGCTACTAAATTTTCAACAGTTTATAAGAAACCAAATAATAGTTTCCAGATATATGGAAGAAATGGATCCACCTCTACCTCAGTTAAAGTTTGTCACGGCAAGGGATGCAAGGAAGAACAAAGCTCTATACCAAGCTAGAATGGACGGATTGAAACATATTAAGTTTGTGGATGATATTAAAAGGCAAAGAAGGCAGTTTATTTCCGAGATTTTGAAACACTCAAAAAGGTTTCAAGATGTTCATCGTGAGAACCAAAGAAGCATTAGAAGAGTATGTTCTCATGTTTTGAGGCATTCCACCAATAAGGAAAGAAGAGATCAAAATATGGAACAACAAATGCAAAGAGCAAGATTAAATGCTTTGAGAGCTCAGGATGAGGAAGCCTATCTTAGACTTCTAAATGAAGCCAAAAATGAGAGATTACTTGAACTCGTTCATCAGACTGAAGATTACATAAATAAGCTTGGAGCACTGGTTATGGAGCACAGAAAACAAGCAGGGTCAGCCTTGGACTTTGATGAGCTTTATTTGGAGGATAATCAAAAGGAGGGTGAAGGGGAAGAAGAAGATGAAGCTGGAACTGGAGAAAAAGATCGTTTACATGGCGATAAACATATTTGTGTTACATGTGGCTGTTCTGGGAAGCCTGATGAATCCCATCAGGAGGCTACAAAATTAGGTACTATACAAGGAAGTTCCGAAACAATACTATCTAATGAACGTACAGAAGGTGATAGAAAAGTGGTGTGTGGATGCAATTCTTCAAATTGTACGTGTTCTGTATCAATTTGTAAGTGTGATTGTAAATCTGAGACATGTTGTTCTAAGATTAAAAAGAAAAGGTCAGCGCCCTTAATCAGGGCAAAAGAAAGATATTTCCAGGTTACTCATATGATCCAGGAACACATAACAAAGCAACCAGAATGTTTAAAGGGAGGTCAGCTAAGAGAGTATCAGATGAAGGGTTTGGAGTGGTTAGTTTCTTTATATAACAACAACCTTAATGGAATTCTTGCTGATGCTATGGGATTGGGAAAGACTGTCCAGACAGTAAGTGTTTTAGCACATATATATGAAAAAAAAGGTAATAGAGGGCCTCATTTAATTATTGCTCCTCTTTCTACTTTACACGGTAATTGGGAAAATGAGTTTAATAGATGGTTACCTGATTTTGTTAAAGTTATTTATGAAGGAAATAAAGAGATTAGGAAACAGATACGTTCTAAGTATATGACTGGGGAGGCCAAATTCCACGTGTTATTGACTACGGATGCATTCATTATGAAAGATAAGCATTACTTAAGAAAGTTTGACTGGGAATATATTATAGTAGATGAGGCCCATCGTTTGAAAAATCCTAAAAGTAAACTTGTACAGATATTAAATAATGGATTTAGAGCAAAACATAGATTGGCTTTAACTGGTACCCCACTTCAAAACGATCTTCAAGAAGTTTGGGCATTACTGAATTATCTTATGCCAAGTATTTTCAATTCTTCTGAAACTTTTCAGCAGTGGTTCAATGAACCTTTATCTTCAATAAAATCTTCAGGAAAGGCAAGTGGTTCAGACAATGGTATTGTCCCATTAGATATTAGTGAAGAGGAGCAACTTTTAATTGTTGATAGGCTACATAAAGTTTTAAGGCCATTTCTATTGAGAAGAGAAAAGATTCAAGTGGCTAATGAGGTTCCTCCAAAACTGGAAGAGATTCTTTGGTGCCCTTTAAGTGGATTACAACAGTATCTTTACAAAGAGCTGGAGAATAATGAGAATTCTGGCCCAAATGTACTTATGCAGTTAAGAAAAGTATGTAATCATCCCTTTTTGTTTTCAACTGAGATACAATATCCTTCAGATGAGAGCATTGTGAGAGTTTGTGGCAAGTTTGTTATGTTGGACAGTATATTACCAAAGCTGAGAGCCGCAGGACATAGAGTATTGATATTTAGTCAGATGACTAAACTATTAACACTTTTGGAAGTGTTTTTATCTTTAAGAAATATGCCATTTTTGAGATTGGACGGGACAACTTTATCTGAGGATAGGCAAGAAAGTCTCAAATTGTTTAATGCGGAAAACAGTCCATACTTTGTTTTTCTATTATCTACAAAGGCTGGTGGGTTTGGTATTAACCTTCAATCTGCAGATACAGTCATATTGTTTGATTCAGATTGGAATCCCCAAAATGATGAGCAAGCACAAAGCAGAGCTCATAGAATTGGACAAAAGAAGGAGGTCTTAACCTTACGTTTTGTAACACCAGATACCGTTGAAGAGAGGATTATGACAACAGCAGGAATAAAGCTTGATAAGGATGCTTTAATTATTAAATCTGGAATGTATCACGATCTTTATGATGGTGATGACCTGGAACAAAAAAGAAAAGAAAAAATTCAGGAGATTCTGAGAAAACAGAGACAAAAGGAAGTTGTAAATTGCTATTATGACTCTGATCGTCTTAACAGAATTTTGGCTAGATCTAGTCGTGATCTGGAAATCTTTGAAAGGGTTGATAGAATGAGGAAGATGTGCCACATTCCAGGACTTATTATGGACCCCACTCTTCCTCCATGTTTATTTGATTGGAAGAAGCAGGCCAAAATTTCCAAAGTAACTATAGAAAATACTCAAAAGGCTGAAGAACTTTGGAAGCTTTGCTACACCTTTGGAGATCCCTGGGTAGTACACCCTAAAAACAAGAGTTGGAGAAAGATGCTTAATTTAGGTAATACTGGCTTTAGCAGTAGCAAACCTACTAATAAGGATGAAGGTAACTTTTCTCAAGAATTTGAATTGGCAGGAAAAAGTACCAGAACTTCATCCAATTTCTTTAATAAATCACTGGGCACACAATCAAAAGATGTGGAAATGAGAAATGAAGAACTAGAAGTTGATTCTGTTGTAAGCTTGGGAGAAAGATCTGATAAAGAACTTTCGAAAAATAGACAAGATTTCGAATATTTAAAGAATTCAGTTCTCGAGGTTGCTACTACTACTCCCGGTAAAATTTCAAATGATATGGATAGATTTATACAATGTGAAAGTGATACTGGAACGGGAAGGAAATCTGAGGGTACGATAACTACAACTTTAAGCAATGAATTGGAAGACTTGACAGAAGAACAAATCACTCCTGAGGAAATAGAGTACAGAAAAGATTCACTAAATGATGCTATTTTGCAGGCTTGTGACATGGCAATGAAAATTCCTGAATATGAAGCTTATATAGCTCTTCCATCTCAGAATATTTTCCCAGACTATTATCAAATTATTTCAAAGCCAGTTTGCTTACAACATATTCGTCAGTTTGCAAAAAAGAAGGAGTTTACCTCTTTACACAAGCTGGAAAAATACCTTGAAAGAATGGCTTCCAATGCTAAAACATATAATGGGGTTACCCACTTCTTATATTACTCAGCTCTTCATCTAACTAACACAATTATGATGGAGGTCAGAAAGAGGGTTGCTGTTGCATTTTATACTTACAAACTTCCAGAAGGGCATGTAAGAGATCACGAAGCCAAGCAACTTCTCGATGGTTTAAATTCTGTCTCAGAGACCGATTTAAATAGGAAACATATGCTGGTTCCAGATGTTGGCGATGAAGAGGAAGAAGAAGATGAAGAAGAGGATGACGATGACGATGAAGATGACGAAGAAATTGAAAACGAAGACGAGGATATTAGTGTGAATAAAAAAACTGGAAAAAAGTAAGGAATCCGAATTTTTATTAAGCAAGGATACCTAAAACCAGCATTTATCATGCTTATGCATACATTCGCATGTGTAAACCACAATATATTATTAGTATATTTTATATTATATATAAAAAAATATTATATTCAAATTTTTGGCGCGTTTATTTTAGTAATGTATGCATGTATTAAATAGTCTGCATGTAGGAGCAATCAATGACGGAGGATGGTTTAACCCTAATTAATGATTTCTAAATTAATTAAAAGAGGAAAAGGATACTCCCCCCGTTTGGGGTAGAATAGTTTAATGAAAAGTAGAAAAAAACAAAGGTTACAAGGTTGATATTCTTAAAGTGTATAATTAAGTTAGTAAAATAACTAAATATGTATGATTTCTACTGAGGTTGTAGGATTGGGACAGGGGACGAATTTCAAAAAAAAAATTTTTTAATTCTCGTATTTCCTTTAGGCTAAGAATACTTAGTAAAAATTAAGAATTAATTTTATTAATTCTTTTCTTCTAAATTATTGATAATTAATTAGTATTTAGATTATAGGATTTAGACTCTAATAAATAAAGCTAAGAAGAAGGCAAAGATGTTTGAAACTGTTGTACTGGTGGCAATTTTGACGATATTGTTTACTGGACTACTTTTGGCTGGATATATTCAATATTATGAAAATGCTCCTATAGAAGATATTAGAAAACTTCTTAAAGAGTCTTACATTACTTTGGCGTTGTTGGAATTATTATTTGGATTATTTGGGCTTTTTAGCTTTAAAACACAATTAATTTTACAATTTCTAGATTGGTGGTTATTTTATCAAGCAAGTAACAAATACCCATATATATTTAGTATGGATTCCTTCTTTCCAGTAAAAATGATTCTTGTTACATTATTTAAAGCCATAATAAGCATAAGAAGTTCGTTCAATATTCCTTTTAGGTCCCTCATATTTCCATACATAATGTCCACAGTTTGCATATTACCATTGTTGTTTGCATTCTCATATCCATATGAAGATTCAGTAAGTTTATATATTAGTCAAAACAATAAGTAATATTAATTTGAAATTAACATCGAAAATAGAAATTAGCACATGTTGTTTGGGACAAAAGCAATGATGAAGACATTATAACTCGCTTCTTTAAGATAGCTATATCGGAAAGAAGTAGGAATGACTATTTGGTTCATTTAAAGTTACAAATACAAAGGTAGGTCACATTATAATTTTCGTTAATCAACATAGGTTGGTTATCGAGGTAAGAAAAACCAAAATATGTTCATTTTATCTTATTAAATTTATTTTATTTAGAAATGTTGCTAGCTTATACAGACAAAATAAGCATGTTCGCTATATAATTTCGAAGTCACCATCATACATGAAAAACTTTATCGTTTCAAAAGCTAGTATTGAGGAAATCTAAATAATCGTCTTAAGCATTATTTTTCCTTTTTTTGGGGTTCCAATTTAAATTCAATATTAATAATTTTTTCTTTTAATTATATTTGCCTATATTAACTAACGCGTTTTATTTATTATAACGGTATCTGCATGTATTTACTTTTGGCGGCACCGGTTTATAATATATATATATATTATATAAAACAAACTACAATAGAAAAAATTTACGTGTGAAAAAAGCAAAATACGAATCAAGGTCAAATAATCTTCAGAATAAAATGGAATTTATCAATATCAATGGAGAATTAAGAGTTCCTTTAAAACACGAATTAGATGAGTCGCCACAGGACTTGACTTCAGTACCAGAAATTATTGAAATTAAATTAATTCTGGATGCTGCAGGAATTTGCCAGTGTATTGGTATGTTATATTGAGCAAAATGAGCCATAAAAATACGATAACTATCTTAACATATAAAAACTATTGAAATACTAAAATACCAATATTTTTCCCATATTTTTTTGAACCGGCTTTTTGGAACACTGAAACAACGCTAAATAGAATTACCTAGAGAAAATTGCTATTATTCTAATCACGAAATTATTGTAAGTACCTTTCTTAAAATATATATTATCTAATAATACAAATAAATAATATGTGAAATTAAATGTAATCTCTACTTAGATACACAAACTGAATGAGATCTTGCCAATTCAAAGTGAGATTTTGGACAATATTGCAATTCTACAAGTTACTCTAAGCAATAACAGAGTTCACAAAAAGGTAAGTTGTTAATTAATTTAATAATGGATTTTGTGTGCATATTAAAACTCCATTAAAATATAAATGCGCACAAAATTTGCATGTAATTAACCATATTCTCATTTTTAAATATTAAACAAAAAAAATTAAATGTTCTTTTTTTTAAAAAAAAAAAAAATCGCTTATTTTAGGCAGTTTATTTTAAATTTCTTAAAGAAGAGAAGGAAAGTATTACTGAAAACGATGTTTTAATTTCATTTCACTAATTTGTATTGTTTTCCAAATCTATATTTATCAAATATATTTCTGCCCTTTTGTCAAATTAAGATTACTAATCCACCGCGCGCGCCTTCGTCTAAAATTTTAAAATAAAAGCTTTTGCTCCCGGAAAAAAATAAAAGAATAAAGAATAAATACGTGGGTAATTGGATTGAATGATGCTCACAAAACAGGAAAGTTTTGGAGGTAACTTTTAAATAAAGGTGTTAGTTTAACTTTTGTTTTTATAATTTTAACAGAGAATACACTCCAAAAAGAAGAAGTCGCTAAATAACATTTATACTGCAATTCATAATATGGAAGTTAATTATGGTTCTAATAATAATATAAATAGGCCAATATAACGAAATTTGAGATCTAAGATAATGACGGTTAGTAAAAGGGAGCTGAGATCATTTTTTAGAAATTTGCACCCTTTAGATTTGGGGTTAGTTTTTAAGGTTTATAAAAAGTCTAACTACGATGATATTTTGTTTGATAAGTTATCTGGGAAAAGAAACAAATGCATAACAAAGAATTTATATATAGGAAATAAGTTTGTTAGAAACCAAAAAAATAACAAAATTCGAGTAAAATATTTGGAATTCATTAAATTTTTGGCTGAGAATCTCTTTGAAATGAATATTAGAGATCTTGGATACCTTCAGAGTTCAGAATTACAGGAGATTTTTCAGTATATTAAGGAAAATGAATCATCAATTGATAAGATCTACACCTCGCACAAATTAGAGGGAATATTATTTTCAGTACTGAAAACCCATATTATATATATTTTGGAATCATCAATTTTACTATCTGAAATAAGTGAAATAAAATTTTTAATTGAGGGACTTTGGAGTTTATTATTGCAGTTAGAGGTAAATATTGAAGATCTTTTTCATAATATTAATAAGGATGAGCTTATTCAAATTTTTAATTTAATTTGTTATTTCTCGGATTTGAAACAAAAAATCGTTCTAGACGAGAATCTGGATAAGTTGCTTATTAAAATTTTGAATATTTTGAAAGTCAAAATAAAAAATCATTTTAATGTACTCTTACAGTACTCACTAGATATCACAGAAACGATTGGTAAACCAAACCAATCTGAATGGATAAACCTACTAAGTTCGGAAGATATTGTGATTTCCAATGAGGACTTATTATTATATTTTATATTAAAGAATTTTAATGGTAATTATAATGATAACTTAAAACGAGTTTTGCAAATTATACGGTTTAATCTCCTCTCAGATTCTGCTAAAGGTATTTATAGTAGAATCCAAAGACCAATTCTAAATTCTTCAAATCTATCCAGAAATAAATACTTTGCCAACAATACACAAATTGCTTCTTGTGTTACAAACAAACCCAAAACCATAATTTTGAACAACATATCAGACAACTTCCAGCTTCCTATTCTCAATAAACACCTTATTATAGATAATAATTTTAAGGTTGATGGCTGTTTTTCGTATGAAATTCGGATGATTAGTAGAAGTAAGCTTAAGTTTCCAGGTGATTTTAACGATTTGGTCAAAACTTGGAAACTTTTCCTTGGTTTTTCAATTAAAACTGGCAAAAAATACCAACCCTTCGCATTTAATCTATTCTCATTACTTGGTGAAAACTCAGACAAAAATGATACTAGCAAACTATTTCATCACCGTTCAATCCTAAAATCATCCAAGTTCAATCATATATCCGGAAATATATCAAAAAATGAAATTATGTTGGTGCCTGCCCCTTATTACGAAGAAGAGAATTGCCTGCAGGGCAAAGTAGTTATACAGTGGGAAGGAATTGTATTGGCAAATAGCAATGGTGATGAAATTTTGGAAGACGATAACAGAGTAATTTTTGCAGTAAATTGGAGGGAAAAGTTTATATTAGTTGAGATTGGAAGCTTGTTTTCTGTATATGTTGAGATCCTTGATGGTTTACTTGAAGAGAATGGTCTAGAAATACAAAATGATCTTGTTTTTCCGTTAATAAGCTACAATGATGAATATTTTAATGCAACAGTGAATTATTACTCCTGTAATTTGGGGATAAATGAAAGACAAATAAGTTTGAAAGAAAGACTAGATCAAGAATGCAAAAAAAGGTTTATTGGATCGAAGACAAGAAGAAAACTTTTTACAGATGTTAGCAAGAAGCAATCAGGGGCACCAAAAAGAGTAACTAGGCTTAGACCATCTGGATCTACTAATATGGTAATTTCTTTTCCATCGGGTTCACTTAATTCTCCACAATTATCTGCATCTTCTCCAGCAAATAAAAGAGGAAGGCCGAGGAAAAACACTACCACAACATGCATTAAAGAACTGGTACCTATGAATTGCAAGGAGTACTATCCTTCGCTATTATCAAAAGTTTCCAAGAAAAACGATAGCAAGAACATTTCAAAATCTACCAGAGCTCAAGGTTCAAACTCGCTTGTGATCAAGAAAATCAAGAAGAAAATAAAAGTAAATACTGATCATTACTATTCATATAATAATTCCTTTTTAGGGAGATTTTTTGCTAATAGCTTTAAAAAGCTACTAAGTTTTTTTCGTGGCCGTCTAATATAGTTTTTTCTCATATAAATGATTATACTAAATCTAATTTTCTCTGCTCTTTGGATCTTTTTTTCTACACAAGTTGAAAACTAGTTACTACTACAAATTTCCGTTTGATCTTATACTTCCTAAAACACAACTATTCTTTTCTCAGCCAACTTCGTTCTTTCTCTCTCTTGGCCTCTACAAATGGCTATTCTAAACGTTTTATAATTTGTGCATGCACACATACAATCTTTCGCAGATTCTCCCCGCCTAAATATGTTCTTATTTTTCTTGTAATACTTATATAATTATTTCATGCAAACTGAACCCGCTATAACTTGCCGCCCGACACGTGTCAAAAGTCTCGCCGGTATATGCATAAATAATAATTCTTATGCAACGAGAACATTGCGATTGCATGTTTGAAAAAGGTATAGTAAGATTAAGATAAAAAAGAAATAAATTGATTAACTTTGAAAAAAGTTAAAAATTTTGTAAAGAAAAAATTTATCTGTATTTATATTTTATTAAAAGTCGAGTTAAGTAAGAAACAGTCTGGATTATTTAAAATATAAATATATAATAAATCAGAGAAAATTTGTGGCAACAACTAAAGCTAGTAATTAAGTTTGTAGATATCTGTGATATAATTTTTGGAGAAAGAGAGTTTTACACTTCAAAGGAATGAATAATGTGTAGAGGAAAAAATGCGTGGATGTTGAAGAACTCAACTTCACTCATATTGGGAATATGTCTGCTCTTTCTTGTACTGCAAAATGTTAATTGTGAAGATGTCCCAATAAGATTGAAGACTTCAAATAATTTGAGAGGTGGACCTAGCACCAATAGAGAGTCGAATATCTTGGTCCCAGCCTTTGAGCCAAGTAAAGAGTATATTGATACGTATTTTTCGTATATCGAAGACTTTCTTAAAAATGTCAATTACTTATCAACCTTAAGTGTTTCTCTTGAGGTATTCAGTTCAATATGCTTTGTTTTGTGTTTAAGAGGTCTTTCAACTCAAGAAACTGCAAAAAGAGGAAACTCCTTAGGAATTGTTGGTATTATATCTGCAATAGCAGCTACTTTCTTGGCCCCTACTTTTTCAATGAACTGGATTATGTTTATCGTTCCATTTGCCGTAGCAATTTTTATTGGGATTCCAATGTCTCACTTTGTTTCAATGGTTAATATACCTCAATTGGTTGCCCTATTCCATTCATTTGTAGGTTTGGCAGCAATGTTAATATCCTTTGCAAATTTATGGACACCATTCCAGTCAGAAGATGGAGAATTTTCGTCTGTGCATGCAGTCGAAATGTTTATTGGAGAGGCCATCTCAGCAGTTACCTTTACCGGAAGTATTGTTGCTGCAGGGAAGTTGCATGAAATATTCCCTACTGGAGCTCTTAAGTTACCAGGGCGTCATTTCTTAAATGCATTCATGGTAGCAGGTTTAATTGCTTTGGGATCAGTCTTTATCGCTATCACAGATTATGCAAATAGGACTTATTTAATGTATGGAAACAGTTTGCTCTCAATGTTACTAGGAATACATTTAGTGGCTTCTATTGGAGGAGCAGATATGCCTGTGGCAATTTCTATGCTCAATTCATATTCAGGCTGGGCTACTTCTTTTACTGGATTCCTCATAAATTCCAAAATACTCATTATATGTGGAGCTCTAATTGGTTCATCCGGTGCGATTCTTTCTCACATTATGTGCATAGGAATGAATAGATCCCTATTAAATGTAATGATTGGAGGCTGGGAAGGCACTGGGGACTCCAATGATGGACAGACACTTGGAGATCAGTCTGATGTAAACCAAACCAATGCAATGAAAGTAGCTAGAGACCTTTTGTCTGCAAAGAAAGTATTAATAGTACCTGGCTATGGTATGGCAGTCTCTAGATCACAACAGGACGTTGCTTCTATAGTAAATGCTTTAAGATTAAGAGATATCCATGTGGAGTTTGCTATACACCCCGTTGCTGGTAGAATGCCAGGGCATATGAATGTACTACTTGCAGAGGCGGACGTTCCATATTCTATTGTCAAGGAGATGGAGGACGTAAATCCAAATATGGAAAGTTTTGATGTGGTTTTAGTTATTGGAGCAAATGATACCGTAAATCCACTCGCACTTGAAAAGAATTCCAAAATTAATGGAATGCCAGTCATAGAGGTTTGGAGAGCATCCAAGGTTATTGTTTCAAAAAGAAGTCTTGGAAAAGGATATGCAGCTATAGAAAATCCACTCTTCTTTAAAAGTAATGTTGAAATGATCTTTGGAAATGCAAAGGACTCTATGATTAACATTTTACAAAACATTGTATCCATATCTCCTGAGCAAAAGAGAGCTAACTTAAATGATGACGAAGAAACTATTGATAACGCAGCAACCGATCAAGCAGACAAAGAAGAGTATCCTGCTCCTACTATGACTATTGGAATCTTGAGGGAAGACCTTCCCAGTGAGAAGTTGGTTTCTATTGCTCCAAATTATGTTAAGAAACTCCGTAGACTTGGATTTAGAGTTCTTGTGGAAACTGGAGCAGGACTAAAGAGCCAGTTTGATGACCAAAAGTATGAGGATGCGTCCTGCACCATTATGGCTACTCGCCAAGATGTTGTGAGCCGATCTGATATCATAGTTAAAGTACAAAAGCCAACGGAAGAAGAAATTTCACAGATGAAGTCAGGACAGACGTTAATTAGTTACATATGGCCAGCACAAAACCCATCATTACTTGAGTCTTTAGCTAGCAAGGGAGTTACTACTATAGCTTTGGATGAGGTTCCAAGAACTACGAGAGCGCAAAAGCTTGACATTAGAAGTAGCATGAGCAATTTGGCAGGTTATAGAGCCGTAATAGAGGCCTTTGTTCACTTACCCAAGTTATCAAAGTCCTCCATTACTGCTGCTGGAAGAGTGGATGCAGCCAGAGTATTTGTAATAGGAGCTGGTGTTGCAGGATTACAAGCTATTGCAACTGCAAAGAACCTTGGAGCTGATGTATTTGCAAGTGACACAAGAACTGCAACTAAAGAGGAAGTTGAAAGTTTAGGAGCCAAGTTTGTTGCTGTTGAAATTAAGGAGGAAGGTGATTCTGGATCGGGTTATTCTAAGCTAATGAGTAAAGAGTACCTACGAGCACAGAAAAACCTCTATTCTAAAATGATTAAGACTTGCGATGTTATCATTACCACAGCATTGATTCCAGGAAGACCTTCTCCAAAAATCATCACTAGAGAAATGGTTAATTCTATGAAACCTGGAAGCGTTATTGTAGATATGGCAGCAGAAATGGCTGATACAGCTTCTGGATGGGGTGGGAATTGTGAGATCACCAAAAAAGATCAGGTCTATCTGGACGAAAAGAGTGGAGTTACTATTATTGGGCTCACAAATCTGCCATCCACAATGCCATCCCAGGCTTCTGAACTTTTTAGTATGAATATTGTCCACCTGCTAGAAGAACTTGGGGGTGCAGAACACTTTTCAGTTGACATGGAAGACGATCTTTTGAAGGAGATGGTTGTCACAATTAACGAGGAGGTCAGTTATGTTCCAGTTGATAAAAGACCCCCTCCACCAGAAAACGAAAATTCGACTCCTTCCTCAAGCTCATCCTCAACTGAAGCATCCACAGGATCATTCTTAAGAACAATGGAAAAAATCATTTATTCTAATGTTGCTTTTGGATTCTTAGTATTATTATCAGTTCTTATTTCAGTAGGACTTGGATATGTTATAGACCACAATACCTTGGGCAATATTCTTGTTTTTTCACTTTCTGTAATTGTTGGCTATTACTGTATATGGAATGTTACTCCTTCTTTACATACTCCGTTAATGTCTGTAACTAATGCATTATCTGGAATCATCATTATAGGAGCAATGTTGGAATGTGGCCCTGTCATTTTATTCACAGATTTCCAGGTCTATTCTTTACTCTTGTTCTTTGCAATGTTACTCAGCTCTATTAACATTATTGGAGGATTTTATGTTACTACCAGAATGTTATATATGTTCACCGATCACCAAGTTGGCTCTTGTACAGAGGAGGATGTACAAGGAACCAGACATACTACCATTATATAGTTATTAAAAATGAACAATTTAGCTCAAACTAATTCAAAGTTTTCCTTCATTTACATACTGTCATTTTTCAAGATCTTGCCATATATAATCAATTTACTCGGCGTAAAATTTATTATTAAGGGTATCGGAAATGGTATCATCCATCAACCGTTTACATTTGTTAATAAGGCTTGAAACCACAGTAAATGTAGTGTCAGAATACGGAATCACCAAATTAAATGGAGAATAAATGAGTAGAATAAATAACATTCGGTTTCTGAGACAATTACAATAAGCATTTACTTAGTTGGACAAAATCTCAAATTTAAAGCTATTTCATTACTTTGATAGAATTAGTAGACAAAAGCCTCTTCTATTATTAGTTACTATCCCTACTAAGAATTTTGTTATAATCTAAATGTAACGTTTCCTCCCCTCCCACTTTTGACTCACAAACTTGCATCCTTCGAAATAACATCCCGTAAAGTATCAAAATAGAAACCTCAACTCCTAATTAACAAAGAAAATTCTCCATCGTTAAAATGTTATAAGACAACAAAAGAATCCCAAATTTTAAAGAGAAAATTAATTTCGTATTGACAATATTAATTCTTAGTACTAAAAAAATTTAGTAAATGTTGAATCAAAATCTCCAGCAAGCAAAATGAGAAAAGTCATGTCATAAAGAATAGTGATGTTGCTTTTAGAAGGAGAGAAGTAGATCTTTGGACTTCGAATTCTATTAAGCTTATTGGTTAAGGTAATTTAGTGGGTAGCTGGCTGGGCCTGAGTCGAAGCTGGCTGTTGCTGAGACTGTGGCTGAGATTGATTTTGATTCTGGTAGAACCCACGCCCTCTACCTCCACGGCCACGTCCTCTCATTCCTCTGCCTCTCCCTCTGCCCCTACCTCTACGTCTGTCACCTTTGACTGGAACACCGTTTGGACCAGAGACATTGACAGCCTTACGACGGCCTTTATCATCAGTCTCAATTTCGTACTCTACTCTTTCATCTTGTGCTAAGGATCTGAATCCTTCAACTTTGATGTTTTGCTGGTGCACAAAGATATCTTCAGATCCGTCATCTGGGGTAATAAATCCAAACCCCTTGGTCGAATCGAACCACTTGCAAACTCCAGATAAAGGCATTTCAACAAGTTTTCAAGGCTTTTCTTAAAATTGTCTAAATTCAAAGAAAATTGTGTTATCTAATGGGGGCTCAACAGAACCTACACTAGTGTAATATGTAATGTGTATTTTGCCGCGAAAACCTTTTGATATATTAATTAATGACAATTATTTATAAATACAGTAGAAATAGAAATATGTTTATACAGTGAGCAAATAAATAAATATATGTATATATATTTATACATAAATATATATATATACATATATATATATATATATATATATATATATATATATATATATATTATATATATGTATAGGCATATATAATTGGAAAGGTTATCCACTATTAAAATTTACCACTTCTAATCAACTTGACAAATTCTATTCATCAAATATTAACAAAAATTAATTTATTTATTACCCAATCCTAATATTTAATTACTCACTTCCCACTATATATGTAGAGACGCGTGAGACACGGTTTTTAGTACCAATGAATTAGGCGGGTTAAGTTTCGTAGCGAGCGGGAACCGCCATAAATGTCCCGGTACTAAATAGGCTTCAAGAGGGGAAGGGAATAATAAGAAGTTAAGCGATAGGCTTAGAATATATTAAAAGTTTATATTTATACAAGAGGGAGGTGCGGGTAATAAACACTTTTTTAGAGCAGAAGTTGTTACATATAAATTCTAGTTAAACATATTTGGCGGGAACCCACATAGAGTGCCAATGTGTGGGGTGATTGGCGCCTGGGAGATGTTGTGGTTGAGTATGAAGAAGTGGGAATTGTTTAAATAGGGCGGTAGTAGTATCATTTCTTCGGCGGAGGTTTGGATGTAAATAATTAGGCATGTAATGCAAAGCAATGTAATTTAGAATATCAGAGGCGAGGAATTAGTAGTTTATTCGTAACAGATAATTTGCCTTAGCAATAAATAGCTACCTTACATCTCTTTAGCAATTTCCGTGTAGAGTTAAGTAGGGGATACATTGAAGATATAGAAACAGTATATTTGGCGCGCCTCAATTTACATGAAAGCATGTTCAGAATAATGAGTGCATCTCCATTTACAAAAAATTATTCAACTCTTAGACAAACTTATATTGATAAGATGAATTGGAAATTTCACACGGCCAAAGGATTTAATTAAATTAGATATACAACTGAGCTAATAGTTAGGTCTGATTCTCTTTCTTCGTAGAGTCTTTTTTTGAACCTGTTTTGAATGAATTCTCCGATAAATAAATTCTCTCCAGTGTTTGGATACAGATTGTGAGAAATCAACGTGGATTCTAAAATGGTGAGTTGATTCAGTTAATGAAGATAGCGAATCGCAATTCCTCGTTACGAAGGGAAAAGGTTGGGGAGAAAAAGCGGACTGAAATAGCAATTAAAAACAAACTTACCTTCTATCGTCAATGACAGCATTCTGCATCTTCATAAATGCCAGTTCACACTGCTGTTTAGTTTCAAACTCTATAAATGCATACTGCAGGGATTCTCCAGTCTTGTAATCCCGAATAATGTCACAGGACTTGACTTCTCCAAATCTTGAAAATATGAGCTCCAAATCATCATCTCGAGTCACTGGATTGAGTTTGCAAACAAAGAGAACATTCTCCGGGGGTTTCATGTCAGCATCTGGGATATCTCCTAGAATCTCCAAAGTTATGGCTCTAGACCTAGCTTCTCTTTCACTAATTGAGTTAAGAACCTTAACTTGATCCTGTTGACAGATTTTAGTCAAAGGGTCAGTTTCTTCTGGAGGTGAGTCTGGAGGAATGATATCCAAGAGTTCAGGAGAATCTTCAAAGGGGTCATCCAAGATATAAGTGTGAAGAATCATCACTTTTTGCAAAGGGATAGAATCTTCATCCGTAATAACCTCATTTAGTCTAGATAAAACTTGAGTTCCTTCCTCCACTTGAGCAAAAATTACGTGATGTCCATCCAAATAAGTTAAATCGTCTTTCAATGTAAAGTAGAACTCTGAACCCAAAGAACTCTTGGAAGTGTCATTAACCATCCCTAGAACTCCCTTTTTTTTGTGTCTCAACTTTGGTGTGATTTCAGACTCAAAAAATGTATTTACTTTTTCTTGATTTCCCATGACTTGAAGCAGTGAAGAATTACCGTACTTTTTAGATCGACCAGTTCTGGCAATAAAATCTTTCTCTATCTTGTAAAACTCGCAGTTGTTGTAAAATTTAAGTTTACAGAGTTTAAGAAAATTCTCGCAGGTCTTCGGGGAAAGATTCACATTTAAATCTACCACTAAGTCTCCGAGGGTAGTCTCTATTAAAACTGACATTTTGGCCCGTTTCTTCTACTTTAACCAATCCAAAAATCGATAATATAAATCCTCATGATTATCTAGTTAGACCCAAGTCCCTTTCCGAACTTCTATCTTTTGTTTAATTAGACGCATCTTCAATTTATTTATTTTTTGTTCTTTTTTTCTTTAGGCGGGCATTTTTATTTTTGATGTTACCATTATGCATTTTTTGTTTATTTCCGTCTGGGCAAAAAAAAAACTATTAATATTTTATGCTCGTATTTTAGTATAAAAGAGAAGGTGGTAGCCACGAAAATAGGTTCGTCGGAAATAAATAAAACTTTATAGAAATATTGTTTAATGCTAAACGAAAAATTGAATTTTAACACTGGATTAACAAAGGTAGAAAACAGAGAAATCTAAGAATTGTTGAGAACTGTTTCTTCTTTATTGCTTGGATTTGATACTTTGACTTTTATTAATTTAACTTTTTCAAAAATATGAGCAGAAGAGATGCTCGACCTTTTCGTAAAAAGTTATTAAAAATACCAATTATTGAAAGTTCACTGAAAATTTACACACAAGGTACGAAAAAAATCATTGATGGTTTTTACTGTTGAATCACAGTAAGAACTATAGAAAATGGACAAGCTATTTTTGCCTCAACAGTTTTTATGCATGGTTCTGTTTTGATCATAAAGGATCAAGAGATAACTTGCTGAGGAGGGAATTTGTTGGTGCAAATTGGTTTGAATTAATACTTAAATTTTATTAAATAATCACACTTTTGAAAATTTCTTTTTTTTAGAGAAATCTGAACCTGAAGATATTCAAATAAAGAGAAATGCTGCATTTGATGATCTACTTCAGTCATCATATCCGCCAGCAGGATCTTTTGACGGAGAAAAGAGGTAAAGTAAAAGAAGGAAATTGTTTGTTTGATTTGTTTTTGTTCAATTCAAACACTTTTTATTAAAATTTTCGAATAACTGATCAATCTTAGATCTTACGAGTTCCGTTACCTTAATGCCAAAAGATCACTTTTCCCATTTAAATTAACACCTAAAACACTTTATTGTATAGATAACGTTAAAATGGGGGTAAAAACGGTAAGTAAATAATGAAAACTTTTTTTATTAGTTTTATAATCGTCTCTTTACCCTATATTCTTTTCCAATACTTCAAAAGGGAGCCATTATTGGGTCTATATTTGGTGGAATCAACGGCATGTATCAAGCTCTCAAATACAGAAATTATATGGCAATTCCAGTATTTGCTGTAAGTCCAAAATAATTTAAGAACTCAATCTTTTTAATATTTTTTTCTTATTATTAGATCGGTGGGGCTATTAGCTTTGGATTTTTTCTTGGCTGTGGTATGATAGTTAGGTGCCAACCTTCAGAAATGACTAATTATGAATTTACAACTACATATAATCAGGTAATTTCTCAAATATACTCTAAACAAGCTCAAAAAGATTCTTACAAAAACTTCAATATATATGATTATTTTCGCAGTTCCCACTACTAAAATTTCAAAAATCAGATAAATATGAAAAAATCTTTTTAAATAAGACTAATCTTTAAACTGAAAATACGTCATACTTGTCTAATATTTTAAAATCTATTAATTTTTTCTATAAATTCTACGGCAAATTTTATTGTATCTGCAAGTATTTCTTGTATTTTTAACCCTATCTTCATTTTCTTTAACCATACAATATATGACTATACCAGAGTTAGCTTGCCTACATGCATAGATGCCGCCAAAACCATTGCATGTGTATGTTTTAAATAGAAACAATTCTAGGATATGTAAATTTTTTTCCTTTAATTTTTAGAAGTAAAAAAGATACTAAAAATCGGTGAATCAAGCTGAATTTCCGATAATTCCTTAGAGTTATAAAAGCTTTTGACCTAAAGATTTACAGGATCGACTTAAAAGAAATGACGGAAAAGAGAATATTTGGAATGTGTAACCCAATTTTGGATATTGTTTTAAAAACAACTTCGGATAGAGTGAAAGATCTGGGGTTAAAAATGGGATCAACAACTCTTGGGGAGGACGAGAAGGTTTTCAAGCTAATTGAGAACATAATTTCAAACAATGAAGATGCAAATTTTGTGGCAGGAGGGTCTCTATTAAATAGTTTTAGAGTATGTAAGGAATTGTCAAACAAGGACGGAAAAGATAAGGGTGATTCAATTTCGGTGTTTTTTTCCGGAGGAATTAACGATGATTCTGGTGGAATCTTACTTCAGGAACTACTCACTAAACTAGGAATTAATTATGAATTCCACATTACGAACAAACCAAATCTGGAGACTGCAAAGTGCGTTGTTTTTGTAACTGGGGAGGAAAGAACACTACTCGCAGGATTAGGAGCTGCTAAGGATTATTCCATTGACACTTTTGAGTCAGAGAAGATTCAACAAGCTTTAAAAACTGCAAATATATTCGCGACAAGCGGATTCTTTGTTGAAGTCTGCTTTCAAGCTGTTCTTAGATCTGCTCAATATATTCACCAATCGAAATCCGATGAGTGCTCTTTTGTATTTGGACTTTCTGCTACTTATATTCCAGAAAAGTACATGAATGAAATATTCCAACTTCTTCCAATGATTGATTACATAGTTGGAAATCAAGAGGAATTTGTTTCTCTTTATAAAAATATCAATAGTACTCTCCAAATTGAAAATCACGACCAACTTCTATATTCACAGGCTTGTATAAATCAGCCAGAGAACAATACTCTAGAAAGGATTCTCACTGAAGTTCATACGCACCTTAAACCCACATGCATTATGCTCTGTACAAGAGCTCATTTGCCTGTAATTTCATTTAACTCCAAAGATCCTAATGGTTGTATTAGGTACCACGAATGTATTCATGTCCCTAAAGAAAAGCTCGTAGACGTTAATGGTTGTGGGGATGCATTTAAAGGTGGTTTCATCTATGGACTTTCCAACTCTTATCCTTTAGATGCGAGTATATACATGGGACATTATGCTGCCTCCACTGTTGCTCAAAACATTGGTTGTGATTTCGATTTCTCAAACAAACCAACTCTAAGCGAAATTATGCAACTTGTTTCATCAAAAAATAATTAACCTTCGACTTTTTCTAATTTTAGGTCCAACCAACTATTTCTAATACTTTTATGTCGTTATTTTTAATATTATTTTTTTTTAAACCACGCAATACAAATATAATACCTACATGTAATTTTTACTATTTATTCCAGTTTATGGCGCCAAATTTACACAATTGTTAAATCATACAAAAAATTGTGTTAAATAATATGCGAGTAGAATTTTTTAATTTTTTTCTCTCATACCAAGAAATAATCTCAAAATAGATAATATTTCATTAAGATAAGAATAACAGTTTAGTGTATGAGTTTTTGATTTGTGTGTGTTGACCATCTTAGGAGGTTTTGATGGTGAATTAATTCAAAGGTCCTTTTATAGAAAATTGTCGCTAATTTTAACCCAAATTAATTAAGGAAATATTCACTAAGAGGACAAGAAGATCTTGAGAAGATGCCAATTATCCCTGCAGTGGATTTTGTTTCACAGTATTACCTTCCTTTTATTGAAAAAACCCAAATTAATAACAATGGACATGCCAATCAAGTTTTTCCAAAAGTTTGGATATTCTCTTCAAATGATGTAGATTCCCTTTGTACTAGCAATATTCTTATCAATCAGTTTTTTAAGCATGATGAGATACAATGTATGCTAAACTGTGTTACTCACTATAATGAAATCTCTAAGATTCTACAGGAATATAAAGATTATCCAAATCAGAGAGAGTTTGTGGATATATGCGTATTAGTAAATTTGGGAGCTATGGTGAATATTCTACACTCTCTTAAACTTTGGCTCGGACAAGATTTGGAAATTTGGATTTTTGATTTCCATAGGCCTGTAATAGATGAATTAATGCTTTCTATTGGAGGGGAGTACAACAACAATGTATTGATCCTTTCTGCTCAAGAATACAATTTCTTGGTAAATAGTAAAAGTGGTAGGAAGAAATCACGTAGGAATAACTCAAGTCTAACTGACGAACAAATCAATGAACCTTGCTCTTCAACATTTTCTTCTAATAATCCTTTTGCCTCATTATCTCAAACAATTGATGATTTAGATATGTTGATGGGAACTTCAAATGCAGACTCCCAAAGCTACAATGAACAAATCGAAGATGAGGTAGACGAGCTTTTTGGAGAGTACTGCGGAGATCCAAGCAGTCTTGTGGTTCTTCAAACTTTGGATAATTCAATAACTTCAGAGAGAATAGACGGAAATGTTTTATGGTACTCTTCAATTGGAATCAGTTGGTGCTATATTAATAGGTATATTGAACTACTGGATTATGAGATTTACTTTGATTTGTTAAATGGAATTCTTTCAAAATATACGGGAGAGATGAGTAATCTGAACTCAAACAAAAGTAGTAGTAGAAAATACTGGCCAAAATACATCAAGAATGATCTTTCAATCCCACTTTATCGCCATTGGAATCTACTTGATTCAGTATGCCATAGTGAATATTTATATTCAAGAATGGGTTTATGGAAAACTGAAAACAGTAGGGATTCAATAATGAATAGGAGAGTTGCTTCTGGAATTTCTCTAAAGGATTTCACAAGTAAATTTTATCTTCTAGAGAGGGAATTGTCAAAAAAAGTGGTTCAGGATTTCCCAAAAGGATTTTCAGGATTTGAAAGTGGATCAGAAACTACATCACTATCTCTACAGATTCCAGTGTTTCTAAAGTATTTACCATCTCTAGTATTGGACTCAGAACTACATCCTCACCTTTCGTCCCTTGACATGGCTCAGGTCCTCCATACTATACTGACAAATGATTGCAGATTAGTAGATAATGTTGAAAGCTTTATGGACGCAATAGTTTCATCGGGAGCTTTGAATAGGATGGATTTAAAAAATAATACAGGAACAGAGAAATCGATAAATGAAGAGAAAAACAATGAGAAGGAGAACTTTCAACTAAATCAGATTCTTGGTAAAGACCAAAAAATGCAGCTTTTATTTAGAGATAGTTTCAGAGTAGGGTTACAACTCCTAGATTTGTCAGGAACAGACCTTAACCAAATTAATGTATTTCAAGGCCATTCTTGGAAACAGCTAAAATGCTATGTTGAAGAAACAAAGATTTTGATTTCACTAAAATTAAAGTATGTTAAAATGCTACTGTCCTCATCAATAAATGGGGGAACTCTGATAAAGCACAACTATTTTACTCTTGCTGAGCTGAATGATATAGAAATTTCTCATCCTTTAAATCTAAGAACTATTGGCCACTCTATTATTGACATTATTTCTAGAAACCGTGATCTCCAAGATAAGCTTGTGATAATCTCGAAAAATAGCTCCAATAAGGTTGCTACAATAGTTGGAATTACTCCGGGTTATGATAGCAATTCTCCAAATTTGTTTGGAGCAATTTTCTCCAAAGTAATTGACATTATTTTAGAGGAAGGTCAAGGCCTTCTGGGAGAGGATCACTTCTTTGTCCAAGACGAGTTTGATTTTTCTATTTTGAGAATTCATTCAAATTTTCTTGATCAATTTACTTCAAATCTTTTCAAATATATTGAAAACAGTAAGCATATATTGTCTAATACAATATAATAGATATTCATCTAAGTTAGGATATTTACCAGCATTAATTTTTAATCAAAAAATTATTATCTTAATTTGTTCACATGAATATTTTTACCGTCTTTATTGTCATTCACATGCATGCATTAACCTTACTAATTGAATTACGTCATTAGTAAAAAGCAATTTCCCGCCAGATTTGTGGAGCAAACCATGCATCTGAAATTTCTTAAAAATAAAAACAAGAAAAAAAATATAAAGAGTAAAATAAGATAGAGGAGTGGCTATTGATTTTGGAAGTTTTATAAAAAAGAGAAATTTGTGTTTACACTTGTTTGAAAAGAAAGTCATTTGATTCTCTGAAGTAATTTGTGGGGAAAGTTCGAAATTCATATTGTAGATTGAAAAATTTGATAAAACTATAAAAGGCTTTTCTAAAATATAAAGCCAGTAAATATTCCTGAAAGGACGTGTTTTTATGCAGTTATAAGGCAAACTGTAAAAGGTTTATAGATATTTCTTAACGTTTGAATAAGTTAATGCACATTAGAGCTTTCGAAATGGAAAAGGAACAATCTAAAATGAAATCAAAACAGGATTCAAAGAATGAGAGCATCTTTATTCAAAACGAAATTAACAATTGCGAATTCTGTGGAGCAAACACAAGTATTTCATATTTCAGGGAATATATTGGAAATCCCTTAGCATTTATATATTTATTCTACAATAAGCTAAGTGGAGGAAACATTGAAACTTACTTCACAAAATACCTTAAAGAGATAGTCTTGGATGTAGATGGTATTATTACTCATATGAATTTTGTGGATATGATTTCAGATATGGAATTTGGAATAAATAGAGTGAAGAACTCTTTAAAAATAACTAATAAAGATGTTTGCATTGTTGGTGTTGGGGGGGATGGGAGCTTTAGTACATTGGTAAATACATTTTTGGAAACTATTCCAGAACACAAAGACAGACTCATCTTTGCTGTTTTACCTTTTGGAACAGGGAATGATTGGGCAAGAAGTTTTGGATGGAGTAGCTATGGAAATATGAAGTTTATGAAAGATGACTTCTCCCCATTAATAGACCTTGCAAGAGGAATCTTCACTTCAAACTTAATAAATTTTGATACCTGGATGGTCGAGGTTGAGATATATGATCGTGAAGATTCCAGTTTTCAGAGGGTTAATCCAAACACTCAAGAGCTTGAAAGGGTAAACAATAGTAATGATGAAAATAAAAAGCTACTTGTACTGAAGAAGAGATGTATCAATTATTTTAGCTTTGGAGAGGAATCTAGGGTTGGAATTACCTTTGACACTTATAGGAAAAAGAATGTGCTTTTAAATAGAGCATTATATGGTTTAGCTGGCTCCATGTTTACAGTTAATAATAAGTATCAAAGTAATATTCCTCTCTCACATAGCACCAGAAAAATCTACCTAGTAGATCCCAAATCTTCGAATCAGGAGACTTGTAATCAAGAATGTGGATTATGCCCAAAAGGCACAATTCATAGTTCCGAGGACGCCCAAGAGAACTCAATATGTCCAACACTACTTAGTAGCGTTTCACTAGTGTTTCTAAACATTGAAACTTTTGGAGGAGGCGTAAAATTATGGAAGAATTCCAAGAATATAGCACCATCCATTATCAAAGCCTCGTCCAATCTTAATTTCGGGGGAATGGTTGGTAATTTAAGTTCTTTTCTGATAAATCCTATTTCTTTAGATTTTGATACTTTTAAACAAGTTAAAAGCCGTGAATTAAGGGAAGACACCGAATCTAGTTCAGAATCAGAATCTTACACAAATCATAAGTTTGACTCCGAATCTGAGATCAATTTTGATTCCGATAAGTCTATTTTGGACCCAAAAGAGTCTGATATTAATAGCTTAAGTGAAGTGCAAAATAACGATGTAATTAACTCAAACCAAGGCGATCAAATTCAAAAAACCATTGAGGATGAAATTTTAAAAATCGTTCCAGATTCTTCTGACAGAAAACTTGAGATTATGAGTTTTTCAGGCTTAATGGATTTTAGTTCTATATTCTTACCATATATGAGTACAGCAAAAAAAGTGGGGCAATTTTCACCCTTTCAAACTGGTTCACCACACTCTTGTGAAGACAAACTATCTCCAAAAGTTAGTGATTTAAAAGTTCAAAACTCTACCGAAAGCTCCAATTATTGTAAAAATCAAGGCAAAACTCTAAAGATGGAGTTTTACGACAAAAATAACTCCGAATATCAGTCTAGTTTGATTGAAGTATACTTTCAGATTGATGGGGAGTATTATTTTGCAAAGGAGCCAAAGCAGTGTTCTGTTAACTATGATCAAAAAATTAAAGTACTCAAGTGCATTATTCCATATAGTCCATTTAAAAACATCCATTAGCTCCCAAAATAAATACATTTTGTTTATTCATTCATATTAATATATACTATTGTGCATCACATCGAAATCTTTTAAGGAACAAATCAATTAAACACTTAAAACTTCTTAAATATATTTATTTCTTTGAAAATTCCCTCAATCTCGCATTAATTCTTTTTATTACGGTACCACAATATTTTTTTTCTAATTTTGCATGTATACAGGGCGGGTGACTTCCCCACAAGGCCTGACCAATTTGGCGCCAATGCACTCACAAATTTGTATAAAATAAAGTAGTAAAATTAGACTGGGAGGAAAAATTGGGAGAAAATTAAAATATTGTAGTAAAAATTCAAATTAATACAGAATTAAAAAAAGAAGTTTGATAGTTTTTACTCAAAAAGGAAGGTCAAATACGGGTTTAAGTTACAAAGTTCTTGCATAAGTGAATAGATCAATTCCTTGGTATTACAGATATCACGGCTAAATTTTGCATGCAAATTTTTTCTTTGAGATTTTACCAGGAGAATGAGAAAAAATGTTTGATATTTTTTTATGTTGCAGCCATAGTAGTTTTAATGAGTTTTCACAAGAGGAAAAGGAAGAAATTCGAATTGAATGTGCCACAGAAAAGGTTTGGCAGGAAAGCAGTCCAAAAGAAACTTTTCAGAACTCAATTAATGATTTGAGGAGAGCAGAGAGAGAGGCTCTGGAAATCGTTGAAAAGGCAAAGAAAAATAGAAGAGAATATTTGCGGCAAGCAGAGGCTGCTGCTAGAGAAATCATTAAGCCTTACTATGATCTTGCAGACCAGGAATTTAAAGAAATTGAAATTTCACTTAATAAAGAACTCCATATAAAATCTTTGGAAAATGCATTGGACATACAGAAAGATTCAGATCATATGGACGAGATTGAACTAGAAGAAAGAAAGAATGAGGTTATAGAATATATATACTCTAAGATTTCAGACGTAAAGTTGGTGCTAGAGAATCCGAAGTTTGTCAAGAGTCAACTGGAGAGGCACAAAATTAGTAAGACTCATCACAAAAAACACCATATTAGGAATAAGTTCATGTCTTGGAGGAGTAGAGATGACACAGAAAAGAAAAAGAAAGCAAGTAAGTCAAAAAACAAATATAAAAAAATAAGTAAGGAAAAAGTAATATCTTTCTGTGTTGAAAAAAATGATTCATCCATGTCAACCATAGAGTTAGATGAGGACTACTCAAAGATAGATAATTTATATGGAGCATCTCGAGTTGTTAATTCTTTTAACACAATACATTTGAATTAGAATCAAACTAATAGTTAAAGTAATTATAGAATATCACTCTTTCATAATTTACTTCTATTCCTATATTAGAAAATACACAGTTTAATCAAATTAAAAATAGTATCTATCTATTTCCTATTATCTAAAGAATTATGGATTGCTCCTGAAATATAATGTAGGATTTTGCTTGAAACTATGACAAATTGTTGTGAGTAGTTGCAAAATAAAGAAAAGTTACCAGTAAAATATGAATATACAAAAGAAATAACAACCAAAAGTAAGGTAACCAAGATTGGGGATGTTAATACATAGGTAATTTCATCAAATCCTAACACAATAATCAGCAAGTAAATCCACCAGGGAATGTTCTGTGGTTGTTTTCCTGTGGATTGGATTAGCTGAGCTTTTGAAAATATGTTGGCAATTTCCTGTGATGCTTTAGATTCAATTTCCTTAATACTACTTTCTGGGATCAAAAGTAATGAATCTGAAAATTTACCAGTTTCATTCCCACTATTCAATGCAAGTATTTCAGAAAGATCTTCGGAATTCTCGATGATCTTATTAAACAAATTAGAGAATCGTCCAGAAAATGGAATTATTTGATCTCTTCTTGGATGGAATACTCCAGTAATAAGAAGGGAGTTAGTTTTGGCTTTAATGAAGAGTTCTTTCATAGTCTTGGCATCTTCTCCAATCCATTGTCTGGGTATTCCGTCTTGATCAAGCTCAAATTCACTTTTAAATCTTTCAACAATATTAATATGGAAGTACTTGGATTGTTGCTGGAGTAACTGTATAAACTTTAATAAGAGTTGTAGAGCAATTTCTTCCTCTAAACTTGAAAGAGTGAATTCGCTTATATTAGAACTCCTAAACAGAGTGGTCCACTGTTGCTCATATCTTGTGACAAGGAGTCCGTGAATATTTACCAAATAAGAATCAGTTTGTTTCCAGAAATCATCTAATTTGATATTTGGATCTGAAAGGAAATGGCCGCCAAAGAAAGGAGAAATTTCTTTCAGAATATCTTTGATTAAACTTTCAAAGAATTCTTCCACAAGCTTTTCATAGATTTTCTTGGAATGGATTTCTAATGTCTCGCTTAGAAGCTTTCTTTGCTCTTGGGTATTATAGGTAGCCAAGAAAACTTCCTTTCCTTGATAACTCGAGGAGATTTCGTTTAAAATCTCAGGAACACATTTATCCTTGATTTTTGAGATTAGATTTTGTTTGGATATCACACCTGGGAATTCAGTCTTCCATTTTAAAGATAAGGAATCAAACTTAAGAAGCTCCTTATTAATCCAGGAGGACGAGTCAAATAATACATTGCGGCCTTCCCCTGCAGTGCTTTGTGTATCATAATGTCCTTGATGATCTTCAATTCCTTTTTTATAGTAATCAAGAATATTCTTGTATTGTCTCAAATCCTGTCTTTCTAAAGACATCCTGGAATTAACAGCGTTTTGAAATTCATGGAAAATAAATAACAACAATGAAATAGATGTATTAGTGGACATCTCGTGTTCATATTTGGAGGCAACTTCAAAGTATTTTGTTAATGAACCTTCAAGTACTAATAAAGTGTAATCGGAGAATTCAAGAAACCCAAATTCTCGTCTCTCCATTTTCTTTTGAAGATCTTTAATCGAGTTTTTATACTCATTCAAGACATTATCTTTTGTTTGCTCACATCTAAACTTTGAAACAAGCTTAATCTGAGATGGAATATTTAGTTCTTGACACTCCACAATACATTTCCATACAGCGCTACAATACATTTCAAACCCTTCTAAAGGAATGTGTCTGCTGTAATCTTGTGGAAGAATAAAGTTAGTAAGATCAGATCTAATTCCATTGACTACTTGCTTGAATCCATCAAAATTATTGGGTAGTGATGGGATTCCATAGATCTTAACTTCGAAGATATCAGAAAAAGATGCCGGAATCTGATTCCCGTGAAGATTTTGAGACTCCGCAACTTGTTTCCAAAGAAGATCCAAAATCTGAACAACTTTCCTTCCAAGCATTTCATCATTGTCATTGATAGTAATGTCTCTAACAGCAAACAGTAATGTAGTCTTTCTAATGCTTCCTTTAGATATTCCATTTTGGTCAAGTTTAAGACTAAACCAGGAATTCAGGATGGTTTTTAAAAGAGCAAAGTTAGAGGAGCTATAGGTAGTTAAATTCATTAAAGGGATGTTTAATATCATACAGTCGGAAATTGCTAGAGAAAATAGTGCTGCTCTATTTTCAAAAGTAGCCCTATCTTCGCCTCTCTCCAAACTATCAGTACCTTCTACATCCCAAACTAAAATTGGGGAGTTGAAATGCTGTGTTCCGTATCCAAGCCATAATCCTTTAGTAGTTTGACAATAACCAGATATAAGCTTATCTAGAACCTTAAAATGCGTTCCGAAGAGAGTATTCAGTAGAGTACTTTTTCCAGTGCTTTGGCATCCTAAAATACTGATAACATTAAATCTCAATGTATTCTGACTTCCAGAAATGTCTTTCAAAACTTCTCCCACTTCTTCTTTGAAATTGCAGTCGTAGTCAATAATTTGTCTCATGGCTTTTTTTTCAAGTCAAAGATTCCTTTATTAGCAATATTAATTTAAAGGTATTGTGTTGGAACTAATAATAAAAAAGCCTCTTTGGAAAAAGTAATAATTAATTATTTGCTATCTTCCTATAGTTAACTACGCTAATTTAAATCCTTTCAAAGACTTTGCAAAACCAAATAACAATTTAGTTACGAGAGATTTTTTATTATTAATTTCAATCTGCCATTAGTAAACACCCTCATTTTTGGCGCGCACGCTCGATTTTAATTCAAAGCATAAATTCTTGTATTAACAAATAAATATATCATTATTCTGAGTAAAGTTTGCTTCAGACTTCACAGAGGGAGGATTAACCTGCAAATTTTTATTTTAGTTATTTGTTTTGATTTTTTTGTTAGGTATTTTTCTCGCCCAGTTATTACTCAAAATGCATGCGTACTTTCTCACCAAAACTTTTGGCACAAAAAAACTCTAATTAACGGCTAATGGAGAAATACAATGAATTTGAATCAAAGAGTGGAAGAGTACGAACAGAGGTGTTTATTTTGTAGACTTATTGTTACCAAAATAACCTAATTTTGAAATGGGTAATTATGGTGAAGGAACGTTGGATATTCACATTTTAAGACTGGAAACTAGAAGGGTAAAGATAACTACATGCAATTAGAAGTGGGAATCATTCAAAAGATGCAAATAGCAAGAAGCCTCTGAGAACTAACACAAAATCGTATATTGTTCTCGAAAATTACTTTCCGTATTTATATTCAATGCTGTATGCAAGAATATCATTATCTTTCTTCATTCCTATCGTTACTTTTTTAAATAATTCTCTCTGTTACTCCAAACCCCTCTTATACTTTTTTTATATTTTATGGCCCTTCCATGCAAAGATTTTATTTTTTATTATTAAACTAATTATTCTTTTAGACCCACTATTTTGGCGGTAAGTTGGTATATTTTCTAATATTTATTGACGGAAAAATTAATAAAATAAGAAAAACAAGATTCAAAAACTTGGAGTGACTGGACTTATTGATTTTATATAGAAAGCAAGTTGGCTTCCAAGTTTTGTATCTTATTCGGCCCATATAGAATTTAAATAAAATGGAGCTATCATTATGTTTCGAAAATCAAATGATTATAAAGGTAAGTAATTATGAGTAGAGATTAATAAAATGACTAACTATTAAATGATTAGCTGCCTTCTTCTGTGATGGAGAAAATTAGGGAAAGAAGGTCAGGAGAAGTAGTAGGTTCTCTTAATTACGATGAAGATGGAAAAGTAAGTTACATTTTAAAATTGTTGACTTTATTATTTGTTTAAAATTTAAAAAATCTAGAGGGAATGGGAAATTCTAAACTCAAAATTTTCAGAAAATAAAACAGGTAATACAGAAACTGATTCGATTAATCAGAATGAAAAAAGTGGATATTTATTTTTAAGTACACCAGATAAACAGAATAAAATTTCAATGTATCCTTCTCAAATTCATACATTAGTTAGAAAAGGGAACTTTGTGACCGATGATATCAGACGTAGAATCCAAGAAAAAACCAAAAAGTCGTCCACTATCGAGGATACGAAGAGGATTGTCGGAGCAATGTACGAATCGAGCTCCCAACCATTTATGTATTATGATATAAAAACCGACCAAATGTCAGACGAGCCCAGAAATAGCTCTATGATTTCAATATCCAGGAAGAAATTGGCTACATCAAGTAGTCAATCTTCTGGTAATATTGATAGCAACACTAACTATTCTTTAGGATCCAATTCCAATATTAACAATATAAGTAGCAGCTCTCTAGAAAGTCTAAAGGAGAATATTTTTAAAATTTTTGAAGAAAAAGGAAGCGAAGGGGTTTCATTAAAGGAAATTGAGGATAAAACAATGAAACCTAAGCATATTCTTAAGAAAATTGTTGAAGAAATTGCAGTCCAAGCAGGTAGAGGCGGAAGAAGGCATATATGGCACTTGAGGCCACAATTCATTGGTAAATAATTTAGTCAAATAATATCAACTTCATTATTGTTATTTTTCTATTTTTCTAACTAAAATTACCTTTTTTTTATTTCTAAATGCTTTTCTGCATGCATTATTCTTTTTTGTCTTTTTTGGCGCCTAATATGGGGAAAAAATAACAGGTATGCAAATTTGTGTTTTTGTCAGGATGAAAATTGCAAATATGCCGGCAAATACAGGAAATAAATTATTAGGTTTTATTAGGTAAAAATTAAAGGGCTAATTATTTCATGTTTTAAACATACTTGTGTAGAATTCATTTTTATAATAATGTTTAGAAAATGGTCATTTTAATGAAAGGATAATCAGTGGACAAAATTTATTACAATACTTTCTTTATTGTAAGAAACTGAATTATAATGTATATTTCACTGGATTTCAGTAATGAGAAGAGCACTTGAGGTTTTTCAGACCTTTTGGAATGGTATTCTTGAGCTATTAAAGAATGACTTTGGAACTAATGAGGTGAATCGCAATAATTTGAGTAATGTAATAAATTGGGAAAGTAATAAAACAACTCTAGAAACAGAAATTGAAGAATTAGATGGAGAAAAGGAGGAAAAATGTGAAGAAGAAGGATCATCCACTGAAAATGTTCTTCTTTATTCGAATTGTGATGCATATGCAGGAGAGTTTCAAATGTCTAAAAGAAATGGTTGGGGAGTTTACTTAAAATATACTGGACAAAAATTCGAGGGATTATGGAAAGATAATGTAAGAAATGGATTTGGAATGCAAACAATTGGAAATTCAATCAAATTTATAGGTCAATTTAAAAATAATGAGTGTGATGGATTAGGGATAATATTTCATCAAAGCGGATTAATGTACTCAAGTAATTGGTCAAAAGGGGAATTAATCAATAGGAGATTATTGTTTGAAAATTGGAAGGATGAGTTATTGGATTTGTTTCCAGAAAATTCAGAAGAAGATGTTGATGAGATAATCTCTCAAATCACTTCAAATAAAAGTATGGAGGTGAGTAAAGGGATAATAACAAGACAGAAAATAAAGTATGAGCTTGAAAATCTGCATCACAAAAATAACTTTAGACAATTCAGTTCTGAGGAAAAGTCAGAAACTACTATTAGAATGAGGTTCAAAGCCAATTTTACTGAAGATATTATTTGTAAAGAATGTGATTTTCAAAGTATAAATTCAAGAATCAATAATTACAATGCAATGAAAACCGTATCTAATGATATTGAAAGTAAGGCATTAAATTGTTATAATACAGAGAATTCTGCAGAATGTTGTTTAAGCTGGAATATGTATCAAGTAGCTTATTTTTTAAAATGCATTGGGTTGTCAAAGTATGTTAAGATCTTTATTTTGAATGAAATTGACGGTTGTACAATACCTTATATTGGATCCGAAGAACTTAAAGAAATGGGAATTAAAGAAGTTTCACACATAAAATATATTCGCATGTCATTTGCTTTACTATTAAAATTGAGACTTAAGTGTATTAGAAAACAGACTTTTACTCCACAGAAATTGATTGATGATGAGTATCTTAAAGGCTTTGAGATTCCTGCAAATGAACTCAACTTAAAATGTAGGATTGGAGAAGGAGGATACGGAAAAGTGTACAAAGCAGTCTGGATAACCAGAGGAATCACAGTTGCAGTAAAGGCATTTAGAAGAAGGGATAAAAATGCCTTGGCTAGAGAATTTTACTCAGAACTATCGATCATTTCTAGGATTAGGCATCCAAATGTGACTTTATTTTTAGGGGTAGTGATGTCTCCATTATATTGCTTAGTTACAGAATTAGTCCCGAATGGATCACTATTTGATTTACTCCATACAAAAAATTCCTACTTAACATCCACCCAGCTTTTAAAAATATCCAGAGATATTTGTTGTGGGATGGCATATTTACATGAGAATGGGGTCTTACATTGTGATTTAAAGAGCAGTAATATTCTTTTATCGGGAAACTTTAACGTAAAGATTGGTGATTTTGGTCTTTCAACTCTAATGGAGTCCCCTTTAGAAACAAGAAAAATGTTGGGATGTGTTGGAACGCACCATTGGATGGCTCCAGAGATCCTAAGGGGTGAAGGATTTACAAGATCTGCTGATGTGTATAGCTTTGGAATTATTCTTTGGGAAATGATTACAAAGAAAATTCCACACGAAGATCTTAATATTAATCACATTGTTGCATCTGTAGGATATGGGCACAAAAAGTTAATTATACCAGAAAATACTCCATCAGTAATAAAGACTATAATAAAAAAAACATGGAGAAGAAACGTTAGAAATAGGCCAAATTTCAAACAATTAACAAATATATTTGAGCAGCTATATCAGAGCAGTATATTAGATATAGAAGAAAATCTATTAACATTTTTTGGCCAGTAGAACCTTTTACTTTAATACTTATAGGATAGAATAATTAGTAGTCAATATTTAGTTATTATGAAAAAAAAATTAATAATGAAAGTATTTTACTCAAATTCCTTCCAAAAATCATCACTGTCTAAGTCCAATTTAGTAGATAATTTCTTCCCAGGTATTTTTTCCACTTTTGAATTCTTACTGGTAGAAAATTGATCAACTTTAATCAGCGGAAGGCCTATTATTTCCTTCTTATTATCACTGTTATTATTATTATTATAACTTGGTGAGTTTTTAACACCTGAAGACTCAGTTTTGAAGGCGCAATTCCTCTGATAATTACTCAAAGTAAACGATCCAACATTAGATTTAAATCTAGATTTACTTTCTTCACTTATATTAGATTCAGAAGAAAGCGACTCATTATTGCCACTATTATGGCCACTTGAAATACCGAAGTCAAACAAATCGCTTTCAAATTCATTCCAATCCACATCTTTTTTCTCATTTGGTTTTCCCCCAACTAATGTTCCAACCCCCATATCAGCATTAAAAGTGGGTTTTAATTGCATATTTTGTGCATAAACATGGATTCTACTATCAACAGGTACATAATTAGTGTTATTAGTCGAAATATCCTTATCTTTGTGCAAATTATTATTTTTTTCAAGAGATAAGTTGGAATTAGTGATATGTTTGTTTTGAAGGTTAGCAGATTGTTGATCAAAAATATTATTAGAGGATTTAGCATTATTATTTAAGGCAGCATTGTGTTTTGATTCTTTTTGAGATTCCAATTTTTCCTCCTCAAGTTTAATCCTATCCTGCTCCTGCTTGAGCTTGACTTGTTCTTCAATATATGGGCTTAAAATATTGATCGCGTTTTTAACAAAAGTTAGAGAGATTTCCATAATTTCGGGTTGGCCTTCAATGAAGCCATTAACTGAAACAACCGGGAGGATTTGTTGAGTAATTACGGTAGGAGAATAAAATTGAATGGTGGAAAGAAGAGCTTGGATAACAGCCCTTCTACATATGGGGAAAGGGTCTTTAATGACAGAAAGGTAGACCTTATTTAAGATAGTTGAGTGATATTGTTCTGGTAAAACACCCATTAACTTGGCAAAACAAATGACGGTGTTGCTTCTGATTATGACTTCGGGGTCCTTTGAGAGGCTAAACATTGCACATACAAGCTTGTCAACGGCAATTTGAGAGCCACTATTTCCTCCAAAGGCATTTAAGAAAGCAGCACTATTCTTCTTCCATCCTTCTTTAATGGAACACATAAAGTCACTGGATGCGTTCGACTTTGAGTTGTTACTTTTTGAAATTTGGATTTCGTCTTCATTAGAAAGACTTTTTTCGGTGTCTTCCTTAAGAAGAAGAGGAATGATTACAATCATGCTTTGAAGAGTCGTTTCTCTAATAACATTGGTGGTATCTTGAAATCCAATTAAGATTGAGTCAATACAACTTTGAAAAATATCCTTTAACAAGAACCTCTCATACTTCGAAATATTTTTAAGTAAAGTGTATCTGATTGATCTATCATTTTGACAGAGAAGAAACTTTGTGACTGTATAGAATGATTTCAAAATAAATTTTGGACAAGTTCGAATTTCTTTGTAAGGTTCCAACAGGGTTAAAACCAGGGGGAATATGCTGGGAGTGCATTGACTAAAGTTTAATAAAAGCTTTTCAAGAATTCTTTGAATGACAATAATATTAGTAGAACTGTCACCATGCACCTTTATACTAGTAAGTAAGTGCGGAAGGTACTGAGTACAGAAAATTTGTTTATCTTCTGATGATTTTAACATAAAATCATTTAGTTGATTCATGAGCTCCACAAAAGGAGAGTTGTTATTAATTAAGGCAAGACCATTTTCTATGCTAATTTCTTTATTTGTATTCATGCAAGTTAGTAAGTCGCTTAACCAGTCATACAACCAGCGTGGGATCAAATCGTTTTCCATAGTAAGAACATCTCCATTCATATAAGGTAATTTTAATGATTCAACAATCTTTTTTCTTTGAGAAATTTTTGATTGGTCAGTAATTTCGATGTAAATCTCGGATGGATTTAAGTTGGAAGATACCTGATATGACCAATAAATCAGGCACCCAAGATTCCAAAGGTCGAGACTCTTTGGATTTCTCGAGACTTTAGCAAATTTCCACCCCATTATATTATAAGCAGTACTTTGCTTTGAAATTTCATCCATATAATAACTACTTGTATCACTCATTAAAATGGTATTTTCAAATCCTCCAAGTTTCCAAGAACCATCAAAGTTGACATAAACTGTCAAAGGACTAATATTCCCATGTAAAAGCTTTCCATCATTGTGTAAGAACTTCAGTCCTTTTATGATCTCATACAATCCTGAAATACAATCTTTCGGAAAACCTATTTCATATTCTGATTCTTTTGAATCATCAGTATATGTAACAAAAGTGTGATTGATGCTTAATGAAAGGTTGTAAAGCGATACACACGGTTCTGTTATTATATAATAAGAGTTTGAAACTTCTAAGGTGTCATATACTTTTAGAATACAAGGGTGTATTAGGCTTTTGCATCTTTGGAATTGATTTTTTGCAAGCTTTTTGGCTGTTTCTATTGGGATGAATCCAAGAACATTTTCATTGCCAGAACTCCGATTTTTGTCAAAAAAAAAAACACTACAGGTTTGCTCCGGCTTATTCTTTCTGTAGCCTCTATAATGAGTCCAAATACTGTAATCATCACCTTTTACTTTCTCACCTATTGTATAACCAAAATTACTTGGTAAATCATTGAATAGTTTTGAAATCAAAGAAGAAAACATCAATATTCACATCTAATCAAGAACTCTAGTTATTTGGTTACTATGAAAATCCTGAAGTCAATTACTTTGCTTATTTCCACTTTTTCTTCACTTAGTTATTTAAAATATTTAATTCAAAATCGCTCTTGGAATTCAAAAAAACACAAAGCTGAAAGTTTACTAATCTCAGAAGCTAATTAATCAATTTAATCCCCATATCAATAATTAACTGGGAATTACTTGGCCATTGCTGAATTATTTTTGTTTTTATTCCCCAAACTTATTTAAAATAAAATAAAAAATGTGGGAACCAAATTTGGGCGGGTAATAAGGGAGATCTAAAAGTAATTTTAATTATTTTTCTAAATAAAAAACAACGATACTACATATACCGGAATTTTATAAATACAAAGAAATACACAAATAATATCAAGAAAAAATAAATCAAAGATTTTTATTTGAAGATTAATCAGCTTTTTGAGATTTGTGAGATTTAGGAAATAATCTTTTTTTTTTAATTAAATACTGTTACATCGTTATTGAAGTTAAAGGCTGAAATTAATATTTTAAGAATATTGTATATAATGCAAAACAAATAGTATCCGACAAAATTTAGGCTAATAATATAAGTAAAAGTCAATCAACAAGTAATATCTTCTGAATTTACAAAAAAGAAGGATGATTACAAGCCTAGTGAGCAGAATACTTGGAAGCTCTGGAACTGGGTCAAGCTCTGGACCAAATATTGGAAATGATTCATCTTTGAAGATTTCAGAAGAGCGCTCAATATATTGTGCGTCATCTTTAACAACTTTCTATAGGCCAAAAAGATTGAAGATTGCAATATTAGATCACATTCCATGTAATATAGACAGTTTAAGTATTGAGTTATTTACAATTCAAAAGTCTGGAAATTTCAAGGAGTTTATTATGTCACATATTCACGACATGAAGAAGAGTAAAGTCCCTCGGCAAACTTTGATAATGAATGGATATTCATTTTATAGCGTTATCTCATCTTCTAGAACAGAAAACTGTCAAGAATGCGCTAACAATGTTTGTTCATCTCTGGTTGTAGACTTTACTAGAAATGCGGATAATGGTGAATCAACTTATTTAATTTTTCAGGGAGAGATGATTTTGAGGATTTATGATAGAAAGAATGGACTCAATATCTACTCACTAGCAAGGGGAGGAAATCCGGATGATGTGATACATATTACAAAGGACGATATTATATTATCTATCCCCAACTCTTTTGCACCATCTCAATGTTTTAAGCTGGATCTTATAATGTATTCAGCTATAGGTTGGGCTAGGCATGACGAAATTAATCGCCATTGCCCTACATATATTAATTGTTCTTTACCAAAGAATGAAAATATTAATCAAAATAAGCAATTTTCGGTTTCATTATCTCAAAATCTAACTATTTGTAGCAAAGAAGAAAGTCCAAAGAGAGGTTCTACTACGAATAAAGATGATTCTAATATAGAAAAAATCTCATGCACAAATACTTCGACAAAAAATGATTCTAATAAAGGTACAGTCCATAGTAATAAAGAAAGGAACATCCATCCACTTGCTAAGGCTTTTGGTTCTTTCAAAACTGCAGAACTTAGTAACCAACCCGATTCCAGTGATAATCCAGAGTCCAATGAAGATCCAAAGCCCGAATATGAGACAGAGTCTGTACCTGAACAGACTTCTGGTTCGAAACCTGGAACTTCTCAGCTGGTTGCATTGCTGAGAGCAAAAGCTCCCCCATTACCACTAAATATTAAATCTCCAGGGAAACCAAAAGCCTTTCCTCTCAAAGGATCAGAAAAGGATTCAAAGGGTAAGTCCATTCAGGATAAAAAGAAGGTTCTTCCATTGGGTAGAAGAATTCATTGGAAGCCATTAACTGAGGAAATGGCTCAGAAGACAATCTTTCGTGAAATCTTGTATACTTCCTTAAATTCTCATACCCAGTCTCCTCCTGTCTCTCCTAGCGACTCCAGTAATTTGAGTTCACCTGTGAATTCTTCAATCGAAGATCTTCAACTGAATATTATGGATGAATCAAAGACAGGAACGGCTTCTCCTGAACCAGATTCTGTTTCTCCAATGGCTATAACGGATATTCACATGGCAAATACTCTGGTTCATATGGAAACTTTATCTAGAGTGTTCACAAAAACAGGGAATACAATGGGAGCCCAAGGAGGAACTTTAGAAAGATTGAATACTGGTGAATATAAAGAAGTTTCTAATAAAATTTCTTCACCAGGAAGTTTTAACAGCCCTGATTTACTTAACCAGGATAAATGTTCGGATCTTTCAAGTCAAACCAAAAAATCTTACGATAATAAAAATGGAAGGAGTAGCAAATCATCAAAGGATGAACAAATTAGTCAATCCAGTAATACTTCATCTCAAAAACAGCTACCTCTGACATTCTTGTCACAAAAAAGAGCTCAGAATATGGCAATAGTTTTGGCCAGGTTATCAGTACCAACAGATTATATTATAGAGATATTAAACTCTTTCAATATTTCTAGTTTGACTCTTGAAGATTATGAAAGAATCGAACAAGTTCTACCAACAGAAATGGAATTGGAGAAAATCAAAAGTAATTCAAAACAAGAGCTTCACCAACTAGAACAGTTTTTAAGCCAATTTTCTCATATTTCAAATCCAATGACGAGACTACGTTTCCTCAAGTTTGAACACATTCTTGACGCATCAGAATTTGACATTCAAAGAAATTTAAATACTCTTTATTCAGCTTCAGTTCAAATTAGAAACTCAAACAAATTGAGATTAATTTTAAAAGCTTTCTTACTTCTGGGAAATTATGTAAATCATGGAATTAATTTTTCCACAATGAGTAATATATCTTCAATTTCCCATGTTGCTAATAATGGTTCTATTAATTGGTCACTACTCGAAACTAAAGGTTTCTCTTTTTCATCACTATTAAGATTAGTTGAATTTAAAACAACCATTGATCCTTCATTTACTGCTCTTCATTATATTATAGCCAATTTATCTCTAACAAATCCAAAGCTTAATTTAAACCAGTTTTCAACAGACCTACATGCAGTTTCAGAAGCCTCAAAGATTTCAGTGGAAGCTTTGTTCTCTTGTATTAATGATATGAGAAAAGAACTTGCTATTTTAGAAGTAGAAAAGCAAAAATTCACCAATGACAGAGTTGAGAATCTTTTCGAGTCATACTCAAAACGTCTAGATGCTTTAGTTGAAGGCTACCATAGAATTGTTGAGAAGGTTGTAGATACTGCCTTATATTTTGGCCAAAATTTACCTGAGGGGAACAGGGCATCAATAATTCAACCATTTTTTGAAACTATGAACATATTTATATTACAATTTTCATCATGCTGTAAAGATATAAGAGAAAAACCATCAAGATTTTCTCCTTTACTTGTTGATTCCTCATTAGTTTTCCCAAATGACAAAAGTTTAAACTCTTCAAGTTTAAGTTTAATTCACGCTCCATCAAAGATCAACTCTACAAACACTAGTTCAATATCCTCAACACCCTTAGTTGAAAACTCTCCAAATGAGTCATTGGTAAAAATTCCAGATATTACTGATTCCAATTGTCCTGAAAAGACAGAAAATAAAGTTTTGGATAAAAAAGAGATTCAACCCCAATACAATTCAAATTCAAAAAACAGTAAATACAAGGAGTCATTCTCATCTAACATGAATAACAAGAGTAAAAAGGAAGCTGAAAACCTTATAATAATTCATTCTTCAAGAAATAATGCTATAAAACTACCTATTAGACCTCCTCCTCCCATTACTTTGAAGAATCCCAAACAAGCTAATTACCCATTATAAATATTTGTCAATTACTCATATTAATCTCCAATTTAGAGCGAGAGAGAAGGAAAGGGAAAAAGAGAAAGAGAGGTAGATCAAGAAACAAATATAATCAAATTTTTCTGGTTGTGGAGTTACGCATATTCTAAGTTTTAAACTTTTATATATTTAGGTTCTTACCAGTTCAAAGCTTATCTTCTTAAAAAATTTCCTTATTCTGTAATTTAGTTGATACTACTGAGTAGAATTCGATGAAATTGCATATATATTTATTATAACTAACCATGTTCCTCTTTACTTTGTTATTAAATAACTTCATCCATTAATTACTTTGTCATTTTATTATCGCAAAAAATGGGCCAAAAAAAACATGTTTTTGCGGGAAATTCCCGAATAAATAAAGTAAATGAATAGTAGAGTAGTTAGTAGAGATGAGCGGAAATTACCATCAAGAAAGAAGTCGTTTGATTCAACAACACAAAGAGGAGATTAAGTCAATAGAGAAGGAAATTAAGTCAAAGAGGGGGGTTTTAAAGGAGCAGTACCAGAGACATTTAGAGGAGGCACAGAAAAGACATCAGGAGGAAATGAAAGAGTTCGAAACAAAATACGGGAACGAAGAAGAAAAGGTAAAGAAAGGGAACAAGCCAGTTGCTTTGTCATCTTCTTCAAAGGAAGCAGAGGGATGTAATTCAGGCAAAACAGTTTTATATGAAGAAAGACAATGGAACAGTTTAAGTAAGTCAGAGCTGGAGATTGAGTGCAAGCTGAGGGGTCTGAACTCAAAAGGTGGTAAAGAGGATCTGGTGACTAGGCTATTTATATTTACTGCAGATCAGAAATCAAAGTTGAGTAAGATACCCCAAGGTGAGCAAAAAGGTATGGAAGTGGTTAAATCTCGAGACAAATCAAGTGGTAATTTAGAATCATCTTCAATCAAAGGATTTACAGTTGTTTCAAGCACGAATAAATTTGCTCCTCCTGAAATAAATTACTCAGAAGCAGGGGGTACTGGTAGGAGAAAGGGAAGATCTCAAAATAGAAAGATTGATCACAGGAAAAATGTGAAGCCGGGACATAACTCGTGGGCAGCTTTCTGCGCTAGAAATGATATTCCCAGGAAGAATACCGGCCTGAATATTCATGAGGATTTAAACTCGGAGAGTTCTGACGATGAGAAGAATGAGGAAGAAGAACAATCTTTAAAAGATAGTCATTCAGAAAATGATTCTATTGAAAGCGATGAAAATGAATTATCTGGCTCAGAATCTGAAGATATCGACGAGGAGGAGCTCGCTAGGAGAAATAAAAGAAGAGCAGTTATGGTTAAGGTACTGGAGAAGATGTTTTCAAGTATCACAATTAGTGAAAAGAAGAATGGGTTAAAACTTTCAGAAATAGAGGGACAACTAACTAGGCTTAATGTCAAGAATTTCAAGCCAGAACTTCTTGGATACAAATCTCTAGAAGAGTGGTTATCTTGCCAATCAAAGACTGTTTTAACTTATGATGAACATAATCAGCTTGTTTTCCCTCCTGGGCACAAAATTCCAGACTCCAAAAATAACAAAAAAGATGACGCATACTATGTAGATTCCTTAAGTGAGCAGGAGGAAAAAAAGAATAGTGATGATGACGACTTCTTTATTTAGTTTAAGGCGCTCACTAGAAGTATTATTCATTCTAAACCTTCATTTATATTACATTTCTTTCTTTTTCTGAATATATAGACAACTTCGTAAAAAATTCATTCCATTGTAATCATATTCTCTATTTGAAAAAAAATTCATAGAAGAAGAGCACTTATTACTCTTCATTTTCTGTCTAATTATTCATCAAAAATGAAAATATTTTTTTTTTCAATTTAATTGCATGCAGAATGTTTGCATTACTGGTATGGAAAAATTAAAATTAAGAAAAGCTGCTAAATTTTAGGTTGTTAGGCATTTGGCGCGCAATTTGCCCACAAAAAACTGTAAAAAAAATAATGTAAAATTAAAAAGATTGGAAAAAAATTGAAGATTCGATTTTTTTTTTGTAGAAATTAGAAATAATTAGGAGTTTGGGAGGAAACTAAAGGTTTTTATTTGAAAAATTGGCATAAAGGAGGGTGGGTTTCAGCTTTTTTGGCTTCATGTTAAAGTTAAAGTGGAATAAAGGAAAAGAGGTCAGAAAAAAGAAAACTGAATTTGATGTTTCTTTCTACAATCAACAGGCTAAGGGAGGAGCAGATAAAAGACAATTCTCTGAGGGTTTGCGGTGGAGGGAACGTAACAAAGTCGAAAATACTTAATATTGGAGAAAAAACAGGAGGAAGGGGTATTTGCAAGGAAATTAATAAATGTGCGAGTAAAACCTGTAAAAAGTTTAATGGGGGAAGGAACAGACCAACCAACGTTAATAATGACAATGAGCTAAAGATATCAAATATATCTCAAAAGAAATTTCTAAACAAGATTGGAAATGCTAATAAAGAAAAAATTTCTTCTTTCCAACAAATACTAAATATTGCAACTTCTAGCAATGGTATACAAATTTTGGACCGAAAGCCAATAAAGAACACAGAGTTTCATTTAAATCAGCTCATCCCTTCAAGTTCTTATTATGATTCTCTACCAGGTTCTCCAAATTCCGATTACAAAAGTGATGATCAGAGAAGCCGGAAAGAAAGCAACCAGGCTATTGAAGATACTGATGATGAAGGTGATTCGCCCCCAAAAATTAATTTTGTTAGAATCATTTGTAGTGGAAAAGGAAGCGAGAGTGGCATAAGTAATATTAATAAGACCGTTTCTAGTAAGAATGATAGGAAAAAAGACAAAGAAAATAACAATAAAAATTTCAAGTTAATTAAAAGGTTGAAATGCAATGATTTGGATAACACTCAAAATTTTAGATCTGCCTCCAAACCTCTTAAGGCCAAGAAAACTACAAAGAAAGATGATGAACAGACAGGAAAAGTGTCTGGCCAAGTATTAGACAATGAGGAAAACAAGAATAATGATGAATACAAGTCTCAAGATAGTGGCCAAAGTAAAGAAAACCTTAAAAAGAAAAAGGCAATTGAGGCCAAAGTAAAGAAGCCAGAGAATACTATTCTTAAAGATATAGAAGAGAAGGGGAATTCAAAGCCAAAAAATTCCCATTTTGATTCAGAAGAAAAGTCTGAAACATACAAACAGAATATTTTAACCTTAAAAGCTAAAAATAACTTGATCAAAAAGAGATTCAAAGACCAAACAGATGATGATTTTTTTAATAACATTTTGGTTTCAACGCCTACTAATTCAAGCTCTAGAAAGACTAGGAAAAGCTTGAACTTAGAACTGAGTCCTAATTTATCTATCTTTAGTCCTGATACTTTGGACATTAAGCTTTTAAAGACAGGCTTGACTCCTGTAAATAGCAATCGGGAAGAACCTGCTTCCAGTGTACCTAATAATAAAGCTTACAAACGCAAAGAATTGAAGAGAAAGGGACTGGGATCATTCCACCTATCACCTTTAAGTTCTTGCTTAAAGGAAATTGCAAGTGGGGAGGACACTAACCGAAACTCATCTTATTCAAAGAGCTCTGCCTCAAAGTCTCTTGGTGATATTCTCGGCAGTCTAGAAAACAATACGGGATCTAAATCTGGAAAACTTGGAAAGCTTAGTTGCGAAAAGCAAAACAAATTCGTTATGCAAATACATGAGAAATTGACGAATAGAAGCTCTAATGATGAAAGCGAACTAGAGAAAAATCCCTATTCACAAATTAAAAAAAAGTCTGGAATTACTACTGATAAGCTCAAAGTAACAAAGGGATCCTTAGACCTAAAAATCAACCTTGACTCAATGCTGGATCAAGAAATGGAAATCAACACTAGAATTGCCAACCAAGAAAAACAGCAGGAGCTTTTGTGGAGTATTACAGAGGATTTATCTATTCAAAATGAAGACAGAAATCTTCTTATGGAAGAACTTATTGCTCATACTACACAACAAAATTAGTTGTCAATTTGCCCAAGTTAGTTATCAAAAAAAGAACTAGCATTACAATTCAGTTTTTTATACTATCCAAAGTCTAGTAATTCTAAAACAAATATACTTTGAGAATTAAAACCATAGTCTAAAAAAGGGGAAAAATTGAATGAAATCAGAAAAATTTGATACTATTTATATATTATTTCAAATTAAAATAGATTTATTCATAATAAATTAGACTAGAGACTTAATATCATTATTACTATTGTTTGTTGAGTCCCCCTTTACTATAGATTTGGAGTTGGATCCCAATGTAACAGGTTTTTCGTTAGATACTGATGGTTTACTTGCAGAAAGTTTATATCCCTCGCCTCCAAAAGGAACAAAACCGCCAGAAGAACCAATGTTTGAGCCAGTGAATGGATTTGATACATTTGTTCTATCATTGGTCATTTCAATAGGCCCATTATTCATGTTAGAACGGCTTGAAGGCCCGTTGTTCGTATTGGATGCTGCTGTACCAAATATATAAGCTCCTGTAGTACCAGTGATCAACGGAGAGCATAGCATAAGTTCTTTAAATAATTGCCAAGAAATTCGAGTGCAAGCTGCCAGAACCAAAGCATTAACTGCAAAAAGAGTGCAGGCTGCAATACTTAATGCTGACCCGGCAATAGAAAGTGAAACTGCAAAATAAATAGTACAGAAGAGAGTTCCTAAAGCTGAAATAAATATGTACATTTGTAATATTGGAGGCCTATATGCATTAGCATCCTTAACTGAAATATATGCGAGAATGATAGAGAAAACCTGCAATAAAACCCAGACAGTTCCTCCAGTTGGAACCAAAACAAATAGTATTATAAGAGTCATAAACTCAATTATTAACAAGAACTTGAGCTGCCTTGCATACTTTCGGCATTTCTCCGAAGGAGGGACTGAATATAAACCTGATGATCCAAAACTACACATTTTAGGTAAATATTTACTGTATGGTCTGCTTCAATCAATTTTCTGTTTTAGATGTCAATACAAACGCTCGCAAAAGAAAATATACTATATATATATATATATATATATACTATTGAAAACGATTGAAATATTTATTTAAAAGTGCCTCCTGAACTAAACAAAGTTGAATGTTCCAAATTCTGATATTTTCTTTCTCAAATATAAATTAGCTCTTAGAAACTACAGATTCTCACTTTACCTCTTAAAATTGATTACGTGTTTTTCAGTTGATTTTTAAATATATTTCCTCGCCTTATTAATATTACAAAAAGAAAGTAGGCTTGCTAAAAAAAACTCCAACCAAGATACTGCTTAAATACCACAATTCATTCAACTAATTTGCTATTTTATCTGTTGGTATCTTATTGGAATGTTACCATTTACATATTAATTCCATTGATTTTTTTTTTATTCACATACCTTGCCTACACTCATTACTCCTTTATAATATTAAAGTTTCACCCGCCTAACGTATTTGGCGGGAACTCTGAAGTAATTATATTTTAATATATGTAAACAAGGACAAAGTTAATGCATTACTAATTAGATTAAAATTTTTTAGATATTGACAAGTGTGTAAATATAAATCTGTAAATATTTTTATGAGTGCGTGGATAAATATGCAGAATAAACGGTAGGCAGTTAGCCTAGAGGGGAAGGATCTTTTAGAAAGACACTTGGAATCTCAGTAGTGCGTTTTAGGGTTATCAAATAAACAAGTTTATGTTGCGAAATTCACTTATTTAGATAAGGATGTGAGAAAAATTTCGTAGCTAAATGAATTCTAAGATGAAGTTTAAAGAACAAAGAATGTTAATATTATTAGTCAAAGTTAAAGAAGAGAGCATTTTGAAAGCACTCCAGAGTTTGCCACTGAGGCAATGTCATTAATTTGACTAAGTTGATAATTCAGAATAAATTCTTCGAATTTCTTTTTAGTTAACAAAATTAGTTGCTCATTAATTTGAAAACAAATAAACATTTGTTAAATGGTTGTTTGGGAGCTAAACCTGCTCATTACGAAACATTAAATTTGAATTAATCTTATTCAGCAATTCCAACAGTCTTAATGCTGGCTTCATTGCTATCCTTATATGCAAAATACTTATTACCACTACTTTCTAATCTGTCATCTCCGGACAATTCAGATTCATCGATATTTTGGGCATCATCATAGATTAATTTACCATCTTGAACATTATCTGAGGTACTCCCCTTTAGAGACTTCCTTTCTCTAGAAGATAATCTAGAGCTAACTTGAGCTGTAAATGTTAAAGTATCATGTGTAGCAGAGGTAGATAAAGTTCCAGATTCATATCCAGCATTTGGTTCAGTAATGAAGGTTTCATCAGGGCTTTGTGTAGAAGTTAAAGTAACAGAAGGCTCTAGATTAGTTTCAACAACAGTAGAGTTAACAAGTCTTTGAGTTGCTTTTGAGAGCTTTTCTAAATTACTTTTCTCAATTACAAATTGGCCATAAACTTGAGGAATTCCCTGCCATCTAATAAAGTAATAGTATACAGCAGCAATAACATAATCCATTTCGTTCCATTTTCTTGTATTATACTTGATATTTGTTAAAGTACAATATCTGGTTTTCTCCACAGAATGAACCCAAGTTTTTAAAGGAGATTTCTTCCAAAGCGAATCTGGATATTGTTTCCATGCTGCCCTAGTCATCGGTTTCTTTTTTTTTTCTCCTCCATAAGTTTGTTTCCCAAAATCTAGAAAACGAAAAATCTTCTGCTTAAGATCTCTAAACCATTTCTTAAAACCATTTTCCTTGTAGTTTGATCTTTCCACATTACCTAGGAGATACTGCAATTGTCTTTCATAAAGAATAACTGAAAGACCAAAGAGTCCTTCAGGAGAAAGCAATAAATTAGGTGAAAGCTTCTCTAAAGCCTCAGATGAAAGCTCATACTTTTGTAACTCAATATGCTCATAAATGTTTCCAAGATATTCTATTGAAGAAGGAATTCTCTCCAAGTTTATAGCGTTCTCATTATTGCTTTCCTCCGGTGGCAATGTAGTACTTTCAGAATGTATCTTCCATCCAGGTTCACAATAAACAACATTGGGATTCCCAATTCCCTTACATCTCTCTTTTGAAAAACATCTTCCCTGGAAGAAATCTCTCAAAAAGGGCTTAATCTCACAATTTGGGCAGTAATACTTTTTTTGAAAAGCTGATAAAGTGCTTTTTCCGCCATATCCTTTACGCCTCCCTCTAAATTCAATATATTTTCTAATGACAGCTAATGGATATAAATCATATAATGCAACTTTATCCAACGGAATGCTTATTACTTTATTTTCCTGTCTCATGATCCACGATCTAATTTGAGAAACTGTCACTACGGGGTGCTGATAAGAGTATAATGGCCCCCACGGAAATAATGGTTGGTTGTCTAAATCCTTTGGCTCGCCATTAAAGTTTCTCATACTAGACAAGGAAAAAAAATAAAGCATGACTGAAGCCATGGTGACCGTTTCTCCATCTGACCCTGTTAAATCTATACTGGTACTTGTCGGTACTCCATTTGTATAGTTTGGATCCTCTGGATTCAGTGGGTAGAACAGACTTGATAATACTTGCGGTACTGTTCCTCTTTTCATTGTTGTCATGGAAAGATAAATATTCTCACCTATAGTACCTGCTAAACTTCCAAACAATGTAACGCCTGCTCCGGCAATAAGTGCAACGTCTAATGATCCCAGTGATCCACCAGATACTAACACAGCCAATAACACAATTATAAAGCATAATAATAATACTTTTCCTTTCATTTTAATCTTTTCTATAATTCAAATTATTTTCTCTTCTTACAAAATTGTCCACAGATTAAAGCAGTTTTATTCAAATCCTTCTGCAATAAATAAATACTTTAAATATATTTACACATATAACTACATAAACTAATTTTTATCTGTGCGAGTCTAAAATGCAGTTTATAGTATAATCCCCACTACTATTTTGTTAATTTTTTCCTAATTATTTTATTTAATGTCTCCTTTAATATTCGCTCGTGATTATTCGTTATATAATTCTTACTATTTAATATTTATTTCATATATTGCAACTATGCATTCTCACAGCTCGATACCTCATTTGTTAATTAAACCTCTCCATTCTACCGCCCTCCCTAACTAATATTTACATATTATACTTATTATATAAAAAGTTATGTGTTCACTATTTATTTTTACAAAACTTATCTCAAGTCTATTGGTAATTTTAGATTCAAAACTATCATTCTTTAACCAAATATATTTAGCACAACTATTTTCGGCTAATTTAATAACTCGAAATAACAAGACATACTAACCCGTTTGAACCTCCCGCCTAATCCTATTTTTTAACATATGCAAAGTTGCATGTGGGGAATTTGAGAATGTTAAATTATTTAATATTATAAACCTTATGATTAAATAATTATTCAGTTTTTTTTTTTGCAAATACCTTTCTTTTCTTTGCTTTACCTTCATTTCTACCCTCATCTGACTTTCTTTTTTTACCCTTATTTTTTTTCTTGTCATTATTACTTTGATCTTGTACTTCTGGTTGATTACTGTTTGCTTCCGGTTCCTCAGACAACCCTCTTGTATTTTCAACCTTATCTTGATTAGTAATTTGATCGGTATTGGACTCAGGGTTTTTGTGTTCATTTTCTATAGGAGTTTTTGTATCAACTTGAGGCTGCGATTCCTTTCTGGACCTTTTTTTGTCTTCTACAAAAGATCCATTTTCCTGTGAATACTTTTTGATTTTAAGTGGGTTAAAACTGTATAATTTACTAAGTTTATGAACTTTTTCTTGATATTGCCCAAATACTTGATGAATACCAATATCTCTTGAAAATGTATTGAGTACTACTCCAATTGAGTAATCATAAACATTCCAATTAAGTGAATTATATTTACTCTTTTTAATTTCATCAGAATAAACAGCATATACAACTCTTTCAAAAGATTGGAATGGGTTATTTTTCCACATAGAATCAGGAATCATTTTCCAAGGCGCAATTCTGATTCCGTTACGTTTTCCATGGCCTAAAGAAGCAATATCAGTAATTGCTGCATAAGATCTTTCAAAAGCTCCAAAAGACTTCCTGAATTTGCTTGCATCATAATTAATTGGATCTATTGATGAAATATCATATTGCCTTTCTTTCCAGTAAAGTATTAAAGCAAGAGCAAGTTTTTCAATCTTTCTATTTTTGTAAGTGACATTTTCCTTTGATACAACATACTTATTTTTCATGATTTCTTCTAAATATTTATATATAGCAGTAAGTTCTCCCCAAGAAGTGTCATCTTCTGGTGTCCAAGGAGTTGCTTCATAATGTACCTTGTCGCTATTCTTCTTAGCATGTACTGGAGACCTAGATGAAATTGCTCTGCGATGTGATACACTAGTCATATCAGACAGGCCACCTTCTATGCTATTTTGTTTTTTCCCCTCTTCTTTAACTTGTTCATTTTTCTTTTTATTCTTCTTTGAACTTTCCATTGCGTTTGAGGCTTTATTAATTGTATTGGAAATAGACTCTTCCACACTATTAATTGTCTTATCTCTATTTTCCGAAATGAATCGTGCTGTTCCAAGTGGATAAAGATTCCAAGGATCAACTTCTGTAATGTTAAGGCGTACAAATCCCCCAGAAATTGATGTTAGATAATCCCTAATTTTCCCAACTTCATTAATTGGATCGTTTTCAATGTCAAAATTACCCCATGGAAGTATCGGAGTTTCGGAATCAAGATCTAGAACTTTATCTGTAAACTCTGAAACGAGCAAAGAGTAAAAGTACAATATTCCAGCCATTGTGGTTTTCGTTTCTCCATCCCAATTGCACGTATCTATATATACCAGTTTATCCTTTGTTCCATTCTCGAGTATTGGGCATCTCCTACTCGCCAATATTTGACCAAGAGTTCCTCTATTTGTTTGAGTAAGCATGTAATAAACAGCTGTCCCTCCTAGCAATCCTATTGATGCTGAAACACTAACAGAAGCAAATCCATGAGAAAAAGAAAACCATCCAAATAGAATTTGTATTATTATTAAGGCTTTTAACTTCATATTGTCCGTGCGTATTTTGAAATTGAATTAAATTATTTTTTTTTAATTATTTTTTGATTTGAATATCTAATTTTTTTTCGAGTATGTCTGCAAATAAGAGACGTTACCATGTCAGTATATGCCTGACAAATAATACAAAACTAATTAAATTTTAGAAACATTTTCATAACAAATTTGTCATTAAAATTAAAGCTACAATTTAAAGATTACAAATAGTCTTTTAGTTATTACAATTTTCTTTTTTCCTACTTTCTCCTCATTGCCACGCACTTTTTTTCAGTATAAATGTTTACATTGAGGATTGCAACATGCAAGATATTAAAAGAAGAAATAAAATACATTTTCCCGCCAAACACATAAGTAAAAACAATTAAATACTTTGCAAGTTTATTACAACAATTTAGGTTATTCTCAAGTGAGTGGATTTATTAATCTATTGAAATATTACCAACTCAATATATATCACAATATGCTCTGGGACATTAATTGGAATTAAATTTTAGAATAAAATACAAGGGGCATGCTGAGTATAATTACCGAATATAAATTAAACTATAAAATAGTGTAATTAGATCAATTTACTTAGCCTACAGGGATAATTACTTGAAATAATACTCGATTATTCTGATTCGTACTTAGCTGAGTGAGGAACAGGTACATTGTATTTCTGTAGATTTAGAGCTTCTCTTTCTACTAGAAAGTGCCTTCTACTTACTTTACTTATATACTGACCATAGAGAATAGGGATTCCAAGGACGATGGAAAAGAAATAGACGACTGCTGCAATTGCGAAATCGAACTCTGACCATTCAGACGAGCTATAAATATCAGAGCGAACTTCTTGTTGATGAGATCCAATAATAAGGTATTCTAAAGTCTTTGAAGGATTTAATTTCCAATGTTCTTCTAGAATTCGTTTCCAAGGTGCTCTATTAACACTATTCTTTCCATGAGCTAAGCCAAAAAAGTCAAAAAAGCATAAGGCAAACTTTACAACCTTATCTTTAAACTTTGCAAATGAGCATTTCTTGTAATTAATGACATCAATATAATTGATGTCGTACTGTCTCTCTCTAAGATATAATATTAAAGCTAAAGAAAAGTTTACTAACTTTTCACTTAATTTGTTCTTTTTACAAATTCCATTTATGGAACTTCCTTCTAAAGTACTTGTGTATTCGTTGATTACTCTAAACTCCTCAAAAGCTGTTCTTTCTCCTGGAATCCAAGGAACCGAAATATAGCTAACTTTAGGGTTTAATTTATTCTTGCAAACTACAGAAAGCCCACCGATGCAATGCTTTCTTCTTATTCTAAAATCTGAAATTACAGATGAGGAAGATTTGAGCTCTTTTGTTTGAAGATATGAATCCAACGTGGCTCTTTGCCCGACTTTAGCAGAATCCGTTGAATAATTTTCAGAATTCGGAGATTGAATACCGGAAGTAGCATTAATATCTTTGCCATCAACTAATCTATTTTGATCCCTCTTTGCTTCATCAGGTGATTCATTTTCTAATAATTTTAACTTAATATCATCATATACATTTTCCTCTTTGTCACTACCTTTGGTTTTAGTTTTATTCTTTGAACCCTTTTTTAACTTCGGGTATTTTCCTTTGAATTTAAATTTCCCATTTCGCATAGAAGAATATTTCTTAATAACACCTAAAAGGTATAATTGCCAAATATCCACATTATTTAGAGGTATTCTAATGTATCCACCTTTTAGTGATAACACATAGTCGTAAATCCTGGTCATAGCTCGAAGAGGATCTTCATTCAATTGAACCTCACCCCAAGGTAGGATAGGCATCTCATTGCTAGAGTAAATAGAATATTTATTGTTTAGTTTAGGATTTACTGCCAAACTAAAGTAATATAACATGCACGACGATACCATCATTGTATCCCCGTCCCACTTTTCAGTTCGTATGTTAAAGGTATATTCACCCATTCTATCTTTTTGAATTGGAAGGTAAATACTTGCCAAAATCTTCCCAATTGGGCCTCTCTTAGTCTGAGTTAGCATGTAATATATAGAGACAGTTGAAGATGCAACTGAGTATGCTGTCAAACTCGTGCTCACTGATGGAGATGCAGATGCACTATAAAATCCCTCGGCCACATCGAAACTAAGTAAACAAAAACATAGGTATAAAAGAAACAACGATCTTAATAGATTCATTTTTTAAACAATTCTTCAAAGCCCCGTTATAACTCTCGGATTTTTCCAGCTGAAACATTTTTAACTTACGGTATTTGACTTTTGGCGCTAGCATCTCAACTTTTTTGGCGGCAAAACCAAACCATGCATAAACAATGGTTTAAAAAACTATAAGATTATGTAATTGTAGGGATTTCCTGGCCATGATACTCTCTTGATTTGTAATATACTCTAAATTGAAACTTTTGAATTCATCCAAGTGGTATCAACCAGTCCTACAAAGATGGAAAAATTATCGAGAGTAAATCAATATTGAATTAGTGGTTTACAAAGTAAATCGTACCTGTTTGTGGATTAGTTCCTAAAGGCCTTCTAAACAACAGAATATGTGGTTCAGGTCTGAAATTGATTAATTTTGATTCCTTTATAAATGTTGAGACAAACTTACTTATGTACCAGATAATGTTGCCACCCTCTAGATTGCTGTACCCCAAGCATTCTCCACTCTTGCTCAGAAAGTAGACCGTTAGGCTTTGATTGAATTATTGCCTGAGCCCTTTTGGAAATCTGGCATAAAGTAAATAACTATAATCTTAAAATTTGGGAGGATCGATGAATAAAAAACCAATTATCAAATAAAATTAAATATTCACAACCTGTCCTGTCCCAATGTCATAATCTACTTACAGCTTTTGGTAAAGTTACATGCCTACAATTTTTCTCTTTCTATTTTTTCAACGATCAGTTATTTTCCAACTCACCTGTATTCATATGTTTCATCCTCATACTTTGATGAATATAATATCTCTTCAGGATAGTTGACCATCTTTACTCATTAAATACGTCAACATTCAATAAATATCGATTATTTATTTTCTTCTGATGTATTAGACCCACATATAAATAAAGTGCTTATTGGCGCCTAAATGCACAAAATTGAATTATATTACATTTAAAGGTAACAGTAGATCTTAAGAAAAAGGATTAAATAACAGAATGTTTTAAGTTGAGTTATTCAGAATGTGATATTATGACATAAAAGTAAACACCAATAAACCGAAAAAGTTACGCTAAACAATTTGGACTATAGATACAAACTTGGTGTGAAAACGATGCCCCTCTTAATAAGTGCGATACCTTCTTTGAGTTTTTTCTCAAGTTCATCATTTCCTATAGATTTAGTAGCACTTGCAACTTGTCTGAGTAGTTCTTCCAGTCTCCTCAAACACCTGATCACACTTCCTTCATAGAAACTGGTGTTTTCAAGAATAGATGCAAAGCTCTCTCCTTTACTCCATTTAAGGATAATTGGCATAATTTGGGGTCTAAATTTACTAATATATTGTGTCGAATCAATATTTAAACCTGATTCAGATGAAATTTTTACAATAATCTTTGCCACATCCAGAATATTATCATATCCTGTTGCTAAAGTAGAGTCTTCTAACTTTATATCTGGGCATTTTTCATCATATAGTAAGGATGATAAAATGGCCACTATGTATTCAATTTTCAATTCTTGAAAAAAAACATTGTTAAATAATAGTTCGGTTATTAATAATTCATCTGATGTAGAAATTTCACAAGCAATTCTCCCTTTCAATTGGACGATACTATTTTCATCAGTATAATCTAGTTTCTTCAATACTTTTCTCATTCCGAGTAGCTCTTTTTGCATTATAGTATCATATTCATTTTCTCTCAAGTCATTTGATATTTCATCTACTCTTTCTTTCAAATAATACCTATGGGAACTAATATATAACAATAAAAAAGCCAAAAATGAGCATTTTCTTATTAAAATAGACTCTTGTTGTATTTTCTTCTGAAGATCTTTAAATCTTTCTAACTTAGCACATATCTGAGAATCTGATGAAGCATTTCCAATGTTAATCATTTCATCACCATAGTAGTTTATTAGTGGGATCTTATCCTTGCCAAGATGGTCAAGGACCTTATTTAAAGAAATCTCCAATGACATCAAGCCAGGGGTATTCTTATTGGTAATGTTGGTTCTGTTTTGAGGAATATTTAATCTAACGGTACTAATTTCCTGGATTGAAGATACAGTGCAATTAAAAATACAATAATCGGAGTTCTCATTCATTGAATCTTCAACATTTTTTTCAAACTCTTTAACAATTTTGTCATATATTAATTTTGGAAAACGTTTCTTGTTTAACAAGACTCTAATATAATATTTGTCGGAGTCTTCCATGTCTACCGAACTATAGCTCAATTTTGTTGTTTCGTTTTCTTGTTTATTATCTTCTTTTCCACTCTGATTTGTTTGATTATTGTTTCTAATAGGTTCAATCAAAAACCCAGTATCAACTTTTTTATTCCTAGGGTTTGGGTTGCTCAATAAAACCCCCCAACCCAAATCCAAGTACTGGTTCTGGCTAAATCCGTTAAAAACTTTTGTGTAAAAAATGTAGTTTGAATCTCTTGAACCCATCTCCGAAGTCCCACCTTCATTTTGAGCTTCTGAATCCTGTATACTAAGTGAATTAGCTTCCTCTCGTTCCAGAAATGGTAGTCTAATATACACTAGTCTTCCTGGATTTAAGAATCTGTGAATTATCTTAGAATTAATAATAAACTTTTTGATATATTTATTAAGCTCAATCATTTCACAGAAATGGTTAAAAAGAGTCTCTCCAATTCTAATCAGTGCCTTTTCTGAATCAATATGATATCCACTAGTTCTTTCCTTTGCAATAATTTCAATATCTACTTGGTTTTCCTGAGTCTCTAAACCATTATTTTCTATACATTGGTCAACAAAATAACTAATCTTTTCATTTATTAGAGTTTTATTCATGAAAAAGTCTTTTTCATGCGGTAGTTCAATCTCCAGTAAATATGGGGAGCATGGGTTTTTTGAATAGAAGTCCTTTGAATCAAAAGAGCTGTCGTTCTTGCAGATAACCTTAAATCCTGAAATATGCAAAAAGTATGCATATGTAGCCAAAAGTTCTGAAAAATTTGAGAATTTTGGTAATATCAAGCTTTCCTTAAAAGATCCATAAATATCGTCAACCCCCTCAACTTTTCTCCTCATAATTACAAACTGATTTCCTTGTGTATTACTTCTATCAATGCTAGGCCTGCTTTTTTTTGAAGAGGCTTCTAAATTGTCCTGTTCTTGATTCAAGCTAAAGATTTTAATAATTGGTTCAGAAACTTTGTAATTGTCTAAAATACTTTGAATTCTATTAATTTCCTCATGCAAAGATACAGTCTTTTTCCTCTTTAAGAATTGCGAAAATGAACGATTAATCATATACTCAGGATCTGCACCTTCTAGCCTTAATAGATTTAAAAGCATATTATAACCAATATAAAACTGGCTATCTATTCTCAAAGGTTGCCCAGTAAGCATGGATTTGATAGCCCATGGATCAGCCAATTCATCGATCATAGTAATCGTGATTCCTCTGTCATCAAGACCTCTTCTTCCTGCTCTTCCACTCATTTGAATAAACTCTCCAGAATTAACAATTCTGTACTCCTTCCCATCGAACTTTCTTAATGACGTAAAGATAACCGTCTTTGCAGGCATATTAATTCCCATGGAAAAGGTCTCAGTAGAAAACAACACCTTAATAAAGGACTCTCCAAAAAGGAGCTCAACAATTTCCTTCACAACTGGAAGTAAGCCTCCATGATGAATGCCGATCCCTCTTCTCAATAAGGGAAGCATCCCAACAACTTGAGGGATGTTTCTATCTTCTTCTGCAAGAGTTGCCAAGGCACTATTAAAAATGAAGTCAATGCTCTCTTTTTCTTCTTCAGTAGATAAATCAATATTTTTTAATGATAGTGCATTTAACTCACAGTCTTTCTTTGAGAAAGAAAAAACAATAATTGGAAGATAACTCCTTTCCTGACACATATTAACAATACTTTCAAGATCTATTCTTAGTTGAGCCTTGCCTGCATGTTTTTTTTGTTCTTTCTGAGAACTATTACTCTCAGCCGCTATTTTCAAGGCCGATAGTGCCTTCATATAGTTATCTTGTTTGAAAACCTTATTTTCATCCATTACCAAATACACTCCATTCCCTCCTGCCGGAAAAACAAAGTGCTGTAAAGGGACAGGTCTATAATCTGTGTATACAACATGACAAGGCTGATGTTTTGTCCTGCAAATCCACTCTGCAAACTCTAAATGATTTGGAATGGTAGCAGACAAGAATACTAATCTCACAGTGTCTGGTAATAAAATAATGGATTCTTCCCAAACAACACCTCTTTCTTTGTCCCTCATATAATGTATTTCATCAAAAATAACCCAAGCTATTTCTCTTACTAGTTCGCTTCCTCTGTATAACATAGACCTGAGAATTTCTGTTGTCATTACCATAATTGATCCAAGTGGATTCACCGTGACATCTCCAGTGAGAAGTCCCACATTATTATCGCCAAACGTAGTTCTTAAGTCCCTGTACTTTTGATTGCTCAAGGCCTTAATAGGAGATGTATAAACTACTCTCTGATTACTTTTCAGAGCCATTGCTATAGCATACTCTGCTACACAAGTTTTTCCTGCAGAAGTATGCGCTGATATTAATACACTTTCTCCTATTTCCAAACAACCTATTGATACAGCCTGAAAAGTATCGAGTTTAAATGAATATTCCTTTGCTGGAATTTTCTTTCCATTCTCATCATATTGAATTCTGAGCTTAGAATCAGTTGGAGCAACATAACCGCATGGTCTAACACATTCATGGACACAATTTGTCCCCGATTCATATATTATATGCTCAACCTTCATGCTCTCGTCAAATCTTGTATAACTAGAGACAACAAAATCTTTTTCATCAAGAAAATCTCTCGAACTTACACTCTTTTCGTTGTTAATTCTGGCCTTCTTCTGAGTCTGAGGTGAATCATCAAATGATCTATCTTCCCTTTCCATTTTCAATTCACCTTAAATAATAATTACTATTAAGCTCAAGAAATGAAGACTCAGAAAATCAACCCAATCTAAAACAATATCTAATCTAGTCAATAATATATAAAAATTAACGATAAAAATTATTGGTTTAATATTAACCAATTTATTATTTTCGTATTAAAATTGTCAAAAATTACAAGTAGTCTACCGCCAACACGTGTTACCGCCAAACATCTGTGTTCTATTATATAGTGGCTCATAAGCGTTACATGGAAAAGTACATGGAATAATGCAACATAACAATTTTAATAAAAACATAAACGGGTGATCACATAATTCTTTTTATTTAATGGTTTATTCAAACAGGAATTGCGATTGCTTCTCTTTTGAATAGATATATATTAATTAAGTCTTGCGATTACTGTATAAATCAAATTTTCTTTCAAAAAAAAAGTTAATCAAGGTTTTTGAATTAAAAGATTTAAATATTACGAGAAGCTTTAATTCTATACATTTTTCAATATGTAACTTCTTAAATCTATTGTTGATACACAAAGCATTAGAACCATTTGAACCCATTTTTTTAAAGTGATCCAAATAATAGCCTCCTAAGATTAAGTTGTTTTTTATCTTATTTAAATTTTATAAAAGCTATATAAAAAACTTTTATAGAAAAATTACAATATTTTGGCGGGCATGCATTTGTGTGAGCTAAAGTCTTGTCCATTATGTCTTACAAAGTCATTTTTGCCCACTAAATAAATACATGGTACTAAAAAAACTGTTCGGATTAATGAAAGTACAAATACAGAATATTCTGGATAATCTTTTGATAAGATAATAAGTTTATTCAAGATCGATGATTTCCAAAATTAGGTACTACTTTATTCTGATATGCATATTCTTAATTGTTTGCGAACTCCCATATAATTCAAAATGTGAATCATCTGAGTCTGAAGAGCTTCCTACAGGAGATGATGAGTTTGGAGAGGTTGACAGTGGAATTGTATCACAAAAGGAATTCAGAAAAGTAATGTTAGCCAATTCAAATGATGCAAAGGTGGTCGTGCAATCTGATTCCAAATCTGGAGAAAGCAAGCTGGAGAGCAACGAACCCAACAATAATAAAACTAACGAATTCAAATCTGAACAAACCAAACCTGAAGAAACCAAATCTGAGGAAGTTAGTCCTGAAGAAACCAAAGAAGAAGAGACTAAGCCGGTGGGAGCTAAACTCCAGAGAAATGATTCTGAAGAGTTAAGCCAAGTTAATAATAAATTCGAGGAAAATAAATCCGATGAGAATAAAAATGTTGAGTCAAAACCACTTAACTCTATTGAAAGTTATAAAGAGAATGAAAATGATTTAAATGATGGCTCAAAAAAAGAAAATACAGCTGATGGAGATAATCAAAAAAATTCAATGGAAGATAATTCTACCAAAAATTTAGATTCTGAAGATGAGGCAAATAATAAGGATTCTTCAAGTTCAGAGGTTGCTCAGGAAGAAGAATTGGCATCTGAGTCTACTGAAAATCTGAATGATCAGTCAGGTGATAACAAAGAAAATATGAATGGGAAAAATTCAGATGAAAAGGAGGAGGATAAGCTTCAATCAACAAATAAGATGGATGAAAAACAATTGGCTGCAGATGTTATTGATAAATCCAATATTGATGATACTAAAAATGATTCAAAAATTTCTGATGTATCAACAGATAATTCAAAAAAAGATGATGACTTAGAAAATAAAGTAAAAAGTGATAATAAGTTAGAAGAAAATGTTGAAAAGGCCATACAAGAAATGAAGGATAAGTTGGGTGCCAATTCAGAAGATGAAACAATAAAAAGAGTTGACGATAGATTTATCGTGATTGTTAAGAAATTAAAACAGAAAACTAACGAAATTCCAACTAATACAAAAGACGCGGAAGTGAGAGCCTATAATAAAAATGAAATTAATCTTTCTTATGGCAAAAATGAAGAAGAAAAATCACTGCCTGAAGAAAAGCCATCATCTGAGGAAAAATCATCGCCGAAAGAAAAGTTATCATCTGAAGAAAAACCATCACCTCACGAAAATCCATCAACTGAGGAAAAATTATCACTCGAAAAAAAGTCATCATCGGAGGAAAAATCATTATCCAAGGAAAAGCCATCGTCCGAGGAAAATAAAACAGAATCAGTTAATCAAGCTGAGGAAAAAAAAATTGCAGAAGCAAATAGAATTGATAAAGAAGAAGCTGAAACAGAAAGTCGAGAAGAAAAATCTAACAAAGAATTAATAGAAAAGTTAAAATCTTTATCTGCTGATAATAAAAAGGAAGAAGAACCAGCCAACCAAAAAATTAAAAAGATCAATAACTTATTAGAAATTGGTGAAAGTGATGAGAAAATGGAAAGACTAATTCAAGAAAAGAAGGACTATGATGCTAAAAAACAAGAAAAACAAAAGTTACCACTCCAAAAAAAGAAAAAATGGTATGAGAAGAGAGATCCAATTACAGGAGAATTGTTGTTTGATGCAGCAGCACTATCTAGAAACATTACATCAACTATTACAGCCAAAAGAAGAAAGGGAATGTTCAGCAAGTGTGTTCAGTTTCATGGCCAAAAAGAAAACTGTGAATCTTCAAAGAACTGCTTCTATGACTCAGTCTATGAAATGTGTTTGTTCGATTGTAGTTTATTAAATAAAAAAGATGCATGTGAAGAGTATTTAGAATGTAGATTTGATTTTATTGTTCCGAGAAAAGCCTGCGTAAATGATTGTTTCCAAAGTAGGAATTTTGCAAAGCAAGAAATAAATGGAATAATGAGAGGTTGTATGTGGTGTAGACAAGAAGTTATGTGTAACACACTTTCCAGTTTACAAAAGAAGAAGTTCCCGGAGGTAAATAATAGAGAATTCGATTGTAACTGGCAACTACAAAATGGTTTGGAAAATGACGAAAATACTGAAAATTCACTATGTGTTGACAGGAATTTAGGGAGATCTATGACAGATAAGGATTTGGTTGCAGCAACATACATTTCATCTCAAACTAAACTAGTGCATGAAGCAGCAGAAAAAATCAAAGACCAAATGGTTAATAATGGTGAAACTGAAGAGAGTGCAAAATTACATGTTCAGAACATTAACTTACTAAAGATGAATATATGTTATCCTCCAAATATTCCCTACTCCCAAATAAAGCCAGAAAAAAAATATTACTTGAACGAAGAAATTATTGAGATTGATTGTGAGGATGGATACAAAATTACAGGAGCAAATAACCAGTTACGCTGTGAAAATGGTTTATTTTCACCGAAAGTATATTGCATTGCTATAAGAGAAATTGAAAGGCAAAAGAGCTCTATAAGCCGGCACTTCAATAAGATCCTTAATTTATTAATTAACTCGATTACGGGAAATGGTGAATGGATTAACGTTGGCATAGAAAAGATTAATGAGTCCAAGGACCAGAAGAGAAAGGAATCCCCAGATGCCTTAATTGATGAAAATGAAGTCAAAACTGGTGAAAAAGAAAAAAAATCAACTGACGATGATAGTAGTATAACCTCTTCCATTGATACTAATACTACTACTACTACCACTACTGCTATTACTACTAATACTAATCAGAATAAAGAAAATATTGGCAAAGAGAAAACAAATAGCAAGGACAAAGAAAAGAGTAAAAAAGGTAAAGACAAGAATAAAAAATCTACTGAAAATGAAAATAACGAACCTAAAGATTTTAAAAGTAAAGAGTTGGATGGAGCGGATAAAAATGATTCAGAATTATCGGAAGAATCATCAGAATCTAATCTAAAATTAGGGAAGAATATTCTGTTGGATAGAGTTACAGGAACTCCAATTTTGGTACAAAATAACTGAAATAGTATAAATGATCATTTTTAATCAGAAATATTAATAACAAAATTTCAGAATAGAACATTTAGAAAGATATGAATTTGAGAAAACAAACAGAGATATAAATTAAGAAACCTGGGTTTATTTTAAACTTCATTTATAAAAGAATTAATTTAATAGCCAATCTTTAGCTTAAATAAAAAGTAATTCACAGCTTCTCAACTACTTTATTCTACAATTATTTAAAATTATTCTAAAAACAACCAGATTAATTGAGGACTAAAATATAATTTAGAACTAACGAGAGATATAATAGAAATCAATTTAAAGCTTCTATTGCAAACTTTTTCTTACCAGCGCGAAGCCTACTACCAATATTGTCACCTTCTAAAACTAATGCAAGCCTTCCAAGAGAGTTTGGATCGGATGATTCAACTCTCTCCCAAGCTTCAGAAAAAGCTGCAGCAAGAATAGCAACTAGTGTCACTGGCAGAGGATTATGTGGTACTTCTTGTTTCCCAGGCACATTTCTAATTACAAGAAGTAATTCTCCGCGTATTACTTCAAGTAAAGCCTTTCTGGCAGCTCTTCTAAGGTCAACCAAAGAAAGACTTTCAGGTCTTCTTGTGGAAAACTCGTCCGGAAGATCATCCAGAAATCCAATCCACATATCTTCCTCCCTTCTCCAAGTATCAGCAAGTAATACTTCTGTATTTGGTTGTGAAAATTCTAAAAGAATCTGGAGCGACGAAATTGGAGTTCCTGACTGAACAGAGAAGAGCCATGGTGCTGTAATGCTTTCTTCTCCTGAAAGCAAAAGGCTTAGCTCATTCTTTAGTTCCGGAATGTTTTTTTCAATTTCATCCTCCTCTGGGAGTTTATATCCTAAATCAGTTACAATCTTTATTAAGCTTTCCAAAGTGCGCTCAATTCTTGAAACTCGATATTCAAGCCTTAATCTTTCTTTATCTGAAGATTGCAAGTGGTCGTTCAATTCTTTAACTATTGAAAGTAGAGGATCAAATTTTGTGACGATAAAACCTTGAATCTCAGGAGAAAAAGACATGGGAGGGAGTCCCGAACCACTTTGTTTTGCTGATGAGATATTTCCATCCATACTTTCAGAGTTTTTAAAAATGATTTAAAATATTAAGATTTTTCTGTTTTTAATATTTCGATTATAGATCCCACTTAATATAAAATCAACTCTGTAATTATTTCCTTTTTTGCCCAAATGGGTAGCCTTCTTAGAAATGAAAAGTTTGTGGGTTTAGCTGAGAAAAATTTACATTAAGTAATTTATCTTTCAATAATTAATACTTTTTTCTTTATATTATTAATTTATCCCAATTTTTCTGCCTTTTAGATTCTACTTAATGGTCCAAGATCAATAATGCATGAAGGCGCGTCATTTCGGGCGCCTCGGGATTGTTGAGTAGATGGCGCTAACGGTACTAGTTTCAAAGAGTAAATATGGATATAAAATGAAAGTAGGAGAATAAGGTAAAAAAGAATGAATGATAGGAAATGATTGATCCATTAGGAATTGGGAAAATAATCAATGATAAATTTACTCAAATTGGGGAAAATGTTTTGGGGACAGTGATTGATCAAATAGTGGGTAATTCTAGTGCTCACTTGAGTAGCTTGAATGATTTTCAGTCAGTAAGTTTGTGTGTGATTAATCAAAGTAACCCAATTTATTATTTTATTCATAGTCTTCAATTATGAAGCTTTTACGGAAAGTTGCTGGATCAAAGTTTCTAAATAAGCAGCCGATAGTGGAAGTTGAACCAAATATATACGCAGTGAAGGATGAACAATTAAATATCTTTAAGTCAGTCCAAAACTCCAAAAGTTTGGGAGTTCTCACTATTTCTGTTGAGAGAGCAATTATCTCTCCTATGGGTTTTAATCGCAATATTCGAAATTTTATCATAAGGGAAAATGCGGAATGGGTTTTTGAATTAGCCCTACAGGGCCAAATGCTTGTAAGCCGGCCAGTGAGTACTAAAGACTTTATATTGGAGATCCCAGTCAATAGCCCCGTTCTGCTCTCCCCTAACAAAAACTCTGTGAATAGCACTTTAGTATTTCTAGATGACAAACAAGAATCAAGGTCAAGCATTGGAGTTGATAGTAAGAACTCTAGCGCAGAAAGAGAAAAAGATAGAGTATCTGGAGTAGGTGCCAGAGAAGTGTTTTTCAATTTTAAAGAATCCTTTGAAGTCACCGATATTTTTTCTGATATGAATTTGGATCTGATTTGCAGAGTCCCGATTCAGTGCAAAGCTATTGTTAACAACAAGTCAATTGAAGAAATTGTGGACGAAGATTGTTACTTCTCTAAAAATTCTGGATCTTCCCTTGCTAACGAATGTGATGAGGATATTCTTCCTATATCAGAAGACATTAATGCCACCATACCAGCCAATCCAGATTCTACTCCTAATTTAGGTTCAAACCCACCATCAAATAACACGAGCCATTCTGTTAGTTTTCGAATTAATCAAGAACAAAATAACTCGTCAGGGAGTTCATTTAAGCAGTATAAGATCATTAGAATTGAGAAGATCAAGCCAAACTGCAAGGAAATATTGGATAAATTAGATGGCGAAAATCACACAGTTCAGGAAGTCGCTTCTCAAAACCAGGAATGGGAAGTCCTTTATGAATGTATTCACTTTGGAAAGGTAACTATTCCTATTTCCTGCGTTTTCAATGACAAGCTTTCAAAACTGCCAATTTTGGACTGTTCGTTTTACAAAAAATCGTTGTATAAAGCAAATGAGAATTTAGCTTATAAAATGTTATGGAAATCAAAGAATCCAAGTAGCGTTCAAAACTATGAGAATAATCTTTCGAAAAGTAATACAATGGAAGAGTGGACTGTAATTCATGGTAAAAAAGCAAACTCCAGTGATTCACTGATCATTAATAAACCGAATAATTCTGATTTGGAAGAAGATAGTCGAGTATTTCCAAAAGATACAGATATCGAAAGAGATTCAACACTAAGATCCAGATTCAAAGGCGAGACTAGAATTCATGACGGATTAAATCATTCTAGTAATGAAAAGGAAACTAAAGAAAGCAACTTTATGTTGGAACACCAAGATGGAATGTATAATGACAATTTTCAATTTGAAGTTAGGTCAGATTCCAAGCATTTAAGTTGGTACCATTTATACCCCAAAACTAGTGAAATGGCTAAATATGTTAGGCCAGTACCAGGAATTACAGAATATGGGCTTTCAAATCCAATAAAAACTTTAGGTTTTATTCAGATTGGGCTGAATTTTGACACGGAGTGTTGTTCAAAAATTAGCCTCTTAATTAGCTCATACTTGAATATGATCACGAAAAAACCTATAACCAGGTGGATTCTTCCTGTGGGGTTTGAACCTCAGTATTTTCAGATGTATGCTGAAAGCTTAAAAATGTTGTTAGAGCATTATCCAAGATGGGTGCCAAAATTCTTCTTCTTATTAAACTTTCGAATTCCAAGATCCAGATTCGACAGAATAATGGTTTCTTTATTTTGGGCCGTAGTTACGTTTGGAGCGCTCCAAATTAACAGCTTTTTTTCTTTTTCGTGGATTTTTATGGTCATTCTCCCACTATTAATCTCTTTAACATATAGGTTTGGGTCGCAGATCGCCTCTAGAATTCATCTGGACTTTCTTACCAAAATTAATCTCATAGAGCAAGAAAGAAAAGGCATAGCAAGTACCTTTTCACAAAAAAGCAACGCTAATATCGAACAGAAAAATAATAATAATCAGAATAGCAAGACGTTGAATCTTATAAATTCTACTCCAGGAAATATTTGGAAGATGCTACAGCCTATACTAAATATAAAATATCATTCTTCATTAGCCACTGGTGATGGAGACTTTATTGAGGAGAATATCGATATAAGACCGTTTTCTTCTAGTATAGGAAAGTCCGAAAAAGATTCATCTTTAAAAATTATTAACGGGGTTTCAGACAAGAAGGATCTATCAAAAATCATTCCAAAAGAGGTTTACTATGGTGATAAAATAACCAGCAGAGAATATTGCACGCAATATGATCTTTGTAATGGGGATGGTTATATATGTTTGGCGAGAACAATCAATAACTCGTTATTGGTGAACAAAGAGAAAGACAGGGAGGAAGAGTTAAGGAGGCTGAATTTGTTAAGTAATGACGGACCAGATTTTCAACCACAACAGGAAAAACAAAGGTGGGAAAGAACCCAAGAATTTAAAGAAGACTCAAGGCCAAAAAAGTTAGTTGAAGACAGGAATAAGGACGAAGAAAGACCCCACCAAAACTTAAAGGATAGCGGAGGCATTGTAGAGACTCCATTTGGAGAACTTAGGCTTGGCCTCAGAATACCTTACGATAATAAGGTTGTCTCTATTTTCTTTGATGACCAAGATCTGGAACCTATTCAAACTCAGCTTTCTAATTTGTTGGCTATAGTAGAACTGGTTCAGCAGTCATTTGCAAGTTTCTCTACATTTCTGATGAAACTTAAAAACTCCCTTAATTTTGAAGACCCTCTAATCCCTTTTTTAACTTTATCGATTCTCTTTGGCCTAACTATTATGCTGAATTTGAGTCTTTATCTATTCGTCCTCATCTCAAGGAGCCAGAAAATGCTATTCCTTTTGAGAGGACTTCTTCTGATAAAATTTATCCACTGGATACTAATGAAGGATCCTTTTAATCATGTTCAACTGGAAATACTAAACAATCAACAAAGAATTGATCCTAATATATTTGGTCAAAATCGTGTTATTAGATCTTTTCTAAATAGATATTTCAAGCTAATAAGCTCGGAAGATCGCACCATGCTTATTCTTTTAAATAGTATAAAGATACATGATTACTATCCCGATAGATTTGTTCATATGAAAGAAAGCTTTAGCAAGCCAGACCATTTGATAGAAAAAAACAAAGAGAGAAGGCGTGGAACTGCTGGTCCAATACGAATTTTGTCCATTAGTATGGAAGAATATTTATTTTTTTATGCGGTAAAATTTCTATGCATACAAATACTCTTGTTAGGCTCTTTTTTCAATGCTCTACAGTATATTTTTATTAGTCGGTTTTCATCCATTTTCAGGAGGATATTTCTCTTTTGGTGGTATTCTATTCCAGATATCAGGGAGATTCAACATCGTTGTATCGCATCTACTCAGTTGATAGGAAATCTTGATGATTTACTCAACGACCATGAAGATAACCTAATAAACTTTAAAGTTATTAACGGAAATAGTTATGGAATTGGAGGGAGTAAAAAAGTTGAGGATAATAGACTTGAGGCTTCTGGAATTAAGGCAGATCTTTTTTTGAAACAATTTTATTTCGGTAAGAATTCAAATTATATCAAAAAGAGTACTATAACAAGTTCGATGAACCAAGGAGGTCAGTTAGATCAAGAATCCTGTGGATTAGAATCATCAGGAAATCCGTCAAATAACTGTAGATGCCCCGAAGTGGATAAATCTTCTGCCACCTCTAGCAAGAAAAGTCTGATTGATTACATACTCCCAATCAATAAGGAACAAAATTTAGGTACAAAACAGGAGTCTAATCCAAAAGGTGAGAAAAGCAGTACTCAATCAAGTTATGAAGTACTTGAAAGTTTTTTGGAAGGAATCTACCCTATCAATAAGTCAAAAAAGCAGGATTAAAAAGATTGAAAATCAATTAAAGTGTTCTAAGATTCTTTTATTTAGTATACTTATATAATACGTGTAGTTAATAAGTTCCAATAGATTAATTAATTGGAGTTAAAGTTGGAATGTCTTGTATTTAACATTCTTATTTAATCTAACCGATATTTTGAATTACGAAACTCCTTTCTGTATCTTTCTATATTCAGAGTAATAATTGACTCAAATATTCACTAATCAGCCTAAGCACTCAATATAGGAACCATTATTAGAAATAGAGGAAAAAAAGGATTTTATGATCAAATCACATTTCATGCTGTAATTAACTATCAATTTTTTGAGTATAAGCCAGATTAGAAGAAAAAATTGACTTTGAAATCCACCTCCAGTAAATAAATAAACAAAATACAAAGACCAGAGCTGAAAAAAGGCCCAAAAAATACCATTTCTGTTTCTCTTCTTCATATGCCAAAAGGCAAAGCAAAGACATGTAGCCTATAGAAGTCAATATGTATGCCACAACTACCCAAAATTTGCTAGGAACTGGGACAGTTCCTGTAAGCCCAAATTTCAAACCCATAGCGTTAATATAAAAATTTTTTATACGAACTGTTTTGTATTCTTAATACTGAAACCGGCTAATTTGTAACTATTATTTACAGTTAATCTCGGGAATTCAATAAATTGATTAATCAACCACCAAGCTGAATACAAGAAACTAATCCAAGTGATTTAAATTATGTAAAATTATTTGGATTTTTCCACGCTAGTCCTTACTCAAAAAAGATGAAATAGTGCTATTCAAATGTATCTTATTATCAACTTTAGTTCTAAAACTGCCAATATTTTGCAATAAATTGTTACCTGTTGTAATTCAAAATTATATTTTAGTTATTCTTTTTAAAAACTGTGTATAAAGTAATCCATTTCACCTATGCTTGCTTTTAAAAAAATTAACAAAATTTAGATTAAATATATTCTATCAGAAATAAACATTGAAATATCAATGTTTCCAATCTTGTTAAATTTAATTTCAATTATAGGTTTATTCACAATTTCTGAATTAAAGAGTATATCCATATAGAAATAAAAATACCCATATAAATATGTATTTATATTTATACATGCAAAAATATTTGTTTCATATATGTAATATATAGGAAAAAAATTGTGCGTTTACAACCAACCAAGCCACCTTGATTTAGAAAATATAATTCGGTTTCCCAAAATGAAAATGTGAATTTATAATATTAACTTATCAGTTAAAACCTGACACAACTATACCTTATACCCCCACAACGGAGTACTTATTTCGTCTTGTTAATTACCAATAATAATCCTGATATTTGAAAATTCTACTTGTTTATCTTAACCTCAGTGGCGCCAAACTAATGGCGGTACTTTTAATAAAGAATTTTAGGATAAAAAGAGGTGAAAATAATAAAGTGGAAATAAGACAAAAAAAACAAAGTTCATCTGGCTGAAATATCCACATACTGATAAGATTAGATTACACTTTTGCTGAATCACAAATTATTCAAAAATAAATAGTTGCATAATCTTAATCCTTGAATATAAAGTTGGATCATGATAAGTCTTCATAAAAGTTGGTAAATAATTGTAGCTATAAAAATACTATATTATCAAAAAAAAAAAAGAATATAAATTCAACGTTATAGTACGATTAAAGGGTAAAAATGTTCCCTATTACATTGAAACAATATGTGGTGATCAGTTTTGGACTACTTTTTGGGCTTTTTATACATTTATTAAATGTATATGACTTTTACTTTTACCATATAATTATGCACATAACTATAACCAAAGCATCCACTATGATAATTACAAATGCGGGTTTATTGGTTTTATACTTTTTAGGTAAACTTGTCTTGAATATTTTTGTTGGAAGGTTAAGAGATATAGAATTAGAAGAAATCATTGATCAGGGGCGTATGTTCCTATTAGATACTATCTTTTTCTTGTTATTTAGTAGTCCGACAGTAGACAATGTGGAGGTTGGAGCAATGGTTCTCTCTAGATACATCACTCTCGTTTTGGTTTTAAAGCTTCTACATTTAATTTCTCATATTCGAATTAACCACATGTTTGAGTTAGACAGACCAAAAACCATTACAATTATTAGGATGGCGGCTTTACTTAACATTCTCTTGGTTATTGATGTAAGTTTGGTTTTCAAGTATTATGGACTATTATCCAGAGACTCTACTCTAAGACTCTGGGTCTTTTTCGAGAGTGTTTCTTTGTTTGTTTCATGTAGCACTTCAATTGGCAAATACCTTGTGCATATTGTAGATTTGAAACTCCAGGCTATCCAGTTAGCAATTAGACAGGAAGAAGATGAAGCAATTGAACAAGGAAATACAAATCCCCCGGGAATGCAAGCTCATAACTTCGTCTGGTCAAATAAGAACGCTATATTGTTTTATATGGAGGTATTTGGAGATATGTGCTCTCTCTTTACTTATCTACTTTTCATCATTCTTTTTCTAGTCCTAAATCCTTCCAGGATTCCACTATATATTATGGGAGATATATTCCACGTCTTGAAGGCTTTATACAGTAAGCTATCATCATTCAGGAGATATAGAAAACTTACCAAAAATATTGAAAACAGACTTCAAGAAGCCACAATTGAAGAAATTGAGAGAATTGACACTTGCATAGTTTGCAGAGATATCCTGTACATTGGCTCAAAAAAAATTCCTTGTGGGCATGTGTTCCACTTGGATTGCCTCAAGTCTTGGTTTATACAGCAACAAACTTGCCCGATTTGTAGGTCTCCCATAACTATTCAAGATGAAGAGGCTGAATCCTCAACTTTTGCAACAGGAGAAGATAGCAACCCCCCTGAAGTATCTGAAAATCATCTTGAGGCCAATGGTAATGCTGTTTATGATCCAGTATCATCGAATCAAGCAGGTACAACTTTAAATCCTGATTCAGTTACTGCTTTGGGATCTTCTTCATTGCCTAACTCAAGTGGAACCAGAAGCTCCGCCACTTTGGCCTATTCTAGCTCAGGTGAAGAAAACTCCAGAAGTGTTAAGAGAATCTTAAAAAATTGGTTAACAAGTGAACGTAGAACTACAGTTATTGAAGAACCAATATCAAAAAAGGTCGCGAAGCATTTTGAAGGAACTAAATTTAAAATATCAAATCATCATTTGTTTAAAAGAAAGTGTGGCATTTCAACTCCAAATATTTCAAAAGCTGCAAATAGAGTAGGAGATTATACAAATAGTCTCCCTCCACAGATACTTGCATTACAGCCTCAAGTTTTGCTAGAATTAAATAGAGCTTTAAACCAAGGGACGTTTAGAAATGAATATGAAAGCCAAGAGTTTTCTGAAATTATGAGCGAAATGTACAAAAGAAATGCTGATATTTGGTTGAATAGGATTAATGAACTTATAAATACTAAAAGTCCAAATTTTATCCAATATTTAATGTCTTGTGAGCAAAAGGGTAACAATCACACAAAAGGGGAGAGTTTGTCCAATATCTATGAAAGTAGGAGCTGTCGGGCAGACCCCTTGAGAAACTTAATGGATGCTGTTAATAATCAGCTTAAAGAAACTAATTTAAATAGTAAGAAGTAAGGCTGTTGATTACTTTTAGGTAATAGTTACGATTATTTGAGACGAAAAGATATAGTTAGTTTATATTATAATATTAATATCTGAATATAGTCACTCTAGCTGTATCTATGCTGTTATAATGTAACCAGGTGGAAGAATATCCATTGCAAGATGGATACTACTCCCGATTATTATTGAGATCAATAGGGCAAACCAATTAGGGTTAAGCTCGAGAGCCATTGCGAACTTTTCTTTGTGTAGAGCGAGTATAAGTGCCTGCATTGCCATTTCTTTCCCTTCTGAAGAGTTCTTAAGCTCAATAAGCCTTCTTGTAATCACTGGGAGTGGCTGATACTTCGTGATTGAAATTATTCCAATAAAAGTGGAAGAATATGGTAAGCTAAGTACCTGAAGAGTATCTTGAATAAAAAGTGGAAATCTGGTTAGACTAGGGTATAAGTAAAATCCAATTACAGACAAATCATTAAAGTATTCTAAATCTGATAAAGGTGAGTCGGGGGAAAAAATACTTATATACTTCTCCGAGTAATAAAAGTTGTTTATTTTGTCAAATATAAAATTTTTGAGTATTTTGTCAGCTGAACTCAAAGGAAGAAGTGAAACTGCTTCAACTTGAGCTTCCAGAAAACAGTTTTTGGAGAACTTGTGCTCATTTGAATAGCTTTCTCCATAATTTAAAAGAGAATATTTAACTTCCACGTTAGGAGTAAAACTACTTTCACTCATTTCTTGAAACCTTGGAAATCCACCATTATCCAGTCTTTTAAAGCAAACTGAAGAATCCATGAGCCAAATCACGAGCAATTGTCTTTCTTTTCCAATATTTTGATGTTCTTCTGTCCAATTTATACAATTTGACCCAAGGATACCAATGCTGTTATCAATCTCTTTCTGCATATTATTTCTTTCAATCATAACCCCTTCTTTGAGGAAATCAACAAAGCAATCAGAAATTGGCCTCAGTTCTTCGCGAGAAGCGCTATTATCTAAATGTGATTTAATTAGTACGGAGTCCTGCTCTACCTTAAGCTCTATACAATTACTTGTTATTTGCTCTATTAGCCTATCAATAATCAAAAGTGATTCCATTGAAGAATAGCTACCAACCGGGTGCCAACTCACTTCCTTAAATCTAGGGCTAGTAAAAACTAACTTTTTCTTCTTTTCATCCAATACGAAATACACAGAAATTAAACACTCAGAATATTCTTTATTAAATTCATCGTCTAGAAATAACTGTTTCAGAGTATTTTTGAAATACTCCAAACGTAGAATAGAACATTCACTGTCAAAATCGATGTCAAAGACTATCAATATTGACATTTTTCACAAAATTATACATTGTTAAACTTTTTGTAATAAAAACATTTGGCGCCGCATCCCAACTAACACCTTTCCCTGCCGCAAAAAGTCAACTAATCAAAATTAATAGTCTCCAGTTCACTAACCATTCCCAAAACCTTGTCAAATATCAGCTTCAGCTTTTCATTTTTATCCATTTCTTCGGAAATAATGATCTGTTTGGCTTCGACCGAAACATCCAATTTCTCAACTTTGTTGAAAATCTCTACACCCACATGTATACAATGCGAAATCAAATTACCCAAAATTGCCATCTTTGATGCAGAACCTTCTCTAAAAGTGTAAACAAGAGTTCCAAACATTATGGAAGATTTATTCTCACCAAACACTTTGTATGTGTGTCTGATCCTGCATTCTGTTAAAATTTTAGAAATTAACTCGCATGGTATACCAAGCCTTCCACAATCAACTGCAACAAGGTGCGTTTCAGTTCCGTCTCCAAGCAGAGGAATGCCTGCCTCAGACATCGTTTGTGCCAGAACTTCCGAATTATTCAGCGCTGATGTTATGAATTCGTCAGTTCGAGAAGTTAATAATCCTTGAATCTGGACAGTAAACGACCCGATTTGATGATTGTGAGGGCCACCTTGGAGGCCGGGAAACACCGCAGAGTTAACCTTCTGAAATGTTCCAGGATTTTTACTATTGTTAACCATCAAGAAACCGCCTTTAGGTCCTCCCAAACTGCTTTGGGTGTTAGAATAAATGATATCACAATATTTGAATGGGTCGTTCTCCTCTTTTCCATACCTTTCAAATGAAACCAACAACGCAATTTCGCTAATATCTGCAGCTAACAAGATTTTAAATTCGCTGCATATTTCACTGAGTAATCTGTAGTTTATCAATACTGTCAATACATCCGATGGAACAAGCAATAACTTGGGTTTCAATACCTTACATTTTTCTCTCAAATCATTTAAGTCAAATTCCTTGCCGTTTTTGTCTAAATTGTAATATTCAACTTGGTAATAATTCTCCAAGGCAGTGTCAGAGTCTGTCTTAATCCTCATGATTCTGTCGCCCTTATTCAATATTCCCATGCAAATAGCTAACTCAGCATGACTTCCACTATAACACTGAATATTAAATAACCATTCATCATCACTTCTTTTATCTAGTTTTAAAAGCTGTTTCAATCTACTTGTGCAGAGTATTTCTATTTTGTCAATAACGTGAGTTCCACCATAATATCTTGCTCCAGGAAATCCTTCTGAATATTTGTTTGTAAGAACACTCCCTAAGACTTTTCTTGCAGCATTAATCATCACATTTTCCTTGGGATGCAAGTTCAAGTGAGAATTCTGAAAATCCTTTTCCTTATTTATTATGTTGTATAATTCCTGATCGGACTCTATTGTTGCATTCATTTATAAACCAAGTTAACTATTTCAGTTTCGTTTGATGATGTATTAAAAACAGTTTTCTAATTAAGATTTTTTGTTAATAATCTTTTAAAGAATATTTTTCCTCCTCAGATTTTGTAATTTTTACCCACATACAGACATGTTTAGCGGCACTAATTCCGCTCAATTTATTTGAGATAAAACATGTATAAATCAATTAATATCAAGATTTATTCAGAACTACGTAAATAAATGAGCAAATTACCAATTAAAATCATTAAAAACGGAAATTTTATGGGGAGAATAACCTTAATTAATATAGTTAAAAAATAATTCTAAAAATAATGATAACTAGTATTAGAAAAACTATCATATAAAGAACTACTTTAGAAACTCTTCTTCTTCTCTCCCCTTCAGAAATTATATTGATCTCGTGCATTAAATGGAAAGTATCAGTGTTGACAGTTGTTTCCTTGATTTTATCTTGAATGTCGTCAATAGTTGCTTGTTTACTAACTATCTCATTAAATAGAATCTTCTGAATATCCATCAACTCGTTTGCAGACTCCTTTAGTTTAATTAGCTCTGTCGCAACAATAGTTGTTTAGCGTTAATAAAAATTATTCACAATAAACCAAAATACCCCATATGGAATAAATGCTACTTACCTTGGTTTTGTTCATATAGAAGTTGCTTCTCTAATTCCTCTAAACCTGGTAAAGGTATATATTGGGAGGTGGGAATGAAAGAAGAAATAGAAGAGAAATGAGAAGAGGTTTTTGACATCCAGTTCTTATCAGGCTGATCTCTTAAACTATCATCAATTTCATATCTTTCTGAAGAGAAAATATTCTGAAAATGAAATAATAAATTTTCCAATAATAGTTTATAATGTGGATTCAAATTGTTTTCCTTTTCTAATAACATAATACAATACTTGAAAAGATGCTGAGTTTCTTTAATTTTGAAATTTCTCTCAACAAATTCACTTTCATTGTTTAATGAACTAATATTTTCCTCGAAGCTTAATTCATTTAAGTAATTTATATTTTCCTTAACCTGGTTAAAACACTTGCCGACTATTTCGTCCATCCCTTCATTAATTATAGAATTTTTGAAATTTTCAAATTCAGTTTTTAATAATGAACAATTACCATTATTCATCGCAAAATTAGATGTTAGAACAGTTCTGATATTAATTACTCAAAAAATTGATTGCATTTTATTTTTGGTTAAATTTAATTATGATCTATATAATTGAGTCTAAATAGTAAAAACCCTCCTATTTTGACTATTAGTTTTCAAAAAACGTAGAATATTATCCGGATAAATTTTAAAATCTAAACTTGAATAGCTTATATAACTTAATCAGATTTCAAATTTTCTGACCCTTTCTTCTGTAATCTATGTATTTTGTGAGGTACAAATTGTTTTTACGAGCTTAGATTATAATATGTTGGCGCCAACATAATAAATATATTTAAAATTTTGAAAAATAAAACCTTAGCTAATATTGAAAAATTAATTCCAATTACAGATGTTATAAGCTATTGTGTTATTTTAGAATAAGTTTTCTTTATTTTCTCAGCCATTTTTCACAAATAATAATGGATTTGCATGCAATTTACACCTATTGCGGGAAATTTTAAGCAAAATTGTAGATTAAAGCAATTTACTGGTAGAAAAAAAAAATAAAATCAAGTCAATCTTCGCATTTAAAAATCCAAAAACTAGAAACTGGGACAAAATAACTTACATCAATGCGCATTCTTGTAAATAAATCTGAAACTTGAATTTTGCCGGCATTAGTATTTTAGAAATAATGCAAAATTGGGAAATAATAGACGACTACGATATTGAAAAGGAAAATGAACACAAAAAAAATAGCAATATCTTATCAGATTTGCTCAATGATTATGAACTCGAAAACGATTTTATGAAAAAAAATATTGATCAGCAGCTTGAGGAAATTAATCAACTTATTAAAGAAGTTAATCAAGAAAAGGTAGATATTTTAAATTCTTTTCCATCTTGTTCATTGGCAATAATTAAAAGTTTGATCAGAAACGATGATTTAGATGATGAAAATATGGATATCGACCAAATGTCGCTCTCAAGCAGTGAGTTACATTCCAGCAACGACTCTCCTTTGTTCGAAGCCCAAACAAATATGGACCTACATCAAAGTCTCACTGACTCTCCAGGTAGCATGAACATATCAGATTTTCTCTAGCTATGAAAAAATAAAAGTTACACTAAAAAACACAAAATTAACAAAATTCCACAATTTAAGGCAAACAAGCATACTAAAACTTGTTTTTAATAGAAACAAACTCAAAAGATGAGGCAAAATTTTTCACCGCTTGCTTAATGTTTTCTATAGCTGGAGAAGCCCTGATATTGGAAGTAAACTCCGAAAGGGTCTCTCCATCTTTTTGAATGTCCCGAGCAACAGTTAAAACTTCTGTGATTATTTTAGAAATGAATTTGAAATCATCCAACCCCATTCCTCTGCTCGTAAGGGCGGCAGTCCCAAGTCTAATGCCACTACAATTCATTGTTCTACCATCACAAGGTAACGAACTTCTACTGATCGAAATTTCGCATGCTTCTAGCGCTTTCTCAGCCTTAGCCCCAGAAATATTCAACGATCTAACATCTATTAAGACTTTATGAGAATCAGATCCATTCGTGAGAATACTAACTCCCGACTCTTCAAGTGATTTGCAGAGGAGCTGAGAGTTTTCCAACACTTTACCAGCATATTTAACCCAAGCATCTGAAATTACTTGTTTTAACTGGAAACAAAGAGCTGCAACTTGGTTATAATGGATGCTGGACTGGATTTCGCGAGAAACAGACTCATCAATCTTAATTCTGAGCTTAGACTCAATGTTCTTTTTATAAAATATAATTGCTGATCTTGGCCCTCTTAAAGTTTTGTGAGATGTTGTTGTAATGAAATCTGCATAATCCTTAGGCGATGGATATTTCCCTGCAACTACCAGACCGGAGTAGTGAGCGATATCTACCATCAGAAAAGCCTTAACTTTATCACAAATGCTCCTAAATCTCTTAAAGTCTATTTTTCTAGGATATCCGCTTGCTCCTGCTATTATCATCTTTGGTCTATACAATATTGCGTTCTCTTCAAGTTTATCGTAATCTATCACTCCTTCTAAATCAGTTACATAGGGGAGCGACTCAAAGTAATGAGATGAGCAGTTAACTCTCTTCAAATTTGTGTAGTGTCCATGTGTAAGGTGGCCTCCATGTTGCAGTGACAATCCCATTATTCTATCATTGGGCTTCAATACTGCATTCAACACTGCAAAATTTGCAGGAGAACCACTATGTGGTTTTACATTCACATCCCACAGTTCAGGATCCAGCCCGTATGCTTTTAAGGCTCTTTTATTTGTAAGTTCTACTAATTCTTGTGTAACTTTTGAGTTTAACTCTGTTTTATTATCATTATTAAACATTGAAAATGTGCTTGACAAACCTTCCAAAACTCCCTCTGAAACGAAATTCTCAGATGCTATCAATTCTAGTCCACTGATTTGTCTATTATACTCCTCATTAATTAGCTCGTACATAATAGGGTCTAATTCTTTTAGTGATTTTTCTTGTAAAAATACCATTTTTCGAATTACGTTATCCTTTAGTATTTCTTTGATTCAAGCGACAGTTGTTAGATAAACTCTTATTGTTTTTAAAAACTTTTAAATATAGCTATTTTGGAAAGGCTATTTTATTAATTTTAGTTTGGTTTTTATTCCAAATATTTACAATAAACTATTCAAATTCTTTGTTTTGTGAAAATACGCATGCGCCATGTGTGGGTAATATACGAGTAAAATTATTTGAATAAATTCCCGTATTTAGAAATTTTTTTTTTGTTCTTTAAAATAAAAAAAATATTTTCTTCATAATCTCGAGATTACCAGGTATGCATCACTCTTCTATTTAATTAGGAGAGCTATGACGGTGTTAATTATATTTAAAAACGAAAGTTTAATACAAAAAATTAATTATATAAAAGCAGACCAAATACTAGAAAAGTTAACTATTTTACTTAAAATCAATAGAAGTCAATAAAATCTTGGATAATTATAGAATTTGAAACTATTCTAGAAAAAATGTGGCAAGAATTTTGAACCGGGAGCAAACCGCTGAAAAACTTATCCAATTTAGAAACCAAATTTAATTGGTTGCTACATAGACCGGAAATCGCATTTTTAGAGACTTTACAAGCATTAAAACTTTCCAGTAATAATGAAAGAGTCAAAAGACTTTCCCAAGTAAAATTGCTATCTATTAAAATCTCTTCAGAAATCACCCGTTCAAGAATAGATTGTTCATTAATGTTCTCAATTGCAAGACTGATCAAACCAGAAGTAGGGAACTGAAAACTACAATGCTCAGTTTGAGAGTTGCACGACTCAACGTAAGATTTAAAATTTCCAATCAGACCAAAAATACTGTTCCATTCGAGCAAAGAATAAACAAGGCATCCAAAAGCAAACAAACTCTCATTTCTTTCTGTGTTTGGATTTCGTTCGGTAAACAATGCAAATTCTAGAATTTTTAGTGCAGATTTTAATGGGATAATATTACTTGAAACAAAGGCTGTAAGTAAATTGGAGCCATTATTAAGAAACGGCAATCCAAGTAAAATTCCCAAAAACTCGTCGTACTCTTTAAATCTAAAAATTTTCTTGTACAAGTCTGACTTATTTTTCTTAATCATTTTTTTTAAAAAAGAAAGAACCTCTATAGATTGGTGAATAGACCATGAATATAATACATTTGAAAAGTTTGGCGAGTTGTTTTTTGTGAAATCAATCAGCTGTCTTTCCATTCCATTCTTTATATAGACATCAATAATATTGAAAAATAAATTGACGTCACTTTTGTCTAAACTCTGAAACTCCTGGAAAGTTTTGATAGAATTCAATGCAATCCAAAGAGAAGTAGGTTTTGAGAATTTTGACTCAGGTAGTAATAAAGTGAGCTTCTTTAATACATGAAGGTGCATTTGGGGGGTCTTCAAGATTGAATGTAAGTTATTATTGAGGTAATTAAATATTCCCTCGTACCAACAAGTGTATATTACTCTAACAATGTTTTGGTCCCCGTTTGAGTTGCAAGTAAATGTATGAATTGCGAAAGACATACAGCTATACCAATCATCTGGAAAATTTGTAATATTTTTGTTTGGCTGAATTCCAAGTACAGGAGAAAAAAACAAGGGGAGCCCAAAAAATACGAATTGGTCCATATTTCTCAAAGGGAAATTGTCTGAAACAGGCTCCTCCTGTTTGTAATTAAATCCAGTTTTAGAATAACTGTCTCCATGGCGAATTAATGTATTTTCATTCAGAAATGTCGAGTCCACAACATTTTTGATTATCTGCTCCTCCTTCTCAATGTCTCTTACCTTCAATGACTCTGAAAATACTCTGCTATGTATTTTTAGAATCTCATTAGTTCTTTGGTTTGAAGAGCTGAACTCAGATTCATTAATATATATCAATGGGGCATCTCCATAGAGCAAAGATGCTAGATCTCTATAATTTGCTCTATTAGCAGGCTTTTTTGCACAAATATCGCTAGTTAAACAACTACTGTAGTTCAAAGAAGACTTTTGAAATCCGTTTAAAAAATGATTAAAAATGTTTACATAAATTTGATCGTCTGATTTCCAAATTACCCCAAACTGGCCGTTTTCAAATACTTTGCATGAGAGAATGTTACAGCACTTCCCAACGCTCCCTATTGTTGACAATTTATCGAAATTATATTCATAAAAGCTGGAATCAATCCTAACTCTTAGCAAAGATAATTTTTTCAAACCAATATGTTTTTCATCATCATGAATTATATATATTAGCTCGAACTTATCTACGTCGACAAATGTCTCATGAGACATTAAATAATTTATTGAAAACTTAGGGGGGGTTTCGCTTTTTTTTCCGTCAAGATCTAACATATATACCTGCTCTAACTGAAAATCGGAGCTTTGCTCTCTCTCTCCTGATGGAAATTCTAACTTGAAAATCTCGTTTGAACATGAAAAGTAGAATCTCCCTAGTGATGTAATACAACATGCCCCTAAATTAGCATTAAAATCAGGTGCTATTCGTTTGTAATATCTTAGTACACAGTCTGTAAAATCATCATTCATATGGTTTTCAGTGGAATTGTGAAATTCACTTATCCGGTATATATCCTCAAATGAGTTGTAGAGAAAATTTGAAAACAAGAATACTTCTGAATCAGTCATTACTGCAACAATTAGTATGCTCTTGTTTATTTTAATGGCACATGTGCTTTTAATACATTTTCCCACAAGAATCATACAACTAAACAGTAAACTTCTTCTATTATTGAGACAATAGATCTCAACCCCTCCTTTTTTATCCTCTATAAAAATTAGATCTCCAAAATTTATTTCTCTGTTACAATTTTCATTTTCCTGAGGAGTTTTATGATGTACAAGACTTACGTTTCTAACAAACTTAACGCCATTTCTGAATGTTTTAATATATGAAAAACCACTAATTGAATTGTATATTTCTAAATAGTGTTCTTTTAAGAACTCTGGGTATTCTTTTAATGTGATAACATATAACCCTGATTGAGAATATCTTGAGTATGGTCTTCCTAATAGATTGTTTGAAAACGAACCAGTACCAATGGATGTACCACTAAATTTAATCTCTTCAAGCCTCAACATATTTTATTTCTCCAAAAAAAGCATTAAAACAACAGATAAGAATAATGAATACTCGTTTAATTCATCTAGAGCAAAAATATATTTCAAAAGTTATTTTCGTGTATGCCGGTAAAAATGAGCATAAGTGCTACATGAAATATGGGGGAACTTATAAAGTGACCGAATTAAATTGAGGAAAATAAATATCAAAAAAAAAATTGAAATGTTGAAAAAAGTTTAACCGAAAGTTTTATGTTGTTCGCTTAATGGAATCTATCAAACACAGATTAGCAGACCAATTTAGAAGTGTAATAGGAAATTTTATTCCAATTAACAATTCCAACTCAAAATTTGAATCTGATGGATTTTTAACTCCCAAGGAGTTCGTTGACTCTGGAGATTATTTAGTTCTTCAATTCCCAAACTGGTTTTGGAGAAGTGCTTCTAAAGAGTATTTAGTGGGGTGGCTTCCTATAAACAAACAGTATCTGCATATAGATAACATACCATGTAGAAGAAGACTCAAATCATCTGGACTTTGTATTTCAAAAGACAGTTCGGGTGGAATAACAGATGATCGGGAAGACGAATGGATTTTTCCAACAAAAAAAAATGAAAAAAAAACTGATAGCTTTAGTATTAATGAAGATTCCAGATATTACGATATTAGTGTAACATATGATAAATTCTTTCAAACCCCAAGAATATGGCTTTTCGGATACGATAAGGATGGATCCCCCTTGAGTACTGAAGAAATGGTTGAAGACATTATCAATGAATACGCAACTAAAACGATTACATTAGATCCTCATCCATTCACGGGAATATTATGTATCTCTATTCATCCTTGTAACCACTCTAATTTGCTAAAAAAGATGGCTAAGAACCATCCTCCACACCTTTCTATAGTTATATTGCTGAAATTTATTACTAGTGTTATCCCATCCATTGAATTAGATAATACAATAGACATCGATATCAAGTTTGATATATAGTTTAACCCTTAAAATTCACTATTTTAGTCCAATAAACTTTGTATATTTTCTTGTCCCTCTGTTTTAATTGAGGAGCCATTCTGAATTTGATCGAGAACTTCTTTATCTCTCTTTAAGAACCTCTTGATCACCAAAAAGTTGCATCCTGCAATTGGGCAAATTTTTTTCTTGCTATTACCCAAATACTTAAGAAGAGCGTCCTTCTCATAAATATGATTTTTGCACATATTCTCAATCTTTTCCGATGTTTCATATCTATGGGATACAGGATCTCTGAAAACTTCCCTAGTCAAACAACATACTTTAGGAAGAACTTTTCTCGAGATTATGGAAACCTGATCTTTGCTTTTTTGTTGACCAACATCTGTAAGTTCTAACCGTGCAATCAACATCTCCCTAAAATACTCAAAATCCGTGTTTAGGGCCTTAAATTTCTCATATGGTCGGTCGTTCCCTCCGTACAAAACACTTTTACTCCATAATTTCATTTCTTCAAAACTTACAAACAACTCATATAATTTTTGTCTTCCATCTACATTTAAGTTCTCACTCAACTTGTATTTTTCCAACAATGTATCACATTTTATCGAAAGCTCATTCAAGCTATTCAAATAATTTCTAAGTATATTATCCATTATGTTTTAAAATTTTCATTTTTTGAACATTCAAATTCTTAATTCGTTTGTTCCCAGACAAAAACATTTTTTGTGAAAAATCTCCAAAATTACCGGTATTAAAACGCTTTATTATGTCTCACATTTAAGTATGCATGATACATGCAATGTTTTTAAATAAATGAGAAACACTACCGAATAACTTTTAAACTTAAATCAATAAATAGCAAAAATGAATATTTTTTTCTATTAATTTTATATTAAGTAAGCCAATATTTATCAAAACTTTTCATGGCTTAAACGAAATATAAACTAAATTGGCTAAGGCCTTCGCAAAACGGTGTCTGCTCGGTGATTGAGAATGAGCTACAAAGGTTGATATTTGTTTGCATATAGCAGCAACTAATGATTCTAGTGAAAGCAGCTTATCAATGATTGCCATCAACTCCTCATTATCCAAGCATTTTGATGTATGCTCTCTTCTCAGGTGTTCTTCCGAATTAAAATCAGAATCTAGGCTAGAACTTTTACATAAAATGACATCTGTCTCAGAAATTTCTTTGTAAGCCATAAACATAAATACCTCAGATGTGTATAAATGTTGAAATAGTTCAGTAGAAATGTATTTAATAAAAGTAGAAGCTAAAATTGCAGCAATTCCCTCTATTACTGCCCTCATATCTCCATTAACCTCTCTGTATTTCTCTAGATTCTTAAAGATGGCAGGATATTTGATATATTCAGAAATTAGTTCCATCTTCTTTATGTTCAATTGCTGTTCCAAAGTTTCAGGCAACCTATTATCTTTTCGAATAAACTTTGAATAAACTGGAGAATTTGAATCTCTAATTGCATTCTCAGAAACATCTTCTGCAATGAATTCATTGGAAGAGTTCATATCAATTCTTTCATCCAAAGAAGTATCTTCTTTGCTTTGTTCACATTCATTGAGCCTATCAAAAGAATCTGAATTTGATAATTTTTGTCTTGCCTTATTTTTCATTGAAATACCTGTGATTTGGTCTGTTTTTTCTTTGAATAATTCTGGATCTGTCGTAAAATCCCCATGATTAATTACTGCCCCAGAACCGTCAAAATCTTCTTTTATTGTCCCTAATGCCCTATTAGTGTTCCACAAAATATTAAATCTAGACAAAGCTGTCCTTGCAAAACTAGGGATTGAAATCATTCCGGAACTTGAAGAGTAACTACTAAATGAAAAACTGTGACTTTGTGAATCAAAGTATGTGGAAGAGTTCAAATCTGCAATTTCTATATCTTTGTTTAGAAAGCTTTTTTGTCCCAGAAATCCAAGCCCATTATTAGAGTCAAAGTTATCATTCACCATTTCACCGAAAATGTTTCTATTAAATAGTAAATGTTGAGTCTCTGCTTCCTTCCTTATTCTATCTAGCTCCTTTGGAATAGTAGAAAAAGCTGTTTCTGTTATCTCCCAAACTTCTCTTGGGAAATAGTAACGGCATTTATTCAAGTACATATGGCAATCATCTATTTTTCTTCCCAACTCCCTAAGAGTTGAATTACTTAACTTTGCTCCGAATGTTGTAATATCTTTTTCGTTCTTATTACTATATTCCGTTCCAGAAATATTTATTTCTTTGCTACTCCCTTTTCTGAAATGCAGATCAGACTTTTGGTATTCAGATTTCAATCTCAAAGAACTATCCTTCAAAATCTCAGAATAAATAATGAAAGGAATAATACAGTTCAAAAATGGCTGATAGCTGTTTGATTCAATTGGATTCACAATTGGCAGCAAGTATTCATTCATCACTTCGCATTCTCCTGAATACTTAATCTGGACAAACTTATTTGAAGGATTGACTTCACTACTAAAATTTGAATTTCTTCCTCCATTGTGGAATACATCCATTATATTATTAACTCCATCTCCGACTATTGTCTTGGAAATCTTTCTATATTTACTTGGCAAAATATAATGATATATCTTGTCTCCATCTGATAACTCATTTTTATATGAAAGAGTAAAATTGTCAACATTGATTACTTGAATATTATCTTCGTTAGATCTTTCATCAGCATGTTGCCTAGTATCAATCTTCCTTAGTGAGTCATTGCTAGAAGGCTTTTCTGCATTCATTCTAGAAATATTTTTCGAGGTCCTGATCCTGTTAATTGATGTGGGGCTCATATTCGTGGATATTGGTGAACCTATAGAATTCCGATACCCCATAAAAGATAATGAGGAAGAATTTTGAACCATCAGATCATCCAAAATCATCTTCCTGTGGATTTCATTGAGAACTTTCAACCACTCGTTTTCATCCAGAATTATTGATAAAATAAGTTGCACTGCTCTCCAAACCGACCTACTAAGCTCCAGAGTTGGTCCCTCCAATCTAACTAAAAGAGGAATTAGAAGCTTCTTTATGCTAGATCTTAATGGCTCAATTTCTTCAAAGTTTGGTCTTCTTTCCTTCCAATTCTGCCTAATTAAAATTAAAATATCCAGTAATAAATACATTTTTTGGTAGGTTATATTCAAATCCATGTCACTATTTGTAATAAAATCGATAAATATGTCTGAAATCCTGTTTTCCCCTACAAGAGCTTTACATAAGTCTTCAGATTCAAATATAGCAGTTTGGAAGCTTTCAACTTGTAATTGGCCACCATGAGTTTCTCCTTGAGACAAGAACAGCAGTTCAACGAACTCTGAGTAAAGAGAATTTTTTTCTAAACAAGCTGAAACCTTTTTATCTTCATTAAAGTTAAGGTAGATAGTGGGGTGTTCTGGAACAAATTGGAGAGAAAGCCCCGTGCTGATCCTTGAAATTAAACAAACCAGGTATCTAAGGCAAACAAGGCACTCCTTCAAATACTCCGTAGCTACCAATCTATTCTTTATTTTAATCGGAACTTCTACTACATCGGATCTATTCAAATTTGCTTTTCTTCCTTTTAACTCTTCTTCAGAATTAATTTCACTAGAGATTTCTCCCTCGCTTAAGTCCGTAAATGAGTTCGAAACAGCAACATCTTCATCAGTATCTTCATGAATAGATTCTTCTGAATTTTCTTCTTTATACTCATTAATAACTTGCTTAATTTTACTTCTAAATTGTACGTTGTATTCATCATCGGTTCCATTTCTAGATTTATATTCTCCAGAAGCATCAAAGTCTCTAGATCCATTTAATTCCCCTCTATCTTCGTTACATTCTTGCTCATTTTTTTCTTCCAATCGAAAACCCTTCGGATTCAAAACCTCCCTGGTATTATTATTTACCCCAGTCCTAATTAATGAGCTTCCTATCACATTTGTGAAACAAACATTCAAAAACTTGAGTAGAAACTCCCCACTTGGGTACTTCCTTGATTCTAAACAATACCAAAAGTACCATTGGAAAAATATAAGTCCGCTCTTTTTTGAATATGGATTATTTGAAGTCTTTATAATACTTAAAATACTATCTAAAAATTCCAAACTGTAAACATTCTCCAGCCCATCCTTTTCAGAAGAAATGTTAGCTTCTGTTCTTAATTCTCCATACACTTTTTCACAAACCTTTGGGTATTTTATGTATTCCTTGTAATATATACCTAATGGAGTTGGGGCCAAAAGTATTAAAGCGCTCATGCTGTATATAGAATTTACTCTTCTTAAGAAAGGTCTAACAAAGGATATTATAGAAGTCGTGAAGTTTGGGTTGTTAATAAATAAATAACACAGAAGCTTCATAACAGCATAGTCAAACTCATTTGGTTTTATTAACGATAACTTAAGTTGATTTGCATCAAAGAACGTCAGAATAGTATCTGAATCATGCAACGCAAGGAACAATGATCTCAGAGCATTGCTACTTTCTAAAGCTCCCATATTGATGTATCCCAATGTTGAACAGCATCTCAAAAGAATAGTTGAAATAAGTTCCGGGAAGTGTTTTTTTGCTAAAATTTTGATTGCTGAGTCGTTTGTCTGAAGAAGGATATCCAAAGCCAGAGTGCTCGAACGGATATTAATATGTTCGCTTGGTAATATTGAAAATGTTGAAAAAGGAAACATCAAGGACTTATTTACTAAAGAGAAAGAACCTGCTGAAGGACCAGCTACATTGGCAGTAATCCCCATAGAGAGTGTACCTCCAACTACTATTCCAGTTCCAATAAGATTTGCCACAGAGTTATGCGTGGGAGAAATTGCGGTGTTTATAGTAGCCTGATTACTAGAAGCCATACTTGAAAAGTTAATATTCGAAGATGAACAAATCTTACTGCATAATCTTTCATTCATTTCAACTATATCTAAATAATTCTGTTCGGTATTATTGAGTACGTCAGTAAGATATCGGAAAGACTCCAACAAAAGTGATTTATCCTTTCCAATATAGGAAATAGCTTTAGAGTAAATAGGATCCACCACAAAAATTATATTTATCATATTTTTTAGTCCTATTCCCAGTTTTGAGTTTACCGAACCTTGAGCATTATTTTTCGTAATCTTTCCATTATCTGATGGGATATCCACTGCTGTCCATTCGCTATTTTGCCCTCCACAGTTATTTACTACAATATTCTCAATAAAATCTCCGCTAAAAGAGTCACCCGTAACAATATGATTAATATACTTTTGAGGTTGGATACATTTCCTAAATATCTCTGATATCGCTGCCTGGAACCTGAAAGAAACAACATTTCTGATTAACAGATAGACAAAATGTTGAAGTTCCAAATCTTTAATTGCAGATATTTCTTCAAATAAAGATGAGACAATCTTACAAGCAAAAGATTCATTTTCCAAAATATTTTTATTTATAGAAAAAAGAACTCTAACAGTTTCAACACCGGAATGAGCAGTAATTTTGTCTGTATCGTGGAAAGATGGAAGTATATGTTGACACAATGGTCTTAAACAATAGGCTGGAATGCAGTTAGCTAAATTACATAACAAGTTTAGATAGGTGGGAGGAAGAATCAAAGATTGGATATCTGACAAAATCTTTTCTTGTTCTTTTGGAATAACACCAATAATTTCATTTTGGTCGCTTCTACATTCAACCTCGAAGTTACCAGAAAGAGAAATCCAAGGCACTCTGTTACCGGAGTATTTTAAACTGTCATCCGTTCCAAAATCGATAGCCATGATTTGTGACAAATCAATCTTCTGTGTCCAAATACATCTTTTCATGCACTCTTTAATACATTCAAACGCTATTAGACGGACAAATAGACAGGAATCGCAAGTTCTCCCTAAAACTAAGGCTATACAATGCATCCAGGAAACCCATGTTCCCTTTGGTGGAACTCCTTCATAATTCTTGCTGTTCATTAGATTAGAATCATTGTTCTCAGGCCTTTGAATAATTTGAGATTGTTGGAAGATTTCCACAAGAGGAGCTTCGCACAGCAAGCAGTACACGACTTGGATGCAAATGCACCTTAATACGGAAGAAGTTGATGTAGCTGCAAGCCCAAGTAAACCCTCGAGAAGATGAGTTAGCCCTGCCCAAGAAGGCATATGAGACTTATATATACTCAGATACAGTCTGTCAAGAGAATCAAGTATTTTGAACACCGAAACCTCAGAGTTACTGGTTGGCAAAGAAGAATCTTCAATAATACTCATCATTTCTTCTAACCTATACCCACCATCAATAATATTCAATGAGGGAGATGGTAGATTAAATTTCTCAATGTTCCTGGTATAAAAGATTGAAAAATCTTCTTCTGTTAAACGCCTGAACTGAATCCTAGAGGATACAGTTACCAAAATAGTTAAACAAGAGCTGACAACCAAAGGAATATGTTGTGGCAAAAGCGGAGAAGGAAATGATATCAGCGAGATTGAAGCATCTAATGCATCAAGTAAAAGTTTATTAAAAACAACGGAATTGGGTGAATTGTTGGTATTTCCAGTACCTGGCTTATTGTTATTATTTGTTGAGCTACCAGAACTAGAGATCAAACCCCCAGCAGTACCTATAGTTGTACTATTTCCTGTTGTATTTACGCTGGATGTGTTGCTGTTTGAAGTATTTGCTGAACTTGTTGTATTAGCAGAACCTATGTTAACGTTTCCAGTATTTGAATTGCAACTCTGTGTACTGAGGTTAATATTACTCGGGTTTTTCGTCTGATTTAATGTTCCAACGCTGCTGGAAAAAGTATTTGATGTTCCAGAAGTCGTTTGAGCCAACGATGTGTTCGAGGTAATCTTTGAATCTACTGGAGTAAATCCATTCATTTCAGTGGAGCTCCCACCAGAAAAAGAACTAGATTGTACAAATGTATCAGAAACTACCTTATTTCCTTCGAAATGCCCTTTTAACATAGTTCTTTTAACCCCACTGGGCGAGATCTCGATGGAAGAAGTATCCCCAAAATAACCATTCATACCATTAAGCCCTGAACCATTCTTGTTCTTCGCATAGCTGAGATTTGATATTACGCCCCTTAAGGCAGGGTTTGCAGAAATCACACTACCTAAATTGGGTGATATATCTAAAGTTGTGCAAAACGCCTCCAAAAAATTACCATTTACGGAGTCAGAAATCATATAGGGGTTTTCGCTTAGAACGGATAAGACAGATAGAGTCAAATTGAAAGGACCAAACTTGGCATCTTCACTCTCTGAATATGAATTAGAACAGCGTCCTACTTTCGCTGAGGATGAAATATCCTTAGCAGTAGTATCGTAATCATTTATAGTTGTGCTGATGGTTCCCAAATCTTCGTGGGAGTATTCAAGGCTTTCAAAGCTACCTATGGATATATCTCTATACCTTACCATGCTTCTAATATACGAGCCGGAAGGATCTGTGTGGATTCTTTGAGAAGAAATTGAACTAGATGTACTATATGGCATTCCAGATGCAGCTTTTAGCAATAACATAGAGTTCAAGGGGGCAGGAGGGAGTTCAATACTTGCTGAAAATACAATAATAGTTAATAAGTACGGGAATATACGATCTCTGAAAGAACTAAATAGTTCCAAGGAAATGTCTCCACGATCAAACCCATAAACATCCTTTTTAAGTTTGACATTTCCCTCTCCTGAATGAAATCTACTGAGAACTGAATTGATTCTGGATGATAAAGTAAGCTCTGGATTACTCTCAGAAGAGGATAATGCCTGAAAAGCTATCTGTATTGCCTTCAACGTCGAGCACTGTAGCTGTAACTCTTTTTCTTCTTTTATAGCAGTTTCTAGTACTTGAAGAATTTTCCTGACCGTTTCTGTGGCAGAATTAAATAAAGATACAGGTACCTCTCCAATTGAATGACCAAAAGAAACAATTAGTGTAGATCTGAGTTGTTCCGCTTGTACAACTGCCAACGATTTTCCGAAAAAACTAAAAGCTCCAGAACGCTTATTCGCTGCATCCGATTTTATTAGATCCAAAAGGTATTCAGATATATGAATGAAATGGTTTTTGTGGCTACTTGCATACCCAATGCTCCTACCACAACTTCTTTGCAGTACAGTTGAGTTGATGCCAATGGCATGGAAGAAATGCTGAAGATCAGAAAATCGTTTAGATAGATCTTTAACTATTTGAATTTCATTTTGACTTAACAAATCCTTATTTAATTCACCTCCATTTCTACCCTGTAAACCGGCTAAACTAGCCCCAGAAACGGATGCAGCATTAGATCCATTAGAGTCAATTGAATTAATATCGGGAGTTATTAATCCATCTAAAATATTCGAAATAAAAATTCCCCTCAAAAAATTTAGGTTCTTTCTTTCTTGTTGATCAGAATCATAAAACTCTTGTGAGCTAATTTCTCTTAATAAAAGGCCCAATATAGAATACATTCCTGCTCTATGAAGTTCCGTTGGCGTTTCTGAGCTTTTTTGCACCTTGTCAGACCTAATATCCTTGCAAGCTGAGAACAAAGCCAAAAGTAGGTTGGTTAAAGCATCACTAACAATATCAGAGCTCTTAATTCCGTTAACGGGTTCCTTCTCAAATTCTCCACTAGACGAATCAGTCTTCTTTACTACCAAGTCTTGCCTTTCAATCTGATTTAATGGACTGGATGAAACTACTCCACCTGATATCCCCGAAAGAATATAGGAAATGCACTCATCAACAAGTGGGAACCAACAATCAATATCAATTTTTGATGAGAGGTTAGATACCACATTATTATCTAGTAATGAATTCGAGGATTTGGAAACTGAAGTAAAATTTTGAGACTCTTTAATTTTGACAGGAGATATTATTGTATCAGCTATTTCTATAAGTGATTGAAGCCTTTGAGAGGGAATACAGGCCCAAATACAACTTGGAGTCGAAACTACCATCGGGGATATCCATTGAAGACATTGAAGGGACCAATATGCAAGTACGCCATTATAAATATGAGGATCATGTGCGTACATACAAAGCCAAATAAATATTTTGAATGGATCGCTCAGAGTTAAATACTTTGTACTTTGAAACTGAAATGCATTAAAAAATACCTCTGGTGTGGTCTTTTGATACAGATTCTGACAAGATTTCGATAAAGATTCGCACACTGTAGGCATAGCAGAGCCAAGCTTCAGGTGATTGACAGCGTCAATTAACAATGGCCAAAGTAAATCTGGAACTAATGTTGTCAACTCTTCAGACAAAATAAACTGGGCGTTACATCTAAGATCCCAAAGACTTGGTGGGTAGATTACTGGAATTTTAGTACTTTCTGAACCCTGAATTGCTTTTAAGTAGTCTGCCTTCTGTCTTTGTAAATGTCTCAAGTGCTCATTCTTTGCTTTTTGTTCGGGAACTGCAAGTAATCTTAGAAAGTATGTTAACATCTCTGCTGAAGAAGGGGATGGAGAAACCCAGATATCTTTGTTGCCATTATTATTAGAAAATTGAATGCTTTCCCGTGTTGATTCATTTATTGCATTTTCAGTCTTTGAATCTGTTCCATTTTCTAATTCAGCATTAAAAGAATGCTCAGAAGTGGCACCAATATGCAAAAACCCGTGTTGAGACAACTCACAAATTATCCTACATAATATAAATGCTATTGAATAGTCTAGCCCCTGCTCAAGAGTGGTTCTTGCAAGACGAAACATAAGGCACCCAAGAGGTGAATCGGAGTTCTCCGTAACTGTAATTTCGACATTTCCCAATTTATGAACTTTTTCAAAGGGAATATCTTCAATAATATTACTTAGTATAAACATGGTTGAAAGACGATTTGCAGACTTAATGTCAATATTTTCAAATAAAAATTTGATTACTGCTTCCCTAGTATTGTCTTGTTTAATTAAGGACTTCCAACACAAAATAAGTTCATGGTGAGTAGTAATAATCTCTTTTACTGCTTCAATATCCCAACAAAAGTACTTAAGTCCATTTTTCAATTCAAAAAGCTCCTTTTCAATTGCCATTGCATCATTTGATGTATCAGTATAGGCAGTGTGACCTGGTAAAAGAGCAGGAGCATAAAGTCTATGAAAAATTGCACAATATTGAGTAAGTACACTTAATAGCGAACTGGTTGTATCTTGACTTTGGAACACATTGCTAAAAATAGAGTGGCATCTATCCAGAAAAAGCTTAAATCCAGAAAGTATAGAATAATGTAAAGATATCGCAATAGTCTCAGATTTGCTGTTTAAAAGTGGTGTGAGGGCTGATGTTGCAACCGCATGATACTGTCTCCATCTAACAGTATATATGTTACTTTGTAAAAGATCTTTGCATTTGTTATCTTCTCTCAAAGGTTCCGAAAATACACTAACAAAAGATGGAAAATACTTGTTTTTTTTACTCAATAATGAATTCAGAATTTGAAGATATACGGAAAGAAGCTTCGGTGCATGCTGCTTTAACTGTTCGTCATCAATTACTTGAGCAAGGTGGCCAAGAGTCTCCAGAGTTGGAAATGAAAGAAAAAAAACTTCTTTATCCTTCTGAATTGCTGGAACCCAGTCATTTAGAAGTGCGTCAAATGCAGTTCCAATAAGCCCTGCAAATGCAGTTCTCTCTATGCTACTGTTTCTAAGTGCATCAGCCACATCCGCTAAACAACGAACAAGCTCTACCTTAGAAATAAAATTTGCTGATGTGCTTTTTGATCCTGAATCACCACTAGCAGCTTTGTGTAAAAGAGAAAGTAACTCTACTATTATATCATGGCCCTTTCTGCAAACTAATTCGGGGAAAATCTTAGAAATTGCGGAAATTGCAACAAGAACCGAAGATATCCCACCGCTTGAATAGTTTGTACGTGACTCTTCCGCAACAAAAAGAAGAATTTCAACAAGTTTATCTGGGATCAGAAATACTAAGCTAACAAGTACCTGTAGAAGTGCAACTCTTCTTGGGTCGTTACTTTTCAAAAATATATATTCGTTCAATACAAATTTGGTGAGGCCTTCAAAGAACTCTATATCCTCCGTTGATATATCGTTGTTAATACTAAAATTTGTGGCATTAATTATCCCAATTCCTTCCATATCACCTTCTCCATTACTTAAAACGGCATCTCCAGATATTGCGTAGCTAGAAATTATCAAAGAAAGAAGTCTAAGTAAGCTTAGCTGGTGATTTACAGAAGTGTGGCTAACTTGTAAAAAAGACGTAATTGCATTTGATACTAACCCCACACAATTTGATGAAGTTGTTGTGCTTTTTGCAAAGTCTACAACAGTTGAATAGACAGAAGCCTCTGTCACTAAATCGCAATTATCCAAAGAGTCCAACAAACAAAACAAAATCTCCGCTGAATCCATCCCTAACAATCAAATTTGCTCTGACTCTCCACTCCTCAAAACACTGCAAATCTAATCCAGAATTTTGTATTCAGCTATTAATATATATTTTGAATATTCATTAATATGTGTGTTTCCGAATGCTCTACTCGAAACTATAATTCTTTAATTTCTTTTCCATTCTTTTCCTTTTCCCCCCTTCAAACAATTTGTTGACATTTAGGCGCCTGAATCTTCAAAATTTCCTTGAATACATGTAAGTAAATATTCAACTAAAAAACAGAAAATGGATTAGTATCAAAACATTGTTAAAAAAATAAGAAAAAACTTAAGAGCTTCTATAAGAGATGTCACTTAATTTATATGTTTTAATTAACCCATTACTGAAAGTCATTTTGAGATTTGTTGATTTTAACCAGAAATAGAATATTCAAGAATCCATCTCAAAAGTTAAAATAAATTTAAATATTAAATTTAACGTTTAATAACTATAAATAAATTTATAGTATGCTTGATATTTCAGCTTGATATTTATATACCTCCTGTATTTGAATCTTTAAATCTCTAGATAATAGAAAATAGAATAAATGTCAGACATGATATGCCGCGCGCGGTATTTTGGAAGTGATTGTAGGATTTTTTTTATTATGTAATTTTGAATAAACGAATAAAACTGAGGAAGTGTGCAGTATTCACATCTAAAACCGAATTGTTGTATTATGAGGCAGTATTCTCCTATAGATGTTGCACTAGATGATGACTTATTTTACTCTTATAGGTTATCTATGGGTGTATTTGACTCATTAATTTCCAAAGATGAAGAGGAGAAGATCAAAAATGTATTTCAAATTAAGAAGTCATCAAAGAACAATGATATTGATTTATACAGACAAGAATTCTTGAGAAAGTTTAACTCAAATGAAAATGGTCTGGCTTCTGAAGTGTTTACAGAAACAAATAATTTTCTATCTTGTATTGGGAAGCTAAATAACCAATCTATTCATCTCCTCTTTCAATTCAATGAAATTATTACATCAACTAAAGCTAGTTCAAAACTTATATTTGCTGGAAACGAATCAGTTTTATATAATTTAGGTACAGATGAAAATTGTGAATGTAAGGTATTACCAATAGACTCTTCTATAATTGGTTTTGTAGATTATATTGATACTAGAAACGACACGATGAAAAGTTTTTTATCCAAATTTAATAAGAAAATATCTGATCTATCCCCATTCTTAGATAATAAACATAAAAATAATAAAAATGAATTCATTACTTATATTAAACTCTTGCTCAGAGTTTCATTTATAAAATCCATTTGTCTTCTAAAAATGTACGGTAAAATACTTCCAATCTATTTGTTTGATGGGAGCCAGCTATTAATTAAAATAGAACCTATGTTTAATTTCTTAAATGATGGTTGCATGATTTCTTACAAGGTTATTAATGAGCAAATAGATTCATCAATAATGAAAGTAGATCTTAATTATCACCAATTCAAATGGTTTTATTCATGGAAAAAAATATTTAAAATTTCAAACAATTTCTTCTTATTTCAAAATGATTACCCATATCAATTATCACCAAACAAAAAATTATGTATGCAAAATATCAATTCTGAATCCAGTTTAACACCACCAAGAAAAGTTATAAATATTTTAAATGATGAGAATCCGAAAGGCAACCTTGCTGATGAAAAGCCAAATAAAAAAATGTCTTCGCCTGGTAAAATTCAAGAATCACAAAAAGATATTTTTAGTGAAGAAGAAAATGAGGCCTCATCAAGAACCAATGATGAGAGTAGTCCTGCTTTTTCCTCTTTGTCAAAAACAACTAATGATGTCATTAACGAATTATTGAATAAACCTAATTCTAATATACTATCTTCTAAACAGAAAAAGAAGAGATCTAAACAGAGTGAATCTTCTGATATTGAAAACTCGCAAGATTATGTGGATAAATTGATTCAACAGCAAACAATGCAGCTCTTCGACCTTTAGTTTTTTTCAAGAATGACCGATAAACAAATAATCATTATTGGTTTAGCCTAGTTTAACCATTATTCCGTCCCAATGTTTTTAAATCACATTTCCTCAATTACTGCATGTATTTTGTGTTTATATTACATTAAATCTTCCCCCCCTTTTGTAAATATTATAATATGTCTCGAATAAAAGCTAAGAAAAGTAGAAATGGCTATAATGCATAGAAAATGATTAATATTACTTATTCGGATTTATTTAATGATACTTATTAGGTATTTAGTAAATAAAAATGAATACTAAACATTTTATCCTTAGTATTTGCATCTCAATAATCATTCTCTCCATAAACAGTGTAAGATGTAAGCTATATTACGAAGATAGTTTTTTAGTTACTGACGAAAAATATGATGTAATTATTATCGGAGCAGGAGTTTCAGGCTGTTCAATGGCTAATGTTTATGCCAAAAATGGAAAAAAAGTGCTTCTTTTAGAAAGAGGTGGTCCTAGAGAAAAACACCCTAAGACTTTAGTTACAAAAGGAGCTCCGGGAGTAATCACAGATGAATCTATAAGTGAAGCTATTACAACATCCAACGGAACATTGATGAATGTAGCAAACATTGTTGGAGGTGGGGCTAGTATTAATGGAGGATTCTATGTAGAACCATCCGCACAATTTATGCGTAAGACAATTGAAAGTAGTGGTGCTAAGTTTGATGAGGAAAAATACCTAAATGCAAAAGAAATTATTCGCAGTTCAGGGATTTTAAATACCGATAACCGTCTCGAAAGTAACACTTTTCCGCAAGCAATGTTTGAGGCTATGAGAAACATTAGAGAGTATTCTGGGAATGTTAGTGAAACCCCTATATACGATCCTGAAGGAAATAACACTTTTGTCACCGTTTCCCTATTTAATGAGACAAATAGATCATCTGCGGATATTCTTCTTTCTCATGAAAATATCCAAATTTACCCCTATGCAGTTGTTGAATCCATTCAGTTTAGCTCAACCGACGAGAGCCGCGATCCATATAGCTTGAAAAAAAAAGTCACAGCTCAGTGTATTTTAGGAAAAATGAGGTCCGAAAGTGATGGGTTTATTAGTGTAAGTTCGGGAATGACACAAAGAACTATATACAATAATAATGGCCCTAAATTCAAAATCTGTCTCAACAAACCGGATGCATTTATTGTTCTTACTTCAGGTGCCATTTACAGCCCTGCAATACTTATGAGAAGTGGTATCGGCCCAATTGAAGTCCTAAGAAGGCATGGAATCCTTCCTGTTAAAGTTTTAGAGCAAGTTGGCAAAAATTATCACGATCATTTACAATTCGGTCTTTTTGGAATTTTGAAAGAAAAGCAACCAATGTCTATTCAAAAAGTATATAGTTACAGTAATTGTTCGAAATACCATCCTGATCCTCCCAATATTTATGATGAGCTTAGTTTATTCCATTATAAGGAATCGGAACAAGAAAATTTAAATTCAACTCTTTCAAAGAATTCATTTGATTTACTTCTGGAACCGATTCTAACTAATCCTGAATCACCATTGTTTGTTCCTCCAGAACCAACTAGCCCACAATATAAAGAAGGGAATTGTTATTCTACTATATTAAACGAAGTTTCTGGAGAATTATGGATTCCCTTTGCAATATCTCAAATTGTTTACAGAAAATCTAAAGTTCTAATGAATCCTCTTTTGAACTATCTTGCTCTTTCGCTTAGAACTAAAGTACTTAATGCTATGGAGAACAATAGTACGAGAATCTCTGATGATGGATTTAATAAGATGTTACAACCCATGAATGATTGCTTTGAAAATGGCTCAGCCGCATTATCCTTCCTTACAATACCAAAAAGTAGAGGGTCTATTACTTTGGATGATATGGGGCTTCCAGAAATTAATAGTTCAGACTTTTCCGATCCCAGAGATATTGAGGCGGCAATCGTTGGAATGAAGCACTTGATTCAATTGATGACCTCACAAAGTGTTTCTCCTGTTCTTGAAAGCGAATTAAATTCATGTATTGCCTCTATTCGAAGCATTTGGGATTCTTTCCCACTTTTTGGAGGAGTTGATGAGAACAATGTCATAGGGTTTTCTTCAAGAGAGCAAAATGTTCCAGCTCTTATTCCCCCTTTACCAAAGATTATAAATGATAAAACTGCTTTTGACATGGTCAAAGAATCTTACTCAACAATTTGGCATCCTACTGGTACTTGTTCATTGGGTTCAGTTGTTGATGAGGATTTTAACGTGAGAGGAACCACAAATTTAAAAGTAGGTGATGCATCTGTTTTCCCTGAAGTGTCAGATGTCAGTCCACTTGGCTCGGTGTTCCTTTTGGCAACATATATTGCTTTAGTCACATCTTAAATAATAAGTTATTCTTTAGAAATTTGTCTAATATTTAACGATAAAAAAAAATCAATATATGTTTGTTTGAATACAATAATTATTGATTTTTCCGTACAAAAATTATTTTAAAAAATAATTTATAGTAAATACTAAGATATTGAGGCTATCAAGTTATTTAGCTGATTATAACTTAAGTATTTTGGGATATTTAAGATCCTTCACTCTTAAATTACTCGAAAAACACAATATCAGGGAAATAAAATATTGAAATATAAAAGAATATATTAAAACGAAAATGAAAAATTGGAAACATAAGTTTTTTTATTTATTGATTACAATCACTTTTCTGTTTCTTTCAAAAGTAAAGGGCCAACATATATTTTATTTCAATGAAAATGTTACAAAACTGAAAAGCAATGAAACAGAACCTTTAACTAATATTATAATTCCATATTTTTCTAATATGATTAGTAATGATACTTTGAATAACACACAGGGGAATATCATTAAAGCAATTGTTGGGTTTGATAACTTTATTTTCGATATTGCAAGAAATATTACAAGCGGAATGAGATTTGCACAATTTTTATTTTTAAACAAAACAAAAACTTTTATTCTTCCTTTTATAATGTTTCCAGATCAAAAAAGTTTTAAAAATTCTATTTTAAACAGTACAGAACTAGATTCTTCAAATTTAGGCAATCTTTTGCCGATAAATGTCAATTTAACAAACCCTGAAATCGGAAATTTTACAAATTCTACCCTAGAAAATGTTTTTATTAAGCCTGAATTATCTATTCCATATCTGAGAGGTAGTAATAAGATCATTAGATACAATGATACAACAAATGAAATAGCAAAGAATTTCACAGATTTATACACAAGAAATGAATCAGGGAAAATAGTGAATTCCACTATGGTTAGATTAAATAAATTCTTAGTGCAATCAAATAATGACACAGTTAACTTCAAAAATAAAACTGCTACGAACAGATTTCTTCAGTTTACTTTATCTTTTGGATTAGGAGAACTTGGCAATGAGTATACAGACCCAAGTTTAATTAATGGAGATGGAATCCCTGATGTAGGGAATTCGCCTTTTTTTATTCCAGGTTATAATCCATGGGAAACTACTTTCAATGATTACGATAGTATCTATGATAATGGATTTGGATTAGATTATGAATAACTAGGATAAAGATAGCTATCTTTTTCTAATTGTTATGTCACTGACTATAGAATCATATGCACTCTTATAAGTTTTAAATTCTTCCCCTAAACTTTCGGCCACTAATTCCGTAAATTCGGCAAACAATTTATTCTTTCCTCTGGAATCCTCATCCATTATACATGCCAAAGCTTCTATTTTATTCTCAGAAGTATCAATAAATTTTATCATTTCCACTAACTGGGGATTTCTTCTCAAAAGACAAGACAACTTTTCATTAGAATTTAATGCTTGTTTTTCCTTTTCAGTTAATTCAAACTGCTCAGTTTCTTCAAGGCTATTTTCCATTTTTATTTCTTTATATCTATCTCCAATATTTTGATCTAATTTCGTGAATTCATTCAATTGATTGCTTTTAAGTTTACATTCTTCTTTTGAGTGAATTTGAAAACACCCCACTGAACAGAAATTCCTCACACAACACCTAAATTTATATTTTCCAGTTTTTATTCCACATATTACACAGATGTTATCATCAATAGGTATTTCTGTTTCAGATCTTTTTGTTTTACACATTTTAAAAAATAGTTATAACCACATATTATTCTTTTATAAAAACTAATTTATACAAAAAAAAACAAAATGAAATTGAATTATAAGCCAATAAATCCTGTATAATCTATTTTTGATTTACATACCGCCATAATATTTTTTTTGTGACAGTTTTATTTATTGATCCTGAAATTTATTTTTACAGACGAATAATACTGCGAAGTATAAAATGTTTGAATTAAGAAGAAAATAACTAATGAAATTGTGATATATTGATTTTTTATTCAAACGTGACAAACTCGAAGTATTTTAAATTGTTTATAAACTTTAAACAAACTTTTGTCGATAAATAGATGTAATTAGTATGCATAGATATTAGGTTTTATTAAAATTAAATTGTATTGAAATTAATGAAACAATCAAGGAAGCTAATCCAAAGCTTTCAATATTTTTGTTATTTACTGTTTACTTCATTTGAATTATCACAAAAAAAAACACTTAATGCATTGTTGCATAATTAATCTTTGAAACAAATAAATTGAAATAGTTAGGAAAATCGAAAAGCTAGGATGAAGCTCTAGAAATTAGTGATAAAGATGGCTTTTATTAAAAAACTTAGGTATTGATTGTTAAACGGGCCATTTAAAGATAAATAACGAATTTATTGTATTCAAATAGTTGAAAATATTATTTTTAACTGAATAACTCAATTCTTGCGTTATGTTATAGGTAACTATATTTCAAATCGCTAAATAGAAATATTCCGATTTTGGAACAATTTAAATCAAGAAATACATAAGTTCCAACAACCTTTAGAATCCTCTAAAGAATAACTTATTTAATTTACATGAATAATTACAAATTTGGGGTTTTAGCAACTGAGGCTGAATTCAGTAATTATAAGATGATGAATGTTTATTATTTTGGCTTTGATAAATAGTTGGGAGTGTTAAATTGCGACCAAAGGAAACTAAATAATCTATTATAAAAAAATTTGTAAAAATGTAAGTATACAAAAATTATTTTTGGAAAAAGATGGGAAAAATAAAATCATTTTAAAAATGAGAATAAATTCGTTTTTTTAGTTTATTACAGAAATTGCTTTTTTTTGTGGGAGCAAATAGAACAAAGATTTAGATAGGAAAAGCTTTGAACAAAAGTTTTCTAGGTTATTAATCGCTTCAAAAACTCCTAAATATTCATTTTATCTGAAGAGATTTTCCCAAGGTTTGTTTGGAACTCAAACAAGAAGTTTTCGATGAGTATAATAATAAATTTCAGCTATAAGTATGTTACACTTTATCCTAAATCCAGTTTTAGTGGGTCTATTGGTACTTTATGAAATAAATTAATGCAAATTTGTGATTTATATTTCTTTAGTTGACTCGAATACATAAAAATTAAATTTATAGCTATTTAAGTATAATTTCCCTAATTTAATTCGGCGATTATGTAAGAAAACTACAAATTTAGAGGTTAAATCTATGAAAAATGGAATATTTTTGCTTAAAAAATTAAGCCATTTATCGATGAAAAAACAAATATAACAGCTTTAATAAACGACTCCACATATTACATTCCCTCATCTGGTAAATTTGGGCTGAATTTAAGAATTAAAGATAGTTTTAACTTGGTATGGAGATTAAAATTAGCAATATTAAACACAGATAAAGAAAATATTAAGAAACAATTAAATTATTTTAATATGGACAGAATCAAGCATGCAAAAAATTTGTGTAATAATTCTATTTGGATTTTTTTTAGATCAAAATTTATTTTTAAAGCAATCGGTTTTTACTGGAAGATAATAAGTGGAAAAATTGATCTCTAAAACAGATAGATATATTCCTAATGATATTTTGGAAGAGAAATCCTTTATGGATTACATTTATTAACTATATATTTTTAAATTCTCAAAATTACTAATGAAAAAAAATAGAAAAGCTAATGATGCCTATTCAGGTTAGTTTGGTATGAAAATTGTATTTATATGAAATATTTTTCTTGGATATATATTTATCTATCCGAGAGTTCTTTATCAATTAATTTTAAAGGCTTTGATCTTGTGTATGCACATAAGTTTAATGCATAAATACAAAAGTATCTTTTGTAACTCCAAGATCAGCATTTAATTATCTTTCAAATACTTTTACAGAAATTAGAATCTTTCATTAATATGTATATATACAAAACCTGAATGAAACATTCAGGATTTAGACAATAGATATTTCAATTGTGTTTACAGAAAATAAACAAAAAGTAGCAATTTTAACGTTTAACATAAAAAGTTAAACAAAAAAATATCAAAAAGAGTTCCACTGAGAAAATTATTAAAAAAAAAATCTGAAAAACTTTCCACAATCATTCTATCGTATTTTGAGTGGAAAAAATGAAATCAATAACGGGTCATCAAAGGTTTGTCTACAAATACTACTAACTATACAAATTAATAAAATTTGGGGTTCAAGACAGATTAGAGAAAAGTTTCTGGAGAAATTGAATGAGATAAACAAGAATTCTGTAATAACAAATTTTGAAGAATTTAATTTAAAAGATTTAGAAGAGCTATTTCTTAAAATTGGATCAGAAGGAAATATTAAAAGTGTGGGATGTTACATATTAACGTTTTTAGGTTGAATTTTCTTAATCAAATTGAATATTTCGTGACTTAGAATGAATGAATTCTGAATTATGGTATTGAGATCTCCTTTACTATTAGTTTCCATCCAACCAGTCTTAAAAACAGGACAGGGATCGGAGTTTTTTTCAGTTGAATTGTCTCTTCTTTCACCAAATATGTAATCATATTTGGGCTTAAATCCCAGTGAAGTAATCAGCAATTGGCAGGGAAAATAATATCTTTCTTTCTCATTGAATTTAATTCTATTACTTAAAAGATCGGAGTCATAAATATTTCTTGCAAACTCTATTCCTTTGATAAATGGCATTGATTTTTCCTTTCCATTATTCCCTGGAATATCAACTTGTTCGGTTTTAATATTGATAGGAATCTGGAGATTTTTGAAATGTATGTTTACCGTTCTATCATTATAAAATATATTGTTGTTTATGTATTCCTGATGATTATTAACCATTTCTTGAAAAATCTGTTTCATTTTCAAATATCTTCTTTTTACATCAGGACTACTTCTGTTTAACTCAAACAAGCTATTTTGATCTTGAGAAAGTTCAAAGTCTTCTTGAGACATCATTACCCTGACATTTGTTCCATTTTTCAAATTGCATTTTGATTTTCTAGATTTCTCAATAAATTCTTTCAGTAAAGGATATTTAAAGGAATTTTGAATCCATCCTCTTCGCCCAACAATAAATATATTTTTGAATAAAGGCCGTCCCATACTAAAGTTTGAATACTTATCTGATGTATTAATTAAGTTTAAGAAATCAGGGTTCAAATACCTGTTTTTTGAAAGTTGATCATAAGAATAAAATGATAATAATCTTATAATATCCAGTGAAACATTTCCATTTCCAACTATAACCGCATTTCTCTCACTGGAATTCAGAATGTAGCTTTTTAATAAATCAGAACTATATCCATGTTTAAAATCTCCATTTCCATTTTTATATGGAATGCTAATTTCAGTAGAAGAAACGGGACTTTTATATTCAAAAAATTGATTGTTTTTTTTTTCAAGATAATTTAACTCCATTTTCATATCAATTTTTTTATCATTTATGCATTTCTCATTAATTGAATTAAAGAGTTCATTTTTTGACGGAATCAACATATTTTTAAATGCTGGATGATTATTATAATAAAATACCCAATCTCTGGAAGAGAACACACCTCCTATAATTGTATTCAATAAATCTTTACTCATATATTTCACAGGAAGAGTATGGAAACTTTGGGAACCGCCGACTGCTAAAATCACCACATCATACTTTACTTTTAATTCTTCTATTTTAATGTCGTGACCCAATGTTACATTTCCATAAAATTTTACATTATCCGAGTACTTCTTAAAAAGAGAATTTTCAATACTATAAATTGTTTTCTTTAAACCATGTCTATCTGGTGCAATTCCATATCTGAGTAGGCCAAATGGCTTATCCAAAGAGTCTAATAAATCTATGTTAATGTAAATGTTCTCTTTTTTAGATTGTATTAGCAAAGATTTGGCTAGATAACAACCTGATGGCCCTGCACCAACAATGCATAACTTATATATCGGTTTGTAGGGTTTGATTTTCATAACTTATTCAGTCATAATGCAGATAAATTCATTTCCTATATTGAAATAAAATTATTTACAACTATTTTAGCTTTTAACTCAAAAAATAAACTTATGTTTCTTGGAGAGATGAATTAAATTGATTTTTAAGTAAAAATATGAAGATATTTTATATTAATATAATATTTGGAATTTATTTAGAACTTAGGTTGGAGAATTGCATCTTCCCCACATACCGCCTAAATTTTAATGTTTTTCAATGTCTGTTTTGAAAATTCAGAGTAAGAAATGACACTAAACCTAAAATTCTGATAATTCTTAAGGACTTCCATTGCATCAATAGCTGAGTTTTCTCCGCCGCAGAAAGCTATACAGCTAGAAGGTGCCAAATTTGATGTGTTGGGTAAGAAATGTTTAAGATATTTATTTGAAACTCTTTTTATGTCCTCAACTGTAACTTTTGATATTTCCCCGATAATGAATTTATCAAAGTTCGGAGAAATACCAACGTTGAGATCAAAGTTGAGTTGTTTTGCCCAATTATTGAACTTCTTATGTTTGGAAATGAATTTATAAGCAGAAATTCTCTTTGCTTCATCCAGATCCAAATTTTTATAAAGGCTTTCATAGTACTTTGGTAATTTGTTATTTTTTTTTATCTCTTCAGCAATTTCATTTTCATCCATAGAGATTTCACGGAATATTTCCCAAGTCTTGACCAACGACTCGCCAATTGATGTGGATTCATAGACACAATTAGAAAACTGGCCAGTGGACATACAAAGGTCCAGACATCCACTATAAGCCAAACCGTTACCCCTTATAGACTCAAAAAGTAGTGAACAAGGGTCCCACAGATAATTTGAAAGTACGAGAAGAGCTGGAACATCCGGATTGTAGAAGTGAGATCCTTTGGGAGAGAAAGAGCCAAAAGTATTTAAATTAATTGACTGAACAAAGCATGCTGTACTGGAGCTTGGAACCTGTAAATAAATTGAATACCCATATTTTTCTGGGACTCTAAATTTACATGAATTATTTGAATTAAAATCTATTCCAAGTTTTAATGGAAGTGCTTTTGAAAGGGCTTCCCATGGAAGTAAACCTGAGTCAACAGGATTAGGTATTTTGCTATCGAATAAATTCTGGTTTTTAGTATTTTTATTGAGATAGAAATACTTGAATATATTCATTTTGTTGACCTTTTCTGTTCCGATTATAAATAATGAAAATTGAGTGTTATTGTAAGAAGTATTATCTGATATACCAAAAGTGAACGGTTTAATAAGGATTGAATGGATCCGTTCTAATTCAATAAGGTACTTTTTTGGTTCTCTTATCAAAATTTTCAAAATATGGTCGAAATTTGGGATATTTGAAATGTTAAATATTGACCGATCACAGAAACAAAGAGAGTTCGAAACACAAGTAATTAAATTTTCTTCGCTCAATTTTAGTTCGCAAATAGTTCCTTGAATATTTCTCGCTATTGTTGAAATTCTTTCAATGCTCAATTTCATCCCACAAATTCCACTCATTATTAATACTGAGGAGAACTCTGCATATTCTCTTGGAGTTGTCCAATTTATTTTAATTTGATTTGGGATTGTATTAGAATCCAAAATCCATCCATCACTAAATTCAGCATAGTAATCAATACAAAAAGTATTTAAAAGTTTATCAAAATCATAATAATTAATGATTTCTCCGTCTGACCAACTAATATCTGGTAGGAAACCTTTTGATTCTCTTAGCTTCGAATAACTTTCAGAAACTTTAGAGCCAATTGGATTTATAATTTTGACAGATGTTTGGAGTAATAATTCAACTAGGAAAGATGAAAGCAATTTGTCAATATTAGAGAGGTTTTCATCCAAATTCATTCTCAGTTGTGCGTGCACAAACTCAGTATTTGAATTTTCTAAAAAGAAGTACAAACAATTTTCCATTATTTGTAATTCTGGGTTACTATCTACTTTCAATTTTTTAAATATTATATCATTTCCTTCATTAATTTCAGCAAGTTTGCTTTCAGAGTAATTCACATTTGTAGTAATGCTAGCTTTATTTAGATTAATATTATTTAAATTGAATGTTATATTAAAGTAGTTAAGGGTTTCGAGAGTGATAGAACGTCTTTTATTTGTTTTTACTGCCTCTTCCAGTTTTGCTTTAATATTCTGAAAGAAAGATTGACCTTTTTTATCTAATCTTTCTTTTCTATCTTGCTTGAATTTTCGTGTAATTTCCTTTGATAATCTTTTGCTTGGGAAAAATTCAAGAACATTCATTTTTTTCAGACAAAAAGCTTCATTTAAAAGATTTTTCCAATATTCCAAATTTTCAGATAATAATTCTTTAAGAACAATATGTAAATTACAAAATAGACCAAATTCATCGAAATTGTCTACTCTATAATTTATAAAACCAGAAAGTTGTTGAAAAACAATATCAATAGTTTTATTTTCCAATGAAATTAAATGGCCATAGTATAATCCTTCTATCTTGCATTTTAAGTCATTCAAATTAATTTTTCTTTCACCAGTTTGGAATTCAGAGATTATTCTCTCAAATAAATCTACCGTTTTATCAAACTTTCCCGTCTCAACTCCTTGAAGTAAAATCTGATGATATTTATTTTTCTCACAAACATTTAACATATCTACATTTGAACAGTATGATTTATCCTCTACAAGTTCTTTCATTAGCGGGGAGTCACTTCCAACAGACAAATAATGTAGCAATACAGTTATTGATAACATTTCTTTAAAGTTTGAGAATGACCCAAATCTCCATGAGAAACTAATAGTACCTAAATCTTCTTCTTCGCTGGGAAATGGAATCTCTAGATACCATGGAAAAGTTTGTTCACTCAAAGTTTCACTAAAACAACATTTTTCATTGGATAATAGTCTTTGGCCGACTGGAGTGTGTGAAATTTTAATTTTCTTAAAATCTTTATGACCAGAAATAGGTTCTATTTCTTTAATAAAACTTTCAATTACTCCAAAAATATTGTTTATATTTATATTATCATTTCCAGATATGAAAATTAGCATATTGCTCAGATTATAGAAGTTTGCATGGAATTCTTTGAGTTCATTTAAAGTAAGTTTTTCAAGTCCAGTTGTTCTCCCAATACATGAAAAAATATAAGAGTATTTTCCATTATATTTTTCAATAATTTTATCGTAAAGTTCCCATGTAGATTGAAGCTTAAGTTTTTTTTTCTCAACTGGGCTCTCACACAAAACATGAAACTTTGAAAGAGTTGCCACAATTTCATCATAGTCCCTTTCAAAAGAAGATACTTCTGAATAAACTACTCCATGATACTCTGCATTTCCGTTTAAATGCACGACTTCTGTTAGAAATGATTCTTCCGACAAAAGTGGGTAAAATAGATGATCTAACCAAACTTTTAACATCTGTAAAAGACTCCATTCACTTGTACATTCAAATTCAAATGTGGTTGAATCGTCTAAAGTAAAAGCGTTTGTATATGGACAACATAGTTTATTAGAAATCTTGTCAATACTGTCATTATATGGGAAATTTTTACTACCATTAAAAATAACATGTTCTAGCGCATGCGGTATTCCTTTATTATTTTTGGGTACAGTTTTAAAACTTAATTTGCAGTGAATAAAAGATGGGCCCGAGCTATTAAAGGTTTTCATAAATGCTAAAATTACACCTGTTTGATGTTTGTAGAGTTCCAAAATTCCGACATTTGAGATTTTGATGTAATTAAGAAAAGAAAAATTTTTTTTAGCAACATCCCCAATCAATTCACTTATATTTGAACACTCTAGTTTCTCTTTAAGTAAATTTCTTGCTTCATCCATTGATTTGTGTTGAATTCCTTGGGTTTAGGAATAACTAAAAGCAATTTTAAGTTTTCAATTTCTGCTATTCATTTGTTAACCAACATAGAATATGGCGCCTTGAATTTTTGATAAAATACATTAATGGTTTGAGTCTAAGGTTGAGTGACAAGAAATTTTATTAACTCGTAGAAAAGTTTTGAACAATGTAGAAAGAGTATTACTGCTGGCCACACAGTTTTTGCAATACGACAAAAGAAGTCTGCAAGAGAATAAATGACTATAGACAGTGCAAAGAATTCTAAAAGAAAGGGTATCAACTTTACTTATGGAGACAGAGAAATACTAACGGAAAATAAAAAGAGAAAATCTTCTTGCTCCACATCAACTAGAGATTCAAACGTGCGGCCTGATAGTACTCAGTTAAGATCTAAGAAAAATGAGAGTTGCATGGATATTTTTGTCCAAGCTAATGACAACGATGAAAAAGAACTAATCAAGCTGGATACAATAGAAATTAAAAATTTAAAAGATGGTTTTAAATATCTAGGGTATCGATGCAGGGTTGTTGTATCAAGACAAAAAGTAAAGGAACCCAAAAACAATTTACCAGATGCATTCAATTGGGTAGAGGGAATAATTAAATATTGGGATCCAAAATTTAAGTTGTTTTTTATACACTTTTTGCTTTCGCCCTCAATGAACTCATTCAGCAACCAGAACAACATTTCCAAACATGAATGGAAATACTTGGCTACTCAAAATAATTCTCCTCCAGCAATGACTGAATTAAGTAATCTTGTACTTTCTCCATTTGCAATTGATAGAGGATGGTTTGACCCAAATCCAATAACTTTAAGAGTATATGGAAATTCTCCTGTAATAGATTTGTCTTCTATTTTATTTGAAAATAGACTGGAACAAACAAAATATAAAGAATCTAATAACGAAATCTGCACAAGGTGTAAATTATCGATAGTTAAAGATTTATCTCAATCATGTGAAATTTGTTCTAGAAAGTTTCACTCTAGTTGTGTAACTGAAGGGAAGTCAGATATACAGGATCTAAAGGATTTGGATATCACTAGTTTAAGGCGATACAACTCTCCAAGTAATTTGGAATTGTTAGTAATAGCAAACGAACATAACCAATATATTCGAGAAAGAAGAAAACTTTGGAAACGTAACAAAGATATATATGATAAAGAAGGAAATCTAAGTTTAAATAACAAATTTTTTCATGGTAATCAACTCCCATATGATCTTGTTGACGTAGAAGAACTGGAAAAAGCTCTACCAGCTGAAGTAAAGAATGTTATTTTGGAAAATTACAATATGTCCCATACTGGTATAAGAAAATTACTCTCAAAATTACCAAATAAAATAGGTTGTATTATCGGCGATCATCAAGTTAAGCTTCTTTGCAGAAATTATAGATATAATGGGAGGAACAAATCCACAATTCTTACAAAATCGTTCAAAGAGGAGGAAGATTTAAGTAAAAACACCTCATTGGAATTGCCTCCCTCTAAAATTTATTCTACAGATGAATTAACTGTTCAGAAAAGTGATTTAATTGATGATATTAATTTAAATTTAAATTTGACTAAAAACGAATCTAATTTTGAGCTACCCATAATTGAAACCAGAGAATTAGATTACACAGATCTTGCAAATAGCCGAAATAATTCTATTCAAATATTGGTTGGTGCTGGACTAAACAACGGCCTAGCACAAAAAAATGAATGTAAATACAGATGTAAAGAGTGTATGCCTTGCATTTATTGCAAAGAACCACTAATACGCGTTCCTATGATTCTAAAGCCAAATGAATTACCAAACAGATCAGTGGTATATTCACAAATTCCTACGAAGTTGGAGAACTTTGTAGTATGTAGCACTTGCGGAATTTGTTACCATGGGAGCTGTGGAAATTCATTCATTCCACCATTGATATTTGGTGGAAACAACTTCAACTGTTCAAATTGTTGTAAGTGTATTCACTGTGGATATAGAGATGATGGTTTCATGGATTATGCTTCTTGGGATTCAACTTTTTCTAGCTGTATTAGATGTTGTAAAGGATTTGAAAGAGGCCAATTTTGTTCTATTTGCAGAAAAATTTGGACATCTTCATGGGAAGGAGAATGGCTTCAATGCGACATTTGCAAGTTTTGGGTCCATTACGACTGTGATAAAGGTTTGAGCAAACCAATGGAGTTCTATTCGAATGTAAACAATTGTTATAACTGTCCTGCTTGCAGAAGTAATGATAATTCAGTTAAATATAAAAGGATCCTAGAACATTTTATTTGTTTGGATAAAAACAAGGATTTTGTTTCAATTCCTCTTCCTTCATACCAGAATTATTGGAAAGTGGTTAAAATACCGATGGATATTATTACAATCACAAAAAATTTAGAAAATAAAAAATATGAATCAGATGATTATTCATTTATAAAGGATATATTCAGAATATTGTACAACGCTCAAATTTCTCATATGCCTAACCACAGAATTTTTAAACTCGCTGCAAATATTTTGAAAAAAATAACTCATTTATTTAGACTTTTATTTGGAGAAAATATATTATTTAACTTTTTTAGGATGGTAAAAGATGAGGAGTCTTCAATGTCAATTTTGCTGGACCAGGTAAATGGCGATAATTCCAAAAGTAAAATAGACGGGGAAGTACTTGAAAATACTAATTCCTTTAAAAGCCTTGAACATTCCTCAGGCTACAAAATTAATTATTTAGAAAATGAAGATAAGTATGAAAATGAATTTGCTGCAATTTTAACCAATAATGTATGCATGTCAGATCGAATGAAGTTGAACACGGAAATTAATTGGAGTTTAAGAAAAACAATATCCAGGGAAAAATTTGTATACCTTGAAGAATATGATTGTCTAAATTCAGCATTTGGGAAGCTTATGATTGAATTTCAAAAATGCATAATTTGCCAACAAAAAAGTGGTCATCTTGTTCAATGCTTAAAATGTGGACTTGGCGTTCATACTAAGTGTTCTGAAGAAGCAAATAGTTCGTTTATTTGCAATTCATGTACAACTTGTAATATATGTTCTGAATTAATGATAGAGGCAAGTATCCCAGTTATTTCCTGTCATACATGTACTAAAAGAGCACATTATACATGTATCTGGCAGGATTATGAGGAATTTATAAGCCAATCAAAATATTCAGGTGTATCTTCAAGAATGAGCAAAAGAAATGAAGGAAGACATACTTTCATTAATTTATCTCGAGCCTTGAAAGACAATAGGAATTACATTTGCCTTTGGAAGATTTTTTCCTCCGCATCATCTCCGAATAAGCCTAGAGTTTTGATTAGTTCTCCATTGACAGCAGTTTTCGGTAAAGGGTATTATCAATATTTAATTAATGAAATATATTTGTGTACAGAGTGCTTTGAAGCAAAGACATATTTACATTCAAACCTATTCATGAAAAAATATGCAGATGAATACAATAGATTTTTATTTGACAAAGTGAACAACTTCCAGAAGTTAATCAAGGAAATCCTTAATAAAGACTATTCTGAGAAACATTCTAATGAAGAAGGAACAAAGCAAAAAGAGATAAATAGAATTTTGAAAAAAATTTCAAATGTTAAGTTAAAACCTTTTATGCATTGCGAACAAAAAAATGTTATTATTTGCAATTTATGTTCCGAACGTTTTTTTTGCGAAGATTTTGAGGATTTAGCTGATATTGCAAATGATAAACTAATTTGTTCGGTTCACCTCAATTTTATTTGCAACAATTGCAGTAGCTTTGGAACTAAGCATTCAAGGAATAGGGATAACAAGATAAACGATTTTGATGTACAGAATTTTGACACAAAAGTAGAAGAAAACTCAAAAAAGTCAAAGTCTCAAGTGAATGTTTTTCCTTTGATTTTGAATACTTTGATTTCTACATCCCAATTCAGAATGACTTTATCGAAAGACATTTATCTACTTCTTAAAATTATTTTGAGACCTTTTATAGACCAGAAAATCTTAGAAGTGATAGAAAAATACAATTCCTATTTAGATGCTGATATAGAAAAGATCAGGAACGAAATATTTATTAAGTATTCCAATTCAGAGCTTTTTGCAAAATTAATCTCTCAGACTCTAAATTCTTCTTTATTACAATGGTATCTGTTTTATATCCACCAAAGCGGTTCATTGGACTTGTCCAGATTGAGAAAAAACTACCTGCAGCATTTTTACAGACGTAATAATATAAGCTTGGATGATCTGATTAAAAGCAACACTCTCTACATTATTATTGGGTCCATTGAAAAGATGGTACTTTCCAACGAGATTAGTAGTACTACTGACCAAAATAAGTCGATACAAAATTCATTAAATGATCCAGATTATTTGTCATTTCTTGGATTATATTCAAACCTATTATTCCTACGTGGTAATTTTCATTTATTTGGGTTAGGGAGCTTAAACACGATGAACTGCCAAGCTATAGTTGATACTAAGATGTATTTTGACGTTAATGATTCTTTTAAGAAATATTTATTAAATAACCAAAACTCACGAAAAAATTCAATATCAGTTACTAAACAGAGGGCTTTAAAAAATGAAATAATACAAGGTTTAACTCTTATAAAAAATCAAATAGAAAAGGACAGAAAAGATTTTGAATTGCCTAAATTATCATTTTTTGTGTTGATTTATAATTTGATTTTAACTAAATTAAACAAAATAGACAATTGCTTGGACAATATTTATTCTAACAAATGTAGATACTGTGGAAAGACTCAGAACATACTACTTGGAGACTACTTTATTATTGTTGGAGAAAATATTAATTTACACAAAGAATGTGTATTATGGTCTCTGCCATTTGTTTTAGAGCCTATATTAAATCATTTAGATATGGGTTATGAGTCTAAGTTTGAAACAAACAAAAAAAAAAGTGATATATATACACCGAAGTATCAAACTTTTGAAAATATTTCTTGGCCAATTATAAGGAGACCAATTCGTGTGGACATCAATGATATTATATTAACTTTAAATGATTTAGACGTTCTTAAGTGCTTTTTTTGTGGGCAGACTGGTGCTACTATCAAATGCTCTGGAAATGATACATGTTTTAAGTATTATCATATCGATTGCATTTTCGGTAACTTCCAGTATGTTTATTTGAATTCTCATTCAAATAGCCAATTTAATAAAGAGTGTGGAAAAGTAATTAATAATTCCGTTTCGAATATAAATTTGGTTGAGCAATCAATAGTTCATATTAGATTAAAATATAGAAGAGTTTGGTGCAAAGAATGTTGGGAAATTTACAAATCAATGATAGAACCAGAACCTAGTTTTTCAGAAGGATTAACAGGAGGTATCTTAAATACATTTGTTAGTATGTTATCAGTTGATATTATTATTGCAACTAATACAACAATTCAAGAAAAAATGCAAACTGTTAATAAAAACAAAGTTTTTGATTTATTTTTAGAACAACTCATTTCTATTACTAGTGGACTAGAAAAAAGGTCTTGTTCAAAGGTAAAGATTTTAATTCAGAGATTAAAGAGAATTCGTGATTCTATTTCATTTAAAAATTTCGAATTTGAACCCAATATACTCAATAATTCAATTATTTTATTGGACCCTGGTGTTATAATTGATAATAAGAACCTCTTGAATGAAAAAAAGACGATTCTTTTCCCAACTAACTATAGATCTTTACGCATTTGGAAAAGCTCCGGAATAATTAATAGCATATTCAAAATTGACAATTACCTTTCTTTATATCTCTGTTCAATATTTGAGGTAAATGGAGATCTTGAATTTCAAATAGACTGGGTCCCATCATCTCTAGACGAAGTTAAGAAAGTAAAGGAATTGTTAAATACTAAAGGTAATATCAGGGATGAAGAACTTTTGCGTGAAATTCACATTAACGGAATTCTACATAGATTATTTTGCATTCCATTACTCAGGGATTCTAATTTGAAAAATTTATTTAATAGTTTTTCAGAATTACTATCTTCAAGTTCTCTTAAAGATATTAGCCGTTATACTTTACAGTGCATTATTTATCCAGAGTATTTTACTGATGATTCTTTTTTGGACCACATTAATACAAAAGAAAGTCCAATGGTCAGCGATTGTGATACACAATCCCAGATTTTTTTTGGGTTTAGAGAAGAATTCATATATAATTTCATCAAACGTGAGATAGACAAATTTTGTTTATTCGAACTAATTTCAGCTTTTTACTCTAAAAAGATATTTGCCGATATCATACATCCTGAATTATGGTCTAGCCACAGACAACACCCATATTCTAGGAAATTATCAAATTACGAGGGATTTGACTTTGAATACTCTAAACTTGGGAGAAACACATTAAGAGGGAGTAGAATAGACGAAGAATTATTTAACGTCCTATATGATGGAAACAATCAAGATCCTGGCAACGTAGAATTGATGAATTCTACTCACCAGAATCTTCAAGAATCGTCTAGAAGAAGTAGGATCAAGCTCGAGGATATGGCTCCTTCAAAGCTATATAGATATTTGGACTCACTTCCTTATGATAAACGCCTAAGCATCAAAAAATCAAGTATTCATGGATTTGGGCTTTTTGCAAAAGAACTGATTAAAGCAGGTGAACCGATTATTGAATATGTTGGTGAAGTAATACGTAATAGTGTTGCAGATAAGAGAGAAAACTTCTATAAGTCAGATGGAAATAGGGATGGATCATGCTATATGTTCAGGCTTGACGAATCCAGCGTAATTGATGCGACTAATACTGGGAATCATGCACGATTTATGAACCATTGCTGTGACCCAAACTCAATTTGCAAAGTTATAAGTATTGATCCACACAACAAACATATTGTAATATTCTCCAAAAAGACTATAGACAAGGATGAAGAAATTACTTATGACTACCAATTCAATGTTGAAGAAGCTTCAGAGAAAATTATATGCCACTGCGGCGTAAGTAATTGTCTTGGAAGGATGAACTAATATTTAAAAACATTTTCCCCCCTTCTTTATATTATCTAGAAATCAATTTTTAAAGTTAGTCGTGGTTTGTACTAATATTTTCTTTTGCTTCAGCAGTCTTTTTGAAGTTTTTGTAACTTTCAATTAACTTCAAATATTTATTTTTATCAACTTTTGTATCTGAAATGTTAGATGAATCGTTTCCATTAATAACCGTCCCTGCTCTCCTATATAATTTATGCATTCTATTTTTGTTAATAATTGGTTCGGACTTTTGTGAAATATCAGAGTCAATATCATCCATATTACTATTTTCACTAGAGTCACCTTCAGTTTCAGTAAAAATTTGTTCGTTTTCAATTTCTGAACTTAGAGAAGATTCATCACTCAAGTTGGAATTATTCTTATCTTTACCAAAATTGGTAATCCTTTGATTACCTTGGATTTCTGTAGATATTACTAATTCAGTAATTTTGTCGTCATTAGTACCAAGAATCCCCATTTTTTGTTCATAATTAACTTTAGAATCTATTTTAGATAAGTTTTCTTTACATTCTTTATAAATCTCAGATTGGTTATTATTTGCATTAAAATTGCGCACTTCATTCGCACGTTCAGCACGATTTAAACCTGTATTTTTCTTCAGCAACCAGTAAATAAATTCTATTGACTTTTTAATTCTTTTATCACCTTCTATGCTAACCTTGGCCCTTTTAATGTTCTTTTCGAAGTTTGAAGTAATAATTAACCCTAAATTTTCTATTTCTTTAATCATTAAATCTTTCTTCTGAAAAATGTTGATATCAATTAAAGATAAAACCTCATTTATCATCTCCTTGAATTTATTAAAGTTTAGTGTTACTTTTAAATCTGATGATTCGATATAAGTCTTAAGTGCATTAATTTTTTTAAATAAAACTTCTGAAGAAAATCTACCATAGCTCGCTGAATCACCTAAAAATTCAGTTCTTTGATACATATAATAATTTCCATTTATGTTTAGTTTTATTGTCTCTTCCAATTCTTTATCATTGAATTCATCTTTGTGGAGTATTATCAAATATTCATCCTCTCGATAAGCTGTATTGTCGTTCAAATAGTGCATTTTAAATCTATCAATGTTACCACACAATAGATGATTTCTAGGATGAATATATAGAGATTTTCTCTAAGGAAGCTCAAATAAATACTTCTATCACTTCTTTTTTTTTGGCTACGCTAATTTATTAAATAGATTAATAAGTCTTTTTTTATTATTTTGTTAATAGACATAATTTTAAATCAATTCCAGATTTGTCCACATGAAAAGTATTGTTAATAATGCCAATAATAAAGATAATAAACCACGAATATAGGAAGCCCTCGTATATATGCCGAGTAGATTCTTCAGACTGAAAATCTTTGAAATGATTTCTTTTGATTGAAATGTATTTATATTTTGAAAGAAGTGGATGAACGTGATTTTTGAATTAATTAAAAATGGAATAAGGGTATTTGGAATAAAAATTGGATCTTTTTCAAATGACAATTTTGAAGAATTGAGCAGTCTTATTTACGATGAATATTCCGGATTTCATATAGTTGAGGGATTTAATATTGCTGAAAGTGAATCCTTTTTGATAGTTTCTAAAGAATCTTTTTTTCAAAACTATGAAGTTAAAAGCAACTCCTTTAATCTTTCTGAGTGCAATGGAGAAATTAAAAAGGATAAAGGAAGAACGAATTTGAACCAAAATAATGAAAATTTATTTAAAACCCCCAAATTTAGTGATTTGAAATCCACTCAAACACATGAAATTGGAAGCGCAATAGCATGCAATACCCCCACAAAAACTTCATGTAACGCGGATATAAATATAGTTGAAAAGGAGGGATTTTTTATAAATTCATTGTTTGAAGATACAAATGAATCCTATTTTTTAAAAGAATTGATAGGCCTTGATCGAGAAAAATGCGAATTAACTGACTATGAAGAAAGCTTATTTAAAATTCAAGATTACAGCGCTACTCCGAAATTTCCAGATTCAAAATATACACAAAAGTTTAAAAATGATGGAATTTATTTAACTTCAGATAGTTTTGATTTTTATTTTGATGATAAAATACGTTTGAACGATGACTTTAAAAAGTCTGATTTGTTACTACTTCTGAGACTGAAAAGAAAGAAACTCGCCATGTTAGAGACCCAATTGAAAAGAAATTTGAAATTACTGGATTTTAGTGATTCTTCTGATACTAGGAGCCTATTTATTGATAATTTCAGCTCAATAGAAAAAATAGCCAAATGCCCTGCCCAACTTTACTTCATAAAAAGAAGAATTGATAATATAAAAGAAAATATTGAGAATACAGAAAGAGACATTGCCATGTTGAAAGAAAATACTTCTGAAACTTATTAGTTTTTAAGGTTATTTAGGACCAAATATGTATGTTAGTATGCAGTAGGTAACTATTCCTGAATCAGTGTTACGAAATGTGTATTTATTTTTATTTAAATCAAGAATTACCAACTTATCGTCGGATAATTCAAGTTCCACTGATTTTTTTGTTTTAGCACTTTGACAATTAATGCTAATTTTGTCCTTACAAGGGAAATAAATTATTCCTATTTTACTCCCCGGAATGAAAGATTCTGATTTTCTATCTAAAATAAATGCAGTCTTTTCGGGTTCTATCGACAAAATATATATAGATTTTGATAAGCTATTTAGATTTCTGCCAAGTTTTGCGTTTAATTCGTTAGGAAGGTGTTCTATTGTCTCAAAGTAAAAAAGCATTTCATCTTGAATTTCGTGGCCTTCTAATGTAATATATCGGAAGTTTGTCCCAAAGTTTGATTTCGCACCTAAATTATTGGTAAACAAGCCCTGGTAATCCATCTTAACTATGCGCCTGTTTACATTGTTCCTTACGTCTTCTCCAAGCCAAGTCGATTTCATCGATATACCGTATTCGTTAAATTCGTATAAAATCTGATTATCAATTTTTTGTACTAAATCCTTAATTATATATGGAGATGCCCATCTTGAAATGTCATTGGTACTGGAGCTGTAATTATTTTTTACTTCATTCATAATTTTGTTGACAGAGTAGTAAACCATTGACTCTGTGAATACTGTAATCATTAGGCTATACTCTATGATGTCTAATTCATTTTCTTTACGTCCATTATTTGGTTTCCGTATAAATGTTTTTTTAAGAGAACTAAATGCAAAAAATGCTTTTTTGATTGCCATAGGTAATAACATAATAATGAACTTTTTGTTTAAATATCTATCTATCAGATTCCCAACTTTGTCCTCGCTTGATTGACTGAAATTTCTTATTCCAGTAGAACTTTGATTTCCAGTATTACAGCTTGAATCCGAATGGTAGAAGTTGGATCTCACACCCGTTCTTTTTTGAATCTTATCTATTAACTTATTACGAGTTGTACAACCATTAAATAATTTAACGACTAAATTAAATAATTCCTCAATCTCTTCATTACTCCATGTTATTAATTCACTCATATCTTTGAAAGTAAATAAAATATTTTAACATTTGTGAATTTAAACAAAAAATTTTTAATAAATGTTTACCTTATATTTTGTTTTAAAGACTTATAATATTAAATATTTCCCTCATTAGCGCCTATAAAAATGCATGTAGACTAATCTCCCTCACAATTATATCGCCAAAACATGCAAAATACAAAATTAGCATAGGAAATCTTATCTTATCAATAGGATTTCTAAATAAAAAAAGCTCAATGAAGCAGATGAAAGTAAGTAAATTTTCAAATCTTTAATAATTATTATCTTACATATAGAAAAAGAAACATTTGTAATAAGAATAATATTGAGTCAAAAATAACAGGAATGATAGGCAAAACTTGTAGCGAGGATGGAAGTAGCTCACCTATGTCTCTTGAAGATCCAGATGAACCATCTCCTTCACCAATCAATCCAATTACTCTTAAACACACTCTCAGACTTGCTTCAAGAGTAAGTATTTCAAATAATGCAAATGTAAGTTGAAAAACAATTTAATTAATTAAAGCATCCATTTTTACTTCAAAAATCCCACTCATTTTTTAGATTGAAGAAAAATATTTTGAAGTATATCCTAATTCATCTTTGCTGACCGAGTTAGGTGAAACTTTGGAAGCAATTTCAGTAAATGATTTTTCATTTTCTCCATCTCCATTAAAGTTATCTAAAATACCCAAAAATATGAAAGCTAATTTTTTAAAATCAACAATTAAAAAGAATAAAAGAAAAAAAGCAAAGAAGTCACAAAAGCAGAGGAAAAACAATAATCAGGTGACGAAGTTTGATCAAAAAACAAAACAAGAAAATATTAGAGAAAAATTATCAAATGAGAATATCGAAGAAAGTTGTGAAATATCAGATTTAGATGTTCGTGGAATTGTTGTTGAAGTTGAGCCTCAAAGTGATAATAAAATTTTATCGAGCGAAATGATAAATAATATTCAACTGATCGATGAACAAAAGCCAGATGCTTCAGAAAAAATATCAGCTACTCCATCATTTTTAATTAAAAAATCATTTAGTTATTCGAAGTGGATAAGAAAAGAAAGTATTAAAAATTTTATTAACAGATATATACCCAGATTTCTAATACCTGCATTTAAGGCGATAGGAAATCTGAGGATAAGATTTGCAACTCCAACAAAAAAAATAGAAACTCAACAAGAAATAAGGTCAAAAAAGGAAAAGGTAAGAAAAAAAATGAAACTTAAAGGGAAATAATTTAGAGCAAAAAAACCCGCCTTGTGTTGGTAACAAAAAGCCCTGAATATTAACTGATATGAATCAAAGACTGAAATAGTGTACATAATTTGTTCATAACAAAAAAGTTCAACTATTTGGTTTTTCATAACTTTATGTATGTCGAATTTAGTTGAAAAAACTGGTTTCAACCATCTTGGTTTATCTTCATGCCAAAAGGAAAAAAATGTGGAAAAAAACGAGTACTTGGAAAAGAATAATTCAAATGAAGAGATATATGGGAATAAAATTCAAGATGATGGGGTGAACTCAAAAACTGTTTCTGCCCCCTTAAATAATGATTTACTTATAACTAATGATAATGAAAAGGTGTTTACAGATACTTTGGAGCAAAGCGAATTGGAAATGAAACTTAAGAAGTTACTAGAGGCGACGAATCAGTACTCGTATCTCTTATCTGGTGAAACCAAGAATTCTAAGCATTTGGGATCCAATTCTAAACCTGGATCATCAGGGAGGCAACACTTTATTAGTGAAAAAGAGGAAGACGATATTCTTATTAAAGAAGTCGAAGACGACGGCTCTCAAAACGAAGATAGAGAAATCAATTACTCTCTGGAAAAAGTAACTGAACAGCCAGATTGTATTACTGGTAAGATGAAATTTTATCAATTAGAAGGTTTAAATTGGTTGTTTCAACTTTACAAACATAATATTAATGGAATTTTGGCGGATGAAATGGGATTAGGTAAAACTTTGCAGACTATATCAATATTGGGATTCTTAAAAAGTACATTCAAGGTTGAGGGCCCTCATATTATCTTGACACCAAGGTCTACTTTGGATAACTGGTTTTGTGAATTGAATAGGTGGTGCCCATCTCTACGTGTTGTTAAACTACATGGAGATCGTCAGCTCAGAGACGAGATTTTCTCAAAGCTACTTTTCCCTGGAAGCAAAGTTTATGCTAGCACCGTATATTTCAACGAATCAAACGAATTGGTTGAAGATGAGGAAAATGATGTTGATTTGTATCGGAATTCAGAAGATAGGCCAACTTTTGCTAATTTTGAATTCACCGATGGGAATTTGCAATATAATATCTGTTTGACTACTTTTGAAATGGCAATTAAAGAAAAGTGGAGACTTCAAAAGATCAATTGGAAATACTGTATTCTAGATGAGGCTCACCGTATAAAAAACGAGAAATCTCTATTATCAGAGGTTGTAAGACTTCTTAAATCAAAAAATAGGCTTCTTATTACAGGAACCCCTCTTCAAAATAACCTGAAAGAACTATGGTCTTTGCTAAATTTCTTAATGCCAAATTTATTTTCTTCTTCAGAAGATTTCGAATCTCTTTTTGACTTTTCAAAACTAGATTCAGATGATAAACAGAAATGTGTGATAAAAACATTACATCGGATATTGCGTCCATTTATGCTTAGAAGACTCAAAGTTGACGTTGAGAGAGACCTTCCACCAAAAAGAGAGCTTTATGTATATATTGGTCTATCAAAACTCCAGAAGAAAATCTACTCTGAGCTTTTGACAAGAAATTTAGATGTGCTGAACAGCGCTAGCTCTAATAAAACTCAAATGCTTAATTTACTTATGCAACTTCGAAAAACTTGTAACCACCCATACCTATTTGATGGGGTAGAGCCTGGCCCCCCATATGTTGAAGGCTTTCACATGGTTGAGGCAAGTGGAAAAATGGTTCTTCTCCACAAATTACTTCCAAAACTCTTTTCTCAAGGTAGTAGAGTATTATTGTTTTCTCAAATGACCAGATTGCTTGATATTATTGATGACTATCTTCGTTGGTGTGGTTATCCCTATTGTAGAATTGACGGATCGACGCCTGGAATAGAGAGACAAGAAAGAATAGATATATTTAATAAGGAAGGAAGTGATAAAATTATTTTCTTATTATCAACGAGAGCTGGTGGAATCGGGATAAATTTGGCAACTGCAGATGTAGTTATATTATTTGATTCAGATTTCAATCCTCAGATGGACTTGCAAGCTATGGATAGAGCGCATAGAATAGGACAAAAAAAACCAGTGACTGTGTATAGGTTTGTCACAGAAAAGACTGTTGAAGAAAGGATTGTTGAGCGTGCAGCAAAAAAACTTAAATTAGACTCACTGATTATCCAACAAGGTCTTATTTCGAAAGCTTCTAACTCCGCTCCAGATAATAGGGAACTGCATGAAATGATTCAATTTGGTGCACAAGAAGTATATCACACCAGGGACTCTTCCTCAGTGACTGATGAAGACATTGATACAATCCTAGCAGCAGCGCAAGAAAGAACAAATGAGATGAATGCGAAAATGAAAAAACTGTCTTCGGAGCTTGATCTCCAGAATCTAAGACTAGATGGAGGAATCCGAACTTCTATGCACCCCGAAGTCAAAGATAATGAATTAAAATCAATTGAAGATCCAAAAGCAAAGGATATGCCATTAATACAAACAGATATCACCTGGTTTGATCTTGGTGAACGAAAGACTAAGTGGAAGCTTGAAACATCGTCAAACAATACAGCAACAGTCAGAAAACAGCCAAAACCCAAACTTATTGGATGGAGGGCGCAAGTTGGTGGCGGATATGATCACCAATTTTTTAATGCAAAACGTCTAGATGAGCTTGAAGAAATCGAAAAAAAATGGAACGAATATTTAAAGGAGAATGAAACCAAACATAATACAAATTCAAGTGATGAAAATTTAGAGGATATTTTCTCTGTACCACCGGAACTTAAGGAGTTAAACCAGAATCAATTAGTTCGCCTTCTTGATGTTGCAGAAGAACACATGGGCGTTTCAATCGATAAAAGTTCCTGGCCTAAAAAGAAACTTTTCTCAAGAGCAAAAGAACTTTTCTCATCTGGGTTTGTCCTTCCTAGATGTAATTTCAAAGAAGCTCTTACTGATCTTAGGCTCATGTTCAGTGACGGGAGAGCATGGGATATTCATATCCCATGCGCCAGACAAAGAAGTAAAAAAAAGACGAATAAAGATTGCAATTCAAAAAATAATAAGACCCCAAAAGTTTTTACTGAATTAATGAAACAGGAGAAGATGGAGCTTATTTCTCAAGGGTTCCCCAACTGGACAAAAGGTGATTTCCAACGTTTTTGCAGGGCAGCTGAACTATACGGTTCAGATTTACATTCTATTGCTGAATTAATGGAAAATAAGAGCTATGAGGAAGTAAGCAGGTATTATCATGTATTTTTTAAAAGGTATAAGGAACTTCCTTCTGGTGAGAGAATTATGGGTAGAATTAAAATGACAGAAAAAATCCAAAATTGGTTTTCCGATGCAAACAATGCTATAAAATATATTGTTCATGAACAAATAAAGAAAAATAAAATTAAAAAACTCTCACTCGACAATATTTTCTTTCCATTTAAAGTAAAAAACACTAGTAATAAATTTGAATCATTTAACCATTTACAAGACAATGCACTACTAATTGCAATGTATAAATTGGGTGTTCAATCTTACAATGATGTTGCAATATCCTTCAAATATTTACTAAATTCCATAACATCCGTTAATTCACTTTATTCTTCTCACTACTCTATCGAATTTATCACCGAAAGATGTAACGAAATTTCTAAAGCTGCAATAAATTACTACAAAAAATGCTCTCAGAAACAAATTAAACCAAATAAATCGGCAATATCTAAATCGGATACTCAAAAAAAAAAAGCAAAAAACTCTAATAAGGTTTCAAACTTCAATAAAAAAAAAATTAAAAAAATACAAGATACAGAATCAGATAATACAGATAGCAACTATAACTCAGAAGAGAGCTTGGAAGAGAGCTCAGAAAAGAGTTCAGAAATAGATTTTGAAGACCAAGAAGAATTTAATACAGATGATGAAAAAGTCCAACATAATTCAAGGAAGAAAAGATCTAATGATACTAAAAGGAAAAATAACAAATTTTCAAAAAGAAAAAAATTAAATTAGTCTTATTCATAAGTTGACCTATCTGATTTATCAAGAATTTCTTAAGTCTTTTTCTGTACCTTAAAATTTTTCTTCGTTTAACCTTGAAATAATTTAGTTTTTAATAAATAAAATTCCGCAAAATTTTCATATTTTTTTTTATTATTGAGCATCAGGGGGGGGAAATAGCATTAGCAACTGTAGATCGAAAAAAAAACATTAGTTTGAGATTTAAGCAAAAATTCTTGATTAAAAAAAATGTATTTGAATAAGAAAATACTGTATTGGTGTACAATTCCAATCGTTGTATTGGTTTTTTGCGGAGTTATTTTGAGAACAATCATCCAAACCTCTTCACAAGGAAAGAAAAAGAAAAAGTTACCTTTTAAGAATGAGCAAAATTTAAATGATTGCTTAATCTCTACTCAGCGTGTTTCTCTAAGGAATCAAGAGTTCCAAAATCATCTCAATAGGAGCGCCTTAATTAGATCAAGGAGATTTTTAATTCCGGAAGATTCATTTTTGAAAAGAAAGGTGTTTTATTGCGACCCAGAAACAGGATATTTTCAAAACTCACCCGAATCTCCAAGCCCACTAGCTGCACTCTCAAATCCAGGTAAGTTTTTTTATTTGGATTTATTTAACTTAATTAATTTTCTAAAACTTAGACCACTCTGCACTCACAGATATGATGAAAAATCAATTTGGGTTTCTAATACTGAATGGAGGAATGGGATACTTAGTCAGCACATTATTTTCAGGGTTCTTTGTTGCTTATATCCCTTTCCCACTTTCTTATTCATTTAAGGGAATGCTTCAAAGAGGAATTGAAATAAACCCAAATATAAGTGCTTCATTTTTATCTGCACTATCATTCTATTTCATTGTACTACTTGGCAGTGGAGAAGTTATTCATCTTTTTCTATCTATTATTGGGTTTGAAGGTGTTTCAAGCTCTCAAATTGATCTTCCAATGATGAATCAGCAAGGTAAGTTTAATTGCTGAAAATTCGCCTATATTCAAATTCTCTCAGCATCTCCTTTGGGGAGCCAAACAGACTATTCTAAACTTTTCAAAGAAGAAATCGAGTCGCTACAAATAACAGTAAGTTAACAATAGATAAACACTAGTATTGTAACTTAAATTTATAATTTAGCCAATAGAGTCTGCACTGAGACAAATAGAAGAAATGGCAATTAAACAACTCAAATCTTGATCACCCAACTATATGATTTAAACCATTATGGTCTTTGCAAAAATTTACTATATATTTTTAAATCTGTTTAAATTAATATCCCACTCTACCTTAACCTGTTGTTTTTAATTTATTCTGATTCATTTTTCTACTTAAGTTTTTTGATTCAACTGCATGTGTAATGGCGCCCCCTCAACAAAATATTTATGGGCAATGATTTAACAAATACACAAATATAAAGAAATAACCAATAACATATCTAATTATTTTTATCTATGTGTAATCAATGTTCTATATTAATTATTGCTAATTTAGATTTATTTATTTTCTCCAGCAACCAGAAAATCAGTTAAATAAATTTAAGATGTAAAGGTTTAGACATGTAATGCACGCAGTTCTTGTCTTGTCTAACTTAACCACACTTTTGAATCAAGAAAAAATTAATATAATACCCTATTAACTCCATATCGTGGGATAGTCGAGTTTTTTTATTTAGTTTGAATTTTCATTCATTTTTGTTATTAATAAAGCGTTTTGAGGAGTTTTCATTAACTTTGTTGGAGACTACACACTTTTTGAAGTATATTGCCGGACTTTTACCACATTGAAAGTTTTCGAACAGTTCTAGGTAAAGTCTAATAATTTATTTTGTAAAAGAGCTGTACATATTCTCCGAATTATTGATAACTTTAATAGTTTGAACCAACCTTACAATTATTGCTTATTGGTGAATCTTGAAATTGGAAATCATTTCTAGATCTAAAACACTTTATTGCTGGATATCGAGCATTTATTGTCAATTTATCTATAACTAAAATTCTGGAAACTGTGAATATTTTATCAATTAGTATTTTTATAAAAATTTAAAAATAAAAAAAAAAAATATTTCATAAAGCTATAATCATGAGTGATCATTTACAACCAGAAAACGTTAATCAAGATTCTAGTCCAAGAGAGTCTAGATTTACCGAAATAAAAATCAACTCTAGTGAAAATCCAGTACAAATTAAAAAGGATTGGCTTCTTGAATACAGAAATGGCTTGAGTTGCGAAGAAATGCAACAACGACAGATTGAAGGCAAATCATATACAATGCCACTGCTTAAGGCAATGCTCTTAAGCCACTATAATCGTACAGCATGGAATGATGCCGAAAGCCAAGTTAAGTATTCTAATATAAAAAATGGTCAAACGACAGATGAGCTCAGAGAAATCTCTCAAAGATTAATGGTAGATGAAGACAATAGTGCAAGAGTTCTTTTAGAAAGAAAGTACTGTATGAAGAAAGTGGGATTATTAGGAAAGTTTTCGCCACGCTGGTTTATTTTCAAGGGTACAAATTTAGCTGTTTTTCACTCAGCCCATGAGGAAACTCAACCAAAATTTTACAGTTTAGTTGGAGCAGCATACGAAGTTGAAGATAGAGATTCTTCTCAAAACAAGATATCATGGACAACTCCAATCGAAATTATCTCTGAAGATGGAAATATTGTTCATACTGATGCAAAGTACAGACTTTCTGTAGTTACGAAAGAACCAAAAGTAAGACACTTTTGTTTATACAGTAACAAAAAGGAGGAAATTGCTGACTGGGTAAAAGTTTTTCATGTAGCCAATTTAAATTTGGATCCAAGCCAGGCAGCATTGATTTCTAATGTGATTACTAGAATTGCCCAGAGAGATGTTCCTTCGGCATGGGAAGCATTAGTTTACGAAGCAGAAAACAGAGCCCATAGAGAAACAATGTTGAGGTGTTTTGTCAATAGACTTAGATATCTCAAGGCTACAAGAGTACTTAACAAGTGGCAGACTATCTACAAAGTTCAAAACAAAGATTCTAATGAAGGTTTAAAACTTTTAGGAAGAGAGGTAATGCTGGGAAGACTTTATCGTCGTGACAAATTGTTAGTTAGAACTAGTCAACAGAGAGAAGCAATTATTGAGCTTATCCAAGAAGGGTATAGAAGAGAAAAGAGTAAAAGTCAAGCTCAGATGAAGGCTTCTGCTGAGAGCTTTGAGACAACTGATAGTGATGCAGCGGCAATTGCTGCTACTTCAGAGGGAGCACAGATTAAGCAGGGTCAACAAGGCCGTGACTTTCCAACAGTTTTTTATGTAAATCCATCTATAGAGAAGTACCATTCAAGGATTTTAGATGGTAAGGAACAGTCAATTAAGTCAAAATATTCTAAGCATACAATCATTCCTACATATCAAGAAGATGCAAACGTAAGAATTTCCAGTGACTTAAGTAGGGTAATTTGGGCACCAAAAAAGTGGGAATCTGTTGGAAATAAAAATATGTTCATTGATGTAGATTCTATTTCATCGATAATTGTCAACGCATCCAAGCCTTCATATGCCTCAAAAGGACTATATTCTGCCCCTACAATAGTTAGTGAATATGATATTGCAGAATGTGTTGATGAGTATGTGTACAGTATGACTGATTCTTGTTTCTCACATATTACAAATAAAGAGAAGAGAGAAAGAGATCCACAAAATAAAATCACTACCGGTAACTGGTTAGCTATTTGTGGCCCGAGATTAGGGTTTAATCCAGCATATTCACCTGATTTCCTAATTCGTGATACACCCGTAGTTGTAATGAAGGTTAACATCAATGTTAAATCTATTAGTTTAAACGAAAGGTTCTCCCGTCTTTACACAGAATACTATCAATATTATGCCGATGAATTGCAAGAAATGGCTCCTTATGAAAAGACAACTACAATGGCAGCTTTGACTTACGGCGACAACTCTCAAACCACTAGATTGAACACTATTAAATCTTTAGTCTCAAACGCCCAAACAAATGAAGAAATAGTACGTGATTACGGTACTATGACAAGTAGCATTTCTAGTATTAGAAGGCTCTTTACAGCAGCGTCAAACATTGATAATGAAGGGATTGAAAACAACTTGAAAGAATCCGGATCGTCAAATTTTGAAAACCAAATCAAACCATCAAACTCCACAATTGCATCAATAAGGAACTTATTCACAAGGAGCATCTCAAATGTTAAAGATTTTAGTTCTCCGAGATCTTCACCAGTAAGATCTCAGACAAAATCCGCGACTGTAACAGGTACAAAATCTGCAAGAAAGGTTGATGGATTAGTTCTCCCTCCAGAATTGAGTGTTGTAGATCCATTTAAAACAGTTCAAGTTGAGAGAAATTTAGAGATAAGAGATAGTACAGTTCAGACATATCTTAGAATTACAGCCTTTCATCAATCTTATACATCTGCTCATGCAGTAGGTGTTAACCCAACTTATGATTTGAACTTTTGCGTTGATGTCCCATTGATGACATCAAATGCTTCAAAAGAAATGATTAATGAAGCAAGAAACAAGGCCATGGAAGACGCAATTTGTACAGTCGACCTTTGGGTTAAATCACCAATTGAGTGTGTTCCAGATGAACTTATTGCCTCTATTGATATTCCTCTAAGAGAATTGAAAAATAGTGATCGACTTTCTAGACAAAGATCTCAATTTATTGCTGCTGATTCATTTATTCTCAAACAACCAGTTCCTGATTTGAAGTCTAGTGCCAGTGGAAATTCGAGGGCAATTCAAATCCTTAAATACTTAGGTCTTTTGGATCCAAATAGCGAAAATCTAGAAGATTTACCACTTGGTCAGTTAGATATTTCTGCTGATTCAGTGATTGAAACAACAATTATGGGAGAGACCCCAATTTCCCCTGAAACTATTTGTTTAGGTGGACTTCAAGGACTTTCTTCTTATTCGATTGATCAACTACCAAATCAAAATATTAGACAAAAAAACGGGGATTGCGTTGAGTTATACATTGGACAAGTAAAACTTGATCCGAATTGGACTCCAGGTCTCTATTTCGTTGAAGTTATTATGGGTGATGTCAGCTGTATGACTCATTTAGTTCAAACAAGATACGATTCTATCTACGCTGATTTTCGCTCTCATTTGTATATTCCAAGATACGATAATCAACTTGGAGTTGACCCGAAATGTTTACAAATATTAATAAGGCGTGCGTTGGGAACTGAAGATAGATGTTCTTCATTGGCTAGATTACTCCAGGATTCTGTTATTATGGGAGAGTTAATAGTGGATGTAACAAAGCTAACAATAAATGAGCCACACAGTAGTAATGGTTTGTATGCTGTTTTCAAGCCAACTACATCCGCACTTTACGGAAGTAAGGGTTTGGATTACGCTTTGGAAATAGCGCAGTTGGGTCCAAAATCTGATGAATTGCAGGAAGCAAAACAACATATGTTAGATGTTCAAATTAGAATGATGGTTACTTTGAGGAGAAAAACAGATGTGACACTGAAGAAAGTTATCGATCAGTCTGATGATTTTAAATTAGTGGGTGATACAGCACTGTTAGTGGTGGAAGAGGAGCTCAAATACCCAATTTCTCAAAAGGAATTTCATGTAAAATGTTGCCCTGGTAATTTTGATACATTAAAAGCTGGAACACTGGGATTACCATTGCGTTCAGTTGGAAATTACATAGAGTATGAAATTGGAGGATTCCAAGAAAATTCAGATCAACAGATTAATGATTTGAATACTCTAAACAAGTTTGAGAACGACAGTATTTTGAATGAAGAATTAGAAGCTATTGATGCTCAACCAGTTCCATTATATGCGAGTGATCCAGTACCTGCTCAATTCTATCTTCCGGAAGATCCACGCACATTCAGAAATCGTAAGCTACCAGGTATTTGGCATCGTATATTGGCTGATGGATTTAGACCAGGAGAGCGTGTTACACGACTTACTCATCGTGTTAGATATGTTCCAGTTACTATTATTGCAATTTACAAGAATAGAACTGCTTTGTGTAGATGGGCAGAAAACGTCTCAATTAATCCGACTGAATTCCCTGAAGGCTGTGTATTTATTCCCGAACAAAGATTAGTTATGGGCGTACCACTTTCATTCCTCTCAACTCCACACAAAGCCGGTATTCATGTATATGATTCAACTATCACCAGATTACCAGATAATAGTATCACACTTTTAAGTGATATAACAAATTATGGTGGATATATGCCGTTAAGTGTTAACCCGATATTCTGTGAATATGAATGGGTACTCTGGATTAAAGCAGAGACACCGCAACAAATGACTTTATGGGCAACAATTATTAGAAATACTGTAAGAGAAAGAGCATTCAGACGTGTAAGAGCATACGAAAGAACCAGAGATATTATGAATAACGAAGAAGAAACTGAGAATAATGATTGTAAAGCCTCTAATTCTACGATTTCAAGGCATTCCAACACTCAATCACATTTGGAAAAACGATATGATAGTGGCGAATTGGAAGTTGTTGTACACAGTTCAAAGATACTATGCAAAAGTAATAAATCACTGAATTTCTATGCAGTTTTCCAATGGGCAAGAATACCGAGGCAACTATACGAAATGATTGAAAATGAAGGAAATTATGACGTTAAAAGTAGTATTCGCCAAGCAGTCAAAAGAATAATTGAAGAGAGCATTCTAGGATTTAATATGAAAAATAGGGGTTCAGTAACTGATCAATTGACTCCTCAAGAACTAAGACCTGCTCCAATAGATATGAATACTGCAAAGCTGCATGCAAGTTACATTCCATTTAGTCTTTCAACTCAAATAAAAGAAACTAAATTGTACTCTGTTGATAAAATAAGGGACGACTTCTTAATTTTGGTTACAAAAATAACCTTCAGTTCTTACTACCTCTCAAACCTATGTAGGAATGTCTTACCAGACGAAACTTCACCATATGTTAAAAATTCAAAAGAGGCCAAATTATTAGATAAAATTAGCGGTGAATTGGTTGGTGTAATCCCTGACAAACTTGACAAGAAAAAACTGACTAATGAAGTTTATAACACATATAGATGTAGGTTCTACAACAATAAAGATACTTGTGAACGAGGAGGAAGTGTTTTTAGCACAACACATATTGACACAAGTGATGAAGTTCCACTATTAATTATCAAATTATTCCAAGAGACAAATAATGATACTGATACATTTATTGGGCATGTGACATTGAATACAGTTGATTATTTGACACCAGAAAATCCATTCCAAATTAAATATAAAAAAATCAATCCAAGATATACTTATATTGTTTCTGCCTCAGGTGCCGGTGGCAAAATGTATAATTTCGATACAGTTCCTGATGCATTAAATTTCGTGATGTCTCAAAATAAAGAAATTACTGTTGAAGAATTTTATAGGGCATTGTATGGTGAAACAAACCAGGCAAGAAGAATTCACGGACCATGGAGAGTTAGAGTCCAAGAAAATATTGAATATCACGGTGATGTCTGTTTAATGGTTAGATATGGTCCTACCGATATTCGTCTATTGACAGAATTCCAACCAACTGCGAATGATTACAAGGAGCATATTCTAGATTACCATAGGAAACAATTCGATGACAGTGGTATTCCATATATTCATACAGTTTATGACCCAAATACACCATTTGCTGTTAAGATGGCAAGAATATTTGGTAACAAGTTTGGACAATTGAATGGGAACGTATTTGATTTGTTAAAGAAATATTCAGATGATACAAAAATGTTAAAATTGATACAAATGTATTTATTGAGACCAGCTGAACAATGGATATATGAAAGAAGTCTTTATGAGCAGATGTTATTCTTAGAACCGTTGACAGACTTAATTGAAAAACAAAATATGACAAGATGGAAATATTTATTAGCTGATTCAAATAACAGAGGTTTACAACAATGGGAACAATTATATCGTCAAGGTTTATTGTTACATAAAGTTGACGAACTATCGTATGACAGTTGGTCTATCTTGGTAAATGCTAACGTTCGTGATCGCTTACCATCTATTTTACTTGAATTATGGAATGGAGAAGAATACTTGGGTGAATATTTATTACCTTCCTTGTCTTCCTTATTATTAAGTAAGATTAACACTACGGTTAGATTACACACTTCAGCCTTGGCTAGAGAAAATGACAAGAAAACACGTTATGATATCAGAAAAGAAAACTTAACTAGCGCAAAATTGTCTACATTTATAAATATGGAAATAAGTTGGAGAATAAAAAGTACAACTGAAGGTATATTTGGATTAATTGTGAGAGATGTTAGGAATGTTGTTTCCGAATTAACAGATGATTTGAACGAAATTAAACCCCAAATCCATATCTATCAATACTTCTCAGATAATGATCAGTGGAGATTAATGGAAATAACTAAACCGAGTATTGCCACGAGAACAATCCTTGGTATAGAAACTCCAGAAAAATTAAAGAAGCAAAATATTGAATGGAATAATGTTTTTGTATATAGTAGAGACAGAATTGTTGATCTTCAATTCCCAATTTCAATTCCTGCTATGGTTGAATCTGTCCCAATTGTATTCAACTTTAGTGAGTTATTATTATCTGATAATAATAATAATAAATTAGATAGAGATGAAAGTAACGAGATTGTTGAAAAGATATGGTCATTATTGAAATCAGGAGTACCAAATTATTACCGTCCATATATTTGGATGCAATTAAGTGGTGCAAACGATTTAAAGAACTCGATACAGAAAAAATGGCAATCTTTGAATGATTCAAATAAATGTGGTCATGATACATTATTTTCATATTTAATTGAGTACGCGGACACATGTAATTCTTGCGTGTTAAGACAATTAGATGAGGATATTGAATCTGCAAGAATACGTTATCATATGTGTGAATCAATATTAGGTATTGATCAAGTACATACTTTCTGGGAAAATGTACGTTACATAATGAGGGCTTTAATTGTTTTTTCATTAAGAAAGAAGTATAATATTTATAACTGCGAAAAGTTCCATGTTGGGTTACCATTACAATATGCATTTGGCTTGTTATCTTTAACAATCGAACTATTAATGAATTTTGGTGGTGTTTGTTTAACTCCAGAAGATGTTTTCTATTTAGTTTATTCTGTCTGTGGTTCTAGGCATAGTATTTACTTGAAACCTAAAACTGAAGAAGATAACAAAGATGAAAATAGATCTATAAAGAATAAAAAATTAATAAAAGGTGCTTTACTACCTTATTATACAACAGAAGAGCAAGAAGATGATTTAAATAATGATATGCCAGCACAAATAAACGATATAATTTTCTTAAAAAGCGCTTTGGAATTATTGCATCCATACGAATATGATAATATGTTAGCATCTGGATTCCAGCTTGAGGAAATACTTTATGGATGTCTAACTTCAATATTTGCAGGTTCTTTGCCATCATCAACCATTACACAATTATATGACTTATTATTCAATGTTTACTTCCAGCCACAAGATATTTTCATAAGGAAAAGAGAGGAACATAGCAATAAACGTGATCATAAAAATGAAATTGATTATAATGATAATAAAATAAATATTTCATTAAGTAGACGTATTTTGATATGTTTGTCTTATTATATTATAACAGAATCATATCGTGAAATTAACATTAACCCACTTATATCCTCAAAGTGTATCCGTGAAACTATCAAATCTACTATGGCTACTATGAGGGATCCATTAGAAATGGTTCATGGGATTGAAAGAGCTGATTTTATAATCTTTGGAAACAAAAAGATTTATGAAACTATATTAAAATTATATGAGACATATATTATTTCATATCAAGAGTCTTTATGGTTCTCAAAAAAACAAAATTCAGTACTAGAAAAAATGATCAATATGACTCCCCTACAAAATCAACATGGTAGTGATGCGCCTTCTCATTTAGGAATGAGATTTATCGGAGGAAGATATGTACCAAAAACTGTTGTATCACCAGGTTTATCATTAAAAGATTTAACAGAATCTCTATATCCATTAATTAAATTCCAGGCACTTTATGCAGGTAGAAACTTACACCAATTACCACCAGGTATTGCTGGTTACGTAATAATAAAAATAGATGAAGTACGTGAGTTTGCCAAGTATAATGAGCCTATATCACCAGTAGTTTGTGTGAGAATGGACCAATATAAAGTTGCAACAGATCCTGCAACAGAAAGATGTTCTAGATCATTTATTTGGAAATCAAACAATGTATTTATGTTCCCAATACCAATTTGGAAATCACCTGCACAAAAAAAGAATATACATGGTGGTCGTAATACCTATCAATTGCAAAGAGAGTCATCTGAATCTGAAATGCCAATGACTGTTGAAATTTTTATTGAGGTATTGGATTCTGAGGCACTTGATGATGAAAACAAGTTACTATGTTCAGCACAGTTAAGTTTAGATAGATGGTCAACTGATGGTGGTAGTTTATCACTGAACGGCGATGATGGGACATTAGCAATATATAATGATTGTAATAAGATGAGCCTACTATTCTCATGGTATACATATGTACCAAATAATGAGTTGGACACAAGTGCTTTATTACCATTTTCGTTTGGAAAACAACAGTGGGGTGATTACGGTGGGTATCATTGCATTTATGCACCAGTTAATGTAGAATCATATAGGAATGAATTGCATTCAGACTTGAAAGAGGAAAAGTTGAAAGAATGGGAATCTGAGCCAAGACAAAGCGTATTAGACATTATTCGTGGCCGTAGAAAGATGGATGAGAGTGGTGGTAATTTGGATTCTTTACCGACAATGAGATCTATGTATCCTGGAAAATTAGAGATTAGCACAGGAAAATATGGTCCGACTAGATCACAATTACAGCAATTATTCTTCTTCTCAGCGCCTTCACTCTTACCATATGTTGACGAAATTGTTGAGAGTTTTGCAAAAATATCTATGAACTCATCAGAGGAAAAAGTTACGTTAACACCTGTACCTCTAAGAGAACTAATTGCATCAATTATTTTGTGTTCTCGTGGTACATTGAGTGAAAAAGCTAATTTATTATTTGATTTATTTGGATATGATGATGCAAATAGATCGTCTGTAGCATTCCACTCCATGTATTATTCACATACTCCTCAATATCCAGCAGCAATTCAAATCGGTTCACAATTAAATACTCATTTACCAGTCGAAGTATCTGATAAATTGGGTGTTGCACCTTCAAATGTAATTTCACTAGCAGGTGTAGCTGCAATCGTACAAACTGCATGTATTCGCTCAAACATACCATTAGATAATGTTGGAATTTATCAAATTACGGCTTCAGTATTTGACCATTACTTTGATGTCCCTAGTGTTTTAAAGGCATTGATTATACCTCCAAAGGGATATGATGGGCGTGTATCAAAAGAATATATAACACATAATTATCGTAATTTGAAGTATGACACAAGTTCAATATCAAATACTGAAGATATTACAATTGATAATATGAATATTTTCAATGATTGCAGAGGAAATAAGAGCATCTTCAATTCTATTAATTGTATGAATAGTAAAAACACCAAAGAAAATGTATATTGGTATAACATAGATCATATGATTGATAGCAAATATATTTTGGATGTATCAAGATCAATAACACATCACATTAGAAAAAATGCATCTTTAGAAGGGTTATTTGGAATTGATTTCTCTGTTCATACTTGTTTGAGGCATTTTGATATTAATGATCCATTCCCAGGCTTAAATAAGACATTAAGAATAATTATTAGTGGAAAGAGGAGCAAACACGAAATAAGAATAATTGATCTTACGATTGATGAAAAAGGTCATTTTATTGATTCTAGAGTACAATATGGTACGGAAACTAGTGAAGATTTACATACAACAGATGTCAGAGGAGCAAATCAATTCAGACAGGCTTTTGAATCAGGTTTGGCAACTGTTGACTTCCCAAGACTATTATATAGCGATGGTGCTGCAAATGGCAAAGAAAGAGTGCCTACTGCTAGTTTTGTATTCAACTTACACAATATTTTGATTGATAAATATAGCTTCGTTACTAAATTTTGTGACTTCACATTGGTGACGGAAGCAATCCGAAGGATTACAGCAAATGATCGTACGTGTGAGCCTAATCAATATCTCAAACTAAATGTAGAAGTTAATTTAACACTTGAGGAGAACAAATCTTATCCACATTACAGTGTTGATGAAATTCTAGGTGTTCCACTGAAAGTAATCAATAACAATGATGAGTTAGCTAATCAATTAAGCCAGTCTTTAGTCATATCCGGCTCAAATAATATTGGTAATCAAAGTCAAAGAAGCATTGGTTCGATCAATGCTTCAACATTAATAAATGATGATGGATATATGACTCAAAGATCAATGATTTCAACAAATTCGAAACAAGTATTTGAACCATCTTTATCAGTTCATTCCTCCATGTCTTTATTAAATAATTCTAGCAACATCAATGAGGATGTTGCCAATCAAAGTTCACAGGCGGAGGTTTTTAATTCAAATAGTTCATTTGTAAACAATAGTATTGCTGAAGGTGACATAGAACAAATTTTATCAAAAAAATCTACTAGAGGTGATGAAAATCCGGAGAATTCTAATGAAGGTCATAAAAACGGTAATATTGAAAAAGTACCAACTAGGACAGAGAGTAATGGAGGGGCTGTATTGAAGCAAGCTTCCACTGCAACTTCTAAGATTGCTGCTCTATTTATGACTAGAGAATCTTCGTTGTTTAAATCATTATCATCAACATTCAACAATGGAGATAATAATAAAGAAGCTGGAAATCTTGATTCTAGAGTAAATTCTGGAGCTAAGGCATCAAAAATTTCTGATAATGAAGAAATAATTAGAGTGGAATCAGATTTTAATTCAAGAAAAAAATCTTCCAATATTGATGAAGATGACGAGGAACTCAAAGTAGATGAGGAAGAAGAAATGTTATTACAGCAACAACAGTTGTCTTCAGCAATTAATTCATTCAACTCTAAGAGAATAAACTCCCAAACAAGTTTATTAAGTGCAGTAAGTCGTGGAGCGTCAACTGTAAATCTTTGCCGAACATTTACAAGAGGAAACTTTGGATCATATTACGAACCTGAAGGTAAGACCGAGTATCAAGTTGATATCCCTTTCAGACCACCAGGTCAGGTCGAAGAGAGACATAATATTAGAGTTTATTTGGCTGACAGTATTCGTGTTTTGAAAAATAAAGTAATGGAAGCATGTAAGTCAATTGCACAGAGATTACAAGAGAGTGGAATTGATAATGGGTTGTATAAAGAAATTGTATTAGGACCATATCATGTAGTTGAGTTGGTAGTCACTGATTTCGATGGCCATATTCGCTATGTACCATTAATGAATGAAACAAACTCGATTGAGGATTATATTCTTTCAAACGAAGATTTACTGCAAGAATTTATAACTTCAAACATGAACAGCATTTTGAATATCAGAATCACTCCACCAAAGAATTTACAAACGGAGAAATCAACTAAGATTGTAAATGAGATGGAACATGAAAGTGGTGGTGCTTGTATCACTAGTATGTATCTAGCAAATGAGCTCGCAAACCACGAAATATTGGAAGATGGATTATTGGTTAGAAACCCTCTAGGGTTCAGAACATATTTCCATAGAGCTCATTATGAGATAAGGAACAAGATGATCGAAATTGAGCCCGGAAAAGTGGTCTCTTTAGATAATTTATGTTTTGTAAGAAAGAGTAATACAGTATTAAATAATCTAGCAGCATGTATCAATTTGGATTGGAATGTAGATGAATGGGTTCCAGCAGTTGCTATCAGAGGAATTAATACATTCTTAGATGAACTTGAAGGTATTCATTCTGATTCAGTGCGTGGCCGTACATCTAGAATTCCACAGGCAGTATTAAGTGCGTCATCTATTATTGGAGGGTTTATGCCGGTGACTTTAGGAGCATATAACCCAATTTCTGCTGCATTTGACTATGGTTATGGTGCAAGAAACGGAAGCATCACCGTTTCAAATAATCATAGAAACTTTGGAAATGGAGCTAGCACAAAGAGATACAAAACTGGAACAAATTTAAATACTAAAAAGTTCGGAACGACTACAACTGGAATTAATAATTCGAATCAATCTTCCAATTCTGTATCTTCAAAAATTAAACCGGAAGATATGATTACATCTGTTTATGGATGGGATTTATGTTATGAAGTCATTCTACTGGATTTCCATGATTTGATGATTGAAGGTGGTATTAATACAAGAGAATCAACTTGTGTGACTGAAAATGATGTTATTTTCTGCTTCAGAAATCCAAGTGTAAGACAGCAATTTGAAATTACACAGCTGACTACAGACGAAAAAATAAGAATTATGTCACTCGCAGAATCTGGGATGTGCCCTCAAAGGATTGCACTCGAGTTATCTGAAGATAGAGTTGCTGCATTAAAGAGTGGCTCATACTCTATGTTGTACAACAATCAACCCCGAGCAGTTGTTGTGCCGCACCAATTGGTTTCTGAATTCCTGAGAAGATTTAGAGCTGCAATTGAAGAAGATAAACATATTTTCTAAACTTATAGTATCAGGAATAATCGAGTTCAGTACTCATTAGAGTTCATTATTTAAAAATAAACTAAAAAAGATAGACCTTTGATAACAATAAATGATAATCTCACTATTTATTCATTCTTGTAAAAATTTGAATATGAATGCTTTCGTCCTGTTTTTATTAGCCGTCTGACTTTGATCTTTCTTAATTTCTCCTATTATTAAAATACCTGAAATTATTATTTTGATTATTTCTACTGGAAATATAATTATTTCTGTATCCCTGATCATTATTGTAGTACTGATAATTATTTCCATTATTCCCTAAATCTTGATAATGATTGTTGTTATTAGAGTATAAATAATTTTGATCTGTATTATCTGGTGAATTGTAATGATTTGAGATACCGTTGTTGTAATACCCACTTTGTGAATTGTATGTGTTGTAATACTGGTTATATTGAAAATTTCTATTTTGAGTTAAATATTGGGTTGGCTGATTCGAGTATCCAGGATACTCCAACAGATTTAATTTATTTGCATTATGATTATAATTCATCACATTTAAATTTGTTCTAACCGTAGTGGTAGAAGTAATAGTGTTATAAATCGCATTGTTACTCGATGAACTAGTTCCTGAACTAATATTTACAAAATGGTAATTAATGTAATTTTTGGGAACACCATTGCTATTAATATTAGTAGTGGAAGTAGTAGTAGTAGTGGTAGTA